AGGCTACAATTAAACTTGTATGTATATATGGAACAAAATTTTATATGGGTATAAATCAGGTTGATGTAATTATAACAATTCTCTATGAATCTTTGAAGATAGCTCACTAAAACTTTCAATGACACTATTTAGGGTTTTTCGGTATAACATGAGATGTTAAATGAACCTAGTCTACAAAGGTAAATCATGTAATTTTGATGTAGGTGTATTTTTCTAAACATCAAATTTCCGATAACATCATGACAGTCACACACGCACACGAATCATGTACATACTAGGTTCATCCATGTGTGCTATACTAAGGAAACACACAAACTAGGTGTGAAGATTAAAAGAAAAGTGGTAAAAAATCTCTTGATTGCATATTTGATTATTGAATCAATGTGATTACATTCCATTTTGCATCATGATGTTTTGTCAAAATAAACACATCCAATTTGTAACATGCATGCATGTTCATGCTAATTGATTTATTATTATTACTCCATATTATAAAATTATTTTTCCGGTCTAGATTCTTTCCGTAATGCAAACGTTTAATTACTTTGCTAAAATAATTTCTTGAGAATAAATCAGATATGTTCAGAACGGTTCGAGGAAAGTACTCGAGTGCAAATCAAATGCGCATGAATTCCAAGTATGGAGGCCATATGAACGACCCGTAAGTAACTATGATTAGGGCAACTGATTCAAAAAACGAATTTAAAACACCTCATGGGACCTAGACTCCTAGGCCGCAACTGTAAGGAGCAAGCTAATAATTTATTTGAAAGTATAAACTTTTATGCTAGTATACAGCTAACTTCGGTATGGTTATTATATTGCACAAAATCGCTTCAGAAAATATCGGAAATATAATATCCATCAGTTATTTAAAAGTTTTTTAGCGTCAAGAAACTTTAATCTGTCCACATTCTACGCTACTACTTTCTGTTGGAAGCAACCTGGTAGCTTACTCCGTCAGAATCTTACAGACGTGAATGATACACACGTGTACAATCAAGCGGGCACTGGTACGCAAACGTATTCCCAAGGGAAAGCGGGAAGCTTGACCTAAAACTACGGCCTTCGACTGTGACGGCCAACTAGTGTCCTGTACTCTCAACGATGTTCCATGGTCACGGATATAACGTGGGCCTCGATTGAACTATCTCAGCGGTACCGTATCGTGGCTGGTTGATCACACATCATGTTGACGTGATTAGAGATAGTGTATTAATTACTAATAGTGAATGATGAAAGTTACTGTTGCAGGAGATTTTTACGGTTCGTGAAATTGCTCTCTATGACCCAATGCAGTTAAGACTATTTTCTATAGGACAAATTTAGTACAACGATCCACATTATTGAGTCGGATCTGAGCAGAATGTGAACGACTAGCTGTTAACAAGAGCATGTGCTTGAATATGTTAGCTTAAGATGCATGGCTTCAATTGACTAGTGTGTCAAAGTTACAGTTGCAAAGCGTTTTTGCCTAGGACATAAGTCGTAGTATACGCGGTCCCATTCAAAATGATTGTATATTGCCATGATGTCTTGTTCGTAGTGAAATTTGGGCAAAAGCCAGCCAGAAGGTTCCGACCATGATTATGCATAGGCTCAACAAAGGTTCGACAAAACATTACGCGTACCTTTTCTAATATTTTATCTACATGGAGTATACTTAAAAAATTTTGAAATAAGGTACGTTCTAATACTCGAAATAGGTAAACTCAAGGTTACCCTGCACCAAGGTAAGTACATTGCATACATAAAGGCTCACTGTAAATTAGCCCACATTTCTATTTCATGTTTTTTTAAGTAACTTGAAATGAAAAAAAAGGAAAAAAGTTTCATCCGTATATTGCTTGTATATTTTTATATAAATTCCAAGCATGCTGACCTTCAAATATTAAAATAAAATTTAATTGAGAAATATATTTTTTAAATACAAATCTGATTATTTTACAACATTTACTATCATACACTGAAGTATCACACCATACCAGAAAATACCCTTCAAATCAAACTTGATTACATTACACCAAATGAGTTAGTTATTTGGTCAAATTTATGTTGTAATACAGCAAAAAGATCAAAGAATTACATTTACATAAATCATTGCAGAATTTTTAAGATAATTGAAGAATGTATTTATACTACTACTCTATGTATAAATTATTTATGTGTTGGTGAAAATCAAGCTGCTATCATTTCTATAATTTCTTTTCAACTTTACCAATTTTATATATCGAGGTAAATCACCACATAGATAAAAAATTATAGATAAAGGAAAATCAGAATACATGTTTATTTCATGAAAAATGACTCTAAAATTAAATATGGTACATTCTTACATCCATGATGTAAAAGTTTGAAATTTATTTCACACATATTTCATCCCAAATTCATATGTAGACTCTGAATCTGAATATGTTCTGTATCTGCTGATACATGCAATTCGATTTGTGCACAATCTGATAACAAATAAAATAGCCGTCCCAAATTTATTTTCCCTTACCGTTCAATATAATTCAAGCTAAATTCAAATAGTGTAATATCACTTTAATCTTTCCAAATGTGACATTTGAGTTGAAGAATAATTTTGTATTAAACAATTTGCATATTTCACTAAATTTTAATAAATCCTTGTCGTTTTCCAGAACTTTGATGAAAATTTGATTCATTTAAAAGAAATTTTATCAATACATAGCTTGATTTTCATTGAAAATTTAATTTTTTTTGTCCCAAAGGTCATAAATTTGGAACAACATTTTTTTAGCACGTAAAATTCATGTAGTTCTGTTTAAAACTACAATATTAAAACGAATGACAGTTCATGGACTCGACATCATATTTCGAATCAAAATAGATTGAATGACCAGTAGATTATTTAAAATATCGAGTCAATTTTAAATGTTAAGTGTGGATTCCTGCAATGTATATACTAGTAATTTGATTTGTAGATTTTCTCAAAATAATTTTAAAAATCACGAGGATTTTCTTATTCTTCAAAGTTAGTTATTCAAACAGCTCAATTTTAAGAATAATAACATTTATACAAAGATGTGTGTTTCAAATATGTCCCCATACAGAGTTAGTTGGATCGTTAGTGGTTCTCACTTCAGTATGAAACTACTGATAACAAATAATATCATAGGTGCATAATTTGCAACATCTGTTAAGAAAAGGGTTGGGGAAACATATAAGATTGTATATTACTTTTATATATAAAGCAAATCTTGCTTGGTGCATATTTAAAGGAGAATGGGAAGAAAATAGGACCAGGCTCACTTTCACTCAATGATACCAGTTTGCGATTATAAATAATATCCGTCTCATAGTTTCAAGAAGTAAACATGCCCGTAAACGTAAGAATACGACAGGTTTCAATGAATGACGAAGTTAGATTAGGAATTGATGCGTCCGATGAAAGTTAAGCAAAATGGGCGATCCTTTCCAGGCGGGAACGAAGATGATGCCATAGCGGAAGAAAGTCAGTTGAAAGTACTTTTAGAGGTGGATCTGTTGCGGACTGTTTGGAATTACAGAGCCTGTTCAATTCTTCCTCTTTGTTCCCACGATTCATTTCTCCACTATCACACTAAGGTTCTTGTCGTCGCCAAGAGGACTACTTCTCGTGCTTCTTCACGGCTTCGAAACTGTAGATTATATGCTATCTATGTTCCTTCAATATTTGCTGTCGCCGGACTGTGCTTCTAACTCATGAATCTCCTTCAATTTGATCACACCGAGGACTTTCCCTCGTCGGTACCAGTCCATACTGCGTGGTCATCTTGAAGTTGGATCGTTTATTTTCACACACGTGAAGGAAGTTCGCGTCGGTAACTCGGGAGTGAATCCCGCTCGGGACGTGTAACCCATCATCAAACTAACGTTGGAGGCCGTAGTACAATAAACTGCTCCTGTCAGCGAAGAAAAAAATATCTGATACACGGAATTATATACTGGCTCTATGTATGAGATACGCGATAGATATCTTGATGAGGAGATCAAATATTATATACACCCGGTTAAATTCTTTAATCATAGATGTAATAACTCGAGTTACTTGCGAGGTCAGTAAGTATGAACACGATTCGGTTGAAAAAGTCTAATCGTCCTGGTCGATGGGGAGTGGGAATATTCCGGAAGGACCATTTAGGTGAGTCTCGCGGAGAATCATTTCAATATATAAAAAATTGTAAGCGGCAGGCCGGAGTTGTAGAATGATAAAACAGTATAATATGATTGGCTGAACACGGTGAGTTGAATGCCGTAGAGGCAACAAATAACGCGCAGTAAGGAGTGCGACTCGTTATTACCTGTTGTATTCCCCGACAGATGCAGGCCGGCCGTCGATCGGCACATCCCGAGGCCGATTGCACCATTGGCGTTTTATTCACATGGATTTGCGGCAGTACGGCGGACGTGAGTTATAGGTGGGGGTAGGTCGATCATGACTGCTGTTTCCGGCACGGCGGGCCAGGGCCGCATGAGGCGAAAAGACGACATTCAACGGTGCAATGAGGCAGGTTTGCGGCGACTGCGGCAGACGCACACGGGGTCTGCAATAACGGCCTGTGGCGTTTAGGGTAAACACAGTAGGCAGGGGCACTGATTAGCGCGATAGTGCGCGATTGCGGACCAAAGCGTTGCGCGATCGCAGCCGTGGACGCGCGGGATCGGGCGGCGCGCAGGCCTCGGGGGGGCAGCGAATGTCGTAGAGAGCCAGTAGGAGAAGAAGGACGAGATTAGCGTGTTGTACTGCGGAGGCGGGCCGTCCGATGCGCGGGCGGACGGCCGGGATGCGGCGCGGCCCTGGCGAGTGTACCTGCTGCGCGTCGGTATTAGGTTGCCACTACGCGAGTAGGTCGCGATTACGGGCGGTAATCGCAGTTTAGCGGGTGCCGGGCGGAGATTAGGGTCGTGCTCGGGCGAGGGCCGAGGGGCTGCAGGGGTAGCGCGGGGGCTCGAGGTGAGCTGGGCGAGGACAAAGCCGGAGAGCGACACGGGACGGGGGGGAGTGTGCGGTGGAATGGTGAAGTGAAGTGAGTGCGGTGGAGGGCGTTGTGAGGGTGGCGTTCTACCGTGGTGAGAGTTGGAAGACGAGTGAGTGAGGCAGTGAGTGAGCGAGTGAGTGAGGACGACGAGATCGACGAAGAATTGAGACAGGAAAGGGTAGACGAGGTAGGCAGCGGTGAGGAGGCGAGGCACGGCGCGAGAGGGAGGAGAGGAGGGGGAAGGGTGGAGTGGGACGGTGGAGGGGAATGGCGGGAGGGGGCGTGAGAGTGGCACTGCCAACGACACCGTCCGTGACGATGGGAGGCGGTGTGCTGCCAGTGGGCGTGAAGGAGACGAAAGAGGGAGTAGTTGTCAAGAGCGAGAAGAAGAAGGACGGGAACGAGTGGACTGATAGAGCGGTGGATTTGCTGCTGGAGCTGTATGAGCAGAAGTGGCGAGGGGTGAGTTTTGGCAATCTGCGCGTGAAGGATTGGGAACATGTCGCGAGTACGATGGACGAGCGGTACCATTGGCAAGGCGAGAGGAAAACGTTTTTGCAGTGTAAGAATAAGATTGAAAACCTCAAGAAGAGGTACAAGTTGGAGAGAGAAAAGAAAAACGATGCCGGCGAGGTGATGAGCGACTGGCCCTGGTTCACGCGTTTGCACGACATAATTGGAAAGGCTCCGAAGCAGGTTGGCCTGATCGAGGATTCTGAGGGTGGGACTCTGGCATTAGGGTTAGGGTCGACCGTGGAGGGTCCCGATGGCGAGAAGGAGTGCGAGGGTGAAGGGCAAGGTGGTGGACTCCTCCCGCAACTCGGAATTGTTCCGATTGCAATGAGAGACGACAGTAAGATGCGAGCTCTGACCGAGTCTCAGATCTCCAGTGAGAGAGCCAGTTTTATGGAAACTCCTCCTGGTAAGGACCGAAAACAGGGGTCCACTGCTGCTTGTGGAACTCGTTGCATGCAGAATGTGCCTGAGATTTCTGGGAAGTCCGCCCGGAAAAGGCGTCGCAATACTTCGGTGCGAAGTCCGGTGAAGGATCTCGCAGCCAGCTTCAGTAATTTCTTCAATGCTATGGCGAAGGTCGAAGTGGAAAGGATGCAAATGCTCAGAGAACTGATCTCCAGTAATACCAGAAAGCGCCCGAGAATTTCTCAAGCTCCTTCTGACAACGACCAGGTCGAGAAACCTCCTATCTTATTTTCAATGGTGTGAGAAGCATGGTCTTTTTTTCCACCAGTCTTTCACGATGGTCTTCGACGGTTTTACCAGTCCTAACGTGTTTTCTTGTATTTGCTCTGTGGACGAGCAGTGTAGGTGGTGCTCGACGTCCGGCCCGTCGACGGCCCCAGGCCGAAACAGCATTCATCAAAAGGTAATTGCGGCATAATGGTTTTTCAAAACCGTGTGACTGTAGCGAAAACACTTGTTCTCCTACTTCAGAATAATGTCACAGAAAACTATCTTTGTCTTCTTTGCATGTGAGGGGCGTATTGCCTCTTACTCGGCTCCTGTAGTGAATTGTTTATGAGACAACGATCTTTTCCTATCCTCTTCTTTTTAGATTTTCTGCCAAGTGTCTTCCTGAAAAGGCGCTCGAGTCTTTCTTTTTTCTCTTCTCTCCAGCGAGTTGCAAAGATGAAGTTTGTATTTTCCCTCTCTGTAGGAAAAAAATTTAGAGGTCGTCACGTGAGCCTCTACGTAGGAAAGAGAGGATGGAAAGCCTTACCATTTTCTGGCGCTCTCATCTGGTCTCCATCAAGTGAGTCTGGACATTCAAATCTTCTTTTCAACGTGTTGTCTGACGGGTTTTGAAATATATTCGACTTATGTGAACAGTTAACGGAAGCTTTGACTCCGACAAATCTGGAGATTGAGGATGTTTCAGTCGAGCACGCTGCTGGGTTGCAACTTGGAGCCGCCCGAACGCACTTCAAGTAAGTGTGTTCTTATTATCTGAAGTCCGTGCGTCGAGCTTCTTCTAAACGTACCCTGTGTTTTCTGCGCATTTTCTGGGTATTCCGTCTCTGTGGAGTCTCTGTGTAATGTAGACCCGAAGACCTGTTTGAAATGTTGAGGGCCAGTTTTGTGGACGCTAATCACCTTGTCTCGATCGATGTGCAGTGTGAGGGTTGTTTCAACAGTTTTCGAGGGGCAGAGTCGCATTCAACGGCATAGGATGGTTTACAAGATTTTGCAGGATGAGCTGAAGGGCGGTGTGCATGCCCTGTCGATAGTTGCAAGAACCCCAACAGAGGCTGCAACTCGTTAGGATTACGTTTAATCAGTGCACTAAAATATAATCGATTGCGGTAGGTGGCTATGAAGAGATATAAAAGATGCAAGGATGGTTTTGGAGCTGATGCTGTTTATTCCTTGCAACTATCCGGATGAGGAGTTGCTGCACAAGTTTCAGGAGCCCATGATAACCTTGCAGTGGTGGTGAAAGCAGGTTTGAGGCTGGCAGCTTACTACTGCCCTGACTGCTAGGTCGAACTTAATGTGTAACTCGGGAACACATTCGTAGTTAAATCGAAGTTTTTCCACCCTGAACTTTCCCGATCTATCTTGCAAATGGGCTTAGCCTGACGATGGACCTCTCGGTTGGAGACGAAAGGATTGTGGAAGTTCAACGTGGTGTTGTCACTACACGAGTGGTCTACATGCTTAGACTGGAGAAGAGGAGAGAGAGAGAGAGAGTGAGGAATCAACCGACAGATCGTAGAGTGTTGGTATCCTTCCCCATGTCCTGGTTGTCTTTCCCTTAGCTAGCGTTCGCAAATGTTGGCGACACGACACCTTATATTGTATACATTTTGTTCCAAACTTGTACCATTTTGACCCGCTTTGGGGGAAATTACTCTTACCACCCCTTTAGGGGACTTTGTATGACTCCCGGTGCTCCTTAGCTTCTTCCTCTGCAGACTTTCTGTCGAGCATCTGTGAGTGCGCAATTTTCTCGATGTGTTGTTCTTGGCTCGTTCGTTCCTTCTGTGCTTCGTTTGACGAGCATTGGGCGCCCAGCGCGACCGTTATGTTCGTTTGCCTCGTCCGCTAGAATTTGAATTAGCAGCGCTCGCCTTCCTTGTCCCATGCATGTACTGCGATTCGCGCTATTACCCGCTCCCTTGTGCATATGCGCTTGCGACTATGGCCAACTGAGGACGACGTATGCTCCGAGGACAGTAGACCGTGTTGCTGCCTGGCCTCGCCTCTCTTGCGAAGTCGAAGTTGGCTTCAAACTGCTACGTTGTTTGTGGGACGAAGGCCCTGTGACTACGTCTACCGCCGACGAACGACGAAGACTTGCTTACACCGCCTCCCTGTCACCGTACCCCTAACTCAGCGACCGCCGCAGTTGCGCCGCTGGATCTCGTCCACTTTCCAACCTCGTCCATCGTACAGGGCAGCGAATCAACGCCGGTAGCTGTACACGTCGAACGAAAACGTCCGTAGAGGAGGATCATGACCGTGAGCCACGACAGTTGGCCCATGAGTTGCCGTGCGCAGTTGGTAAGAGCTCGGAGCAGGTAAGTGTTGAAGGTGTGGTACATGTACTGCCGATCATACAACTGCCAGAACCAGTCAAGCCAGGTCACGGTCAATCGTGGTTGCCTCCCCCTCCTTGCCGACCTTACACCCTCACCCATTAGCCGAGTGAACCGCGTACATCATGCGCGTCATGAATTCTCGGACTCATCGCACGCAGTTTCCCCACACGCTCGAAACTCGCTTACATGGCAGAACCGGCTCGATTATTATAATTCCTGCCCTCGCCCCTCGCTTGACTGTTCTAGGCGTAGCCCGGGGGAATATTCTCCGTCCAAATCCGCGGTTGGGATCGCAACACCCACCTCGCAAGCACGCCCGCCGTATTGGCACCAATGCCAGTCCGCGAGAAAAAATCCACCGCCCCGTGTAGTTATAGAAGGCCTCGAATAGCGCCCTTCCCCCTTTTGGCAGGGAATCGTGATCTGGCGGCAGCACGACCGGCGAGAGGGCCGAGCCAAGCCACCAAAGCAGCGCCTACAGAATATTGTCCTCGCTCTGTCGTAGAAGGACCTGAAATTAGAGCGCGTCCCATCACCCACTCTGCCCGATACTTCGAGCAAGCAAAGCTTGTCCTCGGGTGATTCTAGATTTAACCCCACCGCCATCAACCTCCCACGCTCCACGCGATCGCGTAACGGGATTTTATATCGACCACGCTTCTCAACCACGTGATCCCTCCCTTGTGTCACCCCTTTTTGGTACGAGACCGCATTTGACCGAGTCGGATTCGACCTCTACGCTCTACGGTCGGTCGGTCGCCCGTGAGTGGGAAGTAAGAGTTACTCCGCGAGTCCGCGTGGCCGAGTTGTCAGGCGCGCGACCTGTAGTCAGGACCCAGGACCACAGGACGACGTGCGTCGCCGGTCTCAATCGCCGGCGATTTCTCGACTTTACTTCCGGAATGACAGAATGTCAGATTCATGCGTCCGTTAAGTCCAAGAGTGCGATCGCCTTAAGCAAGTAGCCGTTCAAGCAGTGTTTTACTTTTGACCTCCCGACCCCCCGGATAGCTCTACCTCTCGCCCGACTACTCCTGAGTGTTATAATCTGACATACGTGTGTGAATCCGTATGTATTATTTGCCGCTCAATTCGTCTAAGAGGGCTTCTCTCCTGTTACGCGTTTATTCTCTTCTCGACATGAGAGGAATTCCTGAATGTGAGGAAGCTGGCAAGATCCAGTGATGACTGTAACTGTATCCTACAGCACTTATCATACCCTTGTCGAAAGAATCCAAGGCTGTAACAATCATAGGAAACTGTCTACAGTTAGTGGGAATTGCGAGGTACGATAAAACAATTGCTCATTCAGTCAACTTGCAACCAAATTTTAACATTGGCAAGTGTTTTCGATATCAATTGAAAGGTTGCGGAAATGCGCAGTGATGAATGACGGGGAACACCGAAACAATGACGGGGATGTTAGAAAATTCAGTATCCTGGTGAGTCCTCTACTTAAGTTTCCGAATCAACAGAAGGATTCCTTCCATGTAATGTTTTGAAATACGAGAAAGCTTTAGACTGAAATATTTCATTAGCTTTTTTCTCTTTTGTGTGGTTATTTGTCTATCACTTGCATAACAAGTCTATTGTTGGCTATGAAGTCTCTCTTAGCTCTTACAAGTGCACGCGATGTCAACCCTTTAGAATTTTATTTCCTTACATTTTTTTAAACAAATGTTTGAGAAATTCTAGAATAAAATATTAAACTAGTCATCAATGTATATATATACACACTGAAATTTGAAAGAAATTTTAGAAAAATAATTTATTTGATTATGTTTGATGAACAAAATGATTGAATATACAAATTCACTTATATGTTAAGAAATCTATGATTTGAAACCTTGATTGAGATTTTATCCAAATTTATATGATAATATAAATTGAGATTATAGATAATTATGATTTGAAAAAATATACACAAATCATGTCATCAACTAAAAAGTTGAAGATAATTAATGATTATATTATTTTAAACATTGATTATTTACAAGAAAAAACATTAACGTATAAGGAGTACTATACAGATTAAACATATGTCATAGAAATCTAATCTCAAGCAATAAGAGACAATTTCAAAAACTAGTATGCATGGATAATCTTAGTTTTTAAAGAAAGCTGAAGACACTATGATATGATTAATTGATTATTGAATTGTGAGCATATTCTTAGAATTGAAACATATTTTTTAGAGAAAAATCAGTCAATGTCATGTTTAATACAATCTTGCAGAATTTTAACATAGTAAAATTGCTTTCAACTTGTGTCATGTTAGAAAAAATGATTAAATTAAACTGCCAACAAGAATGAAAAAAAATTGAAATAAACCTACATATGCACAAAAAATTCATGCATAGTTAACTGAATATTGATGGTCGCATCAAGTAATGACTTTTTAACACATTAATTCATTATTGTACATGTCGCAAAGCTTTGCAAGTTGAGATTTAATCTTCTGAATATTGCAAGAAGACATATCACACTTGAAACAAGTTTAATATTGGATGATCAACGGCGAATATCAAAAACTTTAAGCTTCATTGTTTTAAAATATCACGCTTGTGAATAATCAAGATGAACGAGGTTGTTGGAGACGAGTTCATGTTGCATTGCAACCCAATTTATAAATTTGTCAATGATGTTAAAAATAACTACCGCAATGTTACAAAAAAATAACAACAGAGTTGATTTGATTAAACATCCATCATCAAAGCAAAATTACCAATTTTTTAAAGAAAATTTATGATCTAAATGTAAAAATACAATCAATCGTTACAAATGACATGCACAACTTTGTCTACATTGTCAATGTCAAAGTTGCAAGAGACATTTAACCTTCCAGAAATCATTATAACCATCGCAAATGATATGAATGAATTTATCAACATTGTTAATGTTAGAATTAGAGTTTGCATTTAATCTTTAAAATAACTACAGCTATGTGATGACACAATATGACCAATCAATTTCCAAATTCATGCATTGAAAATGACTATCATGAAAATGTGCAATAGTTTTGAACTATGTCAAATCAATGTAAAACAACTAAATAATATTGAAATGAAGTGCAAATTGTAGAACTACATTTAACAAAACAAATGCGAACATCAATGTATGAGATTGCCATGCATATGATTGCATCTAGCAATCAAAAAATTGTACATTATGCAAAAGATCTTATCAATGATCTACAAGTTTTCACATAATTAAACATGTATAAATGTAGGGATCTTGAAATCATTTCACTTAGCTCGGAGACAATTGCAATCTTTTTTATTGCTTTAAAAAAATGTAGTTTATACAAAATTGAATCAATGCCAAAGTTTTTGATTGGGAGGTGTTATGTCATTGGAATTTAGACATCACAAATAAATTATCACTCTGAAGATCAAACGTAAACACACGCATGATGATATTGTATGATTGAATTTTAGCATTATTTCGATGTCATAACATTACTCTGATTATGATCTCAACGATGCGTTATTAGTGATGTAGATAAAATGATTTGTATCTCATACCTTAAATTTTTGAATCATGTTTATTAATAGTAACTAGTTTTTTCCCCAACAAAATGGATGTTCATTAAGATAAACATAATATTTGTTGGTAATAAATGTAAATAAAAAAAAGTATTCTTAATGATCATTTTGAATTTTTTGTTCTGATTTTGTACTTGTGATTAGATGCAATATAAATTCTACATGCAACTACGATGACATGATTTGTCTTAGTCTAAAATCAAAAGGCCGCATTCTTGTTGATGCAACATATTGAACAATATAAGTCGTGATACAATCGCGCTCTAATGTTTTTTAGTTCTAATCATTTGCTAATTTGACATTATGAACCACTAAACTAATCCATTATGCAGTATTCAATTAAAAATATCTATATCATAGATTTAAACGCATTAATAAATTTTTTAAAAATTTCTAATTTATACGTGCCTATAGATAAATAATATATCATGATAGAATTTTGCAAATTTAAAGACTTTCAATGGTGTTTTATAATTAATTCATTACAGTAAAAAAATACATTTTTCAGAAATTAAATTATATTGCAAGTCTATAAATAATTTAAATTTTTTTTTAAAAATCATAAGAATTATATTAAATAATGAAAAAATAAATTTATCAATTAATTTTTGGAAAAACAATCATTTACATTTTGGAATTACATGTTGAATTCATTTGTTCAACATGTTTTTTTAAATAAAAAATACTAATAAATTGAATAGATTAAAATGAAAAAAAACTGAGCAAATAAGAGTATATTTTGCAAGTAAATTATTTTTTTTATATTTAAAAAAATGATATTTTTTCCAAAACTGATTTAATCAAAGAACATAATCAATATTCTTTGAAGTGAATAAACTTTCAACAACTTATTGAATCCACTTCATAATAAAACTAGTAAAAGTATTATATAAATTTCTCTAAATTTCATCAAAAAAGAGATATTTTGAGGTGGATTTTTTTTTAAAGCAAGACTTTTTGTTGAATATAAAAATGTTAAGTTTGTTTCTTGAAGATTTATTATTAAATGTATGTAAATTAAAATATACAGAAAAAAAATTATTATATTATATATTTTTATATGTATTTTTAAGGGAACAGCTAGTTGTACCTCAGTTTGTACTAATTATCCCTCACCCTAGGCTAATGTGCACTACTTCTCTGTGACGTGAAGACTATATCATGGAACTCTAGTAAACATAGGGATAGCTTCGACCAATTAGATCATTTTGTTCACTAGGATGAGGAATAATTAGCTCAAACCGAGGTATAACTAGCCACTCCTTTTTAAAATATATGAAAAAAATATACAATGTATATAATACATTATTTTATATTCAAATAAAATATATGAAGAATGTATAAAAAGTAAGAAAAAAATCAGTATAGTTTCATAGGAAATATGTTTTTATAAAATGATGTTTTATAATATTGGGAAAAAATTATAAATAATGTAATAAAGGTATTTTTTATCTATAAATAACAGCATAAAATTTTCATATGTCACATTAAATAATTTTTAAGAGTTACTCAATTTGAGGCTTTAAATTTTGTGGATGAATTGTTATATAAAAATTGAATGACATCAATGATATTATTTACGTTGAAGAATAAAAATCATGCTTTTAGAACAAAGATTAATCATGTAATATGAAAATTATTTTTCTTGAACATATATTTAAAAAAATTATATTATTGATTTATTTATTCTAATATAGGTTTATTAAAATGTAATTTTGAAAGAAAATTTTATTGTCAAAAGCTAATGGAATATGTGTTTTCAATTTATTTTTTTATATCAAATTTATTGAAATTCAACTTAAATTACTTCTATCTGAAAAGTTTGCTATAAATAATTTGCTATAATAATATTTTTATAACTAGTATCATTTTATTTGTTAAACAAATATCTAAATGAAATTAAGTCGTGCAATGCTTAAAAGTATATCTTATTCTCAAAGATCATAATTCCCAACAATTTTTATTGAAAATTATGTAATATATTTGATTGTGGTTATGATTATAAATGTTTCTATATTAGATTGATTGATTAATTATATTTATGTCACGATTTGATATATACTGTGAATTTTTTATCACTGATCTAACTTTTCAAATTATTCTTGCACTGATTTTTCATTTTTTATTATTTGGATGACCATGTGATGATTTGCAGAGTAGATTTGAATACTTAATTTTTATGAACATCTAAATTATTTTTTGGTTACATTTTATTTTATTTTAGAAGTCTATTCCAAGTTCATTTTTGAAAAGTAATGCCTTATTCATCTCATCATTTGATGTAAATCAATCTTGTACAAGTGTGAATTTTATATAACATTTTACTTTTTAATTTTTTTTGACCATAATAAATAAGTGTAATTTTATTTGATAGAATTTAGTCATTTTCTGCATATATCATAAAGTGCTTAGAGTAGTAGTAAAAGCAATGATCTGATCTGTATGACTTATTTTGTGTTCATTATTTATTGAAAATAATGCACATTTAATTTATTTTTAATCAATTCAAAAATGTATGTATCATTGCGATTGTTTAAGTGATATTATTATTAATTGAGGGTCTCCATCAAATGCCGAAAATTCATAATCAGTCAATAGATAATTGCTCGGAATATATAACAAAACAGTGTATTTAATGTCACGTATCAGTAATAAAAAATAAATTTATTGTTGCATTATATCATTGCATTAATAGCATGACGTACATGAATAAGATCACAATGCATTTTTTTACATATAGAATAATTGTGTGTAAAAAATTTGTTCACTTCAAACAAATCTCTGGTCCAAATCAATCTATGATGATCATATTAATAAAACACTTAATCTAATAAGCTAAATTAAATCGAATTTGTTCAAAACTAGACACTAAAAATACTTATGAAAATATTTTTGTTAATTTATTTGTTAACCTAATACTTTACATCATACATGTTTTTGCTTGCATGATGTGAGTGAAACGATGAAATACCTGAAACGATGCTTTTCATGTGTAAAAAAAAATCTCAATTGTTTATATGAAATACAATAATTTGTGTCTTGGAATCTAAAAATGTGCTAGGGCATGCAATTCATTCATGTACGCCATTTTATCAAAGCAAAAATGTGTATGTTTTGTAAACTCAAGGCAATTAACATGGGGAGCGCCTACTTATCACTCGGTATGGGCTAATTATACTTCACGTTAACCTAATGTGCATTATTTCTACATAGAAAATTGTAGATTATATCACGGAGCTCTAGTAAACACAGGGCGAATAATCACATAACTCTGCTCCGTAGAGTGAATGAGAATGAGCCTAAACTGAATGATAATTAACACGTCCCTTAAAACTTAAAACGTCTTATTATACATCATCACGGTTGCATGACAAGTAGAGAGAGTATACTAAAATATCACCATAAGCCTTGATGGATCTTCTATTGTTGGTTCTATACACTTGTTACCCAATATTTGATAATACATTTTGAAGGAGAGAAATTGATTATCCAGAAGATTATGTGAAAATTAGGCAGTTCGCGTATCCTACTTGCAATTGGCACGTTTTCCATTGTGACTCTATCCAGGCCTAGGCCCATCCTCCCTGTTCGTTTCATGGATGTACGACCTTGACAGGGTCCACCGTCAAATTGTAAGGAATATCGAGTGGAATAAGAATTCCCCATGCATGATCATGGACTTGCTTCAATTACTTGTACCACTGTACGTGTATTGTATTGTGGTGTATCATTACAATGCGGGATGCTACTAATTCTCGGCGACATGTGCTTGGTTCCATTCCAAATTGTCGAATCTCGGTCAGTACGTGGTAGCGTCAACGTCGTAGATCTGTCCGACCCATTTCCACCAGTTCTGGTGCTACCGGAGAAGAGATTCTGCAAGATTCGCTAGAAGAAGATGAAACAAGTCGAGGAATGAGAACTTGACCGATCGATCGGACACGAGCTGTTCTGCGTCCCAGGGTCGCACGTCAACGTGTCCAATCCGGAGAAGTACGATTCGAGAGATGATGCTCGGACCGAGACGACGAGAAAGAACCGAGCGCAGCGCGTATGTACTCACTCGCTCGCAACGCCATCGCTCGACCGTGGCCATCATTCGCGAATGCCACAGCCTCCACCTCCACCTCAACCTCCGGGTTCGCTTTGCATCCGGACGAACTCGTTCAATGCTGTAGTCCTTAATGCTGACCTCGCTCCGATGTGCGCGCATAGGCCGCATCTGATTCTACCGGTTGAGCTAACTGTGGATTGAAAGAAGGGAACTTTGGAATACGTGAGCAGCGTCCGTCCACGAACGAACGGGTGAAGTTGCGAAAGTTGCCGATCGAACGACCGAAAATCATCGTCTCGCCGTCATTTGCATGTCGTCTTTTCCTTTCATTAACTTTTATGCCATTTGCCATGGTAGAAAAGTTATTGATATTTAACGTCGATGTCAAATGGAGTGATACGCACCGGTGAGGTCGCGAAAGTTGCCGATAAAATCAACAATTTCAGTTGTCTAGCCGTCGTTTGTACGTCTCTCTCCTCGTTCATTGACTTGTGTGGCACTTTCATATGGTACAAATTTATGAAAGCAAAGTCGACATGAATCGGAATGCGTGACAAGAGAAGCTGCAAAAGTTGCTAATGAAATGAACAAAAATTAATTGCGCAGCCGTCGTTGGGATGTTTCTCATTTCGTTCGATAATGATTTCATAAATTTTTGCAAATTACACAAGCGTGATGAAATAGAAAAACGGAACGCGACCGTCCCGTCGATCTGCCGTCGACGGTAAGAGGTGGGAGAATCCATGGCCCATGAGCTGGTAAAGAAAGGCCAGCGGGATGAAATTCGAGCGACGAGATCCCGAACGATGGATTAAATAAAAGAGAGGGAGAGGACCGCCGGCCGCGGGTCAAGGAGGGAGGGAGGGGGCGCTCGCGGGTTGCGGAGGGCAAGGGGGGTTAGCGGCGAACCCGAGGTTAAGGGGGAAGGTTAACGGGGCGGGGGGGTGGCGTGGGTGGAAGGAAGGGAGGGGAGGGGAGGGGGTCGAGGGTGAGGGGAGGGGAGGGGAGGGGGCTTGCCCTAGAGAACAAGGAGGTGCTCGGCGAAAGCTTTGCTGCAGCCAGGCCCTGGCTTGGCTTCTCAAGCTGCTCTTACCTCTGACCGCTCTCTCTCTCCGCCAATTTCCTTCTCATTCTTCATTTCTCATATCGGATCAACTGATTCAACGATCGCTTGCAGCACTCGTGCTGTAACCAGCTCTTCCTCTCCTCCTCCCTTCTTTCTTCCTCCTCTCCTCAATTCCCCCCCCCCCCCTCCTCCCTTCCCTTTCTCCTTATTCTTCTCGGTTTTCTTTTCCCTATTCCTCCCCCCCTCCTCCTCCTCCCTGTGATCTCCCTCCCTCCTGATTTGGTGTTTCTTTTCTTCCTCCTCTTCTTCTCTTCTTCCTCTCTACAGGAGGAATCGGGACCTCCTCCGATAATTTCTCTCTCTTCTTTTCTCCTCTTCCTATCGTTCCCATCTCTGCCAGTCGTCTGCTGCAAGGATCTTCTTTCGGTAGGTCGCATTTATAATCGACTGTCGTGGCGGTCTCCCACTCCCGCTCTCTGATTATCTTTCCATTCCCTGCCTGGACTTAAAAAGGGCGAATGGCGCCGCTGTTATCTGCACGGGATGTTGTTTCTGTCGATGAGCTTGGTGTGATTTCTTCGGATTGAAATTCTTGGTCAGTACTGGTGTCGGGGACTGAAACTATTCGTTGTTGCTGTTCGCTTGGGCACAGAAAGTGAAGGGGAGTGTGGTGAAGAGCTTCCCGTGGCTTCGTTGATTCTCCATGCACGGCCGACCTTGCTTGCTTCCTGATCACACACAAGTGTGAGAGGAGAAGCGGATCCGTGGATCCGTCGTCAATTAGAACCAAACGGAGGCATCAATTACGTTATATATGTCCCATTATCAAAACAAGGGAGACCGGAGTGAGGGACAGCTGAAAAAGACTGGGCGATCCAGTGGTCCTGGGCATCAGAGATCCGGAGTTCCACCTTCAGCTGTAAAGGGTGGAGGCGCAGGAGGGCCCAGCCCTTCAGGTAGCGCCCCCCCTGCCCCTGCGGCCTCTCTAGGTGGTGTACAGCCCCCTGCCGGTGCACCTCCTGCGCGCCCTACAACACCTGCTTCTTCCACCAATCGTGGGTATGTTGTCATGAACTCCTGTCTTGATTTTTTGTGTGACAGCATACGTTTGGATCTTCGAGCTGTTGAGATTACGTCCGGTCACTCCACGTCAAATAATCCTCGATACTGTGATATTCACCGAACATTAGAACACATGATGTCGTCCGTATGTCTGAATCAGCCTTTGGCCATCCTTTTAGGTTTAAGAATTGTCAGTAAGTAAGAGCAAGCCTGACCAATACTTCAAGAGCCTATGGAGTAAGCGCAGTTTGTGCCGGGAATTTGTCTAGTAGAGGCCTTTGCTCCGTCCGTCGTGTCTAACTGTCCGAAAGAATACAGACTATGGTTTCTTATCGAGAGCGGTTGTTGCGATCTCTTCAAGTTCATGCGGTTTCTGGACAAACTCTCAATTTTGAGGGCTTGGGATTGTAAATTGTCATCTGTTCCATCTCTCGAAGATGAAACCTCCAGGGTGCTGACGCTGTTCGAAATTTGATGAATGTGCAACAATACAAGTTTCATCAATCGGTATAGGGCATTTTAGCTTGGAAGCCCTAATTTAGGTCAGAAGGTTCTGGAGGATCGATTTTTGTAGGATTGACGAGGAACAGGCGTGCTCAAGTCTGCTATTTACCGCTGTCCATTCAGAATTTCGTTCTAGGTTGAGTTGGACCGTACTATCGAAAGACCAAGGCAGGAGTTTTGTGGCCATCTCTATTCAGTCCGTAATGAGACAGGTTTGAAGGCTAGATGTTCTTTTGCGACTATTATTTAAAGCGCTATATGCTTTTGGCAGTGGAAAGCGGGCTAATGGACCGGCAGGAGCTAGCCGCAGCACTGCGAGCGCAGCCCCAGTGGACTACGGGGGAAGTTACAAAGGGCCCCAATATGCAGGGCCACCATTTCCAAATCAACAGCCTCAGCCGCCGCAACAAGGTTCGCATCAATTTCTTAGTTGACGAGAAGTCTTGGACAATAAGTGGCGAATGACATAGTATTCAGGATGGATTCTTGAGAATTTGGAGACCGCTTTCGTTCTTATTGTCATTTTCATTGTGCTTGCTTTTAGCGGTGGTTCGGCAAGGTTTGGGCCCCACAGACGTTAATCAACACCCGGCAACGAATGCTGGACAACAATCCGAGATTAGACAAATAACTCCTCGAGCATCTCTCCCAGGGACAGGAGGTGCACCGCCTTCTATTCCCAGACAGCATGTTGTCGGATCTAACATGGCTCCAGGAGCTGCCGCGAGACCACCACCTCCATCTCTGTCCGCAGCCACTGTTGTGGGAACGGATCCTGTCTCACCTGTGGCGACTTCTGGTACATAATGAATTTTTTCGAGAACTCAAACTTCTTGAAATGACTCGTTTATTATTATGCAACGTTGATTTTGCAATTTTTCCCAAAGTAGCCCGGACCGGTGGAGCATGAAAACTGTCTTTCCCTCTGCCATGCCTTTTCCCTCTCCTGAGTCCTTGGCAAACCGTAATCTTTTCTGCTCGGTTGTTTCAAGAAATTGAAAAAAATCTGACATGATACCTCTCAGTATGGGGTTGACTTATATTCCGTTCACAACGTGGTCAAGACCCATTCATGTTTCCTACTAATTTGGGTGCTCCTTAATCTAAAATCCGACTGTCTAGAGGCTGGTTATTTCATCGTCAGCCTCGAAACAATTATCTGCTTCAGTTCTGCAAGGTGACCATTCTGTCTTGAATACTTGTGGATCATTTCTCATCTTGCTTCTTTGTACTGTGGTACAGCATCTTCCGCCGTCGATATGTCACGAGTTACGCTGCAATCTTCGTTTTCTTTCCAGTTTGGAAGCATAACTCCAGGTTTCCCTTTAACAGGGTTGCAGGCGATGCAGGTAGTACCCTTTTTGTGTTTGAAAGTATTTATTGGTGTTTGGAAGTCTTTATCGTTACTGGTCTGAGGGTTGCCTGAGGTTTAATTGGTGTTTGGAATCTCTCTTCAACTCATGATCAGATCCCGGCGAGAACAAGCTCCGCTCCACCCAATCTGGACGAACAGAAACGTGATCAGGTATGGAAAGCACAAGTTTTATGCACTTTGAGAGGAATCCTTCTATCAGGCCTTCACAGTTCATTTCTAAGTCTAGGTAATCAAGTGTTATGAAAATGAAGGCACTTTCTTCATATATTGACGGTGATGGTCAAAAGAACTGAGGATTTTGACATGAAAATTGTAATGCACAGGCGCGTTTCGAACTTAATCGTGGAAATGCAGCAAATAAAGTGCCGACGGTTCCAACCGGGCCCCCGCCAGGGCAGGTACTTTACTTTTCGCAGCGCATCATATCAACTGTATAGATCCCGAATCGGATTTGTTGTATGGAAGTGGCCTCTAGTCAAACATTAGCATGGAGTCGTGGAGTTGATTAGTACATACGAGTTGTAAGTATGACCACGTTTTTGAATTCTTGTTGTCTGAATAACGGTGGTCGATAAAGTGCCATCTGATTGCATACGCCGTCAGCCTTTCTCCAAGCGTCTCTTCCAAGTGTTGTAATTATTGGCCGTTCGCGTAGGTTCTATACATCATGACCCACAGCAATCAATTATGACGGAAAGTTTTGATCTTGTGTTCTTGTCACATTGAGAGAGACACTGTCTATGTTTTGCGACAACGTTCTCTATCGTGGTGCGGCATCGTGTATCACTTTACTTGTTGAGCGTTTCTTATGTCTTTGAAGTCCAGTATCTGTCTATCTATCTTGAAGTGAGTAGCCTACATTCGAATATATTGTAGTCTAATCCACTCTAGTTTGCTCCTTGCGCACCTCTTACAGACTTCTATGACTTTCAAACAACCTTCACCTCTAGACAACCTACACTGTATCTTGTGCTCTTCAGTTATTCATCTGAAATTGCTGTTAGTATGTGCCAAAAAATCTACCGTCTGTATGCCTTAGAACTTCCTTCAAGATTTTCAACTGTGGTGAGTGTCCAAAATTTAGATAGAGGACGCATCGCCGAGTATTGTCATTTTTTTTAGCCTATGATCACAGATTCTTTTCTTGTTCCGTAGAACTGTTTGATTACACTTGACGTCACAGATCGGTCATTTTTTAATCTGCCTTCAATATATTTGTTTGGACATCTCTTGAAACGCGTCTTGTATCCCAGGTCGCCCGTGGTGCCGGTAGTGCCAATGAACCACCGGCCAGTTTGCAGCAAAGTTTAAGCGCTCAGGGATCACCTGTCGGAGGCACCTCTGGAGTTCAGTCGCAGCAACAACAAGTCAGCCACCCACCTGGATTGGCTCAACAACCTGTACAATATAGTCAAGGACAAGGGCATCCTGTTTCCCATCAGGGGCACCAGATTTCTCAAGCTGCTTCTCAGCAGCTTCACATTCAAATGGCTGCTCAAGTTCAAGTTCATGCTCAGGCCCAAGCCCAGGCTCAGGCGCAGGCTCAGGCTCAGGCTCAGGCTCAGGCGCAGGCACAAGCTCAAGCCCAGGCCCAGGCCCAAGCTCAGGCTCATCAGGCCCAACAAGCTCACGCGCAGCAGCAGGTGCTTGCACAGCAGACTTTGCCGCAGCAGTCATTGCCCCAGCAGGCCATGGTACAACAGAGTCTCAGTCAAGGAATGAAATATCCTCAACCAATGATGGCACCTCCACACGGAGCACAGATGATTAGCCAACAAATGGGCAATCCTATGGCTGGTCAACTTTCGGGCCAACAGGTACCTCCTCAAATGGCCCACCAGCTAGGACCTCAAATGGGTGGTGCTATGGGACAGCAGCTTCCTCCAGGTATAACGGGAGCGCAGTATGGTCCCCCTGCTTCATCACAGTTTATACAACCGCAAAGAAGTCGAGCTGTAAAGATTGTAGACCCGCATACACACGAAGAGGTGAGATTCGATGGGAAATCAAAGAAAGGAGACTCTTTCATGGACTCTGGGCCCCCAACAACGGGATCTGTTTCTGCTGGTTTGCCTGTCAGAGTGACCAGTAATGGACCCCCCCAAACCCGAGCTCCAGTAAACTATGGCAGCGCCCCCCATCATACTATGGTTCCGAACATGTATAACTTCCCGATGCCCAGTGGTTACGCAGGGCCTCCATATGGATTCCAGTCAGTCCCTCCTCCCAAGAGTGCTGTGTCGGCAGCTGGCCCTCCTACAAACACATCATCTGTACGATACTCTTATGGAGTACCGACACCACCTACGTACCATCCCGGAGCTGTGCCAAGTTCCGCAGGAACCAAAGTGGTCCCACCGGCTGGGTTGGGAATTACTGTGACGACTTCAGAGATGAGCACGGCAACGCCTCCCGCTTCCCTGGTGGCGAGCCCAGTTGGTGGCCCACCGCCACCGCCACCTACAGCAGCATCTACTGGAACGAGTGCTCCAGTCGTGTCGGCACGTGTGGTTCCGCCTCAAGCTCAACTTGGAGGAAACCCAGCTCCTTCCTCTAATGGACGTGCAACTGCTTTGGTTTCTGGTCCTGCTGTAGGTAATGTTCCAGTTCCTGTAACTCCGATTGCTATAGGTTCTCTGGGTTTCAAGTTCGGTGACGTCGATGAGTCTGGTTCGACGATTGCAGTTCCTGGTGCAGAATCTTCTCCAGAGAACGTGTCTTCAGCTCCAGTTCAGGTATCTTCTACCAATGGATCAACACCTGCAGGTGAAGACACTAGTAGTACGACTCCAACTGTTCCAGGTTCGGAGGGATCATCTTGGAGGAAGGACAGCGGAAGTAGGAATTCAACTCCTGCTACTACACCTAAACCCACGGTTTCGCTGCCGTCTTCGAAAAGTGGAAGCGTTCCATCTAGCTCAAACCTAAGTAGTCCTAAAGTTGCCAGTGGGCCATCTTCAACACCATCGGTAGATAAAACAAAGCCCGAGAACCCCAAACCAGCAATAACCCGAGAAAACTCCCGGAAGAAGAAGGAAAAGGCTCAAAGGAATCAGCAACAACAGCAGCAGGTGTTGACTTCTACTCCGCCTGTTGTTGACAGTGATGGAGAAAGGAAGGGAGATGCTCCTATTAATGCCTCAACGACAGCAGGGCAAACTCCTGGAGCATCAGAGAAGGTTACAGCGGCCTCTCCAAAGGTCGCCTTGCAGCGATCTTACTCAGGAGTACAGTCGAATCCTGGAACTGCAGGGAAAACAAGCTCTTCTGGAAAGTCCGAAGACGCGAAGTTAACATCGAAGTTAGCTGCCGATTCGGAAAAAAGAGCTAGCGGAAAGCCTTCGGTCTTGGCAACCGCAAATTCTGAATCCAATTCTTCTGTCCAAGTTATGGTTGTATCGGAAGGTGATGACGGTTCACGCAAGCTAACTCCCAAGCAAGGGTCAGGGAAATCTTTGACATCTTCCAAGAGTTTGGAAGGAAAGGATTCTCTGAACGCTGATGCCTCTACAACTGGGAAGAATTCATCAGTCTCCAAATTGAGCTCCTCTTCCTCGAAGACCCTGTCTGTGACCACTGCTGTCAAGGAAGTACCTTCTGGACACGGTGGAGAATCTTCACCCAAGAAGGGTCTAGGAGGGAAGGCTTCTCAAAGCAATGAAGCCATCAAGGAGGCTGCCACTCTAGATTCTCTAGGGAGCTCTACAAGTACTCCTGAACTTCCTGCCTCTCAACAAGACGAGGATACCCCAGTTTGTGCTCCCAGCCAAGTCGACAGTGAAGTGCCTGTTGAGACTGTGGCCAAGTTGCCAGAGGTTGTCAATGGAGTGGAAGATGTGACTGTTGATGCTCGGAGTCCATGTACAGAAGGTTTGAAAGACGTGAAGCGTCCTGCCGATGGCACACAGGGTGATCAAACTGTCTCCATCGACAAAGAAGCTGGGAAGAAGTCACACGTTAACGGTACTTCAGTTGTTGAAGCGAAGGCAGTATCGGAATCAGACGGCCCAGCGGACCTCACATCTACATCTGCGAAGGAGATAAGCACTACATCTGCAGATGACTCAGTTGTTGATGGCACTCCCGATGAGCCAGTTGCTCCTCTGTCGGAGACAGTTTCCAAAGAAAAGGACCTTCTCACCGAGGCCAAACCAACAGCTGATGTTGCGGAGACAGATGCTCCACCAAGTAGTCATCTGCATTCAGCAGAGTCGGACATAGAGAGCGTTCTCGGAAACGAGAACATATCTCTTGTCCAGGCAATTGCAAAAGAGAAGGAAGCTGTTGAACACATCGCCGATGTACTTGTATCGAACCCCACCAACAGTACGCCTGGCCAAGAAAGTACACGCGCCAAATCAGCCGCGTCGGTGGGAAACTCAGAGAGTTCAGTAAGTGCTGAGCCCAAAAGACCGAAGTACAAGCCCGACATTACTGTCAACGTAGACAATCTTGTGGAACCCAGCGACAGTTTTTTGCCTAACCATCCGTCAGGTGACCAGGGTTCTGTGTCGTCGGTGGAGAAGACACAGGATGGACACCACAACTCTGACAATTCTGGATTTGTTGTTGAAGACTACGTTTCAAGGGATGGTTCAGAAGTCCAAAATGCGTCAGTTGCGAGCTCAGCTGAACTAGAGAGTTCCTCTTCAGTGGCTCCAGAATTGAAGCCCTCTGGGAGCAAGAAAAAGAAGAAGAAAGAAATCTATGCCAAAGCTGATGCCCAAGGTCCTACTGCGGACTTATTTACTGCTTACAAAGCACCTGAAGAGAAGAAACTGGATGATCAGGTCAAGAGGTCTGAAGTTGTAGGCTCCTCTAACGCCGGAGGTGATTCAAAGAAGGATTCATCATCAACGTTTGAGAAACCCACAGTGCTCAAAGAGCTCGATGACTGGGAGGACGCAGCTGAGCTCCCGACTCCGAAAATAACATCGGGTGTGCCAAGTATTTCTTCTGATGCGAAGGTGGCATCAGTGGACTCTCCAAGTCCTGGTAATTTTGGGATCAAAAAGTATACCCGAGACTTTTTGATTACTCAGCAAAACTTGAACCGGGATCTGCCTTTAGAATTTGAGATTCGAGTTGACCTGTCTGAACTTTTCCTGAACCGCGATTCTCATCCTTCTGGGGACACCCTACCTAGCCCTGGACGATATGAACGTCAAGCTTCTGGAGCTGGCGCTCGTCTTGATCGGCGCAACAGCAATGTTGGTGCCGAAGAAGATCGATGGACGCGCCAGCCAGGTTCAGTGCAGTCTCCTGGCCGGGTTCCTCCGGATGGTTCTATGGGAATGGCTGGCCCTCCTGGTGGTTTCAGACCCGGTGGACAGAGCAGAAATGCAGGGCTCATGGGCATGCCGCCTGGTATGAGACCAGGCGGCATGGTATCGCAAGGGGGTATAATGCCCATGGGATCCGGTGGTCTTCTTCCGAACAACCCTTTGATTACAGCGCAACAACAACACATGGTCCAAATGCATCCAAATTCTGGTCCTGGGAGGCCCATGAATCCCGGTGGCGCTGGTGGTGGCGTGGATGCCGATCGCTGGCAGCGTGCTCCTGTCGCACAGAAGGGACTCATTCCCTCCCCTCGAACGCCTTTGCCAGCCATCCACAAGACTGAGAATCGTTATCAAGTTGGAAAGGTGTCTGATGAAGAGCAGGGCAAGCAGAGGTTAATGAAAGGCATATTGAACAAGCTTACGCCTCAGAATTTTGACAAGCTCTTTGCTCAAGTTAAGGAAGTCCACATAGACTCTGCGACGACGCTTACAGGTGTTATTTCGCAGATTTTTGATAAGGCCTTAACAGAACCCACTTTCTGTGAGATGTATGCCAAATTCTGCGTCCAACTAGCTGTTGAGCTACCGGAGTTTACTGAGGACGAAGAGAAGATCACTTTCAAGCGTGTACTCCTCAACAAATGTCAAGAGGAGTTCGAAAGAGGTGAAAGGGAACAGCAGGAAGCCGAGAAGGTTGAGGAAGAGGGTGAAGTGAAGCTCACTGCCGAGGAGAGAGAAGAGATGAGGACGAAAGCCAGAAGACGTATGCTCGGTAACATTAGATTTATCGGTGAGCTTTATAAAAAGAACATGCTCACCGAACGTATTATGCATGAATGCATCAAGAAGCTTCTGGGTGAGTATCAAAATCCTGACGAAGAAGATGTCGAAGCATTGTGCAAACTAATGAGTACTATTGGTCGGATTATCGATCATCAAAAGGCAAAAGAGCACATCGACGCTTACTTCAAAAGAATGGAGATGCTTACAGAAAACAATAAGCTGTCTTCAAGACTGAAGTTCATGCTTAAAGATGTCATCGACCTACGAAGAAATATCTGGCAAGAACGGAGGAAGGTCGAGGGCCCTAAGAAGATTGATGAACTTCATAGAGATGCAGTGCAGGAACGACAAGCTGCTGCTGCTTCTGGTCGAGATCGTTTACAACAGCGTGGAGGAGGTATGCCCGCAGGAGGAGGTAGGCGGCCAGGGAATGATTTTGCTATGCGTGGCCCACAACCTCAAATGTATTCCCAAGGAAATCAGATGGTTGGAAACATGCCAATGTCTGGTATTCGAGGAGCTCAACCTCAACCCATACGAGGTAGCTTTGGTCAGGACGTCCGCACGGAGGATCGCCTGTTGATGGACAGGCCACCTGTGCCCATGCCACTGTCTCAGAGGCCTTCAGATGAAGGTATTAAACTGGGACCGCAAGGAGGTTTAGGGAGAGGGATGGGGTCTAGGGGAGCTCCCCTTGTTTCTGGAAGAAGTGCGTTGGCAGATGTGCCTCAGATGCCTTTTGGAGAAAATAGGCGGCCTGGCATGGGACATATGTCAGGTTTTGGTACAGGGATGATTTCTGAACGAGGTCTTTATGGGGGACGAGACGACAGTATGTTAATGAGAGGGCCCGGTTTTGACAGACCTCTCGCTGGTGCTGATAGGCCTTTATTAGATTCGCCACTCGGACAAGAGAGACTGGCGCCAACATCAGGAAGAGATATGAGGGCTTCGGATCGACCTCTTGAGAGACCTAGAACACCGTATGGTGCCACTAGTTCAATGAGACCAATGACACCTCCTACACCCGTCCGTCACGCACCTGCAGCTACTCTTGCGTTGAGTGAAGACGAATTGAAAAAGAAAAGTCTATCGACCATTGCTGAATACTACAGGTGAATTATCTTTGTTTACCAGATACAGATTTCTCTCCACCGTATATGCCTTAGGTTGTCTGCAACATTAACGTGGCATTTTCTCTCTCTGACGTAATCTTCTTCTCTCTGACAGCGTGCGAGATCTCAAAGAAGCTGCAGTTTGTGTAGATGAATTGAAAACCCCCAAGTTTCATCCAACAATGATTTCGATGTGGTTATCTGATGCTCTGGAGAAGAAAGATGTAGAGCGGGAGCTCGTGATGAAACTGATCATACACCTCCGCAACACGGATCCTGCTCTGCTCACTTCGGAGCACATACTTAGAGGGTATGTTCAATCGCGCTCAGTGGAGTGAATAGCACTCTTTTCTGGATATAATTTCTATCTCGGTATATATACATCGACTAGACCAGTTTCTTAGGATGTACTTGTTAAAAAAACAAAGATCAAGTTTTTCACGTTTTCATCAAGATCGAAAGTTTGTCGCCAAATTTAAGAAAATGCCCGGCATGATAAATAAAGCTTTTTTGTGCTTGTCTTTTGACAGTAAACTGGACTCTTGTGTGCAGATTCGAACAAGTTTTGTCCTCTCTAGAGGATCTTGCGGTGGACGTGCCGAAAGCACCGGAATATGTTGCAGGAATGTTTTCAAAGCTCATTGTTGCTGGCATCTTTTCTCTCCCTCAAGTGGGCAAATTGTTGAAGGATTGCATGTCGGAGGCGGGTGGGGGAAGTCTTCTGCAATCTGGCCATGCGTTCTCGATGTTCGGGAGTGTATTAGATACGTTTAGAAGGGAAAAGGGAGAGGAAGATATGATTGCTATGTACAGAAATTCTGGACTTCATCTCGAGGACTTCCTCTCCTCCGAACACAAAAGAGGAGGAGGCTATTTTGAATCTTTTCTCGAGAAGAAGAACCTGCAATGTCTTTATCCTGTAAGTCACGAGTAATGAGTATAATACAGTCATATGAGTCAGTACATGAAAGTGTTGAATCTAGAAGTGAGTTTCTTCTCATGTCTTTAAAGTTTCAACGGATGTGATCCTATGCTTCTGGCAACGCTCTTACTATTTACAAGAACGGTGCACTACCAGTCTCACACATTTCTACCGTCTGCAGATGATACCCGTGGAGAATTATTTGAGGGACGCTATGGATAAAGACGAACCAGTTGCAGACATTTTGAAATGGTTGGAGGTAAATAACTTTGTTTTGCTCCGGAACTTCACCAAGTGTGAACGATGCGTAGGTGAAGAGACAATTTTAAGTGACACCATGTTTTTTCCATTTTAGACCTAAGGATCCCGCCTTATTGAGTCTGTTGCATTATTATATTATTGTTCCTTGAGTCTGTTGCATCTCTCTGTGTTAGCTTGCTTGTTCAAGCCGAATACTTGAAAGCCACAAGCTTGTTAGTAGCTTCTGGCTTTCAAGTATCAATAGTCAAGCAGATACTTACTCTACGAATTGATCAAGATATTCTCCTTGTCTCATACATGGGGTTATTCTTAGTCATCATTCGCTTCCACTTTCAGTGTATGCTCTTTAAGTAATGAGCTGGCATATTTTATGTTTAACATTGTTGCCTTTGTTAATCTTACGGCAGAAGAATGTTCCACAATCGACGAGGACCGAAGCTTCATTTTTGCGTTTGATCATGAGGCAGGTCTTGAGACGTTCTGTACCGGTTGAAAACAATAAAATAGCACCCCAGTTTGAGGTTAGTCAAGTTTCCTTTTTGCCTTGTGTCTACACTTTTAGAATACTACGAAGTTTAAAAACAGTAAGTTTGAAAGTTCTCTTCAAATACTCTTTATACTGTGTTGCAAATTAATGCCCTATTTAATCGGTTGATGTGCAGATAACCTTAGAAGGCAAAGTAAAGAAGTACGCCAGTCTTTTGAAGGGATTTGCCACCGGAAAGGCAAAAACGGCTGAAGCTAACCAAAGGCAATGTGAGTTAGCTTGTAAACGTGTCTGGTTAACAGTGATGATACACTTTGTAGAGGATTTTGAACCAGTCAAAGCTAAATCCACTGTCAGATGGTTCCAAATGTTCTTCCTAGTTTGATCTACTGTAAACAACAGTTCATTACATTTTTAGTTGAAGTGAGGTATAGATGGTAAACTACATTGTCAGCAAAAAATTGAATCTTCACAATGACATTTGAAAACATGTGACCTGATAATGTTTGTAAAATTTGATGCTAGTGATTACAAGTTATTTATTATCATTATACTAATCACTACTATCATTTCTTTTCTGCGTAGATATTGTTGCAGTGCAGCTTTTTGCAGACGACCTAGGCCATCCACCGGGACTGGTCACTGCACTGTTTTCTGATCTTTACAGAGAAGAAGTAAGTGCATTGATTATATGCTTCTTGAAGAACCTATACTGAATGTATAAAAAAATTGGTTTAACTTTTCTTCTCAACATTCATGTATGTCCCATGCTTCCGGTCAGAGACGAAGTGATAGGATTTGAGTGATATAGTGCGATGCTGTCTGAAGCGAAGAAAGATGGCACTGATTGTTTTTTGAATTTCAGGTAATTTCCGAACGGGCCTTCCTACAGTGGCAAGATGATGTTAATGATTCTACCCCAGGAAGGGCTAAGGTAAGATAATGACCATGTTTTGACATTATGTTTTCTGTGTGTTCGATTTCGCTGTCAGTGTTATATTAGTGTTGAAGAGAGTGAACTTACAGCTATATATTGTCTTAGCCGGTAATTGTAAGTCGTCATTTTGAAGTCAAACTTCAATAAAAAACCAAAGCTGTTGTTAATTTCTAAACTGTTGTGATGCAGGCCATTAAGGACACCTTCAAATGGTTTCGCTGGCTAGAGGAGGCTCCAGAGGACGGTGGAGACGAGGAAGACTGAGCTGTCATTTTTTTTACTTCAGACATCAGAGCTTATAGGAAGGTATCCTGGAAAATGTGGGAGCGGATATGTGTACAGCAATCAAAGAGACAAATATGTTGTAGGTTACAACTTTCCCAAATTTTCATTGATTTATTTAGCGAGGTCAATGGGCATCTCTATCCTCAAGTGGATTGTTGCAATAGATGCTGTTGTTTGGATTATTTCCTCTTACAAGGGAGTGTACACATCCATGAAATATAGGTGAGGATGGATATATGCCACTAATTTTTATTTTAGTGGTTTCAGCTTGTGGTTTGTTGTGATTTTTGATTGGTTTGATTTTATTTTGGGAAGTATCGCGTTACGATTTCAAAGTCTCTTATTTCATAGGGAGGGTACACCGCACGCCTACATTGTCTTGAGTTCAGTATCGTCTGCTTTGAAGCCTGCGACTGATGAGATTAGTCGTTGCTATTCCACTGCTTTGTATGATATGCATGAAATATTGTCAGAATTTTGATCTCCTGGTGGGTGAAAGAAATGTATTTTGTGTTGGTTCCGTATCTGAACTTTCCGTTTTAGTTGCCAAGCGTTTCAGGTCATACGAGGGACACTCGCATTTGTATAATTTGTTTCGATTTGTGGCATCTCCCACATTTTAGCAGATACTGAAAGCTACCGTGGTGTTGCTCCACAGGTCCCCTTTTGCCCACTCCGTGTGAACACTGTAGGTCATTTGTGGTAGGGGAGTTCCCCGGTGTAAAATGCGAATTTTTGTTCTCTTCTGATTCTCCGTCCAGATACTTTCTCTCGGATTCCTCATTTTAACGCCATGTAGAAGTTAGGGGCTCCGTTTGAGAACAAAATGTATGACCAAGGAAAACGTGACAAATGGATAAGAAAACAGATCAGTATATGGCAAGTTTACAGTTCATTCAGAAAATTGATATTCAACTGTCTGTGGATCCATTCCTTGGCAGTGAGGTCGGTAACATATATTATTGCACTTTGACGATATATCTAGCATGTCAATGATAACAAAATACCAAAATCGAAATTCTTCTTTCACAGTCTGTTCTGTGCCCCAATTCATTTCACCTATTTCCAGGCAAGGATTTCACATGCGGCCATGGAGTTGAGTGCAGAGGAAGGTGGTTGAGACAGTAGTGTATGACCCTGTGCAAGCCATGTGAAAAGTGATTATCAATTAGCGAACTTGCTTGGACGGGTATCATGATGGTCGAAGTGTTGTACAAGGACCTGATCGCCGTTTTTGTGATGTTACCATTTTGGAGAGCAAGTCTGGGTATACGATTTTATCTTGTGAAGTGATGTCTCGTGAGAAACACTCTGTTGCTACACGTGTGAAGTAATATCATTGTTCACGAATGCAAATAGTCTACCTATTCTTTTCATAATTTTCTGTCACGACAGTGTATCCAAGGTTGGAATAATGACTGTTCGATGGACCTGTAGAGTAGACTCTACCTACTCAATGAGGTAGCACATGAAATGTGTTCCCGCGTTTCAGAAGAGTATCTAACTCAGTATATAAGTTGATTGCTCTAAACTTTGTAATGTTTGCTATTTAAAAGATTGTTGTGAGATTGAAGAAGAGTATCGCGTGGGGAAAGTAAGCTGTACATTCTGAGATCATCAACATACATGAGAAAAAGGATGATGGTCAATGCCTCATCAAACTTCAGTGCGGTTCTTCTGTTACGTCACTGAAAGGTCCCTTTCAAAATTATGACTTGGTAAGAATGTTTCATCCGCGAACGCTCTCATCACATCGCGGAACAATAATTAGCATGCGGAACAATAATGTGCACCCAAGACGTGTGGGAACACGTCTTGGGTGCACGTAATGATATTTGCTCAGCGTGGCTCACAAACGTCTTTAGATCACAACATCTAACCGTTTTGATTTCATCTCTAAAACGAATGTCGAATTATTATTCTTTTTACTAACGTATCTCCGAACTTACTGAGAACGTACAAGCACGAATCATAGGTAAAGTGAAGATGTTAAATTAGTCATCATATTACCTAGAAACACCACTAAATCATAAATTTCCTGAGTAAATTACTGGATGGTACCCCTTGGAAACGTCTATAGTCTTGAAGTGACCCATCTGGTTTCAAATCACCCGATGGGTCACCGGAAGCTATGTTTTTATATCCTATTGAGTTGCTCTGTAGAGTGGGGAGTGTCCACCTCTGTGAGGCCACTGAGTTAATCCAAGTGTGAGAAAAAGAAGGGCACCATGAGTCCGAGTAAATCCGGAAGCTATGTTTTTATATCCTATTGATTTGCTCTGTAGAGTGGGGAGTGTCCACCTCTGTGAGGCCACTGAGTTAATCCAAGTGTGAGAAAAAGAAGGGCACCATGAGTCCGAGTAAATCCGGTTATGGTCTTGCCCGTATATTATATTCTACTCGAAATAACCTAGGATAATATTGGAATATCATCTAAGTTGCTGCTGGAGGGCAGTCCATTGGGGTAAAATAAAACCTGTTGGGTCCATCAAGCAATTTTCTCTATATTCTCAGCATTTGCATATGTCACAAACGTACTTTTTTATCTTAACTAACTAAAACATTATTTAACAGACAGAGTCTGATACCGTAAATAATTTTGAATGTTGTATGTGTTCAAAATCAGGTAACAAATAAAGCATACTGTTATTGACGGAGGATGATGATTAAGCGCCTTCTCTATGATTTTGGTTACTGGACATAAGAATGTATTGATCTCAAAATGATAGAATTGCTCAAGTATGTTGTAACTTTTCAAGCATTTCACATGTTATCTACATCTCCATGCTATTTACTTAATTTGCAAACGATTTTGATAGACGTATGAAACAATTTTCGCTATCTTCCGCGACTGAAATTTGTGAAAAATCATAACCATAACTAAACTCAACAATCAAATATCGGCCTGACTAAACATAAGTGTTGTAAACAACTATGAGTTATATAATATACTCTTAAACCTATGTCGTTACTTGTATAGAACCAAAATTCATCAAATAAGTAGTTGCTCAAGAACGGCAGCATGATGAGAAAATCTCATCATCCAATCAATATTTAATCACAACCGTACTTGATTGATAATGAAGTTGTTGATATAACTTGTTGAAATTTTAATAATGTTTTAATTTGGTTTCTTTGAAATTAAAAAATGATTTGGATAGTGTTTTATTTATTTATATATATATAATTTATTTATATATAATCATATATATATATATTTCGTTTAAAAAAATAGTGACAATCAATATATTCAAGATAGTCAAAGTGAACATCAGTATTCAAAATACTTAAAATAAGAAAATTAAGTGTAAAATTACATTTGTTTCAGTATAATTTCAAAATAATAATAGTGAACAAGGTTTTTTTTTTCTTTTTGTAATTAATTTCTGGAAAAATATTTCCAATTATTTTACTTCATATATTAGTTAGTTTCGTAATAGTTGAAAAATGCATTTATTCAATTGTTTTACTTTAATTAACAAATCTGTTTTTTTGTATATCACAATCAATATCTATCGTTGGATTTAAAGTAATTACCAAAACCCACATCATGGATATTTATCACAAATATATTCTTAGCCATGTTTTCATTTGTGATGAACAAAATATTTCCAAAATATATATAATAATTGATTCACCATTTATACATCATTATCAAAAATGCTGCTTAGATTTATTTATAATATATCTATATATTTCATAGGTGGTTCTAAATTAATTTAAATATATTATTTAATTATCAAAATATATTTCTAAATATTAAGATATATTGTTTATCTTTTATATCAATGAATAAATGTTGTATATTCAGAAATAGTAATTCATACATGGTATTAGAATTGTTATCAATTTTTATTTTCTTAAATAATTTCTTAATTATATTTATGAAAAATCATTCTTGATTTTTTGTTAATAAAAATATTATTTATCAATTTAATAATTTATAAATAATTTTTTACACAAAGTCATGAATCACAAATAGCAAAACACAAAAATTGGTGAGATTATAATCACAAGTTTACATCGGGATGTAACCAGATTAACCAATTGAGTGTTGCTTTCACTGGCAATAAATTCACGCATGAGTATTTTGATGTGAAAATTTGTGATTGTATAGATTCAACTAGGGTTAGTGTACCCAAGTTCATATGGTCGCTAGTTACACTTAGCTAGCCAGAGGAAAGCCATAACACATGATTTTAATTCAACAATAATCAATATTACTTGAACAAACTCAAATGGATTTTTTGATATGATATCATGATAGAAAATCAATGACACATATTATTTTTGTATTGAATTTTCTTCATTACACAATCACATTTGTGATTTTTATTTTAGACATAATATATACATACATTGAAACATTTGTTTATTGATATATTTGATGTATTTATTTTTATTTATGAATATTACTATGATAGTATATATATTTTTATATATTAGTTATGTTAAAATTAAAATATCCAAATTCATTGATTTTTTTTTTAAATAGAAAAAAAAATCTGTAGGTCTTATTTTTGCAATTATATGATAATGAAATTTGATCAAATCAGAAAATTTTGAATAATGTATGTATTGGATATTAAAAACAATGTTCCAATGACAACTGTAAATTAATTGTAAGTATTAATCTGTGTACATTAAGTCATGTATATTTATAAACATTCACATGATAAAATAAAATAAAATAGTTTTTATATATTCTTTATCATAGCATAATAATAATATATGGTTACAATAAATTAAAACTTGAATTTTAAAATTGATACCAAATAAATATCAATTAGTTTTCCAAATATCAATATATGACGAGAATATAAAAATTTCAAAAATATAAAAATTTCAAAAAATAGAAAAGAGTATTGCATTTGAATATGTAATATGTCCATATGACTATAGTGTCATGATAAGTGATGATCAAATAGAAAATGCATAATCAACATTGAAATTAAATTGTTTCATATATAGTGTAGTTGAATAAATTCAATCATCTTTACATAATAAGATGCAATTGATAAATCTTGAGAAAAAAGAAACATAAATTTAATAAAAATATGAAAATAAAATGAAAAAAAAAAAAAAACATATTTATGTATATAAGTTGGTTCAATTAAGATTAATTTGTATTGATGATAACAACTCATTAGAAAAATAATTTCACATGTTCCAAATACATAATTGAAATAGCAATTTTAATATTATCTTATAAGCATTTGCATAATCTATTATTTATAATTTAAATTCTCTGCTTCTTTAATATAATTATAAAAATGTAAATAAAATGACATTTTTTTTAAAATATGATAACAATTCTTAAACCATGTATGAATAATTATTTCTAAATATTCAAAAAAATTTAATTGAAATTAAAAATAAATAATATATTTAGATATTTAGAAACATATTTTGACAATGAAATAATATTTTAATCAATTTGAATATTACTTTCATAAAATATATATTTTAATTATGTGCGTATTATATATTTATATATTATGTGCATATTATAAATTTATTATATATTCAAATTTATGTAGAATCACTTCTTTTAGTATGTTTAACGCAAAACAAAAGATTTGATATGTTTCACTATTTTCATCATTTATAGCCATAGATTCAATTATTTAACATCATATTCAAGTAATAAACTGTGATTTTAGTTTATTTTAAAATTAAAATTAAAATTATTAATGTGTTGAATACAAATTTGTTACATATGTGGATTACAGGTATATTTTCATAAAATTCTGATGTTAATCTTGAATTTCAAACAGGCTTTTTATATAATTCAAGAAGTTTTTTCATCCCTTTACTTAATTAAATGAGGAGTATCTTACCTATCAAAACAAAGAGTCAGAGTATTTTGCGGTTGTTGTTATTATTCATCACCTATTATATCAATCTGTGTATGTCTTATTGAATGTTTGGGTTTATTTATTTACGAAAAAATATATTCGACAAATTATGTTATTTTGTAGGTGATAATGTATATATGTATATATATATATCTCCGATATATTTTATTACACAAAAATATATTATTTATTTATATGTCCAAGAAATGAAATAGTACGATTCCGGTGATTAGTAGTTTTTTTTATAAATACCATTAGACTTTCAAACATCGAGCCTCACCTGTTCATAACGTCCATATCAATCATCAATGAAATACAGCAGAAAGAAACTCCATTAAAAGCAAGTCACGGCCGGTTTAAGCCGTTCGGAGTGTGCCGATAATAATTTGAATCCGAGTGAGAAAAAAAACCCAGGCCGATATTTTCAGCCGAGAAAAGAAAAGAAAAGAAAGAAGGAACGAAGCGCAAAGAAGACGGCTCCTTTCTCTATCTGGGCCGCAGGCCACACGTTCTATTTACAGGGAGCGGGGCAAATCGAAAGGTCAGCAAGGGAGGGAGCGAGGGAGCGAGGGAGGCAGTTGATTTGCATCCGTCGTTTTATTCGCCATAAAGAAGCTCCGAGAGCTCGTACGTGTCCCAGATGATGAGCCCACTGGATTTTCGCCACCGATAAGCCAAGCCGGGCGCGATATTATTATTCGCCCGATTTTCCGACCCTCCTTCTTAAGTCCTTCCGAGGTCCGGAATCCCTAGACTGGGCGGGCAGGGGCATCTTCATGGCACCCACAGCATATTCATGATTTCCCGCCCGTCGTCGATGCACGGTCATCCTTCTCGCCCTCCCCGTCCTCCCCGTCCTCCCCGTCTCCGTCTCCGTCAGCTCGGCCGCCGGACGGAGCCCGCGGTCAATCCTTCCTTTCGTCCGTCCGTCCGTCCGTCCGAGGCGCGGAGTTTTATCCGCTCGCGGTCTGTCTGTCGAGGCGCGGTGCCCTTGCGTCGTTAGCCTTCTAATTGCCCATCTAAACGCGAAATCATGTCTGTCGATATGCAAGTTGTAAACCCTACCTGCCTGCACCGACGACTGTGAATGACAGTCTTATTTTCCTCGTCGAAACACGCCCCCCCCCTTTCCCTCCCTCTGTTACCGGAGAATGATGCATCGCTGATGTAAAATAGCGCAGGAATTATGGGCTCCGAGTTTTAACGACCCGTCTCCATCACCATCTCCTTCGCCATCTCCACCTCCTTTCCTTCTCCATCATCTTCTCGGTTGTTACAGATTTTCGTCCGAAATCTTGAAATCCGACGACCACTTGCGTAGTGCGTGCGTGCGTGCGAGTAACTGTTCGTTCGTCTGGGCGGGCGGGGTGGTGGTGTTGCTCGCTCTCTGCCTCGCTCTTCGTCTGGCGCTCTGTGGCTGGGACGCTCGGTCGACGGTATAAGGGCCGGTTTGTACACTCGCGGGGATCATTAAAGAAACCCTGGAGGCGGGCCAGTTGTCGCGAGGAAGGAACTCGTACAATTTGTCTGCGGAACTGGTTAATTTGAGGATTTCCCGCCCGAACAAGAAATAGGATGAGCAAGCCTGGAGAGGGCAGGCGAAAGGGGTCTCGAGCTACACGACAAGAGAGCCATAATTGACGTGCTAATTGTGACTGTAAATGTACCGACACCCGAGAAAGCAAGTGAGCCGGCCGAGGTGAGGTTCGTGTCTTTCCCCTGAGCCTGCATGTTCTGTGAATTGTAATGAGATTTTTTTCTGGGCTGTGAATCTGCCTCGTCCATCCCGTCGACGCCCGGGACTGGGTTTTGAAGCGTGCTCGGGCGGTGTGCGGGCTCGCGGTCACTCTGCAATCAACCGTACTGTCAACTGCCTACACTTCAGCCGAGGAATCATTTGCACAGAATGTTGAACAGGATCTGCGGAAAAGGCTTAGATACCAAATGGGGACAGAAGTCTTGTGGGATGCGGTAGAAAGTTGTGTACGGGGAAATGCTAGAAAGAAGTAACCTAATGGCAGCTTTGTGAGCTAGTGTAATCGTTGACTCTTGATAGCCGCATAGTTCACACTCTGTGTCCAACCTGGGGTGTGTTGAAGTGCTTGGGGATTTCTGCTATGGCTTCATCCATGTTCTACTGCTGGCTGTCCCGCAAACATGTGCCGACCGCTCGAGAGTTCTTGAAGGTTTCATGCACTGGTTTTTAAGTCTTCTGTTCCTTCTCCAACTTTTTTTCTGGCTGATTCTTTCCATCACAGTCGCTCCGCGGGAAGCATCTGCTGGGCCATTTGAACCTCTGACATCCTTCTTGCGAGTCTTAGGTTCTTGTTCGCGTATCGTAATGTCTTCTTTCCTTCGTGCAAGCCGTGCCTGTGGTGACCTCCTGAGTTTTCAACATCTCTCGGAGATTTTGACATTGTCGTAATCACTTGGTTGATGATTGGCGGGATGCCTCAGCTCGTGTTTCTTGAACTGATCTTTTCCCTTCTTCAGTGCTGTTATTGTTGTAGCGAGTGTTTCTCCATCGATGCTCCGTCGTTAAGTCCCCTTGGAGCTACTCGGGCCTTGGTCAGTCAGATGAAAACACTCATTGTAAGCAGTCTCCTTCGTAATATTACACGTTTACTGTTACGTTTGTCAGGCTCTGCTTCTCTCACACGTCTTCGCACGAAGCTCTCTCTCGCGCACTCGGTTTGGATTGAGGTTTAGAGGTTGTCACAGAATATTTGCGGGGTGCGACTTTTCTGCGAGATGGGGGCGTTGACGCCCCATTTCCAGGATTTTTAGGATGTTATCACGCTTCCAGCGTGCCACTCTCACTGTGTTTTTATTCACGTTCATCTAACCACAGCATGCTGGATTCAATTGCAGATTATCAACCATTGCGGAGGATTTGTCACGCTGAAGCCATCGAAGCTGAGATTGTTGACCATGGCTGAAGAGTCACCGGTATTATCTCGCTCCCGAGTGGATTCTTTACTAGTAGAAATCGAAGAATACATGTGGTACTGGTTGGCCTCTGAGTGAGGGTATCAGCTCTGCTGTGCTCTATGTGATACCGGCTCCGAGTGAGGGAATGTCAGCTCTGTTCTGTCCATCTTCGATATGTGAAAGATTGCATCAGCATGTTGTGCAAGCTGTGTCGGAGGCCCATGGCATTGCACGATGCTTTGGAGCCTACACTGTTTTCATCCTTAGCGTGTTCCGTACAGCTTCTTCCGTCCGTTTCATGAGTGTTATGATCCACGTTGCAGAGATTTAAGATCGTCAATTTTTCCAGTCCTCGTTTTTCCTCCGCACATCGTTTGAGAGAGACTGTAGACCGGAGTGCGCTGTGTTGTGAAACCTTCTTCGTTGCTATTTCGCACCATAGATATGGTTGTCACTTTGAAGGCTGAGGGATTGTCGTGGTGACCCCATTTTGAAGTTGCGGTGCGCAGTCTGGAAGAAGAAGCCGTGTCTGAGTGTTCGCATGATATAAGACTCCGGGGCTAAAGAGGGATTCGCCTACGCAACAACTTTCTGCAACGGGGAGACGAAGGAAGAACGAGATGGTTGATGGAGGGCCCGAGGGAGCCCCTCCCGTCAAGCGGAAGAGAGGCAGGCCAAGGAAAGCGGACGTGCTCGCCGCCCAAGCGGCAGCGGCCGCGGCCGCTGGCGATGGTGGAAATGGTGTGATCGCCGTGGTTGCTGCGACCCCGAGCGCGGTGGCGTCCGCTGCCAAACCCGACCCCAAGCCGAGGAAACCGAGGAAGAAGAAGGGTGAGGTCGTGGGCGGCGTCGTCGGCGTGGATGCCAACCTCGTCGGGAAAACTGTCACCGGCGTGCTGGATGGGTCGTTCGATGCGGGCTATCTTCTGACCGTGAGAGTAGGAGACTCGGAGACTTTCCTCAGGGGCGTCGTGTTCGGGCCTGGACTGACAGCGCCCGTCATGAAGGACAACGATGTTGCCCCCCACGCCAAGCACGTTAAGCGGGACGAGAGCATTCCCCTTCCGCCGACGCCCACCAGCGTTCTCGTTGCACCTCCGGCAGTGCTCGCGGTGCAACCCGCTGGCGCGCGAGCGCCCCCTGCCGCCGTGGTGGCCACTCCAGCAGCCGCTGCTGCTGTTGCAGTCGTCGCTGCGGCGCCAGTTGTTGTCGTCGCTCCGCCCGCTGCCTCTGCTGCTGCTGGCGCTGCCGCAGCGGGAGCGAATGCTGCTGCGCCCGCCGTGGCTCCTGCAGCTGCTGCCGCCGATGTAAAGCCTCCGCAGCCCCAAGCCCCGACGGCTGCTGCCGCCAGCGCAGGTCCCCAAGCGCACTCCACCTCGCCGGCCGCGGCCTCGGCCTCGGCCTCTACCTTCACAGCTCCCACTGCTGTGACGACAGGTGCTTAGTTAGTGTAACAATTTTGGAGGTCTGGTGTCTATCTTGGAAAGTAGTGGAGGCACTCGGGCACGAATTAGTGACACGAATTTGTAGGCGCAGTTCATTCTACCTCGACGATTCAAAAGATGAAACTCTTGAGGTTTTTTCGCTCTGCACGTCAGCCTGAAAGATGTAAACAAGTTACAGTCAGCAGAAATAGAGAGAATCATGTGCATTTCATGGATATGTGACCATTTGCCATTTGACCGGTAGTTCTTGTATTGTGTCGTCTGGAATTCACTGACACTCTTCTGTCTTGCAAGGTCTCGTGGAATGTAGTCTTAATGTTTACCGGCTTTTTCTTTCTCGAGAAAATATCCCTTAATCATTTGTGAGATATCGTACCATTGGGGTGGATTAAGACTTTGGTCGAAGGCATGATTTTGCCTTGATGTGTCGTTCCACGTAATGGTTTTCCATATTGTCTTCTGAGGCCTGGTCGTTTCCCATGTTATCCCGCCTGCGATTCATGACATATCACATCACATGCAGGTGAAATGAAGCTGACTTTCTCATACCTCGTTTCACTAGTTTCCATCCTTCTCTATTACATCCCCTGGGTTGTCACAGTCGGATAACTTCGGAGTCTGCGATGGATGTTTGAAGTTGGATTTGATTCTTTTATATCAAACGTCAGCTTTCATTCTCTTCATTTCATCATGTTTTGGAACCCCTAGAAGACATAAGTCTCAGATGTATTTTCTTGTTTGAACAGGAAAATTTGTCTTCCGGTGGGAAAATTCCTTTCGTCTATGTTCCGATGCTTGTGTCTCGCCTAACATGTTCTCTTCGTCATGATCATGGATGTCATGGGGGATAACTCTGGTTCAGTTCCACGCTCGTCAAGCTCAATTGATTTTCGTACCCTTTTTTGTTATCCACTCCGCCTCTAGGTTTTTCAGACTTCAAACTTGCAGGAAAAGACAAGACGTCTGGCCTCATCGGCCTACATAACACGAATTTCAAGTTCAAGACTTTTCTTCTTGCAAAGTACAATCATTTAATTGATCATGGACCGCAAGAGATCGTGCCATCAATAAGCGCGTGTACCCATGCGGCGGTAAGGCCTCAAGGTACCAACGGTACCGTATCGTGAAACCGCGAGTAATCGCTGTACTGTGTTAACACGGCCATACGGTACCGAAGCTTGGGCACCGTTAAGTGTAACGTCACGACTGTCACCGATGCCGACCGTCAAAACTCCGACCTAGTACACACTTGGGACTAGACTATGTCGAAGTCTCAAGGAGCGAAATAAACCGGGAAAAGGAAATGAAGATTAGAAGGTTTAAGGCGGAAATATCTCAGCACGGACCAGAATTTAAGCATGGGTTTGGGGAACGAGGCCGAAATGACCTCCGCTCTGTAATCATCATCAGATTCAAACGTAACTGTTGAGACGGTGGAAGATCAGTATTCCAGTTGTCCGTGACAGAGTACTCTGGCACAGGCTAGCCAGCTTTCTCATCTAATGGAATCCGAGGGGCATGTGCCTTGAATCCCATCCCTGTAGGATTTCGAACAGGCCCAATGGAGTGACGAGTTGGAAGAAAATCAAGACCACAGTTGGGAGGCCGGGGCTAATCATTTACTGAGAGGGCCGAGAATTCCGGTTTCCTGGAAATACATGGATTTTGTTCGCTTGCTCAAGAAGTTATCTGCTCCGGAAATAGTTTCGCCCCGTCCCTATCGCGGCTTAATCTAGAGTCTAGGTTAAGTAGCGACGCTGCCGCAATGGACGAAACGAGGGGAAGACCGATCTCAGACGTCGTAGAGCCCTATCGGGAGCGATCGAAGGCTCACGATGGCGATGTCAGTAACGGATATGTCATTCAGAACCTAAATTTAGGGACTCTCCTTAAATAAAAGTCGCTCCCGATCAGATGGCCACATGTGGCAAAAGACACGACGAGCGACGAGTGCGATGGAGCCTGATGGACGACGATAATATGCGGTGGGTGATTAAATCAAATGCAAGTGGTTGTCCGTTACGGTGGTTTTAATTGATCACGCGTCTTTTCTCGATTGTAATGACGGGGCCAAAAGGCAGCGTCCGAGCGAAGGAGGCAAGCAAGCAAGCAAGCAAGTATGGAAAGCAACTTCGCTGCAAATGGTTGTTGAACAATCACTCTCTCGCCACACCGCCCTCCTCGTCCTACTTTCAGCTGATCTCCCGATCCCGCACCCCTCCTCCTCCTCAGTCTATGATCGATGCGATGCGATGTAGTGCGCCATTTGCCTCAATCATGTCTTCTTTCCCTCCTTTTTATCTGCTCGACCCCGACCTCAACCTCGACTGTCCTCCTTCCTTCCATCCTACTCCAGCGTGTACCGCGACGCACTTCACTTCGGTCGACCGGCAGGAGACCGGCGAGACCGGTGCCTCCCTCCATGGCCTGTGGGTCCAGGTCATCATGTTCTTGGAAGGGCGCCAATCAAAGCGGATCGTATGTCCGCTCACCGTACTCTCCCGCACACCTTCAGGGATCTTTGGCGGATCTATCCCTTTAGTGCTCGCTCCAGGGGGAGGGACGACGTGGTTCAGATCTCTCTCATCCCAGAGAAGGTTCTCACGCCAAACTCCACTAATCGGGAAAATCCGGTACGTACGACAAATTTCCATTTGTTTCGAATTTGAACATACGCAGCCAGCGCGGGCGGTGCCAATTTGGCAGTCCGTGCCAAGTCTAGCTGGACACACCCGACCCGACCGACCCAGTCTGCCCGCCCCGCCCAGCCCGTCATCGAACGGAGGAGGGGTTTGGCGGAGAATAAGACTAAGCACTTTTTCCTCTTTATAGCGCCAGAAGGAAGTCTTCTCTACACGACGCAATTTTATTTATTTTGTAAGAGTCGTGAAGTTGTGACTTACGTTGCTTTCTGTGGCATTTTTCTTGGCACCACGGGACTGACCGGGGTCGGAGTGGCAAATGAATCAGACTCTGAATTTTTACCCTAGATCTAAATTTATGATTTGCCTGCACTTTGAAAAGTCTAAATATCTCTCCCTTTACGCTTAAGTCAGACCGGGTCCGTTAGGTTCAATAATGACATATTGCGCTTGCAAATCACTTTCCAGCCCGAAGCCGTGCACGGCTACTTTCTGCATATTTTTTAGAATATTCTGCAAAATCATCAAGACAAGCCAGATCATATTTTATGTCCAGAGTTTAATTTCACTGTCTCGCATATTTTTTTATAAAATTTTTCGGTTATTTATTTGAGGGTATGTTGATTTCCCTAGACATGGTTGAATATTATTTATGTTATAGATACTGTTATGAACATTGAATGTAGTCTGCTGGAGACTATGTTGTTCATACGCTATAGTCCAAGCTTCCGTTCTTCAAAAGAAAGGCGTCGCATGGAGTTCATAGACAGATGGCCAGAATTCCTTCTTAATTCGTTACACAAAGTTCTGTTCCAGTAATGTGCGACTTGGACCAGAGATATTACAACTGATTGACTTGAGAACAATGAATATGACATCTCATCGGCCAACAAATGACCGCCGCTTTTACTCCTCATTCGTGAGAATGAGAATTATGTACCTCGGGTAAACAATAATTTGATGCGCATTTGTGTAGCTGTAAAGGCTTTGATGTAAGCTTTTTGACAGAGCACCATCTATCAGCCAACACATCCGTTGATCTAAATATAGCTCATGTAGAGAGTGCGGAGTATTTTCTCTCTGTGTGCCATTGAAACAGCTTTTTAGGTTATTATGAGGACTTGAGCGCTCGCATGCTTTTCTCCTCCAAATGGGTTTGCCACTGTTCGCTTGGCTGCGTGCATACGGTACATACCTTTCTTAGGCTTTTTGCGGTAGAAATATCCCTGGCACTTACTCTCGGCTTCTGTTTCTCATGTTTGAGGTTGGCCGCTGATTTTCGAGGGTATCTCGGACCTTCGGTCGAGAATTAATTAACCGTGTCTCTGACCAAGGGTTTCTTTCTCTTTTACTGGATGCAAATTTGCCATAAGGTCACAAAACTTGATACTGACCGTAAAGTCTGGGAATTTATTTGCACTTTCATACTTGTACATACTATTCCATAATTGATGTACATACCCAATAAATGTAGATCATTGATTTCTGTACACAAGTGTAACTTATGATTATGAAGGTATGGGAGCTACTAAAACCTCAAAAAACAGATTTATAGGATATACATATTTTATACCGTTCTGACATACTCATGACATGTTTTCTGCCTACTATCTCTATACCAAGTTTCATGATTAAACTGAAGTTGGACTTGACAACAAAATAATGTTTAGATTTAAGTTAACTTATGAGGCTTGGATGAAATACTAGTAGTATGCACACTCTAAATAACTCAAGAATGACTTTCTAAGTGTACATAGTATTACATCTACTTCGAAATATTTTAAAAACATATTTCCATTGAATATTCAATGTGCTATATGTTCCAATCTTCTTGTAAGGTACAACAATCAAAATTGACCAACACGCACTACATTGAAATAACGTGATTCATCTTCCACATGCTATGTCTATGGGCAAGAATAGAAACTTCACTAAAGCACAAGTGTACACACTAATTCCATAGCCAAATTACACTCCTCCATGCTCGCTCTCAAAGTGCAATTCTAAACAGTGTGTAGTTAATTGTTAATTCTCTCTTTTTTATAGTAAGAAATAAGGTGCACATCCTAGCTAACCTAACCACAGTTAACTTTCCAAACATAGTTATCACTAAGTGGAAATAATCCAAAATAGAATTAACCTGACACTTCTTTTGTTCCATACTTTTGATAATTTATATTATGGGCATTTTCCATGTAATATGTATTTCCGCTTCTCACCTTCGCACTAGATGTAAACATACATTTTTCAAAATATTGTAATTAGTATATTCTTCTACTCCAATGTAGAAATAAACTAATCAACATATAAAATATGTCAATGCGTATCACACTAAATTAGCAGAGATTTCCAGTAGCTAATAGTGTAATAAACATTTATCAGGATTCTTTGTGGTCTTATAAGATCTTATATATATATTGAAACATTTAGATAGTTCATTTGATAATCTGTTATAAAATGAAACTACAGAGAATTTTAAATATTTGAAACAATGTATCTTTAACTTTGATGAAATTTTTTCCTTCAATTTTATAAGAATGAAAACAAAACTTTCTTATAATTATAAATATTTCAAAATGAAAGACCATTTCTTATATATATTGAATTATATGTACCTACATTGATTTATGCACACTCGTACATTATGCAACCATATTATCCAATGAACAAAGTTGACATATAAATACATGTAATGAAAATGCAATATATCTTCTAATAAAGTTCTAATTGTATCTTTGTGAGCTACGACCATCTCTCTTATATGGTAGACTATTAAGTATAACTAATCATAGGAAAACTTTCTTAAGATTATCAAGACTTGAACTAACAACTCATATGTATAATAATTCAAAAAATTGAATCTAGACAAAAGTAATTATATTATATGTTGACAATTTATTTCACACATTGTTTCTATAATTTCAAAATTCATCACTTTGCTATCGTTGGATTTGCATGTTCAAGAAGTCTTCAAAGTTTTGCATATCAAAATTTTTATTCTAAATGAAAATGAGTAAATTTAAGTTTTAACTTCAAATTTTAGTATTAAATTTTTTCATTTTTTGTGATAGAAAAATTAATCAAATAAAAATTTTCTTTTAAAATTTTTAAAATTTATGCCATGTTGATATATTTATTGATGCAATAATTTCAATTGAGTATGCATACAAAAAGTTTTGAATGTATAGTTATTTTGAATGTCTAGCTAAAAAAAGAAATCAATCTAATATACTTACATCTTTTAAAAAAACATAATAACACTTGTGAAAGACACAAACATCCAGATCTATCAGCACGCACAACAGTCAGAATACCGTGACAACGTGATTCACCGTCCACATGCTACATCCACGAGCAAGAGTAGAAACTTCACTAAAGCTTCGATGTATACACAGCCTCCATACCCAAGCGCTACTCATTACTATTCACTCTCTTAGTGCTATCCTGAACTATACGCAGAGAGAGTATCCTTCTCTCTTCTATACAAGAAAAGATAAGTTAATCTAACCTAACCTAACATAACCACAGTTAACTTCCTTACCATGATTACCACTAACTGGAATTATCCAAGATAAAGTTAACCTAACAATCTGCAAGTGATCTTTAATTAAACTTTCAAACTTCATTGACATTTTTACAAATTTTTCATCATGATCAATGAATTTTATCAATTTAATTGGAACCTTATTATAATATAAAATTTTTAATATAAGAATTATAATATTTTAGAAATTATAATACCTTTTAATATCTAAACTCATATCTAAATAAAGCTCAATTTACATAGATTTAAAAATCAAAAAAATTGCTAAAAAGAATATTGCAAAATTTTTTATTAAGATGTAATTTTAATAACAAATAATTTAAAAAACAGCAAAAAAATTAGGAATACAAATAATAATCAAAAATTTTCTTCACTTTTAATTACAATAATCTTATGAATTGATTTTGATTTAATTTAATGAACATAGATGAAAATTAATAATGATCTTGTAGATTTTAAATTTAAAAGTATGTTTTGAATTATTTTGATTTGCTATAATTTGATATCAAGAAATTATTAGATGGTTATGCATCTATTATTATACATTGCTAATAGAATCTCAAATGATCTTAGTAATTCTTGGAGTTTTGGCTTAAAAAATTTTTCATGATATGATACATTTCCATCTCTATCGAGACATCAGTTTGAAATTACTGATTTATAGAACAAGAAGGTTATTTTTTCTCTCATTCAAGACCGTGCGTGAGCGCGCTACGCTTGTAGCGCGCTCATGCACGGTCTTGAATGAGAGAAAAAATATTTAGTCAGCACTATGCTCGAACTAAATATCGTGCGCGTAAATCATCAAGCCATTTTTTGTCTTCGGCTCTTCGTACCTAGAGCGGAAACGGGTTGACGATTTACGTGCGAGAAAAAAGTAAAACATGTGTATATTAAAAAATAATTTAACCTCTGTATAAAATAAAAAAAACTTGAATAGCATGTTGCATAATTATGTTATGTTTGTTAGCTTTTTTGTGCATATGTACTGTGTAAAAACAATCTAATTTTTATGATTAACAAGATTGTTGAGATATCAACGATTTTTTTTATTTTATTTAAAAATTTGTAGAAATAAGAATTTTTTTTGGTCTCTGAAGTGATGTTTCAAAATATTTATGAATCACTGTATTAATTTACATTTTTCTGAAAATACTGTTCAATTTTGCATTCAATTATAATTTATTGTTTATTGTTTATTGTTTGATTACTTTTTTCAACACTTTTTTTTGAATATTAAGAATTGTGTTTCATTCATGTTATCCAAGTTAGATTTTGATTTTGAGATTAATTAATATCTGAGATTTTGGATTGAAATTTAAATACAAATGAAAAGTCAGGAATCAAAATATATGTTGAATTTTCAAATTGATCTTTCCTACTTAGATTTTACATGAAGGATTTCTTTCTATTGAACTTCTTTTTAACAATGAATTTTATATAAAATACATAACATTCGTATAGTCTTTATTTTATTTCAGAAGTTATGGGTTATTTTTATTGGAAATCAATCTCTATATAATGTGTTATTTTAAAAGGAAGTTAGGCTTCTATATTTGAATTTATTCAAAGGATTGTTATATGATCTGTTTAAATAAGATTAACGTTAACATAATTTTCTGTTTCATGAACTAAAATTACACATTCAAACAATTTATATGTAAAATTGTTAAGACTAAAATTCATTTGTTACCATGGCTGGATATTTACTAAGTGATGATTTATTATGTGTTTTTTGTTCTCATAATTCAGGTTATGATTCAATACAACAGTTTCAGAAGTAGTGATACATACAATTCAAATTGTTGCATAATTGTGTTGGAGAATAATCAACAATTCTTATATGAAATATAAAACTTGTTCTTCATACATATACATATATCAATTGCAATCATTGCATATAAATCATGATTTAGTGAAAACATTTGAAGTATTAAATTTTTATATACAATGACTGTATACTTAATTTGATATATGACATACAAAATTGATTTAGGTTTCTAGATTCTATCTTGCAAACCTTTGAACAACTTCAGTTCAATTGATAATCTATTTTAATTTTAGTAGCAATTTTTATGGATGAAATCAATAAGTGTATTCAAATATTTGACATATGTTTTTCTTTAATAATTTTCATGTCACATGAATAAACCTTGCTCTAATTATTATCTCACAACTTACATTTCATTTAAATAACTTGGAATGTTTATCTCTAATTGTTAAAATAATTGAGGTAGTTCCATTAAAGATTCAATCACTTAAATAACAACACATTTTTTAATTATTTTATATATTCTATTTTTAAGAATACTAAAACAGTATGAAATAGATGGTCACAAAAAAAACACAATACTTTTATATCTATATATTTATATTGATAATTGGAATTTTATTATTATTATTTGAACTAAATTATTTCGTAATGACATCAAATTTTAATTATATACATATTTCTAATTATATGATCAATTTAGAAAAAAACTTACGTTTGCAAATAATTTTCATGATTCTTTAAATATAAACAACTGAAATATAATTTGTAAAAAAAAAAGAAAATTTCCCCATTTCTTATCTATTGATATATTTGGAATATACACAATTTCTTACGAAATTCTTTTAAATATGTCAGTTCCTTATGATTTCATAAAAAATTTCAAAGTTTCGTTCTTATTTTATCGTATTTTGCTAATTTCAAATTGAATCAACTTTTGGTAAATTGAAATACATATATATAATCAAACAGATTTTTAAGAACATCTGGTTTGAGTATCCTAATTTTTTTATATTAAATTCATATTGAAAGAATGTTTTACAAGGATTTATATATGTGTAAATATGATTGTTAATAATGGTTGGTTTTTTGAAGTTCTTCAAATATGACCAGTGTTGGTTTGATTGTCCATAAAAAGAAAGTCTTTGTGATTATAGAATACTCATATAAATAGGTGGATTTTCTGATAAAGAAGATAATCCGGATACGAAGCATGTCGAAACAGTTCGGAGATACATTCACATACGTCATATCCAGGTGAGAGCTAGTTGGCTTCAAACAGTTGTTCACTGTGTCTAACGTTTTCTTGATTATATATTATACAGGACTATTGTTCACTAAAGTGGCCTGTCTCCGATATATCTAGCGCTTGAACACTTCATCAATACTAGTTTTATACGGCAGGTCTGACAATCGAGTTTAACTGGTTGTCATACATCTAAAAAAATTCAAGTAATATCTTGCTATACTTTTAATTCGTTTTTAAACATATAATTTGAAAATTCCAGGGTTTTCGAGCTATGTTATATCCTGTATCTTCGGTGGAACAAGAGGAAGTAATAATAAATTACCGTCCAAAAAACCAGGTGATTTGAAAAGATCAAGAACTTATTAGAGCTAGTAAAATGAACTAGGGTTTGCAGTCAATAAAGTTTGCGTAGAACCGGAGAAGACTTGACCAGAGGGAAAAGAATGCAGCTGCCCAGATATGCTCCATGCTATTCACTGTCTACTCTCTGATGAGACTGAAAATGCCCAAAATAGTACTCCGATCTAGCGTGACAACGCATCACCTGTGACTTGTCGTATAAGCATTTGAGAAGAACCACATCATGGTAATCATGATGGCCACCATCAGCCCCGATTCTCAAATGTTCATGTGCTCCCGTTTTTCTGACTGGGTATGAGTACAAATTCCATATTCAGCAAGTCAAAGCTGGAAGGAGATATGGTAGTTCCACGGTAGCTATCCGCCCAATTTACAACAAATCAAGGAAGAGTATTTCTCTCTCTTCTTGCTTGCATTGTAGTTTTCACGTGTTGAATAATATCAATCGTGTATTCTTATCGCGAATAATGCTTATTCCTTCTTTCGAAAATAAATTTTCTAGTTTTCTTTGTCCCATTAGACTCATTTATCACTTTTGAAAATTGACTTCTCCCACGTTCGTACTTTTAGAAATAAATCCGCTTTGCTTGAACGTTGACATTCTCGATACAGTATATCCATCAGATCATTTTTGGGGTGTTAAAACGTACTTAGAATATAAAGAACATAAGCAATATGGCGTGAGTGAAGAAGGGCAAGGCATCTTGTAAAACTCTGTTTTTTATTTTACGGAAACTGCCAAGGGCTACAATCCCTGTTCTTTAGTGAAGAGTGAACCATGTAGAAGTAAACCGACCAAATAATCCAGAAGTTCGTCTCTTATACATGCTTCTTGTTTAGTAAGGACAAAGATGAGCTATGATGATCATGAAGAGATTCCATAATCCAAATATGTCTCTTGTATGAGTCATCAAGTTGACCAGACCTTTTCAGATAATGGTCTTCACCGCTAAAGTTTGAGTGTGCAACCAACTGCCTCCGGAAATTACTCAGCTGCTAATAAGTTCTCTAAATTTTCTTTATTTTGAAGATATAAGCGGGATTTAAATTATCAATGTCTACTAACGTGTATAATCATTTGACAACAAATTGAAAGCTGAACCTTCGCTTCTTAAGGAAAGAATTGTGCTACACTGAAAATCCTAGAAATTGTTCAACTTTATTTGTTTTCATTGATTTTATTTTCATATATCATCTACAATATTTCTACATAGCGCAATCTTCAACTTATGTCGCTGTTCTCGTTATGATATATGATCATATGTCAGCACATATGACTGAATTCTATATGACAAATATGTGAAAAAAGTCTCATCTTTAAATCGTGTCATCAAAGACTTATTTGTATACCCTTGGAAGTACAAATTATAGCTTTTCTTGAAAAGAGTATTATTTGAGCTTCAGATGTACTTAAAGTATATGCAAATTAGAAATAATAGAAATCTATGCATTTTGTAAAATCTAAATAATTTCTTAAGATATCAATCTCTCTATTTATTCTCAAGTACATAACTACTAAAATCCGCTCTTTAGAACCAATTTAGGCAATAGCAGAACAATATTATCAATCAATCTTTTGTTTTCTTTTCGAGATTCATGGTTTGTTTCAAATTTGATTGACTTGTTTCTCTGACATATTACTTACACAGAAGCTTTTTGAAAGTGTGGCCCCTCTTCCTTCTGGCCTATTCTGCTGAGTACGCAATGGTCACCGACTACTAGAGGCAGGTGTGAAACTTATTGATCACAATCAACCATGCAGTGAAGCCGAGATGTGCAGGAGTGATATATATTATTTTGTTTTAAGCGTTTTGTCAATCCATATTTGTAAGTTCAGCACCGGGTTAGATACAAAGTTCAACTAGACTCTCAACTTGGAGGTAAATAGTGTACATCATATGACATGGACAACATTTATACTGGGGGCTTTTTGAGAAGCTTAATATATTACAATCATATCCCTGTGATACCTTTCTGAAGATCTTTTCGATAGTTCCTGCATGTGGAAATTTATGTTCCATCAATTAGTTGTGACAGTTGTTGAGTTTAAAACACATGCAATTCGGTTGTTGACAAAATATATGAACGCAGACCTATTGTTGGATCATTTTCTAGAAGTTCACTTACAAATGTAAAATTCTATCCATATACTTGAGTTGAGTCTATACGTTGAAGTACAGGCCACTTTGTCAGAGGTTTTAAGTGACCAAGTGCTGAGACATTAGAGATGATAACACCCACCGAATTCGATAATTCTTTGGGATAAAATTCATAACTATTGAACGTTAATCATAGTATTACTGTATTACTATAAGCGGAGTGTATTATGTAAAAGTTTTTACCCTACACTTCCGAATTATGTAAATATCAAAATAACGGACAGACTATCAATAGTTAATCGAACCATATTTTTCTTTAAGAAAGTTTAATTGGCCGGACCGAGACGTCCAAATAGTCTGAACCAAACTTGCAGTTAGCCCTCCACAAGGGCCAGTGAATGTACTGTACTGCAATAAAACCATTAAACAGTCTATAAATCAGGTGTCGTCCATAAGCAAAATTGAAGCACCTACTAGACATCACATAATTCCGACTTGAGTTCAAGGATGACAAAAATCTAAACCAAGACTGGTGTAACAGATATCCCAATATATCATTCGGAATTTTCTTCAAGTCGTAATATGAAGTATAGAAGATACCAGTTTACACATGTGAGATGCTACACCATGCTTTCTTTTCGTCCTCATACATATCGCACATTTTTGTAGAAATATACAAGTTACTTGTATAAGCGTTAAATGGCGTGTAGAAAACCAGTGGAACAAACGGTGAAAATCAAATCATATATACGGTTATGTTAAGCGATTTATAATTAAAACAAGAATGTGTCTCGTCTTCGGAAGCTACATAAACTGGTGGACTGGACATGGAATCTGCAAGTTTATTGCAATGTTTTGGTGGTAGTCTTCATACACAAAATAAAACATTTTCAATCAACAAATACTTCACCTTGAATTTCGGCACTATCGAACTTTTATATTACAATTATAATCTGAAGATGCTACCAAAACTTCATTAGGGTGCAAAAAAATAGATTGCATAAGCTTGGATAAAACCCATCTTGGTATATGTGCATTCCTTTTCCGCAGTTAGTGGGAATCTGTGTGTTGATATGAGGGCCCTCAGATCAACATACAGATGAATGGTGCAGATGGCATGACTTAGTTAAAGCAAACCGAAGAAAGCACCTTCTTGAAGTAGAGAGGACTTGTTTGGCCAATAAGTAATAGTTAGATACGTAATTACATAAATAAGATCGCCAAAAGAAAATCGTACAAAAAAGCATAAATACATGAGTTCCACTTTTATGACAGCAAAAACGAACAGTACAGCTTTCAACTCTTGCATGCGGAACAATTTAGGAAAGGTATTCTAAAGAATAAATTTCGGGAGAATTCCGACACCAGATATGAAGAACCTTAGGAACCTTACCTGTAAAAACTACGAGCTCCTAGTACCATATGAAGATGTATAAATAAAAAGCTATCAGTACAATGACATAATAACGCAATCCGGATAACAATAAGAAAAGTGCAATGACGAGGATCGAACCTATTTATTAGCAAAAAAACTGTTTGGGCGTTTCCTTTACTACGCGATCGAAGTTACAAGCAATTTTATGGACAAGTGAGCGAGTTTTTGAAAGGAAGTCCTTTCTAATTTACAACATACCGGACTCTTCCTGCATTGGTGGGGGCCGAACTCCATCCAGCATGAACTTGGGGTCGAACCGAGGTCGAGTGACAGCTAGATCAGCAGTTAGCCAATGCCTGGGCTGTAAAGTAAAGGGATCCTAAACATCATGATTGTACCACATACAAGCGTTCGAGAAAGAACCATTCAGTTAGACGACGGTCCCGGCTGAATGCATAGGACCCCCAAGCATCTGCTTCGATGAAGAAGCAGGCCCTGAACTGCTATGCATGGGACCTGTAGAAGGGAAGACAATGCCGTCGTTCCTTCTAACTAATTTTACATTTGGGGCCACATCGTTGGTGTTGTTAGGAGGCATGGCAATTGATGGTTCAAAAAGTACCCCACGGAAGACCATATCAGTGTCTCCCACCCTTACAGTGACCAGATACCCTGCATCAAAAGAGCCATCCACTGTCCCACTTACACATTTGCCAACAAAGGCTGGATCTACAGCTTTGCCTGATGCGTCCCCCTGCTTACGCATTCTCCTTCGTTTGGGTTGTCCATCTCCATTTGATGGCACAGTCCCATTGCTGACCTCTCCTCTCATTGCATCACCGTTTTTCCGTGGTCTCCCCCTTCTTTTCTTCGGAAAACCAGAACCGTCATCGAGTTCAATTTCAGCTTTGGTTCGCCTTCGTCGCCTCCGCTTGGGTGCATTGGGATCCACCGGCATCTGGCCCAGCAGATCGGTTTCATTCTGAGCCACGTCAATATACTCCTGTTTGTCCTGGTTGCCTAACTTGGCCCACTTCTGACCAACAATGCGCTTGATTTCATGGCCGTTGGCGACTGGATTTTCATCCTTGATTGTGTCCCGGATCTTAGAGGCGAAGAGATTGAAGGCCCTGAGCTTGACTAATTTTCCGACACTTCCCTCTTTCTCTGCAGGCACCTTTTTCTCTTCCGGGACGTCCGAGATGATTATAGTGGCTGCCTGTTCTTCCATGACTATAGCCTGTCCACTGCAGGTCAAAGATATCGAACAAGATCATATCCATTAGCACCCTTGCCTCCAAACCATAGGTGTCTCGGTCACACACAAACTGTCTCCATCCTTTCTTCGATAATGAAAGTTGGTATTCAGATGTCATGCAGGAGATGACAAAAACTCAATCAATCGACAACAAACTATCTCACATCCAGAGTTCTGAGATTTCTGAAAATCGAATTTTATTTTTTTATTGATTTTCTCCGATGATAAGCTATTGCCTGCTCAGATTTTGCTCCTCGTATGTAATGTGGCTGACTGCGGCTTCAAACTTGTTCATTGAGATTATCAGGAAGCTCCTCTATGTAGGATTAGATCGCATTTTAGTCGGCTATCATACATACAGATTAGACATCTGAACAAGCTAGAAGGTCCCAAAACGCATGCACACAGTCTTGAGAAATCTTGACAGTGTGCCACTCACTCATCCTTAACAGACGTTCCGACTAAAAGGAGAAGCAGCATTCTAATCCGTATCAGAAATTATTCCGACAAAAATCAATTTGCTGTTCTAATCCTGCAGCCGAGCAAACAATGCTAACATTCTGCTCATCGCCATATTGACCACTAACAGTAATCGTGTATGGACGTGCCTTCAACAAGCAGAGAGAAAGAACGCTCTATTTTGCATTAGATTTTGCTACAGATTGACATCACAGTTTGCAGTATTCCCTCTTTAGACGTCCAGAAATCAGATATGAAAACTGAGCTCGGGTATTCTCAGTGCATGGCAGATGTTGGAAGCAGATGACTACTCCACATTAGACCCGAGCTATCAGCATGTTCATTCACCATGGAAACTGATATCTTGACTTCTGATGATGACAGAACAAAAATCTCGCTTCCTTCGTTCCGATTTGCTCTCCGCGGCAATAACACATGAAGTCCACACTCCAACAACAGAGCAGAGTACAACACGGTCCAAAAAAACTGATTGTTCAGCCTCGCTCTCAGGAAGACAGAAAAAGGGACAGTGACAATGCCCCGAGACAATAGAAAGGTCGATGCAACGATTACAACAAGTTAAAAGCGACGGGAAAAAAAGTCAATGCCTGCGCCAATCGCGTAATCGATGGGAGAACACACCTGCGAAGAAACTACAGAGTTCGGTTCTGTCGCAGGTCAAGAAGGCTCATATTTGCAGCAAAGCGTTGAATTTCGTCGTCCACCATAATCTGACTGCCGGTCAAGGAACTAGTCCGCCTCGCACAAGTTCATCAGGCGGTGAGTCTCGGCGTCTCTGGCCAGCTTCGCGTCAGAAAGCTAGCCAGCCAGCCAGCCAGCCAACCAACCAGCCCTCCAGCAAGCACCGAGTCCGCAATTTCACCCCGCAGCTATCACCCGCGCGTGCTCACGCTGCCATTCTCCTGCTCCTCCTCACCCACAGGCTCGCTCGCTTCCCCCGCGTGCTCTCTCTCTCTCTCTCTGCCCGTCATGAGAAGCGATTCTCGCGTCGTCGTCGAGCGCCGTCGACCAAACCATCGACTCTGCTCGAAATCAGCCCGCTGCTCTGCCCAAGTCAAGAGACGCTATGCTGGAGCCCCGACGCTCGCCTGCGCTAGGCACGCAGCCACCCAGCCACCCAGCCAGCCCAGTCGACGTCAAGAAACAAGCAACACCAACACCTCCACCTCCACCACCACCACCACCAACAACAACATCATGTAAACACTGTCCGTGCGGCCCTGTGTGCCTCACTGGCTCGCTCTCTCTCTCTCTCTCTCTCTCCTGCCTCGCTCAACTCGTTGGAGGGACACAATCGGCGAATCAACCGAGTTGCTGGGTACGGCTATTTTTCAGCCTTCCGCTGCTGCTGCTGCAGCTGCAGCAACTAGAGCACTGTTTTTGCCGTTTGTTTGTTTGCGCTTTTCGTGTTTATCCTCCTCCTACTCTTCCGTTTTGTCAACTCCTGCACTCGCCATCGAGACTCGTCACTATCCCCTACTACCACCCCCACCCCCACCACTCCTCCCCCGTCCCCGTCCCCGTCCTTCGTACCCCCCACCCCACCCCACCCGACCCGACCCGAGCCCCGCACAAAGCGTGCTCCGCTTTCTTTCCAACCGTTACTGCCCGACCTTCGCCCGGCTCGTGACAGGGACACTTATGGATCAGTAGGCATGTGACTGCGCCCAGCGGGTTCGTCGTCGCGGGCCCGAGGCCGAGGCCGGGCCCGGCCAGGCCCGTCGGTGGACTGCCGGGAAGCGTCACAGGGGTTGTTGTGAGGTGTGAACTCTTTTTGATGACGGTGGCGTCAGAGCGACGTGGCCGCGGGAAGCGGTCGCGAGTTCGGGACTGCGCCTAGCTGAAACGTGCAACGTTTGAACTTTTCGGTCGGCCGCGACTTCGAGAGAGCGTCGCGGGCTGGCTGACAGGGCAGGGCAGGGCAGGGCAGGCCTGACACGGTGGCCCGTGGGAGAGAGAGTCCACGGGAGCCCTTCGCAACGAGGGTTGCGACTGGACGCCATCTTTAGACGCCGGTGCTCCTCCAAACGTGGCGGAGGGCCGTACTCCCTCCCTCGCACCGCCGAGGGCGTGGTAATCCCGCGGACAGGACAGTTCCGTATAAGAACTCCTCACGTGAGCCTCTCTCGCTGCTGTAATTGAGGGCTCGTCTCGATAAAGGAGCAAATGCTGCTGAAACGAGGAGTTCGAAGTTTCCGACCTCAACGAACGAACGACTGAGTCCGAGAACCATCTGCCAGCCTAACTAACGATGACATTGACTTCGCACTGTATCCAGCGCTCGTGTGACATGATTTCCCAGCAATTATTGGCTCCATGCGTTCACTCGGTCCACATCTCTTATTCCATGCTGTACGCCTCTCATTGACCCCTAGGCCTCGACAAGGAATTCTCTCGGCAAAACGACACTCGCTCGAGACAGCATAATTGAGCCCGTGATAGCGACCTTCAGGGCTGGAGCACCCCTTCGCAAGCTTCACACTGGAGTTTGACTTCTCGCTGCCCTGAAAGCGAAAGGAGAAAGATCAGATCAGCCCGTGCATGAGCCAAGTCTCCTCCGCGATGCCGGCTGGATTTATAATAATCCCTATCGATGTACCGAGCCCGAATTTCATCGCATCTCGACGACGAGGCACAAGCACGACCATTTATATTTTTTGATCCCCAAAGCGCGAAGAAAATCGATTTATCGATCGCTGCACGATTTTTCCGAAGGATTCGTCGCCACTGTAGAATGGTCGAGGAGAAAGCGAAATTCGTCATTTCGAAGGTGGGAGTCGTATGTCGTCGTGTTCGCGAGAGGGAATGCGGAAGGGATAAGCTGCCGCATAACGGCCGGTCGTGCACGAAGCTTCGCCGGAGATCGCTGTTCCTCCCGTGCAGCCGCAAACGTCAGGAGGCAGGATCTGCGTCCGGATATGCTTCCTCTAGCTAGAGACATCTCGCCATCCTTTCGCCAACAGCCTACACCTCCGCCGCCAATTATACAGACAGCGATGACACCATCCATCCGACACGGGCGAAGATTCTTCCGGTTCGAACCGCGTGATCTGGTTCGAACTCGACAGGAACACGCCAGCTGGGAAGCTATCCTGGCAATGTCACCGGCAGTGGAGGAGCTCGAGCCGGACCATCCGATCGGCAAGATCTAGGGCTGATGTCACTCCGCTTCTGCTGCTTACGACAAGCTGAAATATCTAGGTAGGAGTTCGAACATGCGGAAGCAGCTCGATGTTTTCACCACATCGCAACATTCTGGATCTCGGCGCTGATGATTTCCCATTATTCGCAATTTCCGCGAGGCGTTCCTCACATGGGATGCCTGCCATCGCCAGGCTTCAGTCTATCCGATTCGCGATTCCGATCTCGCCTTTTTATTGATCTGATTTTGGCGTTATTGATGGCTCGCAGTGTTCCTCCGAAGAACCGGTCAAAGATGCCGCTCTCGCGCTCGCCATTGGTAGCTCGAGCATCGAGGAATCTTCTGCCTTGAGTCCCTTCAAGGCCATCTTTGCGAGTTCATTTGAGGCCGTCGGATGATTACAGGCTACGAGCGGGCTGCGCGCTGGGCGAGATCCCTAGCGGTCAAAGCATAGAAGACCGGCTTCTCATTGGCTCCACGACGTCGGCCACATCTTCTCACGCATATATTACTCGATATCCATTTTGCTTCTCGCACATTCGACGTTGGACTTTTTTATCTATAGTTTTATGATTTCCACCATAAGTTCCAGGTGCCAGTGAACTGGTGTTCTCATGTATAGACATGTTTTTGGAATGCCAGGGTACCGGGTCATGTAGGAAAATATATGTGATTATTGCTATTGAACTATTCCATGGAGGAGACCGAATTGATATAATACTTACTACATACTACCATTAATGCAATGTGAAATATGTACACATGCAACTAACATGGGCTAATTACCTGGTTCTAAGATTTAACGTAAATATTTCATTTGACATTATTTTTCTTCCACGAAGTTCCACTAATTTGTGATATCTTTCAAACAAATTCAAAATAATTACTCAAAAAATGTGACTCTATCACCTACTATTGAATTTAGTGGTTATTTATTGAAATGTATAATATGCATATTCTTCTTATATACAATGCTTGTTTATGTGGTACGACTTTTGTGTATATAAAGACAAGTATATATGATGTAAGATATAATGATGTAATCTCCCAATGCACATATCTCGATATTCTATACTATGAGTATAATCTGATCCATAAGTCATTATACATGTAATTGTAGTGACTATGCACCTACAACATGTTGTACATATGAGTAAAGGTTTCAAATCTATTAGTACTTATCATTGTTTATTATTATTGTGTCCATATATAACATCGGTTTGTAATTATAGTGAAAATTCCTTCAGTTAAAAAAAAACAATTCTGATTCATATTGATGCATGCGGTTTAACTCAACTGAAGCATGCAATTATTAATGATGTCTAAACAACAAGTTTAGAAAAAAATGATGAATATTATCAGCAAAGTAGTTGAATCTGAATTGTATATGTCTTAGATCCGAGGAAGATTCAATGCATTTCCTTTTGTTATCATATACTTCTAGATTTTTTTTGGCTTGCACACATACATATCACATCGATTGCATATATGGTTTGTAGGAGAGCATCCATTTATCTTGATAGAAAATCAAAAATAATGACATAAAGATAATTACATCATGTTTATTATCTATAGTACCATCAAATCACACACTTCGATCTTTACCATATCAATTGTTGAATGACAACAAGTCAAATTTTTTGCAAGTTTCAAATTTAGAATTAGAATTCTCATGTTTTGTTTCACTATCACATACTACAAAAAATAATCACAAATTATCTCAATTGGACTTAATTCAATGTTTATACTTCAAGTTGAATAAATTGTTGTGCAATATTGACACAATTTATATGTCAGTTGCGAGTGTTTGATATATAATTATTTTCTTGTTCACTTTTCAAATTCTTTATTTGTATATACTATAAATGTTACATCAATCATAACGCAAACATATGAAAAAAAAACATAATATATATATATTTATTTATTTATATATTTTTTATTACAAATACAATCTCACATATCATAAGTAGTAATGAAATTATAAAATATTTCATATACAATTTTATGATTATAGTACGTAACAAATTAACTTTTTATTACTATCAATGTCAAATTTGAAATAAATTGTGCTTCATTCTACTATATCAAAGTTCATCATATGTGTTATATATGTTTATTGATGCATATGACATTCATTGCAATCTTTTATACATAGTTACAATGTTTGAAAATATTTTATTATGAAAATTATAAACATAGAAATACATAATTTTGCAAATGTCATTTCAACATCAAAATATTCAATATTTAGAATATATATGTATTTACATATATTCAATGCAGAAAACATCACCTTCCTTATACAGCATTCAATGGATAAAAAATGCCATCAAATAGGCTTGATGATGAATGCAAATTAATAGAATCTTTCAAATAAAATACATAATCATCACAAAATCTGTGTATGATATGTACATAATCTTCTGATTTTTTAATTTAAATTATAAATATCTGCAAATAAAAATATAATCGGAATTTCATAACACTTTGAATATTAATTCAAAGTGTAAATTGTAAATTGTAAATTTGTTAACCCTAAATATACATTATTATTTTTCCAAAAAAAATAATTCCAAAGTAAATTTTAATCATAGGACTTTTATCATATTAAAATATATGTCTGATGATTAGTTAGATATTGTAAACAAATTATAATTGATAATGTTAATTGTTTTATTTTTTATTAAAATGTTTTTAAATATTTAATAAAAAATATTGATTTCACATGTTTCATAAGAAGTGATATTTTAATACAAATATATGCATATTTAGTTGTAAAAAATGTATTACTAATTTTCATTTCCCATAAACTTCATCAATATAAAAGTGACACAACTTATATACAAATAATATACAGATTAATATATTAAATTGACTTTTTATAATGTAATACACCTTTTTTATGCAAAGAGCATACTCGAATATATTTTATAAAATAACAGAGTAAGTTAGGGTACAAAATATGATGTCAACATATTGTTCTCTGACAACAAAATGATTGATAATTATAAAAAGTTTTGTTAAATCATATTAAAATTATATTACTTTGTAGAACTAGAGTTAGGCTGCCACTATTTGTAGAAGCTAGTCATAAATCTCTTTAGCACAATTAAAGTTTTTCTTGAGAAGCTTATTGTGTTCATATAATACAATCAAGGTTTTCATTGTAAGGCCAATTGCAGTTCTGAGTACGCAGCCTCAAGCGATCAATCATATTTTTGTTTGGTTCATTATATGTTTGCATTTTTTTCATTCAAGTACCTCATAGTAAATTATTTTAAAAATTGCATGGTATGTCATTAATTCATGCAACGTAAAATAAAATAAATGTATATATTCAATGTAAAGAATTTAAACAATAAGATTTTTTATTATGTTGTGCATCAATGACATAAAAAAACATGGAATGTAAATTTTTGTACATATAGGTGATAAATTTTTTCATCATATCATATTAAAATGATACTGAATTTTATATTTGAATTTCAAATATATGATACACATACATTATATATCATATCTTAAACACTAAAAATCAAGATGTATTCTACTTTCAAAACTTTAACTGATATAAATTACGTACTTAAAATCTCATTATATAAAATTTAAAATATTTTGAAATTCTTTATACTTTTATTCAACAAAATTCCCAATTTGTTTCATAAACAAAATAAGTTTGATATATCTTAATTTATATGGACAAGAACTAATTGTATGTAACAATACATTTTTTATGCAAATTTTTTTATCAAACATAATATATTGGATAACAAAAAATTGAAAATTGCAACATATTAAATATTTACGATTAACTATGACATTTAATAAAATTATAAATGATCACATTTTATTAATTTGTTTACATATAGATCTTCATAATTGTAGGTTTGTTGATTGTAACTTTACTTTGAATTTGAATTTAATTTGAATTTTACAATCAAGTTATACTTCATAATGTAATCAAATGAAAGACTTTATTTTTAAAAGTAAATGAAATGACATGTATCATGGTAATAATAATCCGTATGACTCTATATTTGTTTCTGAATTTGTTCGATGCACTATGATTGCATGTGCACATTTAAGACCAGTAAAATCAAATATTGTAAGTTGACATGCACAAATTTTAACACATTTTTTTTAATATATATATACATATATACATACATACATGTCAAACATCAAATGACTTGTCTTTGTATTCAGTTTAATGTGATGATACAATATCATACATTTGTAGCAATATTTTATATTGATCAAATGCTCTATGCACATATTTCTATTACAATGGTTTACTTTATTTTGTATCTAAATAAATATGCAAGTTTATCAACTTGATTAATCAATGAGTATGGATTCACTATGAGATTTAGTCAATTGTCAATTAATTAATTATCTCAAACCAAATATGTTTGGATTGATGTTTGAGTACAATGGACAAATCACATTTTAGGTACTTATCATTATATTAAAAGATTATGCTTTATGTGTGTTTAAGTTGTTGTTATAAAAATGTTTGTTATACAAAATTAATGGATGTCTATGACAAAAATTGTCAAAAGTCAAGGCTTCGGGTTTAGTTTAGCTATACATTATAATTTTAATAAAAAATATGAATGTACACACTTTGAGTTAACAATGATATTTGTTAAGATAAATCAAAAGTGAACTATACCTTCAATAATAAAGTATCGTCAACATCTCATTAGAGTTATCAACATTGGTTTGATTGTTATTTCTAATGGTGTGTCACATGAAATATATCGTGTAATTCAAAAACTGAATGAGTGAGATTTTTTCTATACAACTCATCTAACTATTGGTCGATGATGTATAGTTCCAGTGGTTATAAAAATTGTTCAAATCTCACTAGTATTCAAAGACGTTGATAAAAAAACATAATAGTTTCAGAAAATTAAATTCAAAAACTTCAGTAATCTATCATTTAATTAAATTAGTTAATGATATTGTATTTTTCATACGATTCAATCTTCAAATGTACATTGAATATAATTTATCTCATTATGATGTAATTTTTGTTGTTAATAAAGAACAGAATTGTTGTTTGAAATCAAAATGTTCAACATTTAACTGAGATGACATGAGTTCTTTGGCCTGTGTGTAATAATTATTTCACCTAAAATCTGCAAAGTACTAAATTGAAAAAGTACAATTTAAATTACAATGTCCAATGTTTCAGGTGATAAATATAAGTACATATATGATTACCTATTTTTAGTATTTTATTTATTCATAAAATGCTATTACACGATTATGATTAAAGTTTCAATATTGTGAAAAATCAAATTTGGAAAATTTGAGATGCATAACACGTTAATTAAAAATTTGAAAATTCGCTAAAAGCATGACATAATGTCAAATATTTATATTTAAATATTTTTTTACAATGGTGACTTGGTCATTAGTGCTTTTGAAGAGTATACGAATATTATTAAAAATATAAAGTAAAGAAATAAAAGTAAAATTTTAATAGAATAAAATTTTACTATATACAATATGAAATGATTTGTTCTTTGGAAATATCTGTATGATAAAATAAAATAAAATTTTGATGCTGATCTTAGTAGACCAACATAAACCATAAGTTGGATTTTTTTAAAATATAAATTAAACAAGCATAAAATCATATATATATATTTCTATTCTCTTCACTGTCAAAATATAATTATACACACATTTTTCATTTGTTTACTCTCAGATAGGAGCTCCAGGAAAGATCAGTTTCTTAATCAGAATTATATCATTGTTTGAAACTATCGATAGCCAGGAACTGCAAATGAATATTCTACAATTTGAAACGAGAATGTAAAGATGATGCATATAAATCGTATGATTTATATAGGCAATGCGGATCATTTGGCAAATCCATTGAAAATACCATTAAAGCGTTGACAAGAATGTAAATTTTGTTTCTCACAAAGCACATTGTGTACATCCAAATAGGAGATCGAAGTACACATGATACACAAGATGAAAAAATACAAGCAATCACATGTGTTATGCGAGGTGTCAAATTTTCAACATCCATTTTGGATGGTGATCTAAATTAGACCCAGTGTATATACTTATGGATGTGATATCCATGTGCGAAGAAAAGCAGAGCACCGAAGCTAAGTCTATCCGCCGTGGCAGGGCAGGCCGGAGTTGCTGGGGCAGTGCAAATAATCGGACCATCGATCGACCGAATCCGAGGAGCCCGATTCTGCACTCGAAATGAAATTGGCACGAAATTTGAAAGTTGGCGCGCGTCGCGGGCCGCGTTTGGAGGGAATTCGGGGATGGCAGTGAAAGGACGAACAAGAGCGATGGCTCTCGTCGGGAACAGAAGTCAGTTTGGGTGGGGGGTCCAAGAAGGGACTGTCAAATCGATGAGGTATGACAAATCGATGAGCTGAGCTCGGAATCGGGCGACCATTTTGTTCTCGCCTCAGAGCTGCAGAGCTGCGATTTCGGCAACCATGTCGCAGCAACAGTCTCTCTTCTCGTTTTATTCTAGAGGAGGGGCTGCGGCGAAACCGAAAGCAAATTCGCATCGATCGGATTTTTCGGTTGTGAAGCATGAACAACGTGAAGTCGCGGGTTGCAGAGAAGGGTATCATCTCGAGCAGGGAAGAAAGAAACTGGACTCTGCGTCGCAGGGGCAGAGTCTTTCGACGCAGAACGTCTTGCAGAGCATAGAGGAAAGATTTGTTCGTAGGGAGAAAGCCGTGAAGCCGATTGGGATCGTCACGACTGAGTCTAGAGAAACTAGCCTTGATCCTACAGGAAACAAGCGCATTCGTGAAACGGAGGAGAAATTGGTGTGTCCAGTTCCGTCCATTGCTCAAAATCAGAATTTGCAAAAGAGAAGAAAGCTTCTAGAGGCATTGGGAGCGGATGATGGTGTCGAGACGACGGGAGCCTGGGCGGAAGCCAGAGCTAAGTTCGAATGGATGACGCCGTCGAAGATTAGGGATGCTGAAAAGAGGAGGCCCTGCCACCCTGCTTACGACGAGAGAACTCTTCACATACCGCATGATGTTTTCCACAAGTTTTCTGCTTCTCAAAAGCAATACTGGACAACCAAGTGCAAATATATGGACACCTTGTTATTTTTCAAAGTGGTATGTTGCTACCATACAAATTGAGCATTCTCTCAATTTCCGCTCGAGTATTGCTCGGATCCAACGTCTGCGTCCGTCTTATTGCGAACCTTAAAATCAGAGTCTCAGATGTTGTGCCAACTGTTAGTAAATAGTTAGTTTGAGCTCGTGTTTAACTTTAATTAGTTACAGCTCATTAGACCTAGTTTTTAATTACGGTCGTTCATGGTTGGAATCTTTTCCTATTTCGTTTCTTCAAAGTGGTTTTACGACGATGCAGGGTAAATTTTATGAGCTGTATGAGCTCGATGCTGAAGTAGGACACAAGGAGCTTGACTGGAAGCTGACTGTCAGTGGTGTAGGGAAATGCAGACAGGTATGTTGAATCAGTTAGATTATAATGATTCGGAGTGATCAGCTCTTTGGAGATCACTTTAATGCGAAGAAAAAGGAGGCATACATTGTAGGATTTTATGAGTTCCACTTTTCATATATTTTTACATCACCAAGAAATATGCAGGCGTGAATATCTGATGCTCAATTTCTCTCATTGTAAAGCCTCTACGATATTTGTACGTGAAAGACACACCACGTGACTTTTCTTAGTGCGTGGATCTGGTGCACAGGTTGGTTGTCCAGAGAGCGGAATTGATGATGCAATTCAGAAGCTGGTCTCTCGAGGGTAGAGGGCCGAAACTTCTCCATCTGCTGATATAATTACCTTATGTCTTGAGTTGCACGTCTGTCATTGAAACCATTGGATGTTAATTTATGAAAGTTAAATTCTAAATGTAGATACAAAGTTGGTCGGATGGAGCAGATTGAAACGGCTGAACAAGCACGTGCGAAGAGAGGAGATAAAGCTGTGAGTATCTTATAATGGAGATAATCGAATTTTATTGTGCCTAGTGTTCTACAGTTCTGAACGTCTTGGCAAGAAACAGAAGAGAAGAATATGTACACAATCATTTAACTGGCGTTTGAATCTTGGTATGAGTTTCTGTAAGTTACTGATATGAATGGAATCCCTCCTTGCAGATGGTGCAGCGAGAGCTTGTTCAGATAATCACTCCATCTACAGTGATGGATGGAAACATCAAACCAGAGGCTGTCCACCTCCTGGCTCTCAAAGAGGTGCAATTCCTGGGTACTCTATTTCCAAACGTTGTTTATCGAAGTAAATTCCACATCTTCCGGATTTGACCGTGTCATAAGTGCTTAGATACTTGTGTTTTATTGTGAGTGTCACATATGACAGCATCGGCGTTTGTGATCAGGAGGTACGAGAAGCTACGAATCCCATTCCTGGGAAGGCAGACAAATTGGTGATAGCTATTGGTTTCGCCTTTGTAGATGCTGCTGCTGGCCGCTTCTACGTGGGGTCACTGTCTGATGATACCTCTCTCATCAATCTGAAGACGCTGCTCACCCAGGTTAGAACCTCCTCTACTTTGAGAACTCAAGTCAAGATAGGGAATTAACTGCTAATGTTAAGATGGTTGGACATGAAGGAGAAACAATTCTTGGGGTCTCACTCAATGGAATTCTCTTTTATATTTCTACAGGTTGCGCCTCAAGAGGTACTTTACGAAAGCGGAGGTGACGAAAAGCTTACCTTCGAATCAAATATCATTGCGTTGTTGTCTGTAGCTCCACTTTCTTCAACAGCTGCCTTTGTGTGTACATTGATCTTGTTAAGACGTCTATACATGTAGCATTTCTCTTTTCTGATCTTATTTTTTGGGGTTAGCTGCCTTCATGAATGATTGTCAACAAGCGTAATTAAGCTCTCCCGCAGGGACGAGCAGATATCAATTTCTGTATGCGCAACATGTTTTTACTTCGACCCTTTTGAATGATATATTAGTTGTCTTTGTGAATGATTGTTAGCAGGCATATCGAAGGAATCTCTCCGAGCTCTGCGGAGGTTGTCTGCACCAGGTACTACCTTGTTCAGTGGTCATGTCATTTGGTTACTGATGCATCCTTCTCTCCTACAGTAATCTCCTCAATAGTCTTCAGTTCAATCAGCCGAAGGATGATCGTTGGCAAACAACTCACGCTATTCACATGCAGGTTTACTTCCTGTTACACTTACTCCTCTCCAACCTAGCTTGGAATTTATGGAAGCTGGTGACGCAATCCGCATGCTACGGTCAAATCGTTACTTCACGGATTCCTCGGACAATAATTGGCACACCGAAGGCGACGATTCGTGGCCAACAGCACTGAAATTGTCAGCAGATATTCCTCTGGCTACTTCCGCTCTGGGAGCTCTTGTTTCGCACTTGACCCGCATGAAGGTACATTTATCTATCTATATGCGTAGAGTGGATTCTCTGATGTTTCGGAGTGATTAGTAACATAGTTTTTCTTCCTTACTACGGAGAATTCTATCGTGAGTTCAGAAATCAAAACAACCAGGACATTTTATCTACCTGGCTTGGCGTTTTTTCTCTTTCAAGGATGCCAGAGAGAATTCAAAGCTTACCAGGGAAAACGAGGGATTTTTCAGCAGTATGAATGCTTACAGCACATGTTACCAGCACAATCGTTGTCTCTAGTTAAAATCACTCACTATACTCGAGAGGAGGCCGGATGAGTTTTATAAAGCTTTCTCATTCCTGGGAATATCAGCAGGATCTGTAATAGGCCAGGTTACGTACTTTCAGGGACATTACTTACATGCTCGTCCACATGTTGCAGTGTGATGGTGAGCTTCTTCCAAACGGATTTCTCTGCCCATACGAAGTTTTTAAAGGCTCTCTGCGGTTGGATGGACAAACTGTTTCCAATTTAGAGCTTCTTGAAAATAGAGACGACGGTGGAAAAGCAGGTGCCAGACTCCAGCCCCTCATCGCCTTATTCAGTACCGTTATTCGATGGCTTTGTCGTAACTTCTATCGATAAGGATACATATCAATTAATTAATATTCTCTTTGCTTGAACAGGGACCCTTTTTAATTATCTTGACAGTTGTGTCACGGGTTTTGGTAAGCGACTGCTTCGTCGCTGGATATGCCATCCTCTTCGGAATATTGGAGATATACATTACAGATTGGATGCTGTTGATGAGCTGAACTCCTGGCCAGAGATGACGTGTTCTCTAAGAGCAGGTTTGAGGAAACTACCTGACTTAGAGCGGCTAATTGCTCGAATTCGGAATCTCAGTTTTTCTCCTCTGGCAGGAATACCAACTGCGGCAAAGAAAGTACATCAGAGAAAGGTAACTTCTCTAGGTCCATTTTCCTCCTCAGGAAAGTCCGTCAGTTAAGCGAATCCTTTGAAGCTACTTCTTGTTAATTGGTGATATCGTGCTCTTGTGGATGTTTGTTATCGTTTCCACTACATATTTTTTCTTATACGTCTCCATTGTTTCCTCCATGTATTCGCTTTGTTTCCATCGTGCTTTCGCCTTTTTCACCTTCGCTTGTAGACAAGGGAAGGTCAAAACGTCTAGGTCTGCCTCCCCGTTGTACCTGTTCATTTGTCCTTCAGGTTATCAACTTGGACTTCACTTCACCTTGCTGCTGAATCAAAGTCTTCGAGTCTTAAGAAGCTATCTCAGTACGAGCATCTGAATAGAAATATAGACACGGTTTTTGCAAACTTAAAATAATAGTAAGTTATTCCCCCTCGTTCTAATAATTTATCTCTTGTCCCTGTCTTCTTGTCAGAGAACACAAAGTCGGGAAAAAAATTGGAAATCAATCTGAGTAATGTACTCTGATCTGCACCCCTAGCTGTTGTCGGTCTAAGAATATTCTAGGAAACCTTCCATAGCCCTCAAATATCATAAGGCCTTCCTTCCAGTCATATGTCTATGGACGTTCTTCAAACCATCTGTCTCGCCTTAGGGGAAAGTGTCTAGCAAGTTACTGCGAACAAAGGATAATCTATATGTGGTTCCTTCAGTCACTATAGCGCGCATTGCCTGTAAAGTTAGGTGTCGCTGTGTAATTTTTCTCCATATTGACTAATGCTACGATCAATGAATGGTTCTTAGGAGACTTGAGATCAAGATCGTACAGCTTATGAATTGTGAAGATGATTTTTCTTAAGCGGTCGTTTGCGGCTGCCGAAGATTACTTCAACTACTTTGCTGAAATGCTTGTTCCATACTAATATCACTTGATAGGCCATGTTTGAGTATCCTTTCCTTTTTCTGGATATCATTGCTTAATTTTTGGGATTAAAGGAAATCTCTAGCGATTATGCAGATCTCTTTTGTTCTTTGTAAAAGTTGACTGCAACACAAGCGGTGACTGTAATCCATCTGACTTCGTCTTATACACTTCTGATGATATAAGCATCCTTCTGTGGCTTCTCTTTTCTCCTAAAAAAACAACTCTCTAGCATATGACGTCTTTAGTATCTACTGATCTTTGCACAATCACGTAGTGGAGTTTTAGATTCTTCAATCCCTGTTTGGTATTTCAGTAATTTTGTCTAACGCTTACAGGGTTTCACTTTTGGGGCATTTTATGTTGCATTTATCACTTACATTATGCTGTTTCTCTCTCTTGTTGCAGTTAAAAGCATTTTGCTCAACAGTTCTTGGAGTGCGCGCAGCTGGAGAACTACTTCTTTTAATCAACAATTTACGTTCTGATGGAAACATAGAGTTGAAGTCCAAATTTTTGCAGGCAGCTGCAGCACTACCATATCCAAAACCTGTTGAAGCTTGTCTGAAGGAACTGGAGTTGGGGATAGATGCGAGCTGTAAAACATGCAGATTATCGAAATCACAGGAGGTTTGTGCTAAGGTCTTCGTCGGTTGGCAGCCAAATCTGAGCTTTCTGTTTGCTATAGATAGTTAGAAATTTTATAGATTTTTCTCTTTCTACAATGTCTCGTCTTTTTTAGAGTTTGGGCGGGTTCTTCAAATTTTTGGTAGTAGAGTAGTTGGAAGTACAAAGGTTCACAGACTCGACCTTTTAGCTCTAAACATGAAAGGTGAACCGCTGCATATATCAGGAATTCGGCTTAATAAATTGTATTTTCATGTTTATGACTGCAGGGTAACTATGTGGACGATGATGAGCAAGAAGACGAGTGGGAAGCAAGGAGACTGAGCCAGCTCATTGATATGTTTAATGAACACACCTCCTTTTGGGTGAAGCTTGTGGATACATTGGGCCAGCTAGATGTGTTGATATCTTTCGCTTCAACAATAAGTGCAGCAAATGGTCCCACATGCAGGCCTCAGTTGGTACCAAGTCCCTGTTTACCGAAAGGAGGCTCTGTCCTTCATATCGAAGGCCTATGGCATCCATATGCATCAGGAGGTCAGGATGGTGCTTTTGTACCTAATGACATTGAACTCGGCCCCGTTAACGCGTCAAGGATTGCTCCGCATGCTATGCTACTAACTGGTCCAAATATGGGAGGCAAGTCAACTCTTCTTCGAGCTACATGCTTGGCAGTAATCATGGCACAGGTCAGTATTCTCCTGTGATTGGCCTTCGTTTCTGGAAACATAGTAAGACCTTTTGTTCGGCACAGGTATTGCTCTTTGCACAAACTGTAGTTGCTTGTAGTGCTTGCAAACACTTCAATTCAGGAAAAGTGTCGAACGTTTCAGCTTCTTCTGCTTTGCTCTTGTCTTTGAATCAAAGTCTCTATTGCTAATTTTAGGATTGTCCGATGTGTACTTTTTCCATGTATGCAGTTGGGCTGCTACGTACCCGGTGAAGCATGCAAATTATCACCTGTGGACACCATCTTCACTAGATTGGGTGCGAGTGATCGCATCATGGCTGGGGAAAGTAAGAAACTCGTACTGTAACCCTTCATTTTTGTCCGTACCTTGTAAACCACAGTAGCCGGACACGACATTTCTAAACGGAAGGACCTTTATACGTAGCGTCCACAAAACAGCTCCTACATTCTGATATTGTTGACAGCGGAAAATGTTTCATACTCATACAATACTTAATTACATCCAGAAGCCTACTTAGGTCGATAACCGATGGAAACACCTACGTCAGAGTAAAGGTCAAGAGATTTTGTTGCCGTGTACATGCCATTTAGTAGTCTTTGTTGGAGCACGACTTCAGAGTGAGATGTGCAAGGGAAAGAAACACTACAGAAAAAGATATTGTAATAGAGGAAGCTACATGTGTCTTAGGTAGCGTGCTATGTGATGACAGGAATGCTAGAAGTGCTGCTCCGAAGGTAACGACCTTGGTTAGCTGTGAAGCTTCGGGTGGGTGCTACTTGCTCTTTCTCAGCAGGTGCTTCGTTTTTTTGTCCAGGCACCTTCATGGTTGAGTGCAACGAAGCAGCTTCTGTTTTACATCATGCAACAAGTGACTCACTCGTAATACTGGATGAGCTGGGCCGAGGAACATCCACTTTTGATGGCTACGCAATCGCTTATGCTGTGAGTGACAATTTTTTTTTCGCTCAAACCGTCTGAATGCTCTTCTCCGTTCGCTGTTTGTTCTTTCTTCGGGGCTACACTTCGTCGCATCTGGTCCTTAAGTTCGTTGTGATATAAAATGCACCAACATAGAATTAAGTCTCCTGTCCTGGTTCTTTGTAACAGGTATTTCACAGACTCGTCAACAGTCTTGACTGTCGCCTAATTTTTGCTACACACTATCATTCTCTTACTGAAGAATTTGCAACAAACCGTGACGTCAGCCTTCGTCACATGGCTTGCTCCTTCCAGAGCCGTAGTTCTGGGAAAGGTGGGCAGAACTCGTCAGAAAAGAGCGACTGCGATCTTGACAAGGAATTAGTGTTCCTGTACAAATTGACTGAGGGTGCCTCCCCCAAGAGTTTTGGGTTACAAGTAGCTCTACGGGCAGGTATTCCTGGTTCTGTTGTAAAAGCTGCTCATACCGCAGCTAATGCGATGCAGGAATCCCTCCCAGAAACATTTGTTTCAGGAGAAAATTCTAGTGGGTGTAGGTCAAATCAGAGGCAGTTGTTACAGACGATACTCCAGAGTGTCAACCATAAGATTGGAGTGGAAGCATGTCGTGAGAAGAATATTTCTTACGATCTACTTCGAAGTGCCTGGCAAAGTCTTCAGTGCAAAGCAGGAAGTGTCGAGGTATAGAGCCGTTTCTCCGCTCAAGTAGGCGTTCGATGTGTCGGGGAAAGCAAAGGTTGAGAGGTTTTTCTCGAAGGGAGAATGTTTTGATGCATTCGTATGAGTAGTAGCGTAATGTGTACATATTGAGAACGCTGGAATTTCATCCACCAGTTGTACATAAAGCTATTTTTGTCTAGAATTCACTCACTCAAGTTAGGAATGTGGTGCCTCTGCAAGCTACGCTTGATGAAGTAACCTGTCCAGTAGCTTAGCTGTCACGTTAAGCAGTAAAAATTTTGCGGCAGATTGCTTTGACGTGTTCGTGTTATTTTTCCAAAGTTTGTAGTGCTGAAGCAGATCTTGCCTTTTCCAGCGACAAGTGACGGGTTTGAAGATTATCAGGGTTTTCCATGAGTCTTACAGCGCGGTCACTTTTGTCTGCCGTCAAGGATTGTCCTCCTTAGTCTCCTTACTTCGTATCGTCTTTCACACATCAAACTTTCCAGAGCGTCGGCAACCTTAATCTCTAATCACTGCTGGAAGCCCGCATTTGCGAAAATGGTCGTTACAAGCTGCCGTAACTTGTTATTTTACGCGTGACCATGCAATAAAACACGAGCTAATGGTCTCCTAAAACTTCGATCATACGCGTGCACACTCAGTCAACCAACCACTTCTTCCAGTCACTGTTAGCCTGTGGCGATTGGGACTGCAAATGGAACTTAAGCATTCTGAGTCTTCTCAGCTCCACTGACGAGCGGACTTAAGTTTTCATGCTTGATTAAGATCATAATCGTACCCGGCGAGTGAGGCAATCTCGATATTAATAGCCGTCATCGAGTAGAGAGTTCAAGAACTGGAAGGTTCAACGGAGCACGCAGCACCTGTCATGAGTGGATGATGATACATCATTGCCCAAAACACAGAATAGCAACTGTCAGTGTATATTTGCTTTTGTACAGGACTCTCGAAACCATCCAGGATAGAATCTGGACTTCAGCACATGAGGGCGTGTAGCACTCAAAGCATCTGTCACCTTCAGTTAGCATGCATGGTTCCAGGAGCAGCATCGGCTGCTTATCTTACTGACGTGTTTCTACATTGTTCCATGGTTTTGCAGTCCAGTGTTCATAGCGGTGCCGCAACCGCAATACGCAATACGCAAACCGCAAACCGCTGAAGAGCTGAGCACGCGCTTCCTCCTCGTGGTGTACTTCCGGAGGCGCTAGAAGCTCTTTCTTGGGTCGTGAACGTTTGTTAACTCTCCTTCTTTGCCGGTGTACGTCTGTTGGTGTGAGGGGAACGTCCACTTTCGGCCCCTGCTCTCGGTTCTCAACGGAATTCGAAGTGTACAGCATCTTTCTTGGCTTCGAGCTCTGTCGCAGAAACTTCATCGGCCGTCTTTTGGAAACGAACGCATGGATGATGGAGAATAACCTCGAAGATCAAGAATACGGTCGGTCCCACCTTCATGGTTCGGATGACTCTATAGCTGCTGCATCGCCTGTCCAGCCAAGAGTTCGTGGAGTCTGTACCGCTAGCATCTAAGACGATTTCATGCACAGCGATGCAATGCTTTTCATCAGCTGTAGCAGCTGCAACACTTCTTGATCATACAGCAGAAGGACGGAATTTGCACCGAAAGTTAGTCGGACGACGAGTTCAGTCATACTCCCTCCCGCAGTGCGTACGAAGTATGGTCCAGCTGAGCAGCAGACACTCGCACCCGATTCACGAGTTTTGCCTAACCTCGATGCGTATCAGAGCGCAGCCCCCAATCTCGACGCCTGCGAGGAGTCTGTACTTGAAAGGTAAATATTCTTCCAGTGTACTGTTTCCTTAGCAATCATTCCAGCGTCAGGACAGGAGCTTGTTATGGCTCTCGAGCATAATTTGCCCACGTATTCATCCAAGATACGCATAAACTGTAGGTTTTACATAAAAGATGGAACGCACTCATTAGCTATGAGTGAGAGTGAGATTCCGTTAAGTCTGTGATGTAGCGTTTTATTTCATTCGCCTGTTGGAGGCGAATGAACTACAAGAAGTGGCTGAATCTGCAACGGTTGGTTCGACTCATAATTACGAATCTCGGTGTTCTCAATGCTCACATGTCCCAAGTAACTCAAAAAGTCCTTGGAAACAAGTGACGTAGCAAAATGGATGGGATAGTCCCGATATCACAACAATGTGAACTTTCTGCTAATGCACCAAAGGTATTTGAACACTCATATAATATAGCACGTGGAGATAAAGATAATGGTCACGGAGTAATGTAGCAAAAATAGGATGGGATGAAACTATCTTGTCACGTAGTGATGAAATCAAACGTATTTACAATTAGCGAGCCCCTATCACATCACAATGGTTAATGTTTTCGATTGAATCTAAGATATCCGGAACTTTAGTAACACCCGAATAAGAATCACATAACTTGATATCTCTAAATATTTGATTAAGTTACTTAATAGTTATCCTGCGGATCTTATTGATTAGTTTTATATGGAAAGCAATGTAGTCTATTTTGAGTATAATAGATTACAGAATATGATTGGAATAATCTGCTACCCATTGTATAATGGTATGTTAGTCTCTCTGCACTCTCTTCCGGTAGTTTAAAATTACTCAGTAGCTCCATCGAGATTTAACCTCTTTGGATGCAATTGAAACTTTGGCTAGTGATTCGGCGAAGCTAGAATTCTTACACAAGTAGTCCAGACATGACGATGATTGATAATGTGGTGACCTGTTTTTCTAGATGAACATTGGATGAACATGTTGGAGTTTCAGCTAGTGGCTGGCAGAGGAGACAGAATCAAGCATGAAATAGTGGAACTTCACCCGCCCTCTTACTCCTCGGCAGTGTATGAAGATAAAGAACCGCAGCTCCAAAATACCATTTTCTGACACTGCCCAGCGTTGTCTGTACTATTCGCATTCTTTGTCTCAGATCTGGAACGTTGAAACAGATCCCAGATCTACTGACAGTCTGAGAGTTTCACCACCGTACCTCTGCAGATTAAACTCTTCGACGCAATGACAAACATGTGACCTGCTGATGGCTCGGAACCTCCAAACAAGTAGAATGTCGATGCAGTCATTCGGAGTCCCTCGAAGCCACAAGATACACCGAGACGATCTGCGTGAAGGTCGTGGGAGCCGGCCTGCAAATACAGTACGACTGTATCGTTTCTCTCCACAGTCGTACGCAGGCATACAAGTTATAAGTCACGTGTGTATCGATTGGGGAAGAGTGGGCTAATGTGAACCGGAGTGAAGTGAAGCTCTTAGCGTGTAGAATCGATCAGTCGGACCGGGTTTTTCCGGGCTAAGTTACAGGTAGTGGCACTGTGACCAGTGCGGGGTTTGGGATGGGTTGGGCTGTTGCCATTGTCTAGTGGCAGATAGTCCCAGGACCAGTACCCGTACAGGCTACATGTCTATCGTTTGCCTGGAAAGTGCAATTAGAAGTAGGTAATTGTACTGTACTCACGAGAACTTTTCTGAAAGTTGTCCCCGGCCTTACCTCCATTCAATTGTGGAGCAAAGAGTCCGGCTCTTCAGAACGGATTCTGCTACTCTATGTGGCCTCTCTGTTTCCAGACTTTCCACTGTTTGTTCCTCTTCTAAGTGCCTGCCTGCCTGCCTGCCTGCCACCAGCTAGTTAGCTAGCGAGCGAGCAAGCGTCGGAAAATCTCCAGACTGCAGTCACCACGAAGAAATGAGAACCCAAGGGCCTCTGCTATCTGAGCAAAGGCTCCAGATCGATACTCGCATATCGAGTTCTCGATGTCCCTCGGAATTTGGCTAGAACCGTGAACGCTTGAATACATGCGTTTTCGGAATTTCGAAGCAGTAAACACTTGTTGCTCGATTGTACTTTCGAAACGTCGATCCTGTTAATAGGAGGAGGAGGAGGAGGAGGTCGAGACCGAGTCATCCTCGAGACAAGTTGTTCGGTCCAGTGGGAAACTTGGACTCGGACATCCGAGCACGCCCGCCGCTAGATCAGCGAGCGACGTCGAGCGAGCTTCGTCGCATGATCGATGGCGTGATCTTCGTGTTCACTGAGGCCTCGGACGGACGAGTTTTTGCTGCTAAACGAACCTCTTAAAGCTCGTACGCTAGTTAGGGAGTTTGCACTAGGTGAGGAGAGAACAAAATCAGAGACACTGACCAATGGTACTGAATTCTCGACTTCTTCATACTCATGCTCTCTACTCGGTGACTGGTAGTTTGTGGAGAAGATCGCAGGAACCACTGACAAGGACATACATACTGCGAAATCCTTGGGGTTAATTGAACGAGTTTTTTGCGCGGGACTTGAGACAGGGAGACAAACTCAAGGAGTCTGGGGTCCACAGATGCAGTACACACCTCAACCAGCATGCTCTCAGTGTCTCCACAACTGCCTCCTCCTTCTATCTATGGCTCGACTCTGAGAGTCTGTGCAGATCTCCAGTATTCTTGGAATCGAACCGGCAAAGCAGTGGGCACCATCTGTCAATCTGTTCACCGCAGATGCTGACAAACAGATTGGTTGGAACATGGAAGGCAGAGCTGGGCTCTGTCTGTCTTAGCTTAGAAGAAGAGTTAGATAAGAGCGCAGCCGCACCGAACTGAGGCTCGGATTTAGCTTGGATCCACACTCCTTGGCTTTTACATAAACAGAAAGAGAAAAGAGGAAACTGAGACCTCGCTTTCTCGAGCAGCAGCAGCCCGCACACCTACTTCAGGTCTAAGATTGGGCTTGTGTAAGAATCAGAAAGCTTGTCCTACGAGAAAGGACTCTTGGATCTGCCACCGTGTGCCAACCGAACTGAGCGTCTGTAGAAGGAGATCGCAGGCACGACATTGTACGATCGAGTGTTTCATACATCACGGGCTATTCTAGTGCACCCTGCGACAAACGACTCGAGGTATGGATTGGCAAGCTGCTGCTCGAGGCCAGCTGGTCTCACGACGAGTCGCCTGGGTGGGGTGGGGTGGGGTGAATATCGCTGAACATGTGATTCGTGGCCAGCGTAATCTCGTTATCAGTGAACCTACGATGTCTTCATTCCCAGATACTGCTGACAAAAGACAATCAGAACCTCAAGAGAGGGGAGGGTTGATACAGAGAGCAAGTACAGACAGAGAGAGAATGAGGTGAGGCTCTTGTAGTTTGAAGATGTCTACATTGGCGGACCTCCTGGCGTGTAGTTCTTCTTTCATTCAGCTCGAGTGCAAGCACAGAGTCTACTGGGTTTGAACTTCGCAGCTCACTCACATGACGCTCCTCAATTGAATAGAATCTCGGCGACCTCGATTCGTTCACTCTGCAGCTTAGGATCAGAGACCACATTCATGGCGATTTTGCTTTGACCGACGCATGTAGCAGTTCTCTAGATTCACCCCCATCCTTCCCTTGTCGACTATATACACCGATTGTGTCTGACCATGGGCACTGAGCCAGCCATTTGGGCTGTTGATTGGTGTAATTGTAGCCAGCGAAAAGAATTGGATCCGTTTTCTTTCTCATTCACCGAATATACTTCTGGGAACCAGCTGGACTACTGAGCAGCGAACGACAGAGGGATTCCATGGGGGAAATACGGATTTGTTGCAGCAGGCTAATCCTTCAGTAGCACGAGGTATTATCAGACGTGACAACTTTAACCCATGGGGGCTTCTTTGGTACAAGTTCACCATTCATAATATATCATATTGATCTGGAATTGCCCACTTTCAGGCTTTTCACTGTCTGACTCCCTCGCTCCTGTAGAATGTGGTACCGGGCAGTCTGGGCCACTCGAGCCGACCATCCGATGCAGCTTTGAGAGCTTGAACGTGAAAACGTTTCCAATTCGTATAAAGCTGCAGCCCTTTCCACGCCTGGAGAAGCGAGCACCAACTCCCCCGATGGATGGATGGATGGATGGATGGGCCGTGCCTCAGGTCTCACAATACCAACGACAGAGGAAGAAGAAGAGAAGCTCAGCACCAACCCAACCCAACCCAATCCATCCCTCCCTAACTCGGGTTAAGGTTGTACAAAACCCAACCACAATGAGATGGTGACCAGTCCAGCCCATTCCATTCCATTCCATGAAGTGGAACTTGGTCAGAAGTCGAGAGGAGGAGTGAGGGACTGAATGGATCTGGCCTCGGAATTCGTCACAAATGGACAAGGGACTTGGCAGCAGCGATGCTGCCGAGGTTGTCACACGAGCCGAAAGTCGACTGCTAAAAGGTGCTGCGCCTTGACCTTCACCGTCATGACCTTGGCATGACACGAAATGTCTTCGGGATGAGGTAGGAAGGTCGCCCATGTCCCGTCCCGAGCACAGAAAGTACATGAGCACGGCACGACCAAAGCTTTGACGCCAACCACCGAAGCAGCTTCTCCACAGAATGCAGTCAAGTGAAGTGACTGACTGGGGAATTGGTCCCAATTGGGTCTATTTCTCTCCTTCTCCATCCATCGTTCCATCAATTCGTGACCCACCCTACCCTTCGCATCGCCTGCACAATGCAAATTGCGTGGTTCCCGATTGGGGGAGATCAAACCGACTCGAAGGTAGCCCCTTTATTAATCGGTGGTACTTTTGTCGCGACTAACTAACACACCACTGCATTGAACTGCCATCTCCTCGTGAGTAGATAGAGCTTTCTGCTGTGCTGTGGTTCGGTTCAGACTCCAGACGATAAATGGGCGCAGCAGAATACATTCAGCTGCTGTGCACATTCTTCCATCTTTCAGTTCAATTTGGGTACGATTTGGGCACCTCTAGCTTCCACAAATGGCTTGCCCTGCCCTCCCTGTGCACTTGTAGTCAATCCACCAACCAGCTCATAAATCAATCGCTTGCACAATCACAAACACAATGACAATTCTTTTCCAAGTGGGTTACTCCTAATTTTACTTGTTTTTTCTTCTCCTAGCGATGCATATTTTTGCAATTTGGGGGCTTGGTCCACATGTAGCTCAGGTCACCTTCCCTATACATTTCTCGAATGCATTGTTAAGAATTCAGTACATTTAAGCACAATGTCCCTCATTCATGTGACCATGGCGTACAGAATGTTACAATTCAGCTTCGAGGAATTAAAGCTCTTGCAGTGTATGATATCCCAACGCAACTACATTCTGAATCTCTATAATTTTGAAAAGTGATCTCCAAGGCTAACTACATTGAACTCCATGTTTCTTAACAACACAATTATCTATAATTTGCATCCAACTCGTTAAGTAAGGAAGACAAATGGCAAATTTCAACACATAATATTACAACCAATATCACAATATATAGATACCATCTACCAACACAAAGATACAAACAGTTTTACATCCCATTGATCATAATATATGTATTCATTTAGTTTAAGCTATAGTTTATACTACAAGTCTAAGACAAGGAGTTGGATCTCTATTAGTTTCAAATCTACAATACTTACAATGCACTAATGGAATCAATTGAATTTATTAGTTTGACATCTCTTTAGTAAACTGAGCATTGGATTTTAAAATTACATTAAACATGAAAAAAATTCATATTTCTATTAAAAAATCAATAATTCACATAATATTCATCTCAAACTGCACACTTGCACATAGCTTGGATGCAAAGCATTTATCAATTTTCTAAAATTGACTTGATATATATGTCTTATCTAGTTATATGAAATCACGTCATTGAAGATCAAAAATTTTCATATTACATTAACATTAGCAAATGTTTTTGAAAATCATTGAGCTAAAATATCATAAACTTTTATATATATATATATATAGGATTATTCATTCATTCATGCATTAATAGCCATACAGATGATAAGCAATATGATTAATGCAATACTGTATACATATTCAATATAAATTTGAAGTTTTTCTATCACTTATTTGACTTAAATTAAATAAATTTTATATAAATCTATTAACAATAAAAATTCAACATGTACGATTGTTGAAAGCTTTTGAATATTAAATGATTAATTCAAAACTAAAATTTCTAATTGTGTCAACAGATAGCTATTGATACATTAAATTTTTTATCATAAAATCAAAATTTTTATAAAAAAATTTGATAAGTCTAGATTCACTTGATATTTTTTGTAATCAATCATGATAGATTTACATCATGACGTCATTATCTGAATAAATTTTTTTATGTCAGTAAAAACTAGATTTTTAGATAGAATATTTGATTATTATAATTAACTTTCTAATCTAGTCATATATCATATAACAAATTTCAAAATTTTTGTTCAAGACACTTTTAAAAAAGATATAAAGATTAATACTCAAGATACACGTAATGTTAGAAATGAATTCTCATCTTGGTGGAATCAAGTTCATTTGACCTTGGTTGTTTAAGTTTGTTGGATTCACATGGAGGTAATCCAAAGTGATAAATCACGTATCTATCTATGAGCTGGATCTTTTCATTTTTCGGTTTCAAAGTTCTATCAATTGATATTAGCAATTCGCAATTTCAAAATGAGTTTATTGTCTAGTTCCTGTATCACCGCTAGCATCGTCTTTGCAAAGCACCGTTATGACATCAATTGATGAGGATAAACCTACACAATTCACCCAGTTCCACACAATAAGAGTTTGAAAACAAATTTTTTTGTTCATCTACAGAAAGGTTACGTCGGAAACAAAAATGTTTCGCTTAAAATTATAAGAGTTACAATAAATATCTATAAGATTCTGATACTATACATGAAATACTTTTGTATAGTATCAGACTAACACTGATTCTGTATAAAGCTCTTTCATTACATAACAAAAAATATAATTATCTATTTAAATAATCATTTTATATGTGTAGAATTTTGAAATTATGCTCATTTATCATAATTGAAACAAATAAGAAAAATTTGCAACATATAATTTATGAAATGTATATTTAAATTTATTTTATGCTTAAAAATATCGAGTAAACATATTTTTCTTCGGTTTTAAAATATCATAATTTATAAGAAATATAATTAAGGAATATATAATCATAATCTTAACAAAGAATTATCTCTTATCATTTATTACATCAAAGGAAATAATTATATTGTTCTATTTTATCGTAGTTCTGATAAACTTGAATACACTTAGTGATATGACTTGTTATATCAAGTTTTACCATATATAAAAATTTGTATGTAGCATAAATCTGAAATTGTAATATGAAACATGCAAATATAACAAAAATAGGTACAAGCTAAACATATCATACTTTCTTCAAATATTTCAAGTTCATTTCACGTTGATCACATACCTTTTTTATACTTGAGCAATAATCAAAATCACTTTTTTCCCTTTTCCACCTACTCACTATTTATAATCTAAAAATAATACCTTTCAGTACAACTTGTAAAGTTATTTCAATTTTGATCTCGTAAATGTGTAATCATTCGTTATTCTAACCAATATATAGTGACAATAATGTCTATGGAAATAAAGCAGATGATAATTTCTTATGGCAGCAGAGTCACAGGAGGATAGCTTCACGTTGGACGTGAACAGTGCAATTGGCACTATCATCTCCCATCTTGCATGGAACTGTCGAGGGGTGACGCCAAATTGGCAGTGACAAAATAAAATGCTTTCTCGATGCTATTTGGGCTAGCTTTATATTTGTCACCAATTTGTATATCCACGTTCGTTTGAGGTGAACAAGTACGCCCCCTTCGTGATCCACTGGTTTGCTCTGAGACGCTATCTCTATCTAACACTTTCTTCATCTTCCGCTATTTGTACTGATTCTTTTCCATCGGATGCTCTTGGATTCGTTGGTTTTAATCCACGTACGATTCGATGAGCTTCCTATTATCTTTGTTCTTATAATTATTTTTCTCGAGTTATTTATGCTCATATTGCTCGCATAGCACATGAGAAAAGAGAGCAGCTTTTCTCGAGCACTCTCAGACGCTATCTATATCCTACGCTTTCTTAATCTTCCGCTATTTGTGCCAGTTATTTCCCATCGATGGGTTTCCTATTGTCTTTTTTTATTTATGCTCATATTAGCTATTTATTTTAATAAGTTATTAATGCTCATATTGCTCGCATGGCACATGAGAAAAGAGGGCAGCTTTTCTCGAGCTCTGCGGCTCGACGTGAGCCATTTGGAGTGGGCCCCAAAACCAGGAACACAATACCGCTAAAGTGACGACACCCTCTTCTTCCCCTCCCTCCTCCGCCGGAGCCGGAAACCAGAGTGTCCCCTCCGGACTGTCGTGTCTCGATCGACCTCCGGTCCGAGCTTGCACATAGAGACCGGTATCTGAGAAGACTCTGACCATACCTCGAAGAATCTGACGGTCGCTTCGTCTAGTTGCATCGGACGGTCGCCAGTGCGCGCACCGCATCTTATCTCTCTTCATTCCTCAGGATTAAAGTCGGACTCGGTGCAGTACTTTACTTTACAAGCCCAAAGGCCACCGAAAAATGGCCTCTTTCGTCAGACTAGGGCTCCTCATGCTGTCCAAGCTCTGACAAAGATAGATAGAGATAGATACCTGAGATACCTGGGACATTTTAATATTCTTGCCATTATTAATTTTTTTAATCTTACATACGAAGTACGCAGCAAACTAAGGCGTACATCGTATTGCAGACGACTTTGTCTGCAGTGAAGTATCCGTTTCTTTGTCGGAACGTCGATTCTGACGGTGGGTCCATGTGATGTACAAGACGACCGTCGTCCCTTCCGATAGGAGTACTTGACATTCCTTGCCTTTCCTTGATCTTATAAAACAGTGTATTAGAAGATTTGGTGTATTAATTGTATCACCCGAACAAAGGTGTGCAAAATCGGGGTCCTTGTAAAGTGAAAGCGGGGTGGTGGTGGTTCGAGAAAATGTTTCTGGCACTACTGCATTGCATTTAATCAGTTCCTTAATTTAGCCAGGCACTTGAAGGCCTGAAGACTTTTTGGCTAAAAATGAAAGTCAGGGATCTTGACCTATACTACAAGCCAAGCCAAGCCAAACCAGCCCTCGCTTCTTTGTTAAACGAGTCAGAGGGAAGTGGACAGCGCCGATCCAAAACAAGAGTACACGCTGGACTGCACTCCATCGTGTCTCTTCCATTATTATATGGAAGTTTACATGATGACTCCTCCTTCTCGATTTGACTCTTTGATTTTCTCTTGCTTTCGGCGTTTTTCTATTTACTTACTTATTGTAACTTGTGAACACTGTACTTACATAACTTCTTTTTCTTACGTACTTGCTTTCTTATTACAACACATGATGTTCGTTTGTACAAACATTTACTTTAAACTTTCATTCATTTAAGTAGAAGTAAAATTAGCGTAGATGTAAATTTTAGTTAAGTTTACTTCATATCTACTAAATTATTGAAATACACTTTATCAAAATCCTTAAATGATGGAATTTTTTAAATTTAAAATTTTACAACATCATTGAAAATTATATATATTGTTGAAAATTCTAAGTTTTCAAATTTTGATTATGTTATTTTTGAAAACCAAGAAAATTAATAATTAAATTGAAAAAAATTTGAACTAGTGAATACTGATAAAAAATTATTCTTGCTTTTTGGACAGCAAATTTTTTTGATTGAAATATATCCCTTGTTTTGACAAGAAAACGGAAATATAACTTTGAAATTCACTTCTAATAATGTTCACAAGCGTTCAAATTATTTTTTGAGCTCCTTTTACTAGTAATGTCAGCATTTGAACTCATATATCTAATTTTTTTTTTAATTTCATTACATTATACTCACAAGTTAAATTCGATATTCTCATGTCACTCTTTCAACTAAGCGATTATCATAGTTATTATGTTTCGACATCAATATAAAAACTAGAAGTAATATCCCAGACATATTTCATCATACCTAGTCGATGAAAGCAATGTATCACAACTCCTAATGAGAATGAATTATGGCAGCATCCAATCGTTACATTGGATTATTCTAAAAGACAGTTCTCATCGACTTTGATTTACAAGTCCGCCGTTAGATTATTGTCTACATAGTATATAAGTAAATGTACATTACTATTTACTTCGGAACAGGATAATAATTCCAAACATCGACTATAAAACTAAATCGTTGAGCCACACTGTTGTTGATCACTATCAACTGATTTTCAAAATAACACGCTCCACCAAAAAATTTCCTCTACTCTCCGGTGAGCTCTGTCGGTTTAGGAAATCCATCATTCGATCAGCTGATTTTGTGAATCTGTGAAAATTCTCTCACCATCCGGTACACTTGGTACGGTAGCTGGTTGATTTTAATATCCGGTTTATTTCGTTCGTGACTGAGAGGAAGCCATGAATAAATACCTCGTTGAACGGTTTGGCATCGGCGCCCGCAGAAATGAGAGGCAGAGGCTGTACTGCTTGTGGGCCCTGAACTTGGTCGTTAAATCTTTGACACAATGTGCGGATTTCTGAAGCGAGACGAAAAGTGCATCGAATCGAATTGAGTTCAAGTTCGTCTCTGTGTTGACATCTTGGGCATCGTAGTCGGTCCATCGCAGTTCAGCACCAGATGCGAGTCCACTGGTTTTGCAGCTGCAAGGACGACGCGATCAGCGTGCAAGTTGCTGCCTGTGGTGGCACTCGCCGATGATTAGACAGTTGTTTTGCAAGGTCAAGATTTTCAATACTAAATTCTCTAAACGAAACAAATAAAATAATTGATTTTGCTTTTAAACTCATTGAAAATAATTCATCTAAAATCAATTTATCTTATTTATAACCTAGATTGATAACAAAATATATAATTTATATACTAATTTCTGTAAGTTACTTCAGCTTTGAAAATACTTATTAATTTTTTTGTTATATTTTTGTACTTGAATCTCATTAAATTCAGAAAAAATTCCGATCACATGTTTAATTTTAAATCTTTAGGTTTTTTCATGAAATTTTTATCATCAAAGATTATATTTTCTACAGTATTATCTTTATTATTTGATCATATTGAAGTTTGATGTAAAAATATTTTTGGATTTTTTTAAATTAATTAACTAGATCTTTTATTTAGTTTTTTATATGTATATTCAAATTTAAATTAGTTAATTTATCAGAATTTATATGTTCATCATAACTTTGATCTTCAGATTAGTTGTTATAATATACTTAACATAGATGTATCATTGATATTTAAATGATTATATCTATCATTCCTACCTGTTGGGATAGACTCTATTGGTCGTCCGCCAACCTTCTGGACCTGGAGGTATATAAATCCCCCAGTTTTACTTCTGTAATGCCCGAATACTCATTATACAGAGGGTTTTTTTCCATGTTTCGTGGATGTATACGTTGGGTGAACCAAGTTAAAAGCTTGTGTCTTGTGTCTCGTTTGTTTCATGTCTGTTACTACTTTTCTCCTGTCACTTCTCTTGATGAAATTCGAATACTACAATACTTATATAAATATGTAATAATTTTATTTAAGTGATCAAATTTGAAAACATTGAATTATTTTGACTCTCCGATAGGATAATATTTCATAATAGGAAATTATTAAAATACTTATTATTTTCTTATTTTTTAAATCACAATCAAATACTTTTACTTTTCTTCATCATTTTTTTATATCACAATTTGATTGTGTTATATATTATTATTTTTTGATATAATTTTTTCATTTTTATTCAATCTAGTTATTTTTATTTTAGTTTTAGACTTTTTTTTATCAATTAATCATAAACATATTTGTTAACATCAATAAAGAAGAATACTCAGAGAATAATTATTTTGGAAATTGGTTTTGAAATTTGATATATAATATTAATGATCGTATGTAAGAGTCAACGTTTTGTGAGTGATTGAACAATCTCAATAACTTGATTTTTTTGCAATCAATCTTTCATTTATATAACATCAGTTAGTTTAATATTTTATAAATAAATAAATATACTAAATTTCTATCATCTATATTGATGAAACACCTTAACATATTTTTTTTGAACTAAGAGTTGACATGGTTATTTTTTATGTTATCAAGATTTATATATATAATTATCAAGAAAATTGTATGTTTGTTCATCCATTTACATTTTTTGATATCTAATTATAATTGTAACGTGTTCTTACATGTATCAGTGGACATTTTTATGACACGATATATCTTGCTATAGGGTACATTAAAATTAGATATGGATGAGGAGGATGCACATTTCACATAAGCCATAATACACGTTAAGTTAAGTCGAATATATCTCTGATTCTTGAATACCGCTTTAATCTGAAGAAGTGATGTGAACTCTTAAGAAAAATGATTATTCATATCATCCTGTATGGAGGGGAAACGAAATAACAACAAGAACTAATAATATTTAAAATACTTGTTACACGCTGCTAGAGATTAGAATGCTCCGAGGAGAGTGTATCACTTTCTGTACCTTCACGTGTTACATACTTCAGCCACTCTAGTTTTATCTCTGTGAACATTTACTCGTTCTAAAGCTATATATGAAACAGCGATCACATCTAGCCATGCGTACGTAAATGGTGTTACAGTATTGGACTGTTTGATATGCATAGCTGGTATACATATTTCACGTCGTAGTACTATTGGTGTAGAGACGATGGTTACCTTGGTACTTTCATCCCCATGTTGTTCGATGGGTCTTGCCATCCTTTTCGGTCTTTACTTGGCCCCTTCTTTATATAGACTATCCTGTTTGTGCCTGCATATCCAGAATAACGGCAACGAGGGTTAGTACATACAATTATGGCTGGGAGAATTAATGCATGGTTAGCATGTTTTCGGCGATCAGGAGCCCACAATCTGACCCCGACAGGATCCCGCAATCTGAGCATCCTCTGAAATGGAAAAGCGAGTTATACTGTACGGTTCTAGACTACGCTCGAAGGAAATACGGATCTATTTCATTAGTGCAGTACAAGGAGAGGAGATTCCGTTCAACATACAGTATCAGAAAGATGTGAATATAGTATATATATATATATTTATTTAATATTTATTTATTGTTTATATAAAATACTCGGATTTCTATTTTAGAAGCAAATTGAGGGAATCGGTGGTGTGCAATGGAAGGGGTAGATTCCTATGCCATCGTTACCGAAGCTGTCTGCCGTGCGTGCGTTGATGGGCCCTACCCTAGCGTCGGAGGTTCAGCCCAATCCCTTGTGGTCCCATTGCACGATGGCCGCAGCCGCTTTATCTTCTCATTTACCCGCGGGGCTTCAACTCGTACTGCAATGTCTTGCGGATGTTCGGCTCGCAATTTTATTATCACGATTAGTGAGTTATTATATGCTTCAGCGTACAGGTCACTCTACACTAATGTACTCCTAATTTGGTAATGCACAAAGCAACCACTCTACGAGTTAAGCGGGGCAAGTAAAGAGAAAACATTTCGAGATGTTACCATGTTCAGTGTTGCAATTGATATGCATATAGGGGCTAGATATCAATAGGAAATATTTTATGTAAGATACATAATTTTTATATATATATATATATATATATATATATATATGACTTGATCTTCTACTGCTCATGGATCTAATAGAAAATTTGAACAAAACTTACATTGACTTAAATAAACAATGTGATTTTTTATTTTCGATTCAGATAATGTGATCAAATCACATATTCTAGCATTTATTCTCTGAGCTCTTCTTGAGTCATTCATAATTTGTACCGAAAAAAAAAGTTGATGAGAAGGATCAACCTACATAAAAAAACGCCACTCTATGCAGAGAGCATAATGCGCAAGTTTAGTAGTTTGTAAAGGAAAGAAAGAGCAAAATAAACAAAAATGTATGTGATTCAAGTCCATACATTCAGAATTTGAACATCCAGCGTTGGATGTCAAAATTGATGAGATATCTTTTGCCCATATTTCTTTTTGTCTTACCATTGATGTTGATAAGAATAATTTTATTACTTCAGCTAGTAACAGTTGTGATTCTTCCATTTGGATTCATGTCGTTGTTGAAAGTTACAAGTTCTAGCACCCTTATAATATAAAGAAGCATTGCGTATAGAGATAATACGAAGTGCATCGTACTCATAAAAACCAGGCATACCAAGGGTGATATCATTAAACACAATGCTACAAACTTGTATTTCAGACATGAGTAGTTGGCTTTCCACATCAATGTGAAATAGTTGCTGAGAGATGGAGAATTTTGTACAAACATTTCAGAAATTTTTTACCTTCATCCAACATATAGAGTTCTCCTATACGAAGAAGGTTAGTGTATGCTAACATAACACATCATACATAAAGAAGATTCTCCCCTCTCTCTTACTCATATGTGAATTTCTAACTCTAAATCATATGAGTATTTTCATCAAATTGAATTATATTGAGACAAGCTAGTGAGATAGTACTTACTTGAGGACATAACGCTGAAATGTGGCTGACGTTGGTTGATCCGTGAAAGTGGAGTGTTGAGGATATGTCGCCGATGTTGACTGGATCCGACATTTATGTGGCCTGATATATATCCAAGAAAGGTATTCTCTTCTCTCTCTCAGAATGTTTCACAACTTTGAGTCAAACTAAGTCGTTGTTGCATTCTACTGTTGTGGGATTTTCCTCGAATCCATGCTGATTTTACATTTTCACTGGCACGCAGTCACGCATCAAACGATACTTTTCTCATGGATCCAAGTTGTGCATGCGCACTTTCCTTTTTCTTTCTTTCTTACTTACAGTGATAATGTCGGAGCGTCTTGCAAGGGAGATGAGATGGCCCACCTCTGAAAAAGCGTCAGCCGTGTCGACACTCACGGTTCCGAATGAAAGCTTCGATACAATTGCAAGATCTCGAAGCCTTGTGACGACGAATTGCAGCAGCGCGTCTTCTATAAGCGATCGACAACAATAAGAACCTGCACTCAGACTGACTGACCCTTCATCCATCCCCATCCACATCGTACGAGAGCGTCCGAGAAACGTCCATCGATCAAAGAACATGGAGCGTAACTGTAAAGCAGCACGTGTCCACCGTACGCTCATGCACAAGGAACGAAACGGACGAGAGACGAATCAAGTCTCGTGCGCATTTCTTCAACGACGATCGCTTCAGAATTCTCATGCCGCAGTCCATTCCGTGTACCATGAGTCGATTAAATAGTCTACCAAGAATTGTTGCCTCACCAGGGCGCCCTCCTTTAGAACCTTTTGCACTTTTAAGAGAAACCCGTTGTCAGCTAGTCCGAGTACGACGGACCTCTCTCAACCCCGGTGATCCACTGGGTGTAAGAATCAATTCATATTGGGGAACTCGTACAGTAACTGAAACCAAGGATTAGGTTAATTAACCAAGGTTAACAGCCTAACCTCTCTCGCCCACGAATTGTCTCATTCCTCCACCAGTGACGGTCTGATTCAGAACGGTCGCAAAGTGCCACGTAGGCTCGACGACCGCCGCCGTGGACTCGGGGTTGGGAGTGCGGTTGCGGCTGCGGCTGCGGTTGCTCCGAACCTGGAAAGATGTCCGAGTCTCTACCACCGGATTGCTGCATCTCCGGTTGCCCCTCCCCCCACTGAATTCAGAGCTCTGCGGCATGGGATCTCTCGGTGTCATAATATTCTCCATGCAGGCCTTTCTTACCTTTCTGCATGTCCACATAACCAGCAACGGAGAAACAAATACGAGTCTGTATTTGATATCTGAAGCACGCCTTGATTCGTGGAATTTTGATTATTATTTTTATTGGAGAAATGCACAAAGTACTGTAATACACCGAAAAGGAAGGGAAGTTATCTGATCGTCTCGTTCATGGATGCAAGGAAGGGTAGAGCATTACAGTACATTACTCTATGGAGAAGGCATGTGTGAACTGACGTCAGGACAGGCTCGAGTTGAAGGGAGTGTGTAATTTAATGGCGAATGGGCATGAAGGGTGAGGGATTTACAAAAGCGCTCTGTCTGAAACCTAGGACATGGAGTACAAGGGTCAGCTCGAGGAGGTCGGAAGATTGGAGCCCGAAGGACGAGGAGGAAGGCGACAAACGGAAAAAGAGGAAGGTGTGAAGCAGATGCCCGAGTTTTAAACTGGTCGCCATCGTTCGTACTCATGGGCTCTCGCTTTATGGCCCATGCATTAACGCGAGGGCCTCAGACGACAGGAACATTTGATTATTCTGTGATTGTGGTTGCCAGTGTGTCAGGCAGTGGCGAGCAGCAAGAAGCGAGCATTGCAGCAGCAGCAGCAGCAGATGCTGGAGGGGATGGTGAATCTGGCTGGCTGGCTCGCTGGCTGGCTGGCCTCTACGGACATCCCACTCCCTCCCTTCCCGCCTCCTGCTCTCAGCTCTCAGCTCTCAGCTGAGCCTGAGCTAACACAAGGCTGAGCACCATCCTTCCTGCTGCTGCTGCTGCTGCTCGTCTCGACTCTATGGGCCGCCAGTTCATCCATCCTGCGACGATGGCGAGTGCGGGAGCAGTTGAGAGTTGTGTCTCAGCTGTGGACCGCGACCGACTCGAGCCGCACACACATTGTTGTACTGCGTAGTAGCGCCGAATCAGCAGCTCGTTATGCTCGCGGGGGCGCCTCGCAGATATATGAGGCACGCCCGAGCTCGTCGTTCTGCAAGAGTCGATCGGGCCTCTGCAAGAATGGTCGAATGACTCTGCGAGAGTGACAGAGACGAGAGAAGAGATTTGTGGAACGACTGATACCACTCTGAGCTCTGGGGCCAGCTGCAGAGAGAGGGAGAGAGAGAGAAAGAGCTTCGCGAGGGGAGAAGCTAGAAGAAGAAGAGAGTGAGCGGCGTCCCGTGGGAGTGGGAGTGTGAGTGTGCATTGCCATTGCCGCCGCCGCTGCTGCTGCTGCTGCTGTTTAGGAAGGTGATGATGGGAGAAATGGCTCGCAGGCTGCGCACTTCTCTCCTCGCGGTTTGCATGGTGGCATTGCTGCGAACTGCCACAGCAGGTGCGTCTGGACGACCGACCACTTCACATTGTCTGCGTCCTTGTAATTAATTCGCCCGCAGTGGATTGGCATTTCAGTTCCCTCGCTGCACAATGTTGCCAGTCGTTCGATTGTGCACTCGCTTCGAGTGATGATTGCCATCCCATCCCATCCCACCCCACCCCACCCCGTTGTCCTGATGCGTCGCCCGGCTCTTCTCTTCTCTTCTCTGCAACCCGAGCATCACAAATCTGCGGTCCGAGCAGAATGCAATAATCTTCAGCCAGTTCCATCCGCCATCTCCATCTCCATCTCCACCGTGCAGAGACTGTGCTCCAAAGCCTTGACGTGCACTCCCGCTAGTCAATGCAATGCAATGCAATGCAGAGGCACAGATTCGAAGCATCTGCGCTCGTGCACACCTTCCCTCGCACGAATCCGAGACTTACCGTTTCTCGCTCGGAGCCGATTTCAAAGCTCGGTCGTTCAAATCTCTCGTCGTTCGTTCCCCACGAGAGCAGCAGTGAGCTCGAGCTCGAGCTCGAGCTGAGGAGAAGAAGCTGTTGAGATCCAGTCCGATGCTTCGTCCGGCAACGTCTGATGGCTATGGCAGGCAGCACTATAAATGCGTCTGCGACGAGGAGCCGTCGTCACTTGCATTTGTTTTTCTTCATGTGATGTGTCTCGATTCTTCTCGCCGCCATCGCCATCGCCCCGCCCCGCCCCCCCCAAGAGGTCGCAAGCTGCAACAACATGTTGCAGCCACGCTGTTGGGTGGCCAGTCTGCTGGCCATCTTCTGCGCCACATTCCTGCTGCTCGTGCCGTCGATTCTCCTCTTCGAAGCCTTGTCCTTGTACGACAGCCATCATCGCCCCAGCACGCAGTGCGTTCAGAGCTCCGGCCATGACTGCCCGCTCCCTCGTACACCTCGACCTCCTCCTCTCCCCTTTCCTCCTCCTCCTCCTCCTCCTCCTCCTCCCCCACCCATCGTCCTAGACTGCGAGCTCAATCCGAACGACCTCTGCTTCGGTGACATTGCAGCTCACGGACCTTTCTTCGGTGGGTCACCAATTGGACAGCCCCAATTTCACAATGCCACATCTCTTGCTGTAATCAATCAATCGACCACAATCGACGTCCTCGCTGGCCCCTCGAGCATGAATGAAACTAATCCACGTCGTAGTCTTCGTGCTGTAATTATCATCGAGTCCATGACGTGTGATTGATCATGAGCAGGACCGAAATTTTGGAATGAATCGATCGATCGATGCTGATTTTGGGCGGGATGGTGGAATTGGTTGGGTGCAGGAGTGAGCTCGGTGGGAGTGAACTATGGACGAATCGCAGACAATCTGCCGGACCCGAAGACGGTGGCGCAGTTCGTGGTGAGTCAGGGGATAGGAAAAGTGAAGATTTACGATTCGAATGCCGCAGTGCTGCAGGCGTTCGCGCACACGAATGTGCAGCTCATAATCGGGCTGCCGAACGAGAATCTGACGACCATGGCCAAGGACACGAGCGCGGCGTACAACTGGGTGGCGAAGAACGTGGCGGCCTTCTACCCCGCGACGCAGATCACCGGCATCGCCGTGGGCAACGAGGTGCTGTCGACGGAGCCGACGCTGGTGGGCGATCTGCTGGGCGCCATGAACAATCTCCACTCGGCCCTCGTCAACATGAAGCTCGACGGAGCCGTGAAGGTCTCGACTCCGCACTCGCTCAGCGTGCTCGTCAATTCGTATCCGCCATCGCAGGGCAAATTCAACGAGACTTACGCCAGCACCATCATCCAGCCCATTCTCAATTTCCTCTACACCACCGGCAGCTATGTCATGGTCAATGTCTATCCCTTCTTCGCGTACAAGGGCAATCCGGCCGAGGTCGCGCTGAACTACGCGCTCTTCCAGCCCACCACGCAGGTCAAGGATCCGGCCACGAATTTGCAGTACTCGTGCTTGTTCGACGCTCAAGTGGACGCGTTCTATTCAGCGATGATGGCATTGAATGTGCAATTTAAGAATCTGACGATCATCGTGACCGAGACCGGGTGGCCGACTGTGGGAGACCAGAACGAGCTCGGATCCAGCATTCAGAATGCGGCCTTGTACAATGGCAATTTGGTGAAGCACATCATGTCCGGCGCAGGCACACCGCTGAAGCCCAATTTCGCCATCGAGACGTACCTCTTCGCTCTGTTCAACGAGAATAAGAAGCCAGGGCCGGCGTCTGAGCGGAATTATGGGCTGTTCTATCCGGACATGAAGCATGTGTACAAATTGAATTTCACCACCGGCGAGCAATCTTCGAATGGAGGCACGAGCTCGCCCACGCAGCCCAAAGGAGGCGATGCTCGATACTGCTTGGCGAAGGCCGGAGTGAGCGAGAACCAGCTGCAAGCTGCGTTGGACTTCGCCTGTGGGCCTGGTGGCGCGAACTGTCAGCCTCTGCAACCTGGGCAGGCGTGCTTCGAGCCCAACACTCTGTGGGCGCATGCGTCCTACGCCTTCAATAGCTACTTCCAGAAGAACCATCGCAAGCAGGGCACGTGCTTCTTCGGAGGCAACGCTGTCGTGAATACGTCCAGTCCCAGTAAGTGAATCTCTCGACCCTCACAATTCTCGGACTTGGCACTTGCTGTTGTTTCTGTCGAGGTGTAATGTCTGCAGAGTCTGGATTGTGTCAGAGGGGTCGAATTGCCTGAATGATTCTGAATTTCTGAATGTCTGCGCAGGCTCAGGCTCGTGCAAGTATCCCACGCAATAGAACTCGCACCGGCGGCCGAAATTCGAATAGCAGAGGGATTTTTTTTGCAACTTAGTGGAACGATATCTGAAAAGCTCGTGGGGAATTTCACGTTGCTTTCATGGTCCATGGTCCATTCTCCAGTCTGTCTCGACGTGAAAATTTTCCAGAGGAGCGCGACTTCTCTCCAGTCGCGTGTGGAGAAGCACCGACGAGTTGCAAGTCCCATGATATCGAAAGATGCAGCCAGTCAGCTGAGCTTGCTTCTAGCGAATCAATCGTCCCTACCCCACCAGACCTTAAGTCTACGCACGAATTCACACGAGATATGATTTTCTGGTCACAGTTTCTCTTTAGTTAGTGGGAGAAGATCTCTTGGCACCTGTTTTTGCCGATGTGTGCGCTTGGAGAAGCTCACTCACTGTCATTGTGGTATAGAATCATTTCACCAGCATTCGAGGTCTGTCGATCACCAGGAGGAGGTAGGCAACCATCAACTGCAAAGGAAAGCCTTCTCTTCGTGCTGTGAGTGATTTCGTAGTCTGGACATATTCCTCTCTGTCTGACTCATGCCCACGGACAGTTTTCTCCCGCTGTCCGTCTAATGTTTATAAGGGGATGCTCTCATAATTGCAAGATTAGGTACTGCTACCAAAGGCATTATAATCTACAGAAGCCGAGGAATCTCTCGCGGTTGTATGGTGGTGAATTTTTGCATCCTTCAGTTGAAACATCATTCTCTTCTCAGATCCATGTGTGAAACTTGTGTCGATGGAAATTGATTGATTTTAGTAATTACCACCAGTACTTACCACCAGTCTGCATGCCCTTTCGTCCCTTCCTTGGAGATGGTTGGTATATTTATTTATTTGTGTTTGTTTAAACTATAATGAATGAGAAGTTTTATGGGTATCAGCATGAATGTCTCCCATCACCAAGGACTCTGGTGACGGGAAGATTATATAGAGCATGCACGAGGGTACAGTCACTGAAGGTGCAACTAAGAAGTCGCTTGAAGATATATAACGAGTTATACCAACATGCTTTTGGTTCACCGTAGAAGTAGACGAGACACGAGACACGAGCCATGCTTTTACCTGAAGTAAAAGAACGAGCAATCCACATGTTGAGAGGGGATACCAAAATGCTAAGCTCCGTAAAGTTAGAATGTGAGAAGTTTGGCAAAACGTTACTCGCTGTCAGTTATTCTCCGAATCTCATTCACTTGCATATGAGAAAATTGTCATTCGCACATTTCTGGTGTTATACAGCATACTGGATAATAGACGGGAAGGGAAATATCCAACTGACTACTTAACAACACTATTAGCATTAGTATAGAATCCAAATCCAGATTTAAAAAAAATTTGTGGCTAATAATCTCTAAAGACTACTATCTAGACACAAAAGAACTGATTTACAACCAATAAAATTCATGTGCACGTGACTCTTCAAACTTGTGAATATATATGTACATGATAGAACATGGGTGAGAACAGGTAGTCTATACTAGCCGAAGATTGTCTCAAATACGAAATGAATGTCATCACCAAGGTTTGATCTTGGTTTGTGTTAAAAGATTTGTTCAAATGCAGGGCACGGAAAAGCGAAAATTACAATGAAAGGGTCATACTCCATGAGAGACGCGAACAGGTGGGCTATTACATACTCGAATGTGAAGCACAATCACGCTCTGCCTAAAGCGTGCTCACTGTAGAGAGTTAGCATTTATAGATGGGTTGTGTTATTCTACTCATTTAATTTGAGAATCAAATCATTTTCTAAATATTCATATGGCATAGACATTTGGGTGTGTGACAAGAAATATGATACATGTTTTTTTGTACATCCTTTTACTTAATACTACTAATTTACTATCAATCAAGGTTCTAAAAGGTATATCTCTTCTGATCATAGAGACATACGATACATCTTTACTATTCTCTCGTTTTTTGATTCAGATATACATATCTTTAGTATTTTGATTCATAAATTACATATGCCTAATGTCATACTTTATTTTCATCTTTGATCTTTCAACAAGTTTTACTTTCAACCTTAGTTTATCATGTCATTTCATATACTACGATAGGCTGCTTATGCTCACTTTAACAGATTGCAAGCTCGTGGATCTTGGTTCAGCCACGTAATATAGATTAGCTGGTCAAACTACTCTACATAGAAATATTAAAGCTTGTGTAACTTGTCCAGTGACTTTATATAGACTGACTACTTAAAATACTCTACATAGAGTTATTCAACTCGTATCAATTATTTTCATCACAGGACTTAAATTCTACCAGGACTAGAATACTCCAATTACATTGTTATTGTTCATATTCAAGTGTATATTAGTCCCAACAAGAGTTCATATGATTCGGTATTCAAACATATGGCAGAAAATAGCTACGTATATTTTCATTAAAAAATGACTTTCATCTTGATTAAAAATGTGATTTTAATCCCCAAAAATTCATTATATGTTCAGAATAGGATGAAGACGTCATGTTTAAACCATTTAACAATTCAATGTAAATTAGAGGGTAACTTGTTCTGTACTAATTTTATGAATGAAATTACATCGCCTGTGATATTGAATATGATCTGTGATTTGATATTATATATTTATGTTCACATCTTGTGATAAATAAATTAGATTTGATAATGTAGTAGGCACTACATTAATGATAATGTATACCATTACCTTTCAGGTCCTAGCAAATCTCTAAAAGTTTCATTATTTAAAGTGTCTCAGTAAACAATTTAGATTTTGATGGAATAACTTTAAATTAATAACTATTCCAATCTCCAATAGATATATATAATAAAACATAAATCAATTAGAGATGGTAATTTGACATCATTTTATGTATGACCACATGTTTAGTTACAGTCATGTGCACATTTAAGAAGTGTAACTTCCCTAGTGCAGCGGGAATTTTCACGGAGAGTGGAATGATTTGCGTTCTAAAAATGAACTTAGATTGAAAACCCGATCAAGCTACATAGTTAGATTGGGTAGATGAGTAGAATGATCAGAACGTCCAGTTTTGATGTTCGAACTTGTAAAAGAATAGTACTTTACTTGACATTCACAGATAAGACTACAAACTAGGCCTGCTTTGAAGATTACAGCTTTTGTACTGCGACGATGTAGATTGTATTGATAACCTGCTATCAATCTCATCTATCTTCATGTACGAAAACGTACATACTGCGATAGTGGTGGAATTTGGGTCGGGGGAACATATTTTGTTCTGTTGTACTGTGTTGTAACATGACATGTAGTTCGATGTTTTGAAATAGCTTGCAGTATGAGAACATAACTTCATGCACAGGACTATCGCTTAACCTAAAGCGGCCGCTTTCGCTTATACGGTAATCCCAGAGACTTACAGTCCATGCTTGTACATATCCACTTGTCTACTCTGTATTCTCTACCTAGCATTTCATCCTTCCGCCATCTTCCGCACCTTCTTTTTTTCTCCTCGGCTGAAGTAGTTCAAGCACGTGAGTCTGCTGTAGGTCTCTTCAGACATATACACTAAGAGTTTCGATAAAAAAAACCACGTGACACACTGCCCTAGAGGTTCAGATGCTGATGTCAAGAAGGCGAACCAATTTGAGCGTGATAAGAAACATGTAGCAAAAATTAATCACATGAGGCAAAGAGAACACACTCACAAGTTTATGAAGATCAAAGAAAACATGTACCGAAAGTCATAAACCTTCAACCAGGCAAAGCTTATGTACCATGAGCTTCGGGGAACCGTCTGATAAAAACCCAAGCGCATTATTGCAATGTTTCAGATTGCATCTCCATCAGAAGTCCTCGTGTAGACTTCCAGCCACGCAAGCGCACATATGACGAAAATCAAATCAAGCGCGTCCATAACAGCACATCTTTGGAAAAACATACAATTAGCTTAAGAAGATGGAAAAAGGGGTCATCTTAAGATCAAATAGTCGATCCTTTTCTCTTCAACTCCGACTGACATTAAGAACTACTTCCGTGGCCTCCTTTGAATCTTCTGTGCCCCTAGTTCATAAAGTACAAGATGACTGATCTCTTAAGAAGAGAATCAATAGCTTCCCAGATTTTACCTCCATGACCTAATGATCACATGCTGCAAGTTCCAAAAACATATAAAAAACCTGAGCTCGCATGAAACCTAGTAGCGCCCGCCCGCAAAGTAAATGTACAATCCAACCAGATAGGTTGGACCCTCGTGAAGGTAATAATCTGGTCTAACTCAACAATCATCCCGGGGCATTCGTCCAATCCATTGTACAAAGGACTTCAATATCATGGGGTAAGGAACGTCCGGAAGGTTCAGGCGTCGTGCTACTAGCACTGCTCCGGCAATATCTGCCTTTGAGCATTAGCATACAAATTCAGTTGGTACACCAAAAGAAAAATTGATCTCAAAATCTCTCGAAAAGAGAAAGACATGCGCATCGACACTCACATGACCATCCTAGCTTCTCAAGATGCGTCAGGTACCGTCTGCCACAAAGGAGACCTATACCATGTCGAAGCGTGTACTTTGATATAAAAATCTTCCAAAGACAGCTTCCCGGCTAACACCTCCTTCCCCCTACACTAGAAACAGACGCTTTTATCGGGATTGATCTGTGGCCTTTTAGAGTGCAAATCGACCCTCGTGGTGGCATCACTTTCCATCAAAAAATTTCTCTTTCACTCAATGCGCCTCCACCTCCTCGAAACTTGCGTGGGTGACAGTCTTTCGGTTGTACCCGGAAGAGCAATTGTCGATGCTGATGATCACCCTAACTAAAAGCGCCGTTACCAAACTGCTTATCTTTCCTCTCGAGCAATTCCTCCTCGACCAGATAACAAAAGGAAATACCTAAAACTTGAAATCCTTTTGCTTCTTTGTCTTTCCTTCTTTCTCTTGCGCTTTCCGCTTTCTCTTTTTCTCAGCCTACCAACATCAGCAAACATAAATGAGCAAAAGCGACATATTTCGACGTAGATGAAGGGAGCATCCGACAATGTACAGAGTATATTGAAGCTACGATATAAATCACAATATAAAATCAACTTTAAAACAAACTACTTCATCGTTCCCATCCTTATTTCTAAACACTTTCCAAGTTCTGATTGCTTCGATCCAAGGACAAATCGTGGAAGAATCAGACAATGTGCTAACAGCTTCGTCTTTTGGATCCACTTTATGACTCACCTCGGCAACCATATCACTAAAGTCTTCCCTTTGGGTTCGTAGAACTGCCTCTTGGCTAGCCTCTTCGTACCTGAGATTGACACAAGCAGAAGTAGGGATTAAAAAACATGAACTTTTCTTCCGTCCACTAAAAAGACAAGACCATATGGGCTTTGATACGACACACGATCACATCCTCGCATACTACATGGCTCCAATGCTTGGAGAGCTTATAAAACATCTCAAGTTCAAGCTACTTACTTCGCAGCCAGCGCCACGTCGTCCAGACCTTCGAGCTCCTCTGGTCGAAGTGTAATATCCACTTTGTCCGTTCTCTGGCTCTTAAGTAAATCCACCTGCGGCCATTTCCACGTTGATAAGTTTTACTTATCCACAGATATTAGGTCATGGAATGGATGAAGAAAATTCGTCACGGGGTGTAACTGAGTTTACCTTTTTAGCAGCAGCTTTGTCTCCGCCAGTTGGAAGAACGTACCTGCGAAAGACATTGTCACATCAAAGGCATTTCACACCAACAGATGATCTCACAACAATGATTGCAGATGATTTCAACTTTGTTGATCATTACCTAAACAATATTAACCTGCTCACCGACGCAACTTCGTAGAATTAAATCTATTCTGAACAATTATCAGTGTTCTTGAAATACCGTAGGAACACATAATCAAAGTACCAATTGGGATAGTGAGGATGAGAATGCGAATTGGTAAGAGACATACGTATGACTGGTTCCCAGCAGCATCCCTGGTTGTATGCGCTCTTCTTTCTCCTCCAAGACCTGATGTCAATAGTCACAGTAGGTCAAAAGCTTGGTAAAACTGCCAAGTAGTCAGATAATGAAAATTTTCGCTGTGAGCAAGCATATACATTGACTTAAATTGATCATCTGCTCAGCTCAGTTCCTACATGGCTCACATTCCCGTGAGAACACTAGTGTTAAGATGATCGAAGCAGCGTCCAATTTCTTACCAGTCAAACCAGTAATATATATATATATGATATAGATAAAGAAAGCACATAAGACAAATCCACATGTACCTAGAAGGGAAAGACCATGGCAACGTTGCTCGTGCAAGGAAATGGAACAAATATGCATATCAAAGTTAAGATAAGTGGAAATTAAAATGAACGAAGATTTTGCGTAGACTTGCAGATAACCATCATCGATAGTTTCCAGATAACGCAAGCTATATGAAATATATGAGGCTCAGTACCCTTGTTATTCTACGTAAAGTATATACTACATACAAGCAGCAAGAACAACAACCCCTATATTGCATTAGATGATTGTGATGTTTAGCTGTGACAAATCCCTCACCTGATAGAGTTGCTTTTCAGGTTCCTTCCTTTGTGCTTTACGCAGGTCAATGACATCGGGCGTCTCCACCCCAGTAGGAGTCCTATTTGTACATGCAGACTCAGCAGTCAATAACGTGAGGAGAAAACATTCACTGAAGTCCACGTTAGAAGTTGCCTGACATACAACAAAAAAGATGAAGTGACAACTATTAACCGTTTCACCAAAAAGCTGTTGGCCAACAAGTTCCAATAAACATACGTTGATAAGCTATCTACTGATGTCATTCCATCTTCAAGATCGTCCTCATTAGGCTCTTCTTCCTCCTCCTCTTCCTCTTCTTCCTCCTCCTCCTCTTCTTCCTCTTCAAGATCACCCCAGTGTTTCGAACGGTCTATGGGTTCCTCCTGCTTGGAAACGAGAAACAACTTATGGTCAGCTTTATACAGGTTGCAAAAGATGGGACAACGTTGGCAACAGAACTTCACATCGATGCACACACGCACGTAGACTAGATTAATGGCCATACACAGGAATACAAATTTAGGCAATGCTTACCTCATAAAGATCCACCTCTTGATGTTGAACTCCAAAGACGTCTCCATACAGTGGCCTTCCGTACTGAAAAGCAACAATAGGAAAACTTAGAGCCTAGAATACTTGTGATCAAATCCAGATCTTTTATATTCATACCACACGTATGAACAAAACAAAACAACCACTGCCATAAATTTCATCTGATTTGAGTGGAACCTTACTTCATCAACAGGAGGTTTTCCCCAGCCACCGGGGTGATATCCAAAAGATGCTCCTTCAGGAATCGGAGCATTGAGACCAGGAATTTTCAAGTGAGGGTACGATGGGGGTGGCCCGTATCTCTGCAGACGACGGTCAACAAATTAACACTTACGATGAGGGTAGCGACATCAAATATTGTGCAAGCCGCTTATAAATCCACACGTTTGCCAGACTTCAAACGTCCTTGAGCTGAAAGTAAGCAACTGCCTCACCTGCATGTTGATAAGCCACGGAGGGGGAGCACCCTCGGGCATCCCCAACGCCTCCTTCAGCTCTTGCGACAGGTGACCTGGCTTCATTTCTCTAAGTTTAACCTGATGTCAAGTAGCAGTCCAAGCCAAGCTCATTAAGAAAAAGGAAGATAATAGACATCAATTACAACTATGAAACCTTCAAAATGTTTTAGTATCCATTTCATTGAAGATTTCCTCACCTCGAATTCTTTCCCTTCGTGATAAAGATCACCATGAGAAGTCAACTTAGGCTTCGTTTGAAACTTAAAGAATGCGTCATGGAGAACCTGCAAATTAAGATGGTGTTGGCACAGATGAGAAAAACGCTTTCATAACGATGATAATCAGACCTCCAAAGCAGACAAACATGATCAAGAAGAACACGATCACAACCTATTTAACATCACTACCGCCGAGAGGTCAATATACCTGGTAGTCAATATCCATTTTGCCCATCTTCGGCTGCACCTTCTCTCTCTGCTTCTGCTTCAGCTTCTTACTATCCTCCTTCTCGATATACGCCTGTATAAATATACACAATATTAGTCATTGAAAACACATGTCCTTATCAGGTAGAGAAACAGCGTTCAAATCGAAGTGACATCACAAAAGCCAGCAAAGAAAGTTTTCTGTGTGACTCTTTATGATCATACAACGAAAGATATCTACCTGTCGGATTTTCTCAATTCCAGTTGCTGCGATGAAATCAGGAAGCTGGAATGGCTGCTTTTCAATACCACGCTTACCCTGCAATCACATGCGCCACAGGAAACAAACGCAAACGTTATATTCCTCTGGGTTCACGACATAGGCCTGAAGCCGAACGTTGTTCGGACCGTTCCATAAAGTTGTTGGATTTTTTTACCACTTTTACTCTTTAAAGCAATCTGTCACTGCCACCAACCAACCTAGCCGAGATTACTAATAAGGTAAGAATCGATAGGGTAGAAGCTGTGACGCCCGGTAAAGTCTGCACTGCCAGGAACAATAGCTCCAGTCAGAGCACAGAAGTGGGCGGAAACGGAAGAGAGCATCAATCAAAAGAACCCCTCAGCTTATGACTTCACAATGCTCAAATGGAACTGGTCCGTTTTGATGACCTCTCGCAAAATTGAAGCACAAGCACCGACACAGAGCGAATGCAAACAATGCATAAGCTAAACATCCATGCAATCTCCCTTCTCCTCAATATCGCCACAATCACCTCCTAAGCTCCTTCAGATAGACTGTCTTTGAATGCACTTCTGCGGGACTTAACAAACTACAGCTAGTTTACATAGTGTGCTCAACCAAGAGTCAGTGGTAGGCTCTCCTCCTGTAGCCACCCACATACCCGGCCTCCTTGCAGGTCAGATTCTTTGATGAACCGCACCCTGCAACCACCACATATAGCAAATAAGAGGCATGACACCTAAGCCAGCTTTGGTCCTCCACCCTTTTTAAGTGCAAGACCCAGATGCGTACAGTCTTCGACACCCTTCCCAATCAGGGTTACAGATTCGAGGCCAGGTTGATGCAAGTTATTACAAACCTGTAGAAACTTCCGCTTTTGACACCAATGCCTTGGTACAGGAACCGTGTTGCGATAAGCCTTGAGAAAGACGAGAAGCCGTGGATCAGCTGCAGTCGCATCCCATACCTGCAAGAAAAGGCCGGATGGATATGAGGCTTCATTCATCACGGTTGCCAGAATACACAACAGATGGTGACCTTGTAAAGACATGTGGCCACAACCAACAACAAAAAAAAGGTCAGATTAAGAATCGTAGAGCATGGTTAGCAGAATAGAGAAGCACGACATACCTCGACGACATCCGGTTTTAAGCACTGCTGTTTGAGTTCTGCAATCTTCATACGACGCTGAAGCTGGAATCGTGACAAGACGAATGTTAGCTTTAGAGAAAGAAGATCGGATGATCCTTCCTTGCAAGCAAAACCTTGACAAAGTCGAATGTATGTTTACCTTCTTTTTCTTATTCGATATCCTCTTGTTAATATCCTGGTCAGACTCATCCGAGTCGTCCGAGTCGACTTTTTTCTTAGCCTCCTCGACAGGAGCAGCTTCCTCCTTGATTCCATCTTCCTGAAAAGTCGAAGAATTTTTCTCAAATTGGTTGTGAAAACAAGGATTTTGTGTCGAAGCTTCGAGCAGTTAATGCAAATATAATTCAAAAAGCGTTTGTGTCGCAGCGTACCTTTCTAGCGACCGGAAACAATTCTTCTGCATTTGTGAACTTCTCAAAAACGCGAACAAAGTCTTCAATTAGAGGGTTCAAGTGTCCATTACTGTCCGCAAAGTCTGGCTTCTCAGACACATATTCAATTTCAACAGCCTCAACGTCCTGGAAAACAGAGGGCGAAGAGTAAGCAAAATAGTTAGGCCTGGAAGAGGCAAGACTCATAAAGCACCAGTAATATCCTTTTGATTATAATAAAACCCCCGGAAAATGTCAATTCACGCATTCTCGGCCCTCTCGCTATAACCCACAGAAATATTACATGGTTGACGATTTGAATTCCAGCTAGAAATGAGAGCCAACACGAGGAAATAAGGACAGACGCAGGAATGAAAAACGTCTTTGAGAATTTCCAGGGACCCTGTACGCAGACACTTGCGAGCTCAGCATTAACCAACATCGAACATAACCACATCATATCCCGGAATGACTGCCCTAATGTTGTAATTCGAGAGGTATACTTAAAACACTGTCTTGGTTCAATTGGCACGAGTTCATTAGAAGCATCGGCTGACCTCTTTATCCTCTTCTTCCTTATCACTATCATTGTCGGCACCATCTGCCTTAGGTCCGCCCTTTGACTTTTTTTTCTGCTTGCGTCTACGTCTTCGCCTTTCAGCATCTCGTGCCTTCTTGGCGGCCTTCTCTGCAGATTGTTCATCTTCGATTAACGAGGCACCCTCTGCCCCACCATCCCCATTAACCGACTCTTTCTTCAACTCTTTCAACAGGGTAGGGGGGTGCACGGCCCCATCCACGACCGTCTCAGCTACCATTCTATCCACCCCACCATCCACTAATGCCAAATCGCTCGAATTCCCCTCGCACCGATTGCGACCGACTGCGAGCGAAAGGATTTGTTTCTCCGCAGACGAAGCTCCGCCTTCCTCGCCTGTCGGATTTCGAAGCTCCTGTGCTCAAACCCCACTCCTCGCTCGCTCGCTCTCAACCCTACCACACACCCAAACCTCTGGAGTCCGACAGCTGATGCCCTAAGCTTGCGCGAGCACTTGCTCCTCCTCCTTCTTGGCCTCGAGAAATCGACCGCGCGGCTGCGCCTCGTTCTTATTTCGCAGCTCAGCGAGACGATCGCTCGCGATGCCCGACGCGCTCCTCAAACTGCGCCCGCGTTCGCGTCCAGCGCTGCCCTCCTCCTCCTCCACGCGAGCGAGAGCCCTGGAGCTTGGAACTCGCAGGCCATGCCTCGTCCGCCTTCGAACACCCGGTCCCACGCTCGAGGCTTCTTTCCCTTCATTCCGGCCGAAAACGCCACCAGCACGGCGACGGAGACGCATCTTCTCCATCGCTGCCATCCTCCCCAAACTCCCGAAGAGCCGTCCGTTTGAACCACGTGCGGGCATCTTGCCAATTTGCATTATTTATCATCGGAAGACTTCGTGTTAATCTTTGTTTTCCGTCTAATGCTTTTGATTCTTAACATTTTGATTTTAAATTTCTTTTCGTGTAGCTTGAAATTCCCTATACGCCATATAAAAAGACTTAGTTCTAAAACTTACTTCTTTCTAATGGTTTTGATTTGTTGCATTTAGATTTTAATTATCTGTTTGTGGAAATTTTATGTCCCTATGTAAATACTCTAGACATCAAATTTTTTTAACTATAAATTAATTAATTCTAGAAATACTTGAACAAGAATTATTACAAATTTTGTCTTCAACTCAAATGTGTATCTACTTCTTACTCTTATCTTCTGATTTTCACGTTTGTGATTTGTCATATCTAACACAAATGTGCATGACTTTTCAAATATGTGATTGGGTTGCGCGCATTTCAAGTTTGTCATAAATGATTTTGGTGTGTGACGCCATAATTAAGATTGGGATTTTGAGTCTGAATTTTCTCTTGTTCGCTCTTGAAGAGTTGTTATTGTTTGTTCTTTTCCGTCATAAATAAAGTTAAAAGTTATAATCTAAATTAGCTCTTTTAGTTGCTGAAGACTTATTGATATTATCTTTTTTCCGCTATTGAAGAGTTGTTGTTGAAGTGTGAAATGTAATATAATATCGTTCATCAACTTGAATATGGGTTGAAGATCTTGAAGCGCTAACCGTTGTATGGTATCGTTACATTCAATTTTTTGTCGCTTTTGCCAAGTATGGAACCATTAAGAAAAGATCAAACAAAAGCGCAAACCGGCTAGAACCACAAATTATTTTAAGGTTACATATCAACAAAAGCTAAACTCACATACTCTCAAAAGCCAACACTTGGCGAATGTATTGAGTATAATGCTTTGTTAGTAGATGTCAAGCAAAATTTCTTTGATGTTGTTGCGCTCTTGAATACAATACGTACTAATTTTGTTGCATCTGATGATAGCTTTATTAATTTTTATCAATGTAAACATTGTCAACACAACTCTACACACACTTCTATTTGATTTTGAAGTTAATAATATTTCTATTGATTGGATGTTGAAACTATTTGAGTCAATCAAATCCGACAATGTGATTGTATGTTGTTAAGTTTATATAAAAAACATCAAGCGTTTCAAACTTGTTGGTTTTGATTCGTCATTCAGGTTCATGGGGCAACAAATGAGCTGTGCGCGCAAAGAATTGCTTCTTAGTTATCTTTGTGTATGCAATGAGACAAAATTATCATCATTTGTTGCATTTCAGCATAATACTCACATGTTGTAAGATTATTTTCTGTTGCATTGTATTTATCAATTGTAAAAAGCACCTAGTATTTTCAAATGAGATATGTTATGGTCTCTAAATGTATTGATCCATTTATGTTGTTTTGCTCTTTATGTGCGGCACACTTAAGACAACTTGTATCAAATGTTTGAAAAGTCTATGGATGACAATTTTACTTCTTGGAAATATACACTCATATTAACATGATGTGATAGTATCAAAAATATGACAAACAAATTAGTGAATTGTGATTACGTGAAATAGTGAATTGTGATTTTAATTGAGTTGAACAATAAGATTGCTACTTGATTCTGGTGTTATGCGCACCAACTCAACCTTGTGGTTCAAGTTATTATTTTTGTATATTTAAACAAAGAATTTTACTTTACGTAAATTACCACAATTGGATACTTGTGTCGAAAGCAAAACTTAATCAACAAAATGCAATCTAAATGTTCAAAGTTCGTTATGAGTCATTGATTATTGTTGAAGATAGTATTGTCTTGGTTTTCAATTGATAATTTTCGTATTGTTGACTACATGGAGCAAAAGAACTTTGATTTCAAGTCGATTGTCATGTGATGAAATATTTTATTTTCGCTGATAACTTCTGTTGTAAAGATTGATATTTTGTTCAAAATCTTATAACATTCTACATTTTTATTAATATCACAACATGAAACTTCATTATCTAGATTCATACATTGTCTTGAAAACGTGATTGGATTGCAAGGTATACTTTCCAAATTGCAAATTCAAAAACAAAATCAGTACATTTGGTGTTGTAACAATTTTGACATTATTGCCAAGGATGTTGCTGTGTATTTTTTTCAATTATGTGATTTATTTATTATAATGTTACTTGATAACTTGTCTGAGGCTGAAAGATTATTGTGGTTTGTTTGAATGGAAATCTAATCGTTAGTGCGAGAGAAGTCTCCTGACTTTTTTTTGTAAGCTAGCATTTTTCGGTCCCCGAAAAATGCTAGCTTACATTGTGTGTCCCTGAATCTTTGCGTTGGCATGTACTGATGTAGGAGCAACGACATATGTATCGCTTGCAGTGGAGCAGATGGGTATGTGTCTCTATTGCCATCAGGATCGTGATCATGGCAAATCATGCGCTACTCCACACCTCCACCTGCTAATCGCAGGTGCAATTAGCAATTTAGATTAAATTTATTGAATTTAGATTAAATTTATAAATAAATGTAAAATTCAACTTGTATTCAATTTGAAATTTATATATACAAAGATTTTGATTTAATTGGAATATTTGTTTATCGTATCATGAAAATATATTAATATTATTTGTAATTGAAAATCTTCATGATAAAGTATGAATCATGCACATATATTTTATTTTTTAATTACATCAAAAGTAATGATTTTGTTCATATATCTTGAAATGTGCAAACAAATAAGTTAGAATAATCTTTCAAATTTTTTCTTTACCCACCGTTAGAATTTTACTCTTCATGGATTGCAATTTGTTTATATATTGTAAAATGATTTATATCACAATCACAATACTCAAAGTAACATTTTTACATGACTTGCACATTGCTTACTTTTAATCAAAGTATGACAAACAAAATTGAATTCCAATGAGGTTATTTTATTTCACTTTACTATCCACTACGTATATTACTCATTATGTATATACAAATTTCACTCATTAGGAGTTTTACATTAGCATATTTATTGATACTAATATTCTTTTTTGCAAAACCAGCTTTATGAAGATTTACGCGTTCCATCATTCTATTGGAGCAAAATGAAGGAATTTTAAATATCTCTCACTTCAGTGTAAAAATAATAGAGATGTATTTTCAAGAGACATTCCTGCCAATCTACTCTGAAATTCAATATCTTTTTACGCACATGATTGATGATTACTATGTTTTATTACTTGACAAATCCGAGAGGAAATTTGATGATAATTAAATTTGAAGTTCGGTTTACCGCTACTCCAAGTTCGAAGTGGCATTCAAGCGCGTTTCGGGTTCCAGAAATATTTCAGATGTTGCCGAATTGAGGATGTGGTACCCTTCCATAATATTAATTTTCAATAACTTATCAGCCACGAAGTGATAACAGGGACAAGGCTTAAATTCAATTATCTGAAATTTGTCAGCAACGTTTTCGGCTCATCAATCTTATGAGACTGAAGGAAATGTTGCAATCAACATATACAAATTTGTGCCTTGAAAGAACAGGGAAATAGTATCCTTGACAAGCACACACGACAAAAGCACGAATAGAAACCCCGTCAAAGATTATCCATTCGGAGACAAGCACGAAATACGAGTGATATCCACTAAAAAGTGCAGCGCCTAGCTCTCGTTATACCTGGGGACCACCGGCTGCCTCAGGTAGCTCCGTGTAAGGAACAACTTAACCAAGTTTCCGGAAGAATATGAGACTGGTCAACAACAATCTATTGATCTAAACTGCAGGATAACCGGGAAGCGAATATCCGGAACCACCGTCCACAAATCACGGCCACCGACATGATTGTTTACTTCAATTACCCATATTCTGATTAGTGCAGCTGCAATTTGGAAAATCATTGACACGAACCTGGAAGCTAATTGTAGGTACTCTGGTTGTAAGGGAAATTGATATAAGGCGTGATGTAATGTAGTAATAGATATAACGTATGAGCGAAAAGTGTGAAGAAAAAGTCCTGCGAGAAAGCTTGATTCGTTGAAGATAATACCATCGTAGAGAAACATTGATAAATTTTTAGCAGAAAGTCTTCAAAGCATAAATCTTAAACCTAGATGCTTTCTACAGTAGGACTGAGAGTAGATACTAAGAATAAAAAAACAACTAGACTATGAAGATGACACTTGTCAGAGGCGAGAAAAGTGGGTGAGGAATGAAAACATGAATTTCTGTGAGTCGCCCAGCCAAGTCAACCCTCCTGCTGATGCTTTGATGAAATCGAGCAGTTAGTGCTGGAGTGCGCATGTGTTCCATCTGTAGCTGAAGCTCTACGAAAAACTTGAAATCAGTTTCTCTCTTAAGATAGCACATATAAATGTATTTTTCAGCACGATAGCTTGAAGCGAGAGCTTCTATTTGAGAAACTGGTTGGAAGATACAAAATAAAACTGAACTAAAAGAATTTAGCCACTTTTGGAACCAGGCTGTACAAACACAAAGAAGCAACCATCAAAACTGAATCTACGCTCCATATCTCACTAGTTTATTGCAATAGAGAATCACAGCAGCGTGATTTGGTCCAGAAAACGAAAGGTAGGAACGTATTATCCAGCACGGAAATTCTAGACCCATCGTTCAGGCCTTTTTTTTTCTTGGGCTAGCTTTAACTGTATGACATGAAAAATGACATAAATAAATAATGTAACAGAACTTAACCTTTCGCGTTTCGATTGATCGCGGCCTGTGCTGTCTGGAAGACTGGTCCACACAGATCACCACGGTTGGTGGATAAACCTGGTCAAAGAGGTTTCGTGTCACTTTCCCAAGAAGCTTATTTATCGGGAAGTATTAATGAGGGCAATGGGACCAAGTATATAAAAAAACATGTGGGAAGACCCCATAAAGCATAAAGCAGTAAGTACATGGATTAAAGCAGACGGCTAACACGAGGCTAGGCCCCAGCATGAGATAGGTCGATCATCAAATTTAGAAACCTTCAATGGGAAGTAGCTCAAGCAGTGCTCTACGTGGTACACAGTGTTCGAAGCAGTAAATGAGTGTTTCCGCTTGACGAGGAACGGTATGGATAATGGATTCTTATCGAACCATGGAGTTGGCAACGACAAATCCGCGGCTTGTTAAAGATGCGTTGCTTGCACAATCGTCAACTGACAAGTTTCACGGTATGACAGAATGAGGTTCGTTTGGCTCTCGAAACTTGCCCTCATCTCTCTCCTTCACGTTTGGAAAAAACAGTTCTCGTTTGCGTCGCCGATGTGAAAAGGAGCTCATCTGCGAAGGTAAAATTCAGACGTGACGGAAGAATGTTGCAAGGCTATGGGAGTTTTTCAATACATGCAGAGCCCGTCGTTTTTGTCGCTTATCCGGGTCTTGATTGGTCTGAAAAGTGTTCACTTCGAGTACCAGATCGCAATCAAAGATTCGTAATTACCACACGGAAAAGGAGACAAAGCGAAGCACACTTTTCTACATCGTATGCTTAAGGTTCATATTTCAGTGTGACCGTGATCCTTTAGGAAATTAGAAGAATGACATTGTGGCATGGGACCAAATGCAATGGCAAGAAGCACCAAAACAGACAAGAAAACGAAGGGATATCGAAAAGATCTCAATGTCAGGTGTCGCTGATTTGGTTGTGAAAGTCCTCAGATCTGCGCTGTTTTCCTTAATTTTATGATTACAAGGACAGCTGCAGGTTTCCAAGATCCAAGCGACATGACCTTTTTGACCTGCATACGACCTAGTAACGCAGGGCTTGCCTTGAATGTCGGATGTTTGCCATAGACTTATTTTATTTGAAAATTCCTTGTTTCGCGTTTGCATTATTTGAAAATTTTGCATAAGAAGATCAATGTATTTCATAGTAATGAGGTGAAGGGGTGGGCTCAGTGTCAACCATGTTATAAAGGCTTAAATTTTTCTATGTGTGCACGAAAATTCAGGGGGTTCTGGGCAGATTGCAATCATCATCTTCTTCATGATTTCTCACCAAGATAGTGATAACGTTGTGAGCTATAAAGTTAACAGATATGAGCCGAAGATGTTCTCACGCTAGTCATCGTACTCGAAGAAGAATTGTCCTCACAAACCATAAATGATAAATGTTAAAAAAATTCGAACCTTTGGCAATACGGTCAAGATACCGGACCTCGTAATACCGTAAATCCTTGTCCTTGGCTACAGTAGCTAGGAAAATCCCACAACCTCGGATCCCAGTACAAGAACTAGAGAGTACCGAGCAATCCAGTTGCCTTCACCGGTTTGGCCAGCAGATGACCGGCTTCTTACCATGTGGCAGCGTGAGTCAATTCAACAGTCCGGGGCTGCCTAAGTATGTCTTGTGTGCTCTCATGATGCTCCTACATGCTTCGTCGTGTGTCGTGCTCTGCTTTGCTCTCGGCGGAAGTTTTCCATTCAAGAACACAGACGGAAGATTTCATGCCCTGTTCGGTTCAAAGATGCAGTCTTGATATCGTGTCGATCACGTCCCATTGGATCCTGCATTTTCGTGAAGGGAAACGAACGGAGCGGAGAGGGAAAAGACTTACGCGTTCGTGAGCACATGAGAATTTGGCCTTGATCTTACTTGTACATACAATTTTTTCTGGACATTGGTGGATCGTGTCCGGTGCCGCGAGTCATAATGATTTCTCGGGTGAGATTGATGCAGCCCGGTCAATTCTTTCAGGTGTAGAGTGTTTTCAGCTGTACTTTGATTATCTGGCTGTGAAAATTTTGTATCGGAGCTGTCTATGTGAGATCTCATTTGTTGCGATTGCGTTTTGCAGCAAAGTAGCAGAGCGGGAGGGCCACAGAGCCCTCCTGCAGACCAGCCATTTTTGTCTATTTCTGTCACAGATCCTGTGAAGTTGGGAAATGGAGTGCAGTCCTACATTTCGTATCGAGTGAGCACCAAGGTATTAGTCTCTCTCAATTCACAGTCAGGGGCATTTCTATATATCCTCTCCTATCTCATGTGTTTGAAATTAGTCCAATCAGCTGAATACACGTAGGGACTATGTATGTAGGTCTATTTGTATAAAATTCTTTTGACTTAATTACTCTTATGGGTTACGAAATTAGTATATGTTGTATTTCTTCTGGAGTGAAACCAAAAATGGTATATGATGAATCGCCCAATCCCCTAAGAAATAAATTGCCTTAAAAGTTCGACACGGTGTTAATTGCGAGTTGGCATAATCAGCACATTGACAGGCATTGGTGTGCAGTGATGAATATTCTTTTTTATTTGCATCATGTTTAGGGTTTGAAATATCCCAGTTTCTTACTGCTATGACCCATTCAATCATTCTATCTACATATTTGACTGTGAAAATGAATTAAAAAATAGATTTGAAGTTCGATTCTGATGGTTTCTACACTGAACAGACCAACATGCAAGAGTATCGGGGATCGGAAAAAATCGTGATTCGAAGGTACAGTGATTTTGTTTGGCTACATGATCGGTTGGTGGAGAAGCACAAAGGGCTCTTCATACCTCCGCTTCCAGAAAAGAGTGCCGTTGGTAAGATTCAGTCCTGGATGAAAGTTCTCTCCTGGCTAATCATATTCGGTCATGATTTTAGTTCTCATCAATGTTTTATTTCTATCATGACATTGAATACTCGTATTGCGTAAACATATGTTTCATGGCTGAATATCAAATCTCGCGGTTGTCGAATCAATGTGAGTGAAGGAGGTTTGAAGGTGCCTGTTAGTGTTAAGTACCTGTATTTTAATTTTCTTGCTGAATTGCCCAGTATACAATTTTATATGTGAAAGTTATATACATGATGGTATGCATTACACCTGTGAGTTGGTGGTTGTTTTGTTTGGAGACCATGTTGCTATGTCACTGTATATACTGGATTGTTATTATCGTCTTGAATCACCTTTCCTTAATCTTCTGATCAAGCTCATCAAATCTTGCAGAAAAGTTTCGCTTTAGTGCGGAATTTATCGAGGTCCGGCGTCGTGCTCTTGACGTTTTTTTAAATAGGATCGCTTCTCACCCGCAACTGCGATCAAGTGAGGATCTCAAAAATTTTCTTCAAGCTGATGAGGAGGTTTGGGTGCGTCTACATAGCTGAAACATCTCATTCTGTTTGTTTATCAAGTGAGATGCTTCATTGGACTGCTTTGCTTTGCAAGGCTTCCACAATCAATATGGTTACTACCACCAACATGGTTATAAGGAGAACTCATGATGAACTTGACAAGAAAGTAGAGCGAAGCCTAGGGTGTCCTGTGATATACGATGATTTTAATTCTGTTTTCAAAGTTATAGATCCATCTCAAACTGTCCGGGTTTCAATCCGGAATTCACAAGGTTTTACCATAGCATTGCCCTCATACTTTTTATTACTATAGGCCATGGAGAAAGCGAGATTGCTTGAAGGGAGTATTTTCAAGAAGAAGCCTACCGATCTCATGCAAATGTTCAAGGTTAGTCAAGCATTTGCGCTTATGGTGACGCCTTTACGCAACCTGTTTCTTAAGCTTTGCCATTCAAAGCTCATATATCGCTGTGCACTGGTCTTCTCTTGAGAGAACAAAGACATAATTTTTACGTTTTTTCCAACAGGAAGTACAAACAAAGGTAACTGATGTTGTTTTAGGAAAAGACAAACCCCTTGAAGAGTCTGATCCACAGTATGAGAAGATGAAACACTATGTGGACGATTTGGAGGATCACTTATCAGAAGCGCAGAAGCAGTCTTTCCGTTTGGTCAAGAGACAGAGAGGTATCCTTTTCTATATCTCTACTCAAACTTGATGTGCTAGAGTTATGCTTTTCATTGTTTTTGGAGTCGTGTTTTTCATGTTCCCGATGATCGCGAATGCTGAAAATTGTGGCTTGCCTTGCGGCTCTATCATAATTAGCTAAGGCGCCTAATGAGGCAACCCGGAATGGGCACATTTTCTGTATCTGGATTTGCTCTCAAGCCTCTCAGTTCAGTCGTTGCTTGAGCTTTGTTTGGAGACTCGCTGCTTCAAAAGTAATCCACGTTCAAGTGCATCATGTACCTTCGTATATTGAATACCAACAGTTTATCTGCTCATTGCAACCTACCTTCAGAGTTCTTAGCATGAAGATATCATGAGCTCGCATAGCCGAGACTGCTACCTGATCATGGGTGCCTGGCTAACGAGGCAGTTATTCTTTTCCTACAATAATCTATAGATTGAAGAATACTTTGAGAGACAGGTGCCGTAATCGCGGGATAGACGTTCCATAACGCACTAACTGTTTGTACGAACTTCAAGTCCTGAGGAGGGGATTTCTCTTCATAACTTAAATTACTCATAATACAGTTTGTTTGAATGTGGATGGATTTGAGCGGACTAAAAAGTAAATATACGTTTTTGGAAAATTCGAACTCATTTTAGGGAGAAATCTTTTCGACAAGACGGAGTCGAACTTTCGCCTCCTCCATCTGCATCTTTCCTTTTTCCTTCTTCCCATGTTATTAGCGCTGTCCCCTGTAGCCATGATATTTATGGTCTTTAGGGTATAAGAAGAAAGTACTCTGAGAGTCAACTCTTGTAATCTACAATTTAACATTATAAAACTCCTCCCTTTTGGTCCTTGACCAATTATAAATCTCGCTAGTTGCCTCACCCACATCGCATTCCTCTTTTGTTCATTGGGCTGTGAGTGATATTTGGATAGATTGCAATTGTGGTCATTCAGATGTGTTTACCTTGTAATTTGTACGAAATAAGCGTAATTATCCCTCTCGTAGTAGGTTTTCAAGTTCACGACGTACTGACGTTATTATATTGTCAGAATTGGGGCAGGGCCTGGCAGATTTTGGCAAGGCTGTCAAAGCTCTAGGTGATTGTGAGGGTGGATCATTGGGAAAAGCGTTTTCTGAATTGGGAGGTCAATCCGATCTTCTTTCGGTCAAACTACAGCTGCAGGTGTGCTATCTTCATTATCAAGCTGTAATAAGCTCAGAGCTTGTTGAACCTATCCTTTTTGTCTTTCCTTGTTGTACATAATTTCGGAATCTAGTGCTAAGCGTACCAAATTTCTGGAATTGCCCCTCAGGCCCAAGACTTGCTTATGAACTTTGAGGAACCAATCAAGGAATATGTGAGAATTATACAATCAATCAAGGTATTCTCTCTAATCGCTAATCTTTGGCATGGTTTCATAGTAGGATTTTTCTCGCTGTCTTAAGCAGGTTTAGGAGAAGATCTTTGTCGATTCCCAAGGCGAATTTAGATGTTTTCTACGTATGATCTCATCCAGAGAAGCCGCAGCTTTGTTTCTCATTTCACTCTTGTTGGCACCTTCTTCTCCAGGCCGTCATGGTTGACAGGGCTCAAGCTTATCGCTTGCAAAAGGATCTTTCGGAGGCATGCAAACTCAAAGAATTGAACTTGTAAGTAGTCAGCTTTGGAAATAGAAATCTGCTTTATATTTCAGAGCTAGTTGAAATTGAAACAAAGATTTTAAAAGATGGATACATGTATAAAGCAGATTTCTTTCCTAAACTAGTATGAAATACGCATCATCTTCCTAAAAGCAGTACCAGTTGATATTTCGGTTTATATCAAATACCTTAGATGTATTGCGAGTTGATAATAACAATTTTTAGGTTCAGCTACCCCGTAATAGCAGCATGCTTATCCCACGGATTAATATCTTATCTCCTTGATCTAATGTCCTCCAACATCATATATATGTACATATGATGTTGATCCTCAATTAAGCGGTGGGTTGTAGGTTGGACAAGTGCAAATTCTGGACTGTAATTTTTAACCTAATTCTACATATGTCGATTGGCAACCATCATGCAGAGAGAAAATGAGACTTGTGCGACCCGACAAAGTGGGTGAATCAGAGGTGGACGTGAGAGAAGTCAGTTTCTTTTCTTTTGGCAGTCATGAAAGATTTAATTTTTTTGGTGATCCTGTAGGTTTTGCTTAAGTTTTGTACTGCTCTTGTCTCTTGATCGACTGGGTTTTGTTTAGTGAGATCATTAGTGGCAAACATGGCATGAATAAGCCTTACACATCGTTGGGGTAACCCGATGCTGCGGAAAGCAAGGACCTTATTGAAGCTATCATTTTGTAATGAGATTGACATCAACTGAGATTGTGTTTCGAAGTTCATCATATTCTGTCTTTCAACTGAATTAGATATTTCTGTTGAATTAATAGGCTCGTTCTTGCATTTCCTGCATCCCTTGGTTTTCGTTTGTTGGCACTCGAGGTGTTGCGATCAGTTGTCTATGCTTGAAGAGAAAGTGTGAGTAGTTATTTTTCGAAGTACTGAGTGTTTACTTGGTCATTCAATCGGTGCTTTTAGCCTCGGCTTACGTTGGTGGTTGGCTTGTATGATTGCAGATGAAAGTTCAAAGTGAAGAAGCCAGAGCAAGGTTTCAACAAATAGTCAGATTGATGGATCAAGAGATGGAGCGTTTTCAAGAGGAGAAGACCAAGGACCTTGGAGCTATTCTCCAAGATTTTGCTAGAACACAAGCTCAATTAGCTGCTGATACTGCGGATGCATGGCGCTCTCTCCTTCCTGAGCTAGACAAGTGCACGCAAGAAGACATGCAAACTCTAAATTCTTCTCCCTGATGTAGGTTCATTTCGTAGACGTTATCCCGCTCGCTCATGAGTCTTGAACTCCTGAACTTTCAGCGGAACGAGTGTGGCGGATCGACTTATTCTCTTCTTGATCAGGATACGCTTTCTTCTTTAGATTGAAAAAGCTCAAAGTTGATGTACAGGTTGCTTTTAGCACATCCTACTAGAGGATATGGGTTCAGAGTTAAGCAGTTTTAGTGTTCAGAAACATCGCATAGTTCTTTGCAATTCCTTATGTGAGATTTGAATAAGGACTCAAGCAATGGGCCGTTTCGTTTGATATAGTCAACTTGTCACGAAAGAAATAGTGAATACGAGATAAAGCTTGTTCTCAGTTTCGACCCACCAGCTTCATCCATTCATGACAATGTACCGTTGTATTCTCTACTCCTTTCTTTTGCTCTGAGAGTTAGCCTCTGTAGTTTTCGTTCTACGTCAGGTTCTTAGTTTAGTTACAATTATTTTCTAAGATCTGTTAATGGGACATCGGTGTTGGGATGAGAAGTACATCGATAAGCAAAGTAGAGATCTACAACACAGAAAGAAGCAGATGCATTCTACTCTTGAAGCAAGAGGCAAACACGCAAACGTCTGTTTGTGAATCAGAGTAAACCAGAACTCCTGTATAGGATGAAATCAAGCTAAGTGTGAACAGCTTTACAAGTGATCGTATTGAATTTTCTACTTTAAATGTAAGTTTTTGATGTCTCTGATTTCCGAAATAGATTATTTCTCAATCTCTTTGTTGTACTTCAGCACATATTGGTACGAACTTCATGAGGAACTGTCACCTTCCTACATGCCAGCTAGGAAAGTGGACACCATACAGGTCGTTGCAGTTGGAACATCATAAGCAAATCTAAGCCTTCGGTTTAACGTGAGTCCTAGTGCTACGGTTGTTCAGTAATGAACTAACTGGCCGCTAAGTCACTTAGTGAACTTAGTTCACCAAGGTCACAAATAATATGAGTGACGTCGGCTATACAAGTTCTGTAAACGCAGTTTAGTTTAGACAGTTTACCTTTTCAGAGTATTTGATCTACCGAGTAAGTTTGAAAAATTGTACTCAATTATAACAACTGGTGGTTTTAGATATGTAGCCATGATTATCATATAACCTAATATATGCTTGAAAAAGTTTCAATCGTTGGTTAAAAATATACGAATGAGACCACGGGTTTTGTTACTAAATCTGAATAGAATTTCATGCATGAGTATGAGTGCATCTTGGGATAGGATGTGAACATGTATGATATATTTTGTGTTGAAACTTCATTGGTACAAATGACAGTGAGCGAAGAAGCGCAAATACAACTGTCAGTAAGATAAAAAGTGGCAAGAAGATAAACATGCATGGCAGTGAAAACAACCGTCTATTGGTTACAGGATATAATTTTTCGACCGATGAATGACTTTATTCATTTGAATGGAATGGAGAGAGAGTTTTGAAGAAAGTGTCAAGGATATCCAATGTGAATGGACAAGAGAATTTCATTGACGGATGATGACAAGATAGATACAATTATATCAAGAAGAGAAAACAAATTAACTCGAAATTGAGGGTATATTTCAGAATCGGAGTATACTTTGGGTGCTTACGTGAGCGTTATAAGTTTCAAATCTCATTTTTTTAAACATTAACAAGCTTACAAGAAACGTTTTCTGCAAGTCTCAAGTTTTGAGTAGATTAGATTGATTGTTAGCGAGATTTGACTGTTGAAAGTTAGTAGAAAGATTCGGTTGCAAGACTACAAAGGATAGTCAATTTTGGCCGTGCAATTTGGTTACAGGATTTTTAAGAGATTTATGATTGATTTGTTTTGACCAAAAAGAAAGATCTGGACGTACGCTTTGTGCTAGTCTCAAATTTTAAAACTAGACTAGATTGGTTACGAGGCAGATTTAGCTGTCAAAATTTGGTGCAAAGATGCAAAACTATAGGTCAGAGTCAATCTTGAGAGTGACATTTGGATAAATTACATGTTTGTGACAAGATTTCTGATTTCATATATAAAAAATCAACTCCCTGTAAAATAGTTTTTCTTATCTGAAAGGAAGAGAGTGAAACTGAATATTGAAGGAGACTACTCACACAAAAGAGATGTAAATATCACATTACAACTAGGCATTCGGATGTTCTCAAAGCAGTCTTATGTACATGCGACATTTGTACAAAACTAAATGTAAGTTGTAGAAGCACATATTCATGTCCTGGTAAATAAGGTATGATTTTTGGAATTAATGGTAGAATCAAGTCTAAATATTATTACCATATTCAACGGTGATCCGTTTGAATATGTGGCAAAAATGATCACTTTAAGAAATTGATCATCAAGCAATGTGACTCAAAAGTTTGATAATGAGAAAAATAACTCCCTCATAAATGAACTTTGAATCTAGAAGAATGCCATATACAGATTTGAAAAATATTTTAATGATGTATGATTGAATAATGTTTATTCCTTGTTTTTTTATGTTTGTTATGTTACATTTATATGGATAATATCAAACCACAAGTTTTTATGTAGAAGTAATAAAATTATAAAACCAATACTATTAAATATGGTAAAATTCAAATTATTGATGAATTTTAATGTAAAATAGTTCATGTTACACTAATACATATAATGAAATTTTTTTCATCTATTTTGATTTATTAGATTCAAAAAATATAGAATAAAAGATTTTTTTATAAATAATGCTCAAGATGAAAATACAGGATAAAATTATCATGAAAGTAAGAAAATCATTAATCAATAAAAATCTATAGATTTGATAATGCAATATCATACTTGTCATAGTAAATTTTGTTGAAATTAACTCCAATTAAAGAGTAACCTTGGTTTTACGTTTACAAAGTTTACTATTTTGTTTGTTAAATATTTTAGTTAAAAATATAACTTTTGAAAGTAGCATTCACACGCAGATATAAGGCTTTGTAGAAATAAGACTGTGTAAAAAATGTATATTTGATGCACACTGTTTCAAAATCATCAAAATAAATGTCAGGAATTATTGTACATAAAAAAGTACAAGTGAGTAAGCCGTATGTAATGCCGTAGCCGCCTCTTTCTTTTGAATTCCTTTGTACCATAATTGAATGATGATGCATCAATAAATGACACTTCCGCAATATTGCAAGACTTGTTTTATTTCCTAATAAATGTAAGCGAACCACTTCTTAAACTACCATATCATAAAGAGCATTAACTACTATGACGAAAAGACGTTGGTAAGATATCACAATTGCTATGGAAATTATCCAGGTAAGTGAACTACAGGTTGGTGATACTTCCTTTGAGAACTAATGTAGGTTGGATTTTTGGATGTGATCTATTGACGGTTGAGATAAAGGATTAAATAACCACAAGTCAACTACGATCATATATCTTTGCTTTCATAAGGAAAAATCATGTCAAGAGTTGTTTATGCATAGTGTTCATAGCATGTAGCTTGCAAACCTTGAAGACTTGAAGAAAATGCTACAATTGTAGAATTAAGTAGACTTTTACTTCACTTAGTACATCGAATACATGTATATGGTTCCAAATATAGTTCAACACTTCTTTCAGTAATATAAATTTTGTAATTGTATTAAATGCATTGGGTTGAACCAAATCTTTTCATGTACCTACCAACCATAATGAACCGACGTTTACTTACACTACAGGCTAGAACAACCTCAAGAACAATACAATAGATTTATAATAGAAATAGGGTACCTATTTTCCGATCCATTCTTGTTTGAAGTAATTCAAAAACTCATTTTATGAAATAAATATGGTATGGAATTGCATCCAACGTTCCCACATCAAAAGTTCACAGTCATTATACATTATTTCTCCAAAAATATCACAAATTTCTAATATAAGCGTTTGGTTTTTCACTTTTTGGATCAAATTTTCTTCCATACCCTACAAACATATAACACATGATTCAAATTTTACAATGTAAATACTAATTGAAAATATCTTTACAAAACTTCTAGTGTAACAATCATAAATGTAGAATAAACATATTGACATTTGTTTTACACATAAATTTGTACATGAATCATTTCTATAAATGGACAAAAATTCAAAAGTAACTTCAAATATAAAATGTACAGAAAATGTTTGTAACTACTAGAAATACAGATTTCAATGCAACCATGTCTTGAGTAGCACAATCAATTATAAAGCAACTTGGTTTCCAATCAGGTTTAGATTCTAATGCTGCAAATTTGATTTTTGCAAAAAATCATTTCTGTTTTTTCTTTTTGTTGAATACTTCAAGCAACAAGTAATTTCATTTGATGGTTATCAAATGCAATCAATGTAAAAAAAATAAACTGCATGATAACAACACACAATATATCATTAGTCATGTGCAGTATGTATAAATGCATAACTTAGAAGAAAACGAGCAATACAAATCTCATCTCATTGATTCATGTGGCCAGACTAAAATCAAACGCAATGTATACGACCACTGATTTTGAATGAAGAAGGCAAGTCAAATTGTAAAACTTGGAGTTAATATAGTACAAAAGCGACAACGTGATGTTGAAAACTTCCAGCTTTAGAAATAATTATAGCTTGGAAAGTAAAGCAAATATTTGATTGTTGATGAATAAAAAGGTCTATGTAAGAAATGATTTACTAAACAAATTCAATCAGAAAGTTTATCTTTCTGATTGAATTTACAAACGTTTTCTATTATAAGGAAATCAAATGACTCCATCATGGTACATAGAAACTGTAATCAAACATACAGACATAGTTTCCTGCATGTTTTACTAACTCTAATTCCATCCACTAACTAACTCTAGTTCCAAGGTTGTGACCTTCAAAAATCAAAGCATTGATATTCTAGCACTTCAAGATTTTCAAGGTCAGTGTGTACTTCGCGTGTTAAAACCTGTTAAGGAAGATCACACAATCAGAGTCTACTCTTCACATGTATGCTATAAATTTTGCAAGGTTGTGTTTTTGTTAGAAATGAGAGATTAGATGCAATCCGTTGATGCAACAAAGTTGTGATAAATGCAGATACATCTCTCAGATAAACTTGGGACTGAGACTCTAGATTCTATTCAAAATAATAACTCAAATATGAGTGTTCAGTACGTTTACCCAATCTGTGTTAGTTGATTTTTTATAACTTTATTTGATTTTTGATGTACTTACATTTTCGAAAGAAGCCGATTTAGAGATGCATTGTGAATCTCCGATGTATAATATAATAATAATACATTGAGAATCTCGAGTGTATGATAATTTTAAACCATCAACTAGTATATTGATATTGTACATGAAATATGAGACAATTCTAACAATTCAAATGAACAAAGTAAAACCTGTTGTTAGATTTGTGAACGTTCTTACACAATGAAACTAACAAAACTTGTGCATCAGCTTAAAAAGTTTTGTCATAGATCAATTTGTCACTCTAATGTAAATACCTCGTGAGTTAGCTTCAGAAATTAAATCTAAAATGCAAGTTAAATCCACATGTACATGCGTGAATTTGTGACTGAGATTCTAAACTCTATTCAAAATAATAACTCAGATACAAGTATTCAATATGTACTTTTAGTCTATGTATTTGATTCTTTATAATTTCATTTGATTTTTGATGTACTTACAACATTGAAAGAAGTCTGTTTAGAGATGCATGTTGAATCTTGAGTGTAGATATTTATTATCACCTTCACACTATGTTGTTCTTCATGCTTGAAGTAAAATGGGGAATACCAATAAGTTTGAACGAGCAACTAGTATAATGATATTGTACATGAAATATCAGATAATTCTAACAACTCAACTAAACAAAAAGAAGCATGTTGTTAGACTTTTGATCGTTCTTATGCAATGAAACTAACGAATTGAAAATTGAAAATTTGCTCTATGTTTTGTCTAAGCTCGTTTTTAATGTATGGAGCATATGCAAACTTTAGACTCCAAAAACAACCTCATTTGCTGCAATTCTTTCATGACACCTTTTGCATTTATCATTACTATGATTCTTGCAACACAAATGTAAACATCAAATTGATATCAATTTATATTAATCAAATAACAATCGCATAATGATAACATATACATCAACAAGTTCAAACGGTAAAAACATTAAAATGAAATTCTCTTAACTTTGTCTGTAATAGATGATTGTAAAACAGATTTTGATTTGTGATATGTAACAATAAAATTACAAATACATATTCTTTTCATATGATTATTAAAGTTTAACTTTCTTGATCGTGATCTACTATTATTATCTATACTGAAAGTTGGATAAATGACTTTCCTAGGTATTGTGTCTGAAACTTAGAAGTATGATTAAATGATCCAAAAGCACATCAATAAGATATTATTTTTATCAAAACAAATTTTGAGCTTAGTATGTCATTGGTTTTTCTTTTCCAAAAGGTTGTTGTAAATTTTAGATTTTCTTTTATTTTCACCATACATAAAATCGTCTACATTTCACTTAGAATACAAGTTTTCTTCACAAGAGAATGATGTATTTTCCAATTACATTGCAAATCATATGTTTGAAATATTCATGTAAGAGTTGATTGAACAAAAATTCTACTGTTCATTGTTACATAAATACGTTTTTTTGTTGAAGAAAAAAAACCAGGATTAAATTTTGATTGGATAAACGTGGCCAAGGAGTTTGACTCCGTAGACAACATACACATCTCCTTTACTTCAGCTCCTAGCTGCGTTGAGTTAAATCCATGTCTAAAACCTAACATAAGATATTTTCTAAACAAAAAACTCACAATCAACATAATCATCAATCTAAATTCTTATCACAGAATCAAACAAGAAAATATAAAGATACTTAAACTTCATCAATCAACCAAAAAGAAACTACAATACTTTGAACTTTATCAAATTAAACAAGAAGAAATAGAAAGAGTAACTTGCAAACTCCAATGCTTCAACTCTAGTGAAACAATTCTCTAATACGCATGAAGCGCAGGAATACGACCAACATACATGACAAACTCAAATCTACTACCCGAACATACTCTCACTTTGAACTAATGTTCATCATGCTCTTTGATAGTTTCTAGAGCTGAACACAATCAAAAGCCTATTCCTTAACAACAAAGAGTGATTTTGGTATAGCCTATTTCTCAAGAAGATAATTCTTGCTCACAGCAACGGTGGCATTCTACTCAAATTTGATTCTGATAATTGTTGTAATCTCCATAAATTTCCAATATCCTCTTTTTTTTCGATTTTATGTTTAACATTGACAAAATCTAGCTAGATTGTATGTGCAATAAATTCTCTTTGACGGCGATAATTTAAGAAGAAATTCTCTTCTAAAACCCCGTGAAAAATCTTGAGCAATCTCGTAAGGTAAACTCTTCACAAACATGGAAACTTTGTCATTCAATGCACACAACAACGAGGTAACCTTGCTCCGCATCCAAAATTTGGAAGTTCTGTGACAATTTTGTGAAATTCTAGAACGAAAATTCCAAAATGAGAGAGCACAAAACATTAAATCTTGGAAAACGATGAAGGTAAAACCTTGGATGACCTTGACCTCCCGAAGTTCAATTCTAGTCCCTGTGGAAAATCTTGAGCAATTTCTTATACGAGAATGTTTAAGTACATGGAGGCTGGATGGAATCAAGGTTGATTTAGCCTAGAGTTTAGTCATATCTCACCCTAGTTTAATGTTCCCTTGTTGCACTACTTCTCACCCATTGCTTGTGGCTAAGCCTATGTTGCATGGCTCTAATAAATGTAGTGATAACTCTCGCCAAGTTAAACGGCGAGATAACAAGCAACTCCCGCAATTAAATGTTACAAGCAGAACTTTTCATGGAGACGAAACAATTAATATTGATGCATTTCAAAGCATTACAGCAATTCATAGAGATAAATCATAAAAAACATCGGATCAAATTATTAGAACTTTTGGTGCATGGAATACACGAAAGGTATCCAAAATCATGATTACAATGATTTGGAAAAAAATAATAATTTCGAAACATTGGTTCGTAATAACCTCCTAGTTTTCGCGTCAATGTTAGTGGATCGTGTGGCGCAAACCCACACGGATGACTTTGCTGTGGTACAGTACCCCATATCTGTGACACAGGAGGTGGCAGCATCGTCGTTCATTTGGCTATGAGAAACTCTCATCTCAGGTACAGAAGAAATGCCTCCGGATCTGTGTCATAATCGCTTCGCCTCCGAGATTTGCTGGACCGTGGAAAGGACGGATGTTATTAAGTGCGTGGTCGTGCGAGGATCTGTCAACGAGACGTTGCAACATCAACGGTTTGGGTCTGTCAACGAGACGTTTCCTTCGATCATTGTCGTGCTGCCATTGGGCATGAGCTACTAAAGCTCCACATTGTGTACCACTGAGGAGCATGAATTGAACGCGTACGTACTGCTGCTCCGATGCGGAATCCAGCTGCTAGCTCTGCATCTGCGGCTTGGCATTCCCACGCGACTGATGATTCTTGCACAGCCGGGCAGGGCCGTCAGGCAGAACAGGATCTGTTTCTTACGCAACTGACAGCGAGTTGAACTCGAGCTCTGCAAGGATCCTGGAATTTCAGATTCCCGTTTCGTAGATTTGAGATGACGCACTCGACATCCTCGCTGCGAATGACGAGATCATTAATCCAGAGAAATCTCACACAGCGCATGCACATCGACTGGGAGGACTAGTGGCAGGATTGAGCCGTTCTCTCAGATCGGCTGACCACCACATTTCACGTACCTTGTGACGAGTTCATCGTGCTCATCCTGATTTCCTTTGCGATGAAGCGAGCCGAGAAACAACATCCAGATACGGGACAAGCGTTGCCGAGTTGATTTAAGAACCTACAAAAATGTCCTCCTTCACAGATATGAGTCGACCATTGTTCTCCGTCCCTCCCGCTTACGCTACGCTCATCGGAGAAAAACGATTCCGCTCACGCTGTTGTAGCTATACACTTCGCCTGTCCGTGCTTCGAGGTGATGTCAATTTTATACAATTGGGGGCTGCTAAAGAATTGCTAGGGATTCTGTTTTCTAAGAATCAGGGGTCCTGTACACGACGAGGCTTTTTGAAGGGAGCACTCGGTCCTCTCGTCGAGCCAAAGGAAACCGGTTTCCTCTTGCCCAAGAAATCTTTGAATGATGGAATAGGCGGGAGAGGGGCTGGGGCCGGCGCTTGCTCGACAGAATGATTCGTAGCTGGGATTCGTAGATTTGTAGTGCTCGCTTGCTCGAATTTCTGGCCGTCACGAGTCTCGGCCGCGGTCTGAGCGGGGTCTTCTGCCGGTCGGGTCTCGGATGGGGGCGAGGTCTCGGATCGAGCTTCTCGTGTGCTCTGCTGATGAATGCGCAGTTCCAGCTCGGAGCTCGTGCACGTCGCCAGCCATCGGGTGGTGCTCGCGACCTGCGAATTGTAGAAGGGCTTGCCTGCTCTCGCGTACTTCTGGAAGCATTCCGTCTCGAGCGCGACGCCTCCGGAATCGGCAGAGATGCTGGTCAGATCGAGGCGTTGGCTCGCTTGCTCGACGGCGCCTTTGAGTCTCTCGGCGCATGCGTCTCGAAGCGCTTGCGAGATTTTCCTCTTCTCGCTGGCTGCTGCTGCGTCTTTGGATTTGCCACCGTCCGCTTGGCTCCCGTGCTTTTTGCCGAAGACGCGCTCTGCTCGAAGCAGCGCGTCCATTTTCTTCTCCACCTTGGACGACGAGGCCACGCTGCGCTTGCTGATGGCAGCGATGGCCTCCGCGGTGGCCTCGTCCTCTTCCTCCTCGTCGTCGGAGCCGGAGATTTCGTCTTCGTCTTCGTCCTTCATGTCGCCCCAGAACTCACTGCGATCCTGAAACCCTAAACCCTGCGATTTGCTGCTGGTTATGTACGACGAGAAGCGCGCTTCCCTCTTGGACGACGAGGCGAGGGCCAGATCTTCGAGGCAGGCCGCGACCCGACTCTGGAACCTGCACGAGTCGCACGTTTTGGCACACAGAGCCGTCGACACATGCTCGCCGAAATGCGCGAGCACTCGCTGTCGACGGCACCGCGCCTCCTCGCAGAACTGCACCATCTGGCTGAATGCTTCCACATTCTTCTTCACTTGGTTCTCGGCGTCGACTTTCTCCCGAGCTTTCTGCCCGGGATCGGGCTTCCTGGCGAGAAATTCCATCAGGCCTTTGTCCTCCAACCCGTAGTAGATTACACTGCGAGCAGGCTTTCCGTCGCGCCCTGCTCGACCCGATTCCTGGTAAAATCCCTCCAACGATTTCGGCACATTGTAGTGACAGACCATGCGCACATCTTTGCGATCGATGCCCATGCCGAAGGCCACGGTCGCGATGACGACGGGGACCTTGCCCGAGGTCCACTCCTCCAGGGCTTCGCTTCGAGCCTTGGCTGCAAGGCCCGCATGATAAACTCTGCTGGAAATCTTGTCCTGCGATAACCGAAGACCGACATCGTCGCAAGTGGCTCGAGAGTGACAATACACGATGCAGCAGTCGTCGGGATTCGACTTGATCAAATTGCGCAGGTCCTCGTACGCGTTTTTCAGTAGGTCCTTGTACCGGACCTCGTAGTAGATGTTTGGTCGATTGAAAGAGGAGATGAAAATTTGAGGATTGTGCAACGCCAACGATTTGACGACGTCGTCCTGCACCTTCTTCGCAGCGGTGGCGGTCAGTGCCAGAATCGGCACGTCGGGCAGGTGAGTGCGCAGGGCCGATAATTTGCGATAGCTCGGCCGGAAATCGTGGCCCCACGAGGATATGCAATGCGCCTCGTCGACTGCGATCAAGCTCAACAAGCCCCTCCCGTGGAGTTTCTTGATCCTGGTGATGAACCCCGGGGTTGCAATGAGCTCCGGGGTCACATAGAGCAGCCGCAGCGATGGCCTGCCGGACTCAAGCTGCTCGTAAATCTTGGCTTTGACTTTGGCCCCCTGCGACGAACTCAAATGCTCGGCGGCAATCTTCTGTGCCTTCAAAGCAGAAACTTGATTTTCCATCAGAGCGATCAAGGGGCAAACCACGAGCACGATGCCAGGCTTGGCGAGAGCGGGAATTGCGTAGCACATGGACTTCCCGCCCCCGGTGGGCATGAGGCAGAAACAGTCCTGCCCCGAGAGCACAGCTTCGATGGCCTCGAGCTGCCGCCCTCTGAAACTCGAGTGCCCGAAGTGGCGCTGCAGAAGCCCCTCCAAGCGCTCTTTGCCCACCCCATTCCCCCCGCTCGTGCCTTTCACCGTGAGTGGCACTTTCTCCATGTTTCCCGCCCCCCGAACCTGCTCAAAGTTCACAATTCACAATTCACAGCATCCCCTCGAGCTGCAATCCAAAGCCCACCCATCGCACCTGCAATCCACCGAGCCCTCCTCAAACCACACCAGCAGTTCATCCTCCCAACACCCGCATTTCTCTGCAGCCTTGGAATCCCACAGCTCACTTCCGCATCCGCTCCACAGCTTCCTACTATCCTCTCGCTAGCAGAGCCGCAGATCTCCACGCTCGACAGACCGAATTGCGCCCGCTCCGACCTTGCGCCGACGCGAACCATCAGAGCACGATGCAGCTTTCTCCGATTCGACGGGACCTCGCCTCGTGAATCTCAAGCCCTCGAGCGAGTCGGGGGATACGATGGTCTGGTGTGGTCCACCGCCCAATTCGTTCCCCCCGGAGTCCAAAGTCAGATTCAAGCTTACGCGACCCAGGGAATCTTTCGACGTTCAGCATGGGACCTGAGGAGGGAGGGAGACCGGCTCAGCCGGTGGAAAGAAATTCCGCGGGAGATTTGGAAGCCGTCCACGGACAGTGAGGGACGTTGACTTTCCGTCGTTCGTCTTCCCTCCCGTCGCTTTACCGACGGAGTTATTGAGGCTTTGTGCCGGTGGCGACAGTGGGTAGGCCACGCTAACCGTGGTTGAGGAAACCGGCTACGCTAATGCTGGTTAGGGTTTATGGCGGGTTTCTGGGCCCAGGAATTGAACATGGCGAAGAGTGCAGGAAAGATGACGAGAATTTGTACAGTGCGGTGGCAAGATTTCTTCGAAATCAGAGCCTGTTTTGAATACTCGATTTGTGAGTTCGCGATGATCGCTGCAGCTATTCGCGCAATTGCCCCGCTGTAGAATGTTTTCGCTTCGAATTTGTTGACGGATCAGAGATTTTCATCGAGGCCAGTTGGCCGCTCGGGAGCGATGGGGACTGCTCCGGGGGCTAACGTGCACCTCTCCATGAGCTTCAGCAAACAGCCGTACATCGAAGATGTCGGGCCGCGGAAAATGTGAGTGTTTTTTGTAATTTTTTTTTTACCGATAGGGAGTTGTTTCCCCAGGGGTATGAATTTCCTTTTTTTTTGGCTCGGGCTATTGACATAGCACAGATTCTGCGGATGCCTTCAATTCATGCGCTACGAGGTCAACTGTTCACCCTTTCAGCTTTTATAATTCCCTAAATGTCATTGGAAAAGCGAAAGTGTCGTTTGGCAATTGTCTGCAAGAGATAATTTTTTCACGGGAAAATGAACGAAGCAACGCAGAGGAATCCGAATTTCTTTGCATGTACATTCTGTTCAGTGTAGTCCTCACAGTCGACGTTGGCAACCTATTGAATGCTATACACGTAAATTGTGAACTTGTTACACTCAGGCCTGAACATGTGAAATCTAATGTATTCTCCTAACGATTATGCTTTTGTCTTGGATGTTCAGCAAGAGTGTTCGCTTTTGTACGATGTCAGCTAAGGAAATCGTCAAAGTTGCTGAACTACATGTTTGCGAGTCAAGCTTGTATCGTATGCCTGAGCGGCAGCCAGCTGCCCATGGTCCTCTAGACACTCGCCTGGTATGATTTGCCCAAATGTATCCAGACAGTCGACGTTTTGTTTACGTATGTAATTTAGAGTGAATCGCACCTTTTGAAGCTTACAGGCTTTGAAGCTTTGGATTCTATCTTCTTCAAAGGTTTTGCACTTAGTTTTCTTGCTTCAATCCAGAATTCATATCTCCTTTCATCTTGTTATTGATATTATGACATCTCTCGTTCATCGTCAATTGTACTTATCGAATTCTTACACATGAAGCGTGCGTTGGCTCTGTCAAAAACTTTGCCAAATAATAAGTTTAAAACTATTGTATCCATTGGCGAGCCTAAAGGTGTAGTTGTTTGAGGCATATTGAAGAGTCGGGTTTCCACTACAGGGAACCACAAACAAGAAGGGAGTGTGTACCACTTGTCATGGAAAACTTGCGGAGTGTCCAGGACATTTCGGTTACGTCCGGTTGGAACTGCCAGTTTTCCATATTGGCTACATAAAAAACATCCTGACAACCCTCCAATGTATTTGCAAGGTACTATTTTCTACTGCTCTCAGTTTCTGCACAACTTTATTTATCTGAATCTGTCCGTCACATCCCGAAGATACACTTGCTCTCTGGGGGGTGCTAGTATCAAGATATGAGGATGAAGATAGTAGATAGGGGAGGGAACATGATGGAAAAAGAAGAGGGAATCGTAACAGCGAAACCAATTTGCTTATAATTATGTTTTATATCCTGAAAATTGCATACCCCCCGTTCGGACTGAGCGGTGTTATGACCGAGCTTAAAGTCAAGGTATGCCTTAGAAAAATGATATCATGTGTAAGAAAAACGTGAGATGAAACTTTTCTGAAATTTCATGGTTTGCTCGATGTTGGTGCAGTCTTGCGCTCGTATTCTCATGCCAGAAGATGAACGCAAAGTGTTTTTAAAGCGCATGAGAAATCCACGAGCTGAAATATTGCAAAAGAAGGCCATATACAAGAAGGCAGTTGAACGTTGCAAGCGAGTGAAATTGTGCCCAAGGTGTGGGGATTTCAATGGTGATTATCTTCTCGGATCCGACTCTTTCTTCAGCTCTTTATCTTTATTATTGCACTTGATGCTTACAGGTCATTGCTATTTGCTGTTGATGTGGGTCGTCCTACAGAGGAGTGATGTAGAGGATGGATGGTATGACAGGAACGGTGAAGAAGTTGGCCCTTCCCACCAGAATCTTTCATGACAAATACAGCAAAGCTATCGACTTGAAGGAGGAGATGCTGGAACAACTGAGTGAGGCTATGAAGTTCAATAAGGAGCTGAAAGCACACGTGAATCGCATATTTGATTCTCTAAATCCTGTGCGAGTTCTTTCACTTTTTGAGAGGATGCTGCAAGAGGTACTCGACCTGCCCTATTACTGTCAGCCTCGCAAAGCCCTAAACTTGGTATATATATCTTCTATTTAGCACATATCAGGTCACCTCTTGCAACTGGAGCGAGCGTGGTAGAGAATTTGTTTATTGGGGATTTATGGTTAGGGATAATACGTGTTTGAGTGATGTGGAAAGCGTTATTAAAGACGAGTGGGGAGCGGGGAGTGGGGTGGTGTTGGATTGCGGACAAAAGGAAGGGCAAATTATCATTGCAAGGTTTTGTAAGAAGCAGGAGAGGACAGTGTCAGACGGATGGCAACCGAATTCCTATAATTTGACAAGTCTAGTAACATTCGTGGACTTACTGTCTCTGCTTTCGCTGTGTTCTTTCTCTTGATTACGTCGCTCTGAACTGGCTTCTTGTTTTAGTGCTGAATGTACCACTCTTAAGAACTTCCGTTTTTCCGTCTGGTCGTGCTATATCCTTGCTTCTGCTCATCGCGTAACAGCCAAGCCTGGAAGATACACCTTTCTCTCCGGAACTCCGCTGGAAGCGAGCTAAACAAGTAGCACATCATCCACTATATGTGCTCTGAAAGGAAAAACATAGTTCTATTTCCTGCAGCATGTTGCATTGGCCTGTAGGGCGACGCTGATATGAAAATAAACCAATCTCGCTAAGTGAGAAAAGCACAGAGCAAAAAGCTGCTATGCGAGAGGTTAAAGCACAAGTTTAGCTACTGAGAAAATGTATAGCTATGTTCACTGACTACAGTATGTACTAACCTTTTGCTATCCGCAATCAAAGTTTTCTTTTGGTCTTTCTCTCAAGTCAACGTACACTTACTAGTATTACCCAACCACTACCCCCTTTACCAACCATTTGATCATCTCCATTTTATACCATAATCTGCAGATGAATACGTTTCTCGCTCGTTGTTTTGCGCTCCTATTGTCTTCTTACTTCGAAAGCCAGCGTTGTGTTTGTTTGAACATTGCCCAGAATGCCTGTAGCGCTTCTCTTCAAGCTACCAGATGCCTATGTACGATGATTATTTCAACCTTCTAGGATTTGCAGTGTGTTTTTCGTCCTCGTGTTGCTAAGAAGCAGTATTGTCTAGTTTATATTCTTATCGTAAAGCTAATCTTCCAGACGTTGTGTTTGCAGGATTGTGAGGTGCTTTTCCTGGCAGATAGACCAGAAAAGCTAATGGTCACCCATTTGGCTATCCCTCCTGTTGCTATCCGACCTTCAGTGGAAATGGATGCTGCTGCTGGAAGGTACTCGATTACATCTTCCCTTGTTTGAATATTTTTATTCTTATGTGTACAGTTCGGATGGTTGTAGGTCAATCTGTTTCCTGTGAAAGAGAGTGGAGCAATTTTGGTCATGATTGTTGACAGCTTGGGTCTTTGGTCTCCAGGCTATGAGAGGAAAGTAACTGTGTAGAATATGTTCACAGCTTTCTTTTGAAAGGGCCGTTCCATGTTCGAGTCACAATCTGTGGAATATAAATACGTGGAATGTATTGTTCCGGTCATATTCATACCTGTGTTCTGGATTTCGTTGCCTCTCTACAGCAACGAGGACGACCTTACAATGAGGCTGCTGCTCATAATCAACTGTAATAATCAACTGCGAGCTTGCTTAGAGACAGGACAACCATCAGAGAAAACGATGGTATTTTCTGAAACGTTGAAATTGCATTGGTTTTGATTGGTTGTATCGTTTTTTCGGGAGTGCTCGAAGTAATTCCTTCTGACAGTTATTGCTACTGTTAGAGGAAATTCGTGATACATGTTGTCGGCTGTCATAGACATGTTGCCCTTTATCTGGTGTTGGCCTTGCTCAACTGATTTTGAAAGTAAGAAGTGAGCAAGACAGAGTGATATGTCTCTCCTACAAATTTCTTCCGACTTATAATTATCATAAAAGATCTCAGGGAAGCTGCATAGTTTAAATTTGATGATGTCTTAACGCCTATGAAGGATTTCATATTTCAGCTCCCGGTCGAACATATTCTAAACTGTGCTCTGTGGGTGTATCAGGAAACATGGGATTTACTGCAGACACAAGTTGCGTTGTACATCAACAGTGATACTTCTATCCGTGACCATAACCAGCAAGCCCAACCACCAGGAAAACTTCTCCGCGGCTTTGTGCAAAGGCTGAAAGGAAAACAGGGTCGATTTCGAGGAAATCTCTCAGGAAAGCGTGTGGACTTCAGTGGGAGGACTGTCATATCCCCAGATCCAAACTTGAAGATTACTGAGGTGCCAGTTGTTTCCTACAACACACAAACATGTGATTGCGTAATTTCCCTGATTTGCAATTATCTCAGCTAAACCATGTATGTTCTTGTATCTCAGGTCGCAGTACCAATCTTGATGGCGCAGACACTCACCTATCCTGAGAAGGTCACTCGTTACAATATTGAGAAGCTGAGGCAATGTGTTATTAATGGAATGTCCAAACATCCTGGTGCAAACTTCGTAGTATTTCCCGAGAATGGAAAGTCCGACCAAGAACGTTCCTCTGTGTATGCTCTCGTTCTTTACCAATTTTTACCGCAATCTTTTGCTCTATTTCTCTGCAAATAGTCCCTACTTTCCTGCATTGTATGTTTCCTGTTTTTGAAGATGACATATTGAATCATGTACTTGTATTTTCCATTTCCATCTGCATTTTGTTGGCAGGCAGTGATGTGGTCGTCCTCACACTCTCCTTAAATTTGACAGATATTTGAAATTTGGTGATCGCAAGCGAGTGGCTGCTGAACTCAAGTATGGAGACATCGTTGAACGACATTTGGAGGATGGAGATATTGTCCTGTTTAATCGACAGCCTAGTCTTCATAGAATGTCCATAATGTCACACCGGGTCAGCTTTCTCTCCTCTTTGTCTGTTTCACCAAGTCGAGTGACCTCTGTTTTATGTTGCTTACGAGTAGGTTCAGAAGAGGAAAACCTGACTGTCTTGGAATATATTTTTTAGAATGTATGTATGGTCGCATGTCCGTGCACGTCAGCATCTTGGTTGAATATATCGCCTATATTCATAGCTCGAAACATTGGGTTTGCCGTAAAACAGTTCCTGTACATGCTCTCAGGAGTTCATGGGGACCATTTGTTGCCTAAAGTTATCGTGACTGTTGTTGAGATGTACCATGATCTTACCTGGAGTATGCCTATCCTACTCTTTCATGCCTGGATTTCTCTGCCCGCTTCTTGATCTCTGTTTCAGATTTATCAATCTTTGTTTTCTTGCTCCATGAGTGCTGAACAGTGGTAGTTTGTTGTCTTTGCAGGCCAGAATAATGCCATGGAGAACACTCCGATTTAACGAATCAGTATGCAATCCTTACAATGCTGATTTCGATGGAGATGAAATGAATCTACATGTGCCACAAACGGAGGAGGCCAGGACTGAAGCCTTGCAGCTGATGGGGGTAGGATATAATTTTGACCAAGTAAATTGGACTTCAAAAGAGTATGCTTACTGGGACGTTAAAGAAAACGGAAAAGTTTCAGGTTCTTGGGATGATTGAGAATGATCTTCATTCCGGTTTTATAAACCCGTTGTATCTGTCATTACTTTGTGTTTGCAGGTGCAAAACAACCTTTGTACTCCAAAAAATGGAGAAATTCTGGTGGCCTCAACTCAGGACTTTTTAACGTCATCCTTCTTGATTACGAGGAAGGATACTTTTTACGACCGCGGGGCATTCACCCAGATCTGTTCCTTTATGGGTGATGCTGTGGAGACCATAGATCTTCCAACTCCGTCCATACTGAAGGTATTGTCACTTTTCATATTTTGAATCTAGTTTTGAGAGTGACTATTTGAATACGTTGCTCGGGGAATTAACGTACTATTGCTGTTCGTCATGTGAAAGCCTATCGAACTCTGGACCGGAAAACAGCTGTTTAGTGTTCTCGTTCGTCCTAACGCACGATCACGGGTTTTTGTAAACCTAGTGGTTATGGAGAAGAACTACAATCACGGTCAGGCGAAGGAGACAATGGACCTCAATGACGGCTACGTATATTTTAGAAACAGTGAGCTTATTTCAGGACAGCTTGGCAAGGCAACTCTAGGTCTGTATGTGGTCCTGACTTAACTTTTGAAGGTTTTACTGAATTTCTGACCCTTGCTCAGTACTCACTGTAGTCTATAAATTATCACTCTTCGCCAGCTTTAATTTATGGACGTAGGTGATATGATATTGTACAGGTAACGGTAACAAGGATGGGCTCTTCACAGTGTTGTTGAGGGACTACAATTCCGAGGCAGCGGCTGTATGTATGAATCGTCTGGCAAAACTCAGGTATGATCCGCTTTATGCCAGCGAACTACATTTCATACTGTTTTTTGTTGGGTAAACACGAGTAGCTATCTAAGAGTGACAAAGTTTAATGTTGTGACTTCGGGAGCGGCTTTTGTCAAAATTATTACCAATAGGTCACTATCATAGGCCCCTGGAATGTCAACTTGGATGACAACGCATTGTATTGTACTTTTGTAAGCAGCTTCACCATGTTTATAACAGTTCTAAGAAATCTTCGTTAAATTCTCACCGACAGACATGTTACAATCAAAATGTGTTAACAAGATTTTAAAACGAGGATAACATTTGAAGGAGAAAAGTGTAAAGAGATCAGAGGAAGCGTGACTCTGTTTAAGGCATGTTTGTCCTGGAGAGGTGCTGAAAAGGGATTCCACAGTTCTGCAGGAACTTGTCAAATTCTGTCAAATTTAACCTAATTTTGAAGGAGCTTTTAATTCAATCTCTGTTCTGACTGGGTTTGATAAGCTACCCTTATGGGAAACAAGTAAGGGATTTTTATGTGTTTGCAACACTAAGTTATTTACATGTTATGTCTGTCAGTGCAAGGTGGATCGGAAACCACGGATTTTCCATTGGGATCGATGACGTGCAGCCAGGTGCAAAGCTATCTCAGGAGAAAGAAGCACAAATGTCCAAGGCTTATCGTGAATGCGACAACCACATTGATGCTTACAATAGTGGCAAGCTGACTTTACAACCGGGTTGCAATGCATCTCAAAGTCTTGAAGCGATGGTCATGGGAGAATTGAATAGGATTCGTGAGGATGCAGGGAAGGTAAAGATTACTACCTTAGTACTCAAGACAGACTGCATCATACGTCTGAAGTTACCCGATTAGTTATTGAGCTTCTTTCTCTATTTCTGTGTTTTCGGAGTATTTTTTGTTCTAGTTTCACAACTATCACCTTAGCGACCAAATTATCAAACTTCGCAGAAGAGAGTAATTTACCAGGAAATTTAATTCTGATGAAAGTTCATGCGAAGAGGTAATTTATCTGGTAACCGTACGATCGCGTAATATTCGGTCAGTCATGACGCAAACTTTGTGGTCATCATATCTTCCTTGGGATTCTTGCAGGTATGTCTGAAAGAGTTGCATTGGCGGAACAGCCCACTGATCATGTCTCAGTGCGGATCCAAAGGTTCTCCTATAAATATCAGTCAGATGATTGCTTGTGTGGGACAACAATCAGTTGGTGGAAAACGAGCACCCAACGGATTTTTGGAGAGGAGTTTGCCGCACTTTCCAAGGAACGATAGAACCCCTCAGGTTTGCTTATTTTACCCTCCCATTCCGTGGTCTTTTCTGATTAACCAGTAAACGTATATGCTTACACTACTAGCTCTTCATTGGGTACTTTCATCTCTTTTATAATTTACGGAGTCTTTTAATATTGGGTAGGAAGTATTTATGCAAGTCTGGATATACATGTACTTGTAGCTTTTACTTCTGAAGCAACCAACCTTGATACATAACTTAATCAACGGCGGATGTGTCCTTTCTTTTCATCGAATTAACTGTTTATACTTGTTCTGGGCACTACTGTTCCCACCTGCTAATTTCATCAGTAAGAGTGATATTAGACCGATTTAGTAATTAATCTTAAGAGTCCTCTCGCCACTATTTTGAGGACTCTAATTGCCTGAGGGGGGCTGATAAAAAGAGGGCCAAGTTTTGGGCCTAGTTTGTTATAGAGAGAAAACATCTCATAGAATTTCTCTTAAGGATCTAGATGAAGCAATAATTGGATGCAATATGAGTAGCAAAATCCTGTGCCATATCTTCAATTCTTTACCTTTTTTTAATGGAGATGACCATCTCGGGTATTTGGCAGGCAAAAGGTTTTGTTGCGAATTCTTTTTACAGTGGGTTATCAGCTACAGAGTTCTTTTTTCATACTATGGGAGGACGCGAGGGTCTTGTCGATACCGCTGTAAGCTCAATCTTTCCCTTCCTTCATTTGTATGCAAGAGACAATCTATAATGTACCATATAAGATTTTCTTTTTCACTTCAGTGTTAGGTGCTTTCTGTTGGTCTCGTCGCGTGTTACATCTGTGGAGGCAAAATCTTTCCTACCGTATATAGATCGTAGTCGATTCTGTAAACTATGGTCTAGACTCGTAGGATGACTTAAACAAGGGCATTACTCATTCCTGAAACCACCTATGGGGGCTCAGGTCAAAACTGCAGAGACTGGTTACATGTCTAGAAGGCTTATGAAGGCACTCGAGGACCTTTCTACCCAGTATGATGGGACAGTTCGGAACTCAAGTGGGGGAATTGTTCAACTTCTTTATGGTGATGATGGCTTAGATCCAGTGAACATGGAAGGAAAGGATGGTCTACCTTTCAATCTGAATCGTAATATGCTGAAGGCTATGGTGAGTTTTTTCTCGTTAGTCCTTCCCAAACAGTTAAATTTTATGTTTCTTGAAGATAATAACAAATTACGTTGTCTGCTGATCACCTATGATCAAGGTAATTAATGAATGTGAATTTATTCAGGAAGTATTGTAGATTTAAACTGTTGCAAGTCTGGCCCTATCTCCAGGCAACGTGCCCTGCACGCGGTGTCCTTGGATTACCACCTGCAGAACTTACGAAGAAAGTAGAAGAACGCCTTTCAATGCCAGATGTCTCGTTGGAGAATGGCTGCTCTGGTGCCTTCAAGCAGTCGCTTTCAACTTTCATGGAGAAGCGAATTGCTGCTATTGCCCAAATGAGGACAAGACTAGGATTGCCGCTAGATAGGATTGATGAAGATAACAGCGTGCTTGAGAAAGCTGCTGCAAACATCTCAGGGTTGACTGAGCGCCAGTTACAAGTAAGTTTATCTGGTCTCTTCTAACCTGAATCCGCATGGGTCCTTGATTCACTTGGGACAAAGTTCCATTTCTTATTTGTAACGAACGAGAGTTGATATAATGACATTCTCCGCCTAAGTACTTGAAGTTAGTCAGCAGATAACTAAAATTGGTTTTTGACATCTTCGTTGACAAAGATTCTCTGAAAGGTTGTGGATCTCTGTACTCTTTCAGCGACTGTCAGTGTGATGGATGTATCCTGTTGTGTGATACCGTGTCGAAGTTTTTAAAGTGGCATGAAGGACGAGTTCTGCTAGAGTTTTATGAAGGCACTTATATATGATGGAAATTATCTCTCCACTATGTGTAGGACCATAAGTTCATTTATCTAGTTGTAGTTCGCTCTCTAGTCTCATAATCGCTGACTTTCATGATTCATGGACCTCTTTTTTACAGGTATTTCTCGACACCTGCATAAGGAGATATCATAGAAAGAAAATTGAGCCTGGCTCTGCTGTAGGAGCAGTTGGCGCTCAGAGTATTGGAGAGCCTGGGACTCAGATGACCCTAAAGACTTTTCATTTTGCAGGCGTTGCCAGTATGAGTATCCTACTCAAGATGCCACTGAACGTTTTTGTGCAGATCTTGTTTGTCGATTTTTTCTGAAAATGCTTCTCATGAATTTTTACAGTGCTTTCACATTCATGCGCGCTCTATAGTCTTCCAGTTTTTTGTCATTCATTTTGTAGTCATTCGTGTCCTCTCCTCGTTCATGTAGCAGTTCTTCACTAGTTTTCATGCGCTGTCATACCTTAACAGTCACTCCCAGACATCACTCTTGGAGTTCCCAGAATTAAGGAGATTATTAACGCCTCTAAAAATATCAGTACACCGATTATAACTGCCAAACTAGTATGTGATAATGATATGAAGGCCGCACGAATTGTCAAAGGTCGCATCGAAAAAACTGTTCTCGGAGAGGTGAATACCGAATTGCTCTTTGCCTGAAAGTCGTCGAGATCGCCAAGACATAGAAAGGCAGCTTCACAGTTTGGTTTCTGATGCGCGGTTTGAACAACTTCTATTCAACTTCAAAATTTTGTGCTTTCTTTCAGTCACTTTAAATTACTATGTTAGTACTCATGTTACTCATGTTATATGCGTGTGATGATAGTTCAATTAAGATACCCGGTTTGTGTTTCATTAGGTAGCCAAATCAATTAAGGTGGTTCTGAGACCAGGGCAAGCGATGCTCTCAATCAAGCTTGACATGAAGAGAATTGAAGCTCTGCAGTTAGATATATCGTCCTCAACGGTGGCACAAGCTATTTTGAAGACTCCGAAGTTAAAGTTGAAGCAACAGGTTCCATCTAATATCTTCCCATGAGCCCATTGATTAGGCCTGTAACATGCTTTTACGCATAACATTCAGCTGTGAACTGGTAGCCATCGGAAGCAGTTGCTTGGCTTTTGATCTGATACCGACATCTTGGATGCCTCGTATTGAGTTTCTAGTTTTGTGGAACTTACTATGAAATGTGAAACATTTAGCATCTCTCATTTTTATTATGCTCTAAATGCAGCACCTGCGGGTTGTGGACTATCAAAAGCTTGTCGTGTTCCCTCCTGATATGGATCGTAACAAACTATATTATTCGTTGCAAGCTCTACGACTTTCTTTGAGGAAAGTCATTGTCAAGGTAACTCGGGTTGATGTATACTTCCAATTTTATAGTTACAAGAGCAGGCTGGTCTGCTATCTGTATTTCTTTTTCGTAGTTAACAGCTTTCTGTTATTAAACTACTTAAACGTAAGTATTCGTGTTCAATCCTGGTGTATGTGATCTTGCTTCTATTTACGTCACTTCTCAGGGGATCCCCACCGTGGAGCGTGCTGTCATTAGTGAAGAAAACGGGAAATACAACTTGCTTGTGGAAGGGTAAGCAGGACCTCGTAAATTGTTACACCTTTGCCTATATTTGAATCTCCTTCAGGTCTACTGTTCACAAGTCATCTTCATTTGAAAGTTTGCAAATGGGAGAAGTCACTCTCTTTTGGCCTGAGCCGGTACTTTTATCTTACTGACAAACATGTCCTGTGGTCTCGAGAAACTAGCTGTCTGCTTGAGGTTTGAGAAAGAAGGTCCTCTATGTAAAATTTGACCTTGGTTCATATTTATGGATATCATCCAATTGTATGATGTTGCAGGACCAATCTTTCAGCTGTGATGGGCATAGATGGAGTGGATGGTCGTCGCACAAAGAGTAATCATGTTATTGAAGCTGAGCACACTCTAGGAATCGAAGCCGCGCGCAAGTGTATCATTGATGAAATTCAATATACCATGGCCAGTCATGGAATGAGTATCGATATTCGACATATGATGTTACTCGCTGATGTTATGACTTATAAGGTTCTAATTTGGCCCATTCGTTGTGTTCGAGGCCTGCGCTTCATCTGTTACTACTATTAATTGATCTGTCTTCATTAGTTATTCGCCGTCAGTTCATGTTCAATTCCTCTAAACTATCAAGTGTGCTGCTGTTTGAGTAAGACGTTGTATCGGGTTACTCTCAGGCTACTTCTTTCACCAGAAAAGCTACTGCTTAGTGTCTCCCTCATTGAGAGTTCAAAGTTGAATACTATCTATATTAAAATATATTGGCTTATCTATGTTATTTTCAGGGTGAGGTGCTGGGAATCACAAGGTTCGGAATCGCCAAGATGCGTGATAGCGTTCTCATGTTAGCATCTTTTGAGAAAACGACGGATCATCTCTTCGACGCAGCAATTCATGGACGAACAGATGAGATAGAAGGGGTTAGTGAGTGTATCATCATGGGCATACCTATGCCCATAGGGACAGGCCTGTTCAAAATTCGTCAAAAGTAAGTATATAAACGAACTCTCTGTTGACTATCTTCTCAAGGTTCTGCTGAAATGGGATGTGCTAACCCTTGAAATTTTGTCTGTTCAGGTTGGAGAAGATTCCTAAGCTAACGTATGGTCCAGAGCCACTTCTCGGGTAGTGAATGTTTCATCAAAGTAGCGGCGTTCGAAGCGAATAGACAAAGGCTCTGATTCAACGGAACTTGGAGGCTTTGGTAGAATTTCTGTTCTCCTATCATCCTTTCCCCCTAGAAGACTAGACTCGAGATTATGATGCTCAATGGAATCCTGTTGCATATTTAATTTGTACCTCTGGCATATAAAAACATTTTGAGATGATTTCCATTTCTGTTGCAGTGCAGATTTTTCAGACATTGTGCTGAAGAGGAGAACTTGTACAAATCTACAATGCAAGACCGTCAACTCAGGCTTGAAGGTGTCTGGCTTGCATTTTTTATGGCCCTCGATGAAGATCTCCAAAATAGGAGATTCTGAAGCAAAGTTGCTGCCCTTCAATGGCTGTGATGGTGTTTCGTGGAAACTTTCAGTATAGGAAGGCAGTTAGTAGTTAAGTTAAACTATTAGCGAGCATGCTGCTTTCGGGGCTAGTTCACAAGTTGGCATATGATATAAGAGGAATCGATGTTATTATGCCCGGTTCGCATCGAAATTTTCTGTGGCAGCATAAGCCGCACATATCTTTCTTCAGTTGATTTCTTCCTACCTGCATGTACTATTTAGTCCAGCCCTCATGGGCTTGTAAAAATTGCATTTTTCTCTAATGGGTTTACTCCAGAATCTGTTAAGTCCTCTACGAGACGATCCCGACTTTTTTTTTTAACGTGTAGGCCCTTGTGGGTGATCACGTGCTGCTATATATAAAAGAGGAAAATGAGTTTTATCTCATGTGTTGCATAAAGTTCACTGTCTCCCATTTGTGCCAGAAGCTTTTTTATTAAAAATAGCTTGTATTGGTCTGACTTCTGTAGCCAAGGAGTCCCATTTGCTCCCCTAGCTTTCGTCTCTCAGTTTCAGTGGTGGCCCAGCAGTGAAGTATTACCTTACATCCGTCGTCAGGAACTACCGAAAAAGTACTCAACATGTGCAGAAAGTGACCTTTGATGAGAACTATTAAGGATGTGTCCTTGAAAAATGTCCTACTCTTGTGAATGCCCTCGCACTGGTGAACCACTGCACATTGTATCGAAAGGCACACAAAGGTTTTTGCTGCATTTCGGCGCAAAGTCGTTCCCAAACCTGTAACAAAGCCGGAATGATTATGTTGCACGAGATACGCAGAAACTCTGTTAATTAGATGAATAAGTTTTTCTGTATATCGTTCCTCGTTGCTGCAATCACTCTTCATCTAATTCACCTTTTCAATCGACCATGGTCTATGTATGTGTTCAAAAATCAAACTAACTAAGTATGGTACACGACTATTTTAGTACAAGTGATTTTGTGTATAATATATATTAGTTTGCTTACACACGCAAGCAACATCGAATATTCAAAATATTTTTAGAACGTTTGATTTAAATAAGATATGTAAATTACTTACTATAAGAAAATATTGATGATGGCGGTATTATTTGGGACTAACATATGCTTTTTGATAATTTCGTCTTTATACGGTTCGAAGTTCCTCCCGTCCTTTTTGTTATGCACTTTCGCAACATACTTAGGTTTTGAATCCGATGTGCGGTACTCCACTCACTGGATTTGCGTTACTTACATTTTTCGATACCTTTACATTAAATAGTGAAATCAGCTTACAAGAGTGTTGTAACATCTGAAGAATTTTAGCCTACAACTCAGAAGTTGTATTAATATTTACTTTGATTAGATTTTTTATTATGAAAAAATACCTAATTTTGATGTACACATAATTATTGGATGTGTGATATATACTTTCAATTAAAAGTATAAACCATACCACATTTCAGTGAATACATAATTTTAATAGATTTTTTATATTTTAAATTGAAATATATCCAATCAATACAGTTGTAATGTACTGCTTAAAGAAAATGATGGTTATTGATTTTTCTACAGCATATAAGAAAAGTTGATTTTAACATCTGCAAATTTAATTCTTAATCTATTTTACTTGCATCTAATGTATGTAAAGGAAACATTACATATCTTCTAAAACCATTTTTTAATTCAATGAAATTTAAACGAAAATTTAAATTTCATTTAATTCTAATGAATTTGAAACTGAATTTAAATTAATTTCATACATTTATGTCTCCTTTAAAAAGGAAATTTATAAGGTAATATAAAACCTATCATTTATAAATGATAATTAAAAAATAATTGAAGATCATTTCTGAAAATAAAAATTCAAGTGACTCCCGCCATTATATTACTTTAAAAAGAAAAAATGTATATAAATAAGAAATTTGTTCACGATCGACAATTATTGTCAAGTGGCGTGCACCTAAATGCGTATGAAGATTAATACATGAATTGCTACAAATGTAAATATCTCTAAACACAGGTGAGTGACACAAACAATGCATTCACCTGTAAGAATCGTGTTCCAAAAAAAGGACATACTTCAAATATATTCAGAATGAAGGCCAATAGCCTCAGCCTCTACGATCCAAGACGTTTACCTTAATACAAGAGAAACCGCCTCTGTATATTAAAAAAAACAATCGCCAAGCGACAAAAAATCACAGTGGAGGAGTGTCCAGGAATTGATTTACCGCGCACGAGTCAGAGGACGTCGAAGTAGATGATCAGAACTCTGACATCAGGAAAGTAAACGGATAGCATGGAATAAAACCGGATGGCAGAAAATGCCATTTCCAGAGCCCTTTAGCTCCGGAACCCAGACCGTCGAGCCGGTGAACGCTACCGGCACCGGCCCGCTAGGTGACAAAGGTATTATATCCGGAAAGCGCTCGTTGCTGACGAACGAGGGAATCATCGGAGGCGACGGCGCGGCTGTTTTCGGGCGAAATCAGGCGGCGATGGCTATGGCTGGAGGGAAATCGGTCGCATTATTGCCAATTATGAATGGGAGCCGAGTGGGCCCCAGCGATGTCCATGGAAGGGCGAGAGGGCGGTCGCGTTTGGACATTCTTCCATGCGGAGGGGAGCAGCGAGGCGAGGCGAATTGCGGAGGAACTGCAGAATCCGACGATGGCTCTGGTTGGAGGGAGGGCCGTGAGGAGCTTGTAGCGGAGCGGGGCAGAGCAGAGCTCATGGCTTCATGGAGTGGGCCCGTGCGTGCGATTTCGGTGCAATCTGGGGCACCTTTTGGTGAAAACGCTGGTTTGCAAAACCTGTCGAAGTAATGATGCGCACTAATAAGGAGGATCGCAGCAATTAGGTCGAAGCTCTGGCTTTGTGAGAGCGAGGCCCGTGATGTCCTCGGCTGTTCTGTCCTGCGTTTTCTCCCTTTCCGCTGTTACGCGAGGAGTGGACGTGCCCTCTGGTGCCCGACCTCGTCTCCAGCGAGGTCTGAATGTCAGGCAGGAATGAAAATGGTCTGCGAGCCCGACAAGCCGGATTGGCGATGTAGGGCGAGCGACAGCGTCGCGAGTCAGGAGGAGCTCGATGCGCCTCGCTTTCTCTCGCGCCTTCGTGCACTTTGACGGAGCGCTTGGCCGCGGGGCTGGGCTGGAATGCAGGAGGTCCGGAGAGAGTCGGAGAGCGGCCTGGGAGCTCGTTGTGCCGCAAGCGGAAAGCTCATGTGACATGTCCCAGCTGTATCCCGACGTGGGGTCTGTGTGAAGATCGGGATGTGAGCGCTTGTCAGGAGATGGAGGAAACAGAAGAGCAAAATGTGCCCGTCGTCGATGAGGCAATGCGGACAAGGGTGTTCCCCGTCTTAGGCGGAGTTGTGAGTGCAAGTGAGTGGGCTGGCGGAGGTGTTGTGAAGGTTGTCACGGATAGATTGCAGGTTTTTGGGACGGAGAGCTATTCTCTCGAGGCTGCACGTGAAGGAGAGGATGATATAGCCTCTGTGTGCACGGAAGCTCCTTCTACAGGTGGATTACCTTCGAAATTTCTGAGTGCGTCCAGCCCTTTCTTGAAAGTAGTTGCAGACAATGTCATCGATAGGCGGGAAAGTGACGCGGACGATGGGCGGGAAAGAGGTCCCAATCTAGGAATTGCTCCCAAAGCTTCTAATGGCTCATTATCCAACTGTCGCGATCCTGTCTGGTCGAACTTGTTTCCAGAGAAGGCAAGTCAGCAGCGTTTGAAAAAATTGCCGCTGGCCACAAGTGTAGGGAATGCTTCTGAAAAGACAGCTGAAATATTTGCGCACGGGGTGGATAGCAACACCGCTGCCGGTGGTGCTGTACACGAGCGAATGTCCGGGTCAAAATCTTCTAGAAAATTGGGGATACTCGCCGGGACCCCTGAGCGCGTTTATCGTCGAAGGCAACGAAGTTTGAAGGATTTATCTCTTCACGACAATATATGCTCCAATCACTCCAAGGTACGAATCTCCTGACGAACACTCCGTGTGTTCTTTCTGCCTATATTCATTCTAATGTGGGACGGAATTCAGGTGTACATGGAATGCTTCACTCTTTGTTTGCGAGAAAAACTCGAGGCAAATGAAGGACCGAGCTTTTACTTGATTGGATCATAGCCGAAGTTGTCGCGTATCAGTACCTATTTTTCGTGAGAACTTGGGAATTCTCTCGTTTCTGAGAATGTACATTACTGGAATACAGTGAAGTAGTAATCTTACTACAAGACGGACGGGAAACCATCATTTGATACAAGCTCATGGTGGCCTTTGAAACTTACAGTATGAGTGCTGCACTGATTGCAGCTACCTTTGTGATCCTTCGCTGAAGGATGGGGAGGGCTGTCAACTCTGTGTGGTATACCATGGACATGTTTTTCCCGCTGCCTAGCTTTCGAGACCTTTCTCGTCTATCCACAATGTTGTGGTACATGTGAGAGTGTCCATAATTTTTTCATTTCTTTTTTCACGTCAGTAACGTCGCCTCTAGCTCGAGGAACTCTTTCAGCAGTTTAACAACAATTGTCACCGGGGTTGCTGTAGGGTGGAGTTGGGACTTTCTCAGCTGGTGTAAAAGCTGGTGTTAAAGCTGGCGAAACGGGCTTGTCAGTCAACAGTCCTCCTGTAAAAGTTCGACGTAAAGCTAAAGTTCTCCACAATGAGCGCAGTATTCATCCCGGTCATTCTCGTCTGAAATGGACTCCAAAAGACATCTCTCTGTTGGGTGGAGCAGATAATTCCTTTCAGTCGGCAGATGTCGCGGCAATTCCTGGGGTACAAAGGCAGAGTACACTGGACCAACTTTGGAAGCAGCCTGCTGTAACAATCGGTTGTACAGGTTTCGTAAAAAATGGGCCAAAGGAAACTCACCCGGTGGAAATCTTCGTTTCAGGGGTATCTAAACGCGAGCGTGCTGCTGCCATTGCCAAGCGGAAAATGGCTGGTGCAGATTGCAATACGACCGAGCTACCTCCTAAAGGCAACGTTTTCCCTGTTATCCCTCTAGATAATGAGGCATTGCATAGAAAGCGCCAAAAGACCTGGAGGTGGAAACGTGGATCAAAGTCGGTCTCCGGTTTGTCTTCTGATGAATTTCCGGAGAAAAGTATAGCTCAAGTTGGCAGGGTGGGACACCAAGGACTGTCATCTTCAGCCAAAGTCCAGGTAAGGAAAAGGCCAAGTCAGTTAACCGTGGCTGAGTTGCAATCATCCGCAATTCCAGACGGCATTCAGACGGCACCGGCCTTGAAAAAGGTGAAGCACTTGGGAGAAAGTGCTTGTACAGATTTAGTCATGAAACTTACGGGCAGGAAGCAAGTACCGAGGATAAGAAAAGATGGAAGACCCGATGAAAGATTCAAGCAGATAGGAAGTGTTTGTGTAGTTACTCAGTCTCACGTTAGTGTACAGTGTGATCAGCCTCCAGTTCTGGAGGATGAAAAAGGAATGCGCCCGGAAGAATCTACATCGAAGGTTTTCGAACGGAAACATCCTGCGGGGTATAGAAAGGATGGGAAACCTGATGAAAGATTCAAGTTTAAGAAGGCGGGACCAGGCTCTGCAGATTGCTCCACACAACCATGGGACCCGACACCTTACTTATTTACTCAAGAGAAGTTCAAAAGTGGAGATGGAGTTTCAGATTCCTCTGCTCTTGAAGGAAGCAAATTAATATCTGGCATCAGAAAGAGTATAAAAGCTGAGCCTTCTCTTATTTGCAAAGAAAAGTCAGCTACGGCTTATCTGTTGGCTGATTCCTTAGAAGGCACTCATTTGACTCAGGACTTTCCTTATCAGAGAAGGTCTTTAGACCCCGCGGTGCTCGCCGACGAAGTGAGTTCTAAGCAAGAAAAGAGATTTTCACTAGGCACTAGGAAGGATGGCAGACCTGATGAGAGGTTCAAGCGTAGAGACAATTCGACAATGGGAGCTAGTGTCGGGCTCGAAGCGAATGGTCAGCCTAGCAGTCTCAATTTGAATCGCGGGAAAAGAACAAAATATAAACCACTTTCCAGAACTGCCGTAGGAAAGCATCAACAGAATAAGCTTCCAGCAGATGATTCCACAGATGTAAATGTTTCTGACATCGTTGGCGAAGCCAGCAACGACTCCAAAGTACGGTTGCTTGAACGATCGGAGGTCAATGTGGAGGAAACTAAGCGAATGAAGCAGCTCACTGAAGTAGCAATGAGGCTCTCTTCTGGGACCGAGAAGGGATCTAAAAGAAGGGCTAAGAAGAGCAGGGAATATCAACCAGACGAGCCAGCCAAAGTTGTTGGACTACAGGATGCAAATGTTACAGCTGCGATGAGTCACGTGAAGAAGCTCCCCGAAGTTCAAAAGAATGGAGTGAGGAAACCGAAGAGGGTGCAGCTGAAGCGTCTGTTTGTGGACAATCCGGATCACCCTCAACCACCTGTCTACAGTAAATTGATGAACAGTCGAGTGATAAAGTCTTTGTGGAGCCCTCCTAAGCAGATGAAGCACATGGCCGAGAAGGGTCCTGTAGAATCTAGCTTTGCTCCCAAAACAGCGAAGTCCACCAAGTTCCTATCATTGCAACAGCTTGATAGGCAGGAGAAACTGGAGAAGCCAGTAGGAAGGCCGGGTTTATCTGTGAAAGAAATATCTGATCAGATGTGTGCCTCTGACGAAACTATCTCTGACTGTCCTCTTGCCATGAAGAGTCAGACTCCACAGTCGAGCCTTCTCGTTACAGATGATCGACATCAACCTCGTAACAAGCAAAAGGTGGGAATAAGGTCTTCACACCTCAGCAATGTTATTGTGTCGAGCAAAGAGCATTACAATTTGAAGGTCTCCACGTCTGACCAGCCTGTACTTTCCGGACCATCTGAGAAACAGCAAGCAGATCTCGGAGATATGAATCCTGGGGTGAGAATGACTCCTAGAACACGGAAACTAACTGACGCCATGCAGAACTTCCTCTTACAGAAGGCAACACTGTTACAACAATGGAAAGAGTGAGCATTGCTTTACATTCTTGGCCTTACTCACATGGGTTGAGACCTCTACCTGTGCCTTGATTCTTGTTCAGCGAGATTTGCAATGTCTTACTGTCTTGGTCACAATTAGGTCCTCAATTCTCGGTTGCAAAGCGGAGAGCTGGCCTCGTGTATTATATGGACTGTGACAATTATTTTTGTAGGCCCTCTTCACTTTCGGGAAGAAACTGAAACATGTTGGATTTGATGATGCAGAATGGAACTCGGAAAAATTCATCCTTCGGCTTTAATAGGTCGCAGTTGCAAGGTTGTAGGTCTCCTACAAGGAGTTTGTTTATCGGCAATTGCATGTCGTTCTTTGGCTTGTTCAAAATATGCATGTTTTCCAATTGGATTCTTCGAGATATCAATTGAGCTTGATTTTTTATCCTAAGTCATTTCACAAGCAGCCACCATCAATTCGCCTAGGAGGACTATACTTAGATGGAGTTGTTATTTCAGAAAGTCTGTAGGCTTGAGGTGTGCTGCATACTCATGCTGTTGTATTTCCCTGCTCAACAGATCTTTTGGCCGTTGGACAGTGAGTGGTATCCAGGAGTCATACATGAGTATAATCCTCAGACGCGAAAGCATCGGGTATTTCTTTTCTCTCTAGTGTGCGCTACTTAAGTTTTGCCTCTGTTTACTCGTTCCGTTGAATATAGGAGTTTCTTGTATTGCTTCTTTGATGTTTGGTTTACATATAACGTCCTGTATAATGTAAGCTGTAATAATGCAGTATTTGTAAAAAAGAACTTATTATGCACATCCGAACCTGTAATCTACACCTGGCTTACCTTTTCATTGACATGTGTTCCGGGACCCGCTCAAGATATTGGTCAGTTTGTTTCGTTCTAAGTGCTTACTGATGATGACTATCTTTACACACAAAAGGAGGATGCGGTTGTGTCTTGGGAAGTTCGCAATTCTAGGCGTCATGTGTTTTAAGACTTGAAAATAGAGTGCTAGGAACAGGATTTTGGATACCTGTGAGGTTTTTAAGGATAAATCTTACTCGTCCGTTCGGACCATACAGTAGCTACCTTTTGTTGTTTGCAATGATCTCGTTTCTCGAGACTCGGCAGATATTGGGGTTTTAACTCTTATTTCAAAGTACTTTTCGGCAAAAGTATTATGCGGGACATTGTAGTTCTTTTAAAGTACTTCTGTAGGATATTGCACGAACTTCTGCATTCATGTTTCCTTCTTAGTCTTCCTAGTCTTATACTTCTTTCATTGCTGTGCTTTTTTATGATAGTAATGTACATTTTTGTGTAGATTGATTATGAGGACGACGAAAGGGAATGGGTACTTCTTGGCAAAGAACGAGTGAAGCTTTACGTGTCAGCAGAAGAAAGCAAGGCATTGGAAATATCATTTGGAGAAGGTTCCCTTATGGGAGAATCAAAGAAGTTGGACGCAGATGAGCTGGCGGTCTTGGCGGCAGGCATGGAAGACTATGGAGGGGAACTTAGTCATGGCGATCTTGTGTGGGCCAAAGTGAAGGGTGTGTACCAAATTTGTTATCCGCACCCACTACATGCTATTTCTCTCCTTATCTGTTCATATTTGTAATTCACATGTTTTGAGCATTGCCTTTACCAAACTTTTCAACTGGTTGGATATGAGGATCGGGTTTGCTCTTCTTCACGTTTTTTGTCCCTGATGGGTGCAGTCTATTAATGTCTGGTTTTCTAGTGTCCAGCGGGTGTGATCTTCGATCTGAAAGAACGAGCACAGATTCCGATATATCATATTGGTTATCGTCCTCCACCGATGTAATTTCTATATTCACTTGCAAATTCCTCTTATAGGTTATCCGATGTGGCCAGCATTTGTGATGGATGAAGAACACGCAATCATCAGTGGGCTAGAACCGGCAAGTCGCGAGCGCACTGTACCTGTTCAATTTTTCGGCAGTTATGACCATGCAAGGTAGCTTCTGCCTTCAACCCGGATAGAGCATGCGTTGTTTCCTTGTCTATGAGGTGAAGGGTGTTCTTATTACATGATGTCTCACTTTTTACCAGTGTTTTCCAACTTTCCAGAAAAGGTTGAGACTAAATTCATAGATAGATTGAACTTAATCCGCAATCTTTAAATTTTGTAGGGGAAGAGGTTGTCTCGGGTCATTGATGATTACAGTAGGTACGAAGATGGATATTGATAAGTTATGATTGAATTGGATCTTATTTTATCATGTATAAGAGTCAGGTTGGGATAATGTATTTACTCTATACATTCCACTTGATTTCTATGGGCAAGGATCGACGGGATGTAAGGCACGATAAATTCGACTATACCCTAAATATGTTCCGATTATTCTATTGATTCTCTAGGTCATCTGGGTCTTTCATGTTCTCGAAACTTATAGTACATTTTAAAAGTTCACATAGAGAGTCTATTGTTAGGTACTTTAGTTTAATATGGACCATTTGATGGGAGAGCTGGCACGTCCAGTCCTTCATTCGAACTATTAAATTATCTCGGGTCTGATGTATGTTGCCACGCAGGATCAGCTGCAAAAAAGTCATACAATTTTCTAGAGGGATCATGCACAAGTATCACACGAAATGTAAGAGGACTGTCTTTGAGCAAGGGCTGCAAGAAGTCGAGAGGTATAAAGTACCCATTTGCATTTTCCAATCAGAGACATGTTTTCAAATTGGTTTTCATTCCCAGGCTAGGTCTGCCGTTTAGTAAGTTTAAAGAGGTGCGTGTGCATTATATGCTCTCCCTGTTGACTAGTACTTATTGGAAAGTTTTTACTTCCGCCACCTTCCGTGCCATGGTTGAGCTCGTTCATGATGAGGCTCTGGCCGTAATAACTGAACAGTGGTGACCACATATAATCCAACAGCGGCCTTAATAGCACGGAATCTCTAAGCTGAGTTTGTAGTGTATAATTATCCTACCTTGCTCATACCTTTACATCAGAATCAAGGTTCAGCGATGTTAAAAGTGAAACTAGTTCTCTTATTGGTGGTCAGGTATCTGAAGGAATGCAAGCTTCCGGAGAGCATGATGCAGCTCCAGGAAGATGTCTCAGACATCGCGAAAGAAAAGATAGAGGGTGCAGTGAATCCCGAAGAAAGCGAAGAAGAAGCAGACTTTGGAAAAGATGAGAAGTTAAGCGTGATCAAGAAGAATCTAGAATGCCCATTGACTATGCCATTGAAACTTGGAGGCCTTCAGGTCCTCTGTCTAGGTAAGGGATCCGCTAGCCAGAAAATATAATGTCGGTTACAAATTGACCTTTCACATGTCTAGGTAACTAAGCTACTGTGCTACCTTGTGTTTTAATACGTAAAGTCGGTCTATTAGTAAACATGGTCTCTTGGGTGAAGTAGCTCAGATTTGTAAGTCAAAGCCAGGTTGTATGCGACGTGTCTCTTATTGTACATACGTTGGCTATGAATTATATAGTACTCCATATTTGAAGATGTAACGTGATTCCTCATGTCTCATGACTGGTGTTGGAGCTTATATGTGCTTTACGTTGACATAATTTGAATCAAAGAGGCTATAACTTCGATGAAATTATATTTTGTCGTGAGAAACGTTTTTGTATATAAATGTCAAAGTTGTCTGATTCTTTCTTTGGCTGTTGGGATGTTCACCTAACACAGGCAAAATCGTTAGAGACTCCGAACAATTTCACAACGAGCATCATATTTGGACTGACGGATACTCTGCTATTCGGAAGTTTACCTCGATAAAGGGTACGTTATAGAAACACGTTTATAAGCTCTAACATTCACTTTCCCCATTGAGAGTCTGAGCTCTAACATTCACTTTCCCCATTGAGAGTCTGACGTTTTGGATTCCTTTCGATTTCACTGCTAAGTGTTCGAGTTTATTTATTTTGTCTTTACATGATACAGATCCTCAAAAGCTTGTAGATTACAAGATGGAAATCGAGAGGAATCCAACCATGCGATCATTACCGTTATTTCGAGTATCTCCGGAGGATGGTAAACCGGTATACAGCTTTTTGAACCTTATGATTCGTCATTTTTACTCTCATCAGTTTGCTTTCGTTTCTCAAAGGTATTGCTGGCTTGAAAATAATACATTCTCAGTGGTCACAACTTGTCTTTGAGCTCCATTCTTACCATGAGAGGATAGTTTTTCTTGTCTAATTTGATCTACGGAGGCCCAACTGTTGACGTTGCCTTGTTGTCGGTGATTCCAGGTAGAGGGTCCGAGTGCATCAGCATGCTGGAAACGAATCCTCATAAAGATTCAAAGAGTGAAAGAGAAAGCCGGACTTTGCGAGGCCACCTTGCTTGAAAAGAAACGTCAGTCTTTCAGATCCGGTCCTTCCTTATTTGGTTTTGGCAATCGACGGGTGGCCAAACTTATACAGGTAGTTGGGTCCTTACCAATAGGATAACTATTCCATAAACTGTTGACATTTTATCTTATTTTGAATGAAGCGCTGGGTCTTGGAGAGAACTCGTGGCGGGTGAGAGCGGCAAGAGGATTTCGCAAGTGTGCAGTTTTTGAAATACTGCAGAAGCAGTTTCTCTTTATTTCCAATTTCACCTTTTCTGATCTACTCAATTCTATCTTGTTTGCCCAGACTTTACCGTACGCAAGAGTTTGCTCCAAATTCACTGCGTGGATTGAGAAACCTTTACTTGAGGATGGTGCTGAGGAACCGCTGCCAGCTGGTTATAGGCCAGTCGAGTTTCGATGGAAGCACCTTGATCGATGTAGTGTGTGTTACTTAGATGAGGCAAGTGAATATGGGACTGTACATCTCTTTGAAGACAAATGATGGTCTGTCCAGATTGGAGTTACATCATCGTTGTTCATGGTTCTAGCTTGTAAAATCTGATGTCTACATTACAATTCTAATTTGCCTAAATGTCCGATATTTAGTGACGACTCTCAGCTAATCCGAAACGTAGCAACTTTGAGCATGACTTGTATACAGCAACAGCCAACAGGTTTGAACTTGTAGTGAACTCTGATGTTCATAATCCCTCTTCTTACGCGCTTGTCTCCAGGAATATGCCGATAATCAGCTGCTGCAGTGCGATAAGTGCAGGATCATGGTTCGTGCAATCTGCTCTTTCTCCCCTAGTCTTCTGCTGTGATCTTAATCTCTGGAATGTATATGATTAGGAATTGCGCTTGTGCTCTTAATGACTACTCTTTTCTGGGTCAATTCTGCTGGAGGAGAATCTCATTTGTCTTCAGTTTGTGTGCTGTGGGTCCCTTGAAGATTCCTGGGATGCCCAGATTCAGTGGATATTTTATTTGTCTTTTGGTCCAATATCTTGCTATTCTGCTCGTGTTGTGTTCTCTTGTCAGTCTTTATAAAAGTTAATCCATTTCTGAAACTGATGATCTACGGGTCATTTTTGTCTGGAGTCGCATAAATTTCTCAGTGGAGATGATTTAGTGAAGAACCTCTATTCAGCTTGTCATTGAGCTGATATTTATCAGGATGTTGTACTAACTCTGTGACCCATCTTGGCTGGATGGCTCATTACGGAATTGTTGCTTGCAACTTAGTATTTGAAGCTCTCTTGCTATAGATGACTTATCAAGTGAAATGTCCGTGAATTGAAGGTGCACATGTACTGCTATGGTGAACCCGAGGCGCCAGATGGAGACTTGTGGTTGTGCAACCTCTGCCGTCCTGGAGCACCTAGAAATGCCCCTTTTTGCTGCCTGTGTCCTGTTACAGGTACACGTCTTACAGCTTGTAGAATAGCCATAATGTACTTCGGAAGTTTATTGCAGTTTCAGTGAGAAGGAAGATGCTATGCTTAAGTGTTAGAATCATAGTCATACTTGTAGTATCAAGACTAGGTGGAGATGTACAGAAGTTTATTCTTGTTGACATGCGTAGGTGGGGCAATGAAGACAACCACTGATGGGAGATGGGCCCATATCACATGTGCCATGTGGACGCCAGGTGAGTGTTGGTAACTCGGTTTTTGGAGTAATTCCTGGGTCTACTCTTCGATTTGTTGTTTTCCTTTGTCTTCTCGTGGACTGTCAATCTGACTGCTCTGATTTACTGATCACAGAGACTTGCCTAGTCGATGTTAAACGGATGGAGCCCGTCGATGGAATAAGTGCCATTAACAAGGTAAAACAGATTCTTAACCTAATGGGAGAAAAGTGTATCGATGATGTACCTCTCAGATGTGGTGTGAATTCTTTGTCGCTGACCATCGTGTAGCTGAAATTCAGCGACACGATGGTTGCATTTGATTGATACATCGCATAACGTGCTAGATTCTGATTACTCGTGTCTGAAATCTGCTTCGTTGTGTCAAATGCACAGGAACGGTGGAAACTCGTTTGCACTGTCTGCAAAGTGCCATATGGAGCCTGCATACAGGTTCCAGCTTGCTTATATTTTCCAAGTCACATTTTTTTTTCTTCACTTTTGTGATTACAAATAACGAAACAGTCCTCTTGTGTCCTTATTCAACTGTGATTCCTGGATGCCTGCAGTGTTCTAAGCCGCACTGTCGTGTATCATTCCATCCCTTGTGTGCAAGAGCAGCGGGTCTGTCCATGGAGGTGAGTGTTTCAACCTCTTTGGCCTCAGATGTATAATTACCATGATACGTGACATCATGACGGGGTTTCCTTTCAGTCTCATGCTGTTGATTCTGCTCGTTGTGACAGTATTATGAACAATGGTGATATTTCGCGAATACCCTGCCCATGTTATAATCTCCATTTGTGCTCTTTGAACAGGTGATGGAAGAAAAGGCTGGAAGTGTGCCAGACAATGACAGTGGTCTCCAACTGCTAACATATTGCAAGAAACATAAACCAGCAGCTCAAGGAGGGTGTACCAAACCACAATCTCAGCAACATGTTGCAGCAGCGAGGATTGTCCAAACGGACTGCCCCCAACCCAGTTCCTCGGGGTGTGCTCGTGGTGGTCAGTAGTTTTTTCGCTTATTTGATTGCAGAATTCCGCATTGTCGAGATCAAAATCCTGTTGCTGCTCGCTGAAGTGGGTGATTGGGTGATTACTTTGAGTTAAGCAGTTAGGGGACCACTAATGTATTTTTCTTGGAACGTTTGCAGAACCTTACAATAGTGCCCTTCGACGTGGACACAGAGAACCTGAGGCACTTGCTGCGGCCTTGCGAAAACGCTCTTTCGTGGAAAATATGCCTTACATTGTAACTGGGTGTATGAGAAGTCCTCCAGATCGAGATTCGAAAGGGTTTGGTGGTAGTCTCTGGTCTTTTCACTGGAAGCAGTCCAGAATATCTAACGCATTGTCTACTGAGGGTCCACTGAACGAGGATGAAATTGACAATGGGAAGATTGTACTATCCATGTCAGAAAGGTTTCGTCACATGAAATCCACCATGCACCAACGTCTGACTTTTGGTAAGTACGAATAGAGATCTCTTTATTACTCAAACAACACGTCTCCGTTTTGATCTGTACTCAATTGAATGTGCTTGTTTAAGCCTGAAGACCGTATGCCCGCCGCTCTGGCAGAGCGGTGCTAGTGCGAAGAGATTGAAGTAAGAAGAGAATGTGGGATAGCGGTAAGAATCAAACGAGAAGTGACTACTAGAAGCAACGAGGTTACCTTGTGCAGTGGCATTTCAACCAGGAGACTTCGTCCGAGTTTCCTGATTAACGAAGAGATTACTTACTAGCTCATTCACCTGACAGTTAAAGAAGCTATGACTAAATATCGCGGTTGCTTTCAGCTTTGGATCAATGCTAGTGAAGTTCGGATACAGCTGTGCCGTCACCAGCAGAGCATTGTGAAGAAGTAGTATGGTTCTCATATTACAGAAGAGCTGCATTTTAACAGATGATGTACGGGAGTTTCTGTAGGAAGGTGCGAGCTGGTTCGTTGTTACATGTGATTATGAGAGATGATACCTACTCGGAACTTTAACTTTAGACTTACCCTTTGACAAGAACACCCTAAAGATAGTGCGTGGCTAAGTGGAGACCTGAGTCGTGGTTTGTTGTAACTCACCATTAGTTGCCGAAATTATAAAAGTTTTGAAGGGTCCTGCTTCCTTCTGCCCTACGTATATTTTTAAGGCGAATTTTGTTATCCCAATGCCCTGAACATAACTCGACGTAGGTGTCGTATATTTCTCTACCTTTCTAGAGACCTTCCAGCTTTGAAGACAATTTCGGGTTTACGGAATAATGGTAGAAGAGGTTGTAGCTGTCTTGTTCACTTGAGTTTGGCAGTATTCTTACGAGCTCCAAGAGACCTCTCGGAGTTTTGATATTACTCCTACTTGAGCTGCTCGTGTGGGTGCCAAACACATCGCTCGACAGGCTTCCAGCTATGCTGCTTCCAGACTGGCGCGTTTGATGATATGGGTACTCCATACTGCTGATCTGTATTCTGATATGAGTCGAGTGGTATAAAGGACACCTAAACGCTATGTTCTAGTATGAATCCCAACAGCGTAGGAACGTGGTAATTCCTTTAACCTGCCTGTGCCCTTTTTGTGCCCTATGTTGCAGCATCCGAATCTTTCGGGGATGTGACGCCTCCCGCTGATATGTTGTTTATGTCTTGTTGATGGAAACTCGAGAATTCGCCGTCGGATCCAGTATAGCGCACACTATAACACCACTGTCAACTCGACAGCTGGGCTCGTCCATTTATTCCACCGTCTTACTACTTCTCACCTCTCCCTGTTCATGCATTTGTCTTTCTTTCTCTTACAGTTTCAGCTTGAGTCCATGCATGACTTGTCCCAAGTTCATGATTTTTTCTTGTTTCTTGCTTTACATATATTATTCAGCACCTTTGAGCATAGCAACTAGATTTTTATTTCTTCGGTCTCTTACATGCTAAGTCCTAGCTGTTGATTATGTACTATTATATCTATATGTGGAGTTCTCACATAATCTTCTGAGACTTCAACATTTACCAGGTAAGTGTGGCATGAAGCATGAGGATTTACTTAGTCACCTGAAGCCCACAGTATGTCATGTACATCATAATGAGCATGGAAGATCAATACACCCAGCTTCTGCTCATTTGCCTCCATACCCATGCGTCACATACCCCAGACATTTAGTAACTTGTATCCTTTTTCTTCCAGATCAAGGAAATCGTCGGCGAACATCAATGAGGATATAGCAATCTCACCTCATGAATAATGCCTATACCACTATCCTCTACAGTTTCCGGTATGGACAGAGGAACTTATCACGAATACAATATTCTTGAGGAGAGGAGCCTGCCTTGGGTTGTTTCCTGCTATCAAAGAATACATTTCGCTGGTCATTAACCAAGTTGATAAGTGTACACCAGCTACAACTTAATACCATAAACTTGCTGCTGTATTGTAATCGCTATACCACCCTTCATAATTTCTCGGCAATGCCGCCTTTCGAGAAGGCGTACGTGAGCCCATCTTTGCGGTGTTATAGGCCCGTATGCTTCTTTGAGTTGAGGTATAACAAGTAGGTAGGTTTTCCTCTTGATATTGTCCCTTTATATTTAAACCCATCCCTGTCATGCAGATGGTCATAATGCTCCGGCAGCTTTTTGGATGTACCAACTCTTGGCAAGTATTGGCCTACTTTCCATTGTGATGGGCCTTCCTGAAATTTGGTCTTTGGTGTACCATATTACCCTTGCTAAGCTTTTTGCCAACGCATTATGTGTCACTTCGCTACGTTGTGAGAGGAAACGTTATACGTATAGACTCCTCATTTTGTCTATTTGCTACATGTAATCTGCAAAGAGGCACCGGCGCGTATTCTAGTACGTAGTATTTCTGTCGAAGTTTATACACTCTCTTTGGCGTTCTCTTCTAGCGTTTATGTCAGACTTCTGTACATGTACGAGAAGTTACACACAGACTCGTATTCCGGAATTATAATGAAATCTTCCTATGATCTGTTGGTTTTATAGTTATGCTCAACCTCCATTGGTCAAGTGTAGAAACCTTTGTACTCCGGTTCCCTCTGATGAAGCTGCAGGGATTATCTGACGGTGGAGTGATGCCCGTGGTGTTTGCCCGGTGCCCTTCTCTTCCACTCACTCACTGCTTCTGTACTGTATACTCTCTGTGCGCGTTCTTTATAATCCATCCACTTCTGCACTTCAAGGCCATGCGATGTTTCGGGCCGCTTCCTTCTCTCTTTACCGTTCGGATGCATCGAATTACCCCATGGTTGTAGCTCCCAGGTCTATGCTCTTTCGGCCCCTTGCGTGTTGAGCCCTTGCGGCTGATCACATCTTATTTTCATTGTACATATGGGTGCATAATCATGATGATCTTCAACTGATCTTCGATTTAGTGTTGCCTTTCCTTCAATTAATACATAGATGTCTATTTGAGGTGTAAAGTTGTATTTTATGGATACAAAGCGAATTTCTCACTGAGTATTTAGTCAGTTCAAATAAGGGGTCGAATCTTTTTGTCTTACAAATTTTCGATTGCATTTCCCCTGTTTACATTCTATTTATTACTTCAGCTTGCCTCTTCTATCGGTTCTTTTGACTGTTTGTCCTGTCAGTTATTGGATTGTCTTTTTCCCATATCACTCTGTGCCCATTTTCATACTTGGAACTAGGATTTTGCCTCTCCCTTAGTAAGAATATGAGGCGGGTTAGTTAAATGTGTTATTTGCGTTACCAGCCTTTCCAGTAGACCCCCCCAATTCACCTGCAGCTAAAGTACCTTCGTTGGTCTACAACATACATGGTCAGGTTTGCTGAAGATACAGACTGTTACGTCCATCTACATTTAAATGTAACCTCTCTGAGGAATGTTGTTGCTATGCGACTTCTAACCGGTGGATTTCTTCGGCAGGCAAGTCCGCAATTCATGGTTGGGGAGTCTTTACGAAAAGGGCTCACTGTGCAGGCGACATGGTGAGTAATTCGTCAAAGATTGAACATCGCGGCTGAAATCAAACCCGTTCTTTTTGTCAAACTACAACCACAAACCTACTGGGCTTTCAAAGCTGTTCAAACATATCTCAGATTCTGCAGTGTTGATGTTTCTTGTCGGGGTTTGCTGTTAAGAGCTCAATAATCTATCTAATGGTCTCGCATGTATCACGTAGGTTATCGAATATGCTGGGGAGATTGTTCGCCCTATAATTGCCGACATCCGAGAACGTCGCTCCTATGACTCCCTTGTGGTAAGTGTACTTATAATCAGGAGTGTAGAACCAGTTTGAAGCAGATGTGGAATGAAGTTCAAGTACTTACTTTTCTTGCGGATGGGCTCTTACACAGGGTGCTGGAACGTATATGTTTCGCATTGATGATGAGCGTGTAGTGGATGCAACTCACGCTGGAAGCATAGCACATCTCATCAACCACTCTTGTGAGGTACAGGCTTCAATTTCTACTGGCATATTGATGAAGATAAGTGATAGCATCGATGTGGATCCTGTAGCACATCATGTCGTTTGACTACATTTCTATTTGGAAGAGTTGAGCATGAACGTAAGGATTGGATCATCAATTTCAAAAGGTCTCTTATCGATTGGTGGAATGACTACTTTACCGATATTTAACCATAGTCGTCTGTCTGTATCCGTTAATACTTGCGTAGCCAAACTGCTATTCAAGGGTGGTAGCGGCCAGCGGTGAAGATCACATAATAATTTTTGCCAAACGAGATATTCCTGAAGGAGTGGAGCTCACATATGATTACAGGTATATACGTCAGATTGCTGATATTTTGCATACATTTTGTGAAGATATGTCCGTCAATATGCATACGTTTTCTTCAGATCTCTTGCTTGTTGTGTCTAACACCCTCAAATTGTCGCAGGTTTGCCTCAAAGGATGAACTGTTGACATGCTATTGTGGGTGTACTGGTTGTCGGGGTTCTGTTAACACGTTTGGGTCTGACGAAGAGCCAACGAGAATAATTGCTCCTCGGTCCGAGCTTACAAAGTGGATTGTATGAACCGAGATCGTCCACGAACAACCTACTTGAGCAATTCTAGGCATCGGCTGAATCGGAAGAGGTCTAAGTCCAGGATGTGTCATCATAAGCAAGGATGGAGCAAGAATTAGACTTGTATCAGCGTTGTCATCACTAACTGCCAGTCTCCAAATGAATTGTGATACCTTGTTACTGTCATTGCTTATACCGCCTAGTAGATGGTAGAGAATATTCAAATTTTTGGGAATAGTTTTCGACATTCGAGGGTCGGATATTGTAAGTAGGAGGATAGAAACTGTCTCTGCCAGAAAGTTGCCAAGCATGTCTTTCAATTTGGAAGTAAGGTAGACTCAGAACTGTTGACAGACCTCTTCCGTGGCTTCCACTATCAGTAGGAAACGATGAGTGGATGAGATTTTCCACTGAGATTCCCTTTATGTAGTCAGTCAATCTTAGATCAGGACATTCTTTTGTTTAAACTAGTTGCTTTTACGCCTTGCATCTGTTCTGTAAGCCTCTGATATGAAGTTTTTAAGCCGGATAAAGAAATTAGTACTTGTACATTGAACAATCAATACAACAATTTGCTTGTATATGATTCGGACATCATGTAACATGAGCGAAGTCTTTGTTGTGCATGTCGGGGGATGATAATGGTTGCTTTCTCTTAATAGTAAATGTGGGAGTGTTTCGGAGAAGATTTTCGTTTTATCTACGGTGGATCATTATTTGGTTGAGAAGCTAGAACCTACGTGAAAGTTTGGTGTAGTTGAATCAGGGACATCACTTCGAGAATTAGACTAGACGTTTTTCTCAAGAAGTAAATCAAATTTTGTGTGATATTGTGTTTCTTAATTTAAACAGCGACTGAACATGCACGACTGAACAACTACTACTACTCCATCAAAGCACTTCAAAAGTCAGACGTTGTCACAAGTTGATTTTCTCGATATGAAAGCTTTAGATAGGAGCATATTAACTTAAATTGATGCATCATCCGAGTATCATGTTATTAGCACATTGTTATATTTTACAGCACATCTACTACATCTCATTCTTAGTACTTGATATAGTAGATGATATTAGAGATATGTCTCCTGATACTCTCTCGATCTACGATATACAATACTGTTGTGTTGTATCTTGTTGAGTTTGATGGGGTAGTCTCATTGTTTTTCATTTCCATGTCGCCTTAGTTGAAAAGTTTTGGGCGACTTTTTAGCAAGAGATGTGAGACTCCACTATTACGAGTTGAATTCGCTTGGATTGAAAATCGCGGGGGTTTTCAGGTTTTTGTATTCCAAATATCGTTATTGTATATTGCATATTTGTAGTTTTGTATACCATTCTGTTGCCTACGGTTTTGCCCGGTAAATAAGAGAAGTGCAAGGAAAGCAGAGAGCATATTGTACTCGTCTCCAACTCATGATGCTAATAAGCGTTCTCGATATTGTTCACCGTGTATCGCACTCTTCATTGGATTTCATCAATGTTTGTTTGTAACCCTCTCTTTCGATACAATGGTTCGATCAGAATATCAAATTATGGAATGCCCAAGACTTTTCTTCTTAAGTTTTGCAATGATCGTTTCTTCTGGGAAAGTGGAGTGTGTAAAGGCCATCTAGGCAGAATTCAATGGCCGAGATTGGAAGCCCAATAGGGTCCTAGAACTGAGAAACGAACAAAAACGGCTGAGGAGCATTAAGTATGTACCGAGCTAAGAGTTTAATGTAAGAAATATCAGAGAAGTTTAATTGGGTCCTGAAGCCTTATGTGTAGTTGTAGCACTAACTCGCGTTAGTGAAACTGAAATTACCAAGCAAGATTTTATCATATCTTCTTTGTCACCAGGGGTAATTCTTGTTAAAACATACAATTGGAAAGTTCAAGCATACAAATGATGGTTTCAAGCATATATTTGAGCTGTTGACATTATTACAAATATTGGGCTTAAGTCAACCAGGTCATTTTGTCATGGTTCAGTTTATAATTCTGTTTTTTCAATGGTCATGACATTTCACCGGTCTTTTCTGCTGAAGCCAATAGCCTTGATAGACAGCAGCACTAGGGCCACATGTATTGAGTTCGCACACAAGCTTTGTCCATGGTATATTCCGACTTGATGAGAATATGCTGTTCAAGTTCGGACCGTCAAAAGTACCGGAGTTTTGTGGATAGCCTCCAGAGAACACTAAATACAAACTTACACTGATGAAAATTTAACACCCCTTTATAAAAAATATACATGAATAAACAAACAAAGTGCTTTGGATCAAATATCTTTCGGAGTGAACTCTTTAATCTGAGATCACCATGTAACTGACTTACAGACCTACAAGTGTAAACTAACTGAAAATGAACTTTGATTCTCTGGGTCTGATTGTACAACTGGCCGGCCCGTAATCTATGATACACAACAAAAACTAGTTGCTCAGGACTCTCAAGGAAATTGTACAGAGCGAACAAAAATGGCCCGCTTCAGTTCGAAGTTGAGTCACTGGCCCGTTCATGTGTGGCTACGATGTGAATTGAAAGGGTGTTGGATGAGGCGCTATCGACGCTGTAAATTCCTGTTCAGACGAAACACAGACAAAATCAAGATTTCCCTGTTTACCGCTGAAGATGATGTGAGAGTCGAGAGACTGCTGCACAAAGCGAAAATTCTGTGGGAAAACACAAGAGTAAGAATCAAGAGTCATAGATAAGAGTAATAAATAATCACTTTCAACATAATTGTACAAATGAAGGTATGTAGTGAAAACTCACATAAAGTTTGACTAGTGTACACCAAGGTATGGAGAAGAGCGGAGTGAATATGGACTTGGTGACAACTGGGTGGCAGAAATTCGAAAGAAGCTTTGCTACAATGATTGTGAATATGGGTGTCACCTTTGCACAACCTCTCAGTACATTATGACGACGGAGGATGCAGGTTAACGAGGACAATGGTCAACGACCAAGGTCCTCGTGATCAACTCTTCCCCGAGAGAGAGATGGTGGAGATGGCGTGTTAATGGTGGAGGTCAAGAAGCTCACGGAGCAACATCAGTAACATAACAGATTCATAACAAAACTAACATAATGAGAAAAATTGACAATCTCCGTTCCGAACAACAGCAAGTTTGCCTCCAATAGGCGATTGAATCCGCATGCGACGATGCACGAAATCTCATGGACAGAACTCAGCCCATTGCATCATCATGTACACCAACAGTTTGGATGGAGAAATGCTGGCTGCTTATTTAACTACTATGCTTTCTCCTCACGGGAATCAGATGAGCAGACAGAGTGAGGTACAAGCATACCATCTACTGATCTATCATGCGACAGATGTACACTACTGATCGATAATGTGAAATATGTGTACTGTTTGCTCTGTCTCTATAAAATCTAATCTTCCTCATAATGTTCTTCCTTTTTAATGTGGAGAGAGAGGTTCTCGCTAATATGTCAACATTATAACATTATTCGTATTCGAATTGATAAAGATTTTAACATTATAACAATTTCTACAATATAACATTATTCGTATTCGAATCAATAAATGACTTCCGATACTCTGCCCAATACCGACAGACATTCTGCAATTTACACTGCGATTAATTGAACACTTTGTAACATAATCCAGAGGTCAACACCATGTCGTCTTCACATGTCCAGTTTTACGCCACTGGTGTATTTTAAGTGTAATTGGATAGCAAAAGGATGATCAGAGTCCATAGGATGATCAAGAGGTTGAGTTTGACATAATATCGATTGTGTGGCATGTCATTAAGTACCTTGAGCTTTACTTCTTGAAACAATTAATTACACTTTTTGGGCTCGATGCTATCGATCGGTTGATCGAATGCCCACAATCCGAAAGCGCGTTCGAGACACATAACTTTCTCGTCCATGGTGGTAACTGCAATATACGCGCGAGGATGAAGATTTTAATATCTGTTTATTCGTCCCCATGGAGGACTTTCACCCTGGCAGAGCTGCAGAAGGAGCCAATTCATGAAATCCAGCTCACGAGTATTCTACAGAGAATCGTCTGGCACCTCAGACGGGAAGAACGACGCTACTCAGCCGAAATTTCGGGTCGCATGTCCAGATCAACAAGAGAATTTACTTCGAAATCGTCACATCACAGAGATCGCTACGTCGAGAAGTTACTCATCTCCGGACGGCTTGCTCACTTTCGACATATCGAATCCTGTGCTCTCGAGACCTTCCCCGTCATCGTCCTTCTGCAAGAAATGCTCGTGCGAGTGATCCGCAACCTGATGATGGTCTTCCTGCTTCTGGCCATAAGTTCTGTCGAGCACATCGGGCTCGGCGCCTCCTCCGCTACTGGACTCCGAAACCGCAGATCCAGAGTCGAGACCAGTCGAGCTACTTTCCTCAGCAGAGGAGGAGGTCGTGCAGAAAGTGCTGCGGCACTCCGCCACCTGAGCCAGAATCACGTTCCTCCTCTGTCTGCTCATCGAATCCGACTTCCACAAGAACGATGTCGAAGACGACGGCTGCGGAGGCGATACATAGCGTGTCACCTTCTGCACCAATCCCACTCGGAACACTTGCTTCACTTGAACTAAGGCCATCCGATTCTGTCAATTCCTCAACCTCAGATTCCTGCAATTCCTCGAAACCAGGCGAAGCACAAACTGAAATTTCGAGGCAGAATCACAATTTCGAAAAATCTGAAGCTAAGAAAAAGAAGAAGTCGATCTGGAGAACGACGAAATCGATCAGGAAGAGCAAAATTTACTCGGAGATTGACAAATTCGACCTCGGGCTCTTATCAGGGAGGGAGACACGAGCGCGAGGCATAAAGCTTCGCATTGAAGGAGAGAGTGATGGCGTGGCAGCGAGGACGAGAGGACGGCCTCGGAGCTGCCTCGTGTCGGACACGTGGCTCGATGAACCGGCGCCACTTCATTCCAGGAATCTTCTGAACCTCGCCAGCGTGGCAGCGGGATGTTCCGCCATCACGGGACAGAGAATTGGAGTGGTGCTAAAGTTGGCGGCTGCCCAAACAAATCCTTCGTTCCTGCTATCCCCACCGTTGCTATTCATCTTTGGGGATGGTAATCTGCCACACGTCGCGTGCTCCGCGTTTTTTGGGTCTCTTTCTCTCCCTCCATTTTTAGCTGAGGGCGGCATGATTCCATTCGCTGATCTGGCGATCCGAAACGGAGCCTACGTGGCAGTGGAGTAGATCGGAGTTTCTGAGGTGAAGCAGGTTGTGATTGCTCTAGCCTCGCGAGGAGTTTAATGGTGAGTCTTAAAACAAGAGACCATTCTCATACCTCGGTGCCGATTCGGCTTTGTTGTTTAGGAGCACTAATCTTCATCGATGTCGTGTTTGTCATTCGCTTGCGTGCTTCAGCTCCGCATCGATTTTGGATGTTCTTTGTGTTCTGAGGTGGATGAAGATTTTCTTCGCGTGAATATCAAATTTTGTAGTACATAAGTTTAGGGTTTAGCTGGAAGAAATTCTAAGACTCTTTGAATTGGATCTTCTTCGCCTGGAGTAGAATTTGCAGTACAGTATTGCGAATAGAGTGGTATAGAATCTATGATATCGGATGAATAAGGTCTCTTTCTGTAATATATGTATGTAAAAATATATGTTCTTTTATATCAAAGAATGCCAGATGACAAATGGAGGCCTTGTATCGTTCTATTATAAATGTATATATAAATATATGTAAAGAATGTGAATTCTTTACCACCTTTTGGAGGAAAAGAACCGAAAAATGCCAGATGACAAATCGAAGGCCCTTTCAATCGAGAATGAATGGGCTGGCCCCATTCCGCCAAGGCTTCGATGGCCGCTTGCTCCGCCAATTTGGGCACCTCCCTGAGAGCAATGTCCTGTCGGATATCCAGTGAAGGTTCTATGTACTGTACGTGCTCATCGCAGGAGAGGCCTTCGGAATGTCTTCTATGCAATGATTAGGTCTTCGTTTTGATTTCGGCATTTCTCCCTGAAATCAGCATGCCATGACATGAACAGCTTGAGAAAGATAAATCAGAAAGGATAATTATGATAGTCACAGATTCGAGCAATTTGGCCTTGAGCTGAGTCCTGAGATTGGTGTTGGTGATGTCGAAGATGATGAAGTCCGGGTACTCACTTTGCCGGTGCGCAGTGGTGGCAATGGCCAGTGCTGTCGCGGGTCCATCAGCTCTCTGATGTCTGCATGCGATAGCAGCATTGGCATCGGCATTGTTGATCATTTCTGCACTCTCGAATTCTGTTAGTGAGGACTGAAATCCCAATTTTCTGGATTTCTCAGCTGTAATTTGGGATGGTTGCTACGACGAGAAAGTCCGCAGTCGCCCACTGTAGGTGAATCCGTGCTCCCTGATTTCGCATGAGTTCGGCCATCTCATTGTGACGCATGAATATCTCCTGTTGAGCTTGAGCTTCAATTACGCACGAGTTCTTATCTCCAAGCTGCAATTGTTTCCGTATGATGTGAATCAGTACTTGCAGAGGTTGACAGTTTTCTTGCATGCTTGTCGACGAAAGGTATACCCAATTCGTCCTTTTAAAGTCTTCGATTTCAATTTTTCACGATGATGATGAAGGAACTAGCACAATCGATCACAAGAAGCAGCTGTTGAGCTCGTTTTATTTTCTACTGGAGTGATGCCCGTGCCCTTCTCTTCCACTCACTTACTACTTCTCTATTGTATACTCTATGTGCGCTTTCCTTACAATCCATCCACTTCTGCAGTTCAATGCCATGCGATGTTTCGGGCCGCTTCCTTCTCTCTTTACAGTTCGAATGCATCGAGTGACGCCATTGTTGTAGCTCCCAGGTCTCTGCTCTTTCGGCCCCTTGCGGCTGATCAGATCTTATTTTCATCGTACGTAGAGATGCACAATCATGATCATCTTCAACTGATCTTCGATTTAGTGTTGCCTTTCCTGCAACGAATACCGAGATATGTGAATTTGGCGAGTATAGTTGTTGTTTCTGGACACTAATTTGTCCGTAAGTATTTTTAGTCATCTCATTAAGGTAGTCATCGTTTTTTGTTACAAATGGTACATAGATCAATCAAATGGGAACCAAAGGGTCAAAGTCTAACAAACACAATAAAAAAAACTAACTCCAAACAAGGAGAGTATCAAAAGAACCCCTAGTTAATTTACAAAACACTAGAATTATAACAAATAACATCTAATAACACTAATGTAACAAACTAAATCATAAATTCAACATGAAACAAAGAATAAAAATTCTCAACAATACTTTTATGAGACACTCTAATCTCTACATATCTAGTACAAGTAAGAAATACATGTTCTTCATACTCAACTTTTCTTTCATCACATAGCCTATAAATACTTTTCTTTTTTCACGTAGCCTACAAATACGTTCACTCTTATCAATGTTCAACCAACGCACTTCTTCAATCCCAATATTATGAGATCATGTTCTATGTCTAGCAATAATATGATGCAAAGAAATAGATATATCTGCAAGTAAGTATCTATGCTCACAATAAACAAGCATAGTACTCACATGAAGTTGATAAAACTGCATCTTGGTGTCTCGTCTGCTTCAAATAATGCTGAGAAATTCTTCCTTAATGCACTCGCATATGGCAATAGGTTGCAAATCCCAATCGAGTTCCGTCACATTCCACCTCAAATACCAAATCACCACATCTGCAAATCACCCCTTGGGATGTGTGGCACGCAAAGCTTCAAGAGGAAGTCAAGAAGCATCAAGAGATCTCACTCTTTTGACGTAAGTGATAGTCAAAAAGAGAGCTTCAGCCTCAAGAGTTAGATAACCTGTTTCCGCAAGAAGAATTGCATAAGAAGTTTGGGTACTCACATCCAATTCTTCTTGTAAGAAGATCTTTTGCACCCTCTCCAAACGCTGCCAACCTGTCTTCTTACAACCAGGACCCCACACTTGTGTTTCATATAAGATAACGGGAAACACTAAGCTCTTGAATAAGAATTTCCTAAGACTCCAAGACACTATATGAGCTCCTCTACATCTATTTAGCAATGAATATAGAGCTTTGAAACCAGCTTCTACCCTCTTTTGCACACAAAGTGTCCAACTATAATCAGATGAGAAATCAATGCCCAAATATTTGTAACTTTTCACTTGTTCCAACTCGAATACTTTGTAACAGAAAGAAAGCTTGGATCTAGTGCACACAAGAATGACTTTGGACTTCTCCAAATTGAACTCCATCTGATTTTGAGTACAAAAGTTAGCCAAAGTGTCAAGATGTTTCTATAAACTAATGGCATCACGTGCTAGTAATATGACATCATCTGCATACAAAAGAGCTTTGATGACAAAGCCTCCAGGTTTAACACCTTCGCTATCACAATCCTCCAACCACCTTTCTATATCATCTATGAAAACTCCAAAGAGAGTGGAGAGAGTACAACCTTGAATCACTCCAATGGTGCTGATAATCTCTTCGGTTTGAGAAGTGTTGATCTTGGCTCGAACTGAGTGGTATAATGTAACCACCGCTGCTAAGAGATCTTATGGTACTCCAATGGTTTGCAATCTTTGCCTCAAAAAGCTTTCTTGAAATCAATGAAGGCACAAAACAAAACTTTTCCATTACCCTTGGAATTCTCCCATAAAACACGCAAAACCAAGATATGGTCTATAGTGTTGAATGTAGGACGAAAACCAGCTTGGAACCGCGCTCTCTTCTAAAAAGATTTAGCCCATGTGCTCAACTATGATTCCACCAATTTGACAAATAACTTGGCAAAAATACTACCCACCATGATAGTGCAATAGTTTGTCACCAAGGGCTTGCTCCCAGATTTGTGAATAGGAACAATCTTCCGTAGAGACCAAGATGAAGGAAAGCCATGAATAGCAGCATCCTTTAACACTTTCGTGAGTATAGGCCCAATAGCATCTACTCCCCACTTGATAAGTTCAATCCATTCAAATCCTCACATTTGAATGGATTGAATTTGCCAATTGTCTGAGTTGAGTCATCACTTCAACTTCTGAAAATAAGCCTGGATTTCTTTCACAATGTGGCATTGATGCAACATTGAGAAAAAAAATAAAGCTTTTCAGCAAAAGAAATCAAAGACTTGGGATCAAGAGTAGGTTTAGAAGATCGTACTGCCAGCCGCCTCCAAAAGGATTTGGAATTCTCCAAGAGCTCCTTTGTCAAGCACTCTTGCTTCTGCCTCAAAAAAGCTCGTTTCTTAGACTTCATCAAGTCTTTGTAAAGTCTTGTCATAATCAACCGATTATGAAGATCCAAGGATTTATCAAGTGATCTCGCCCTCGCTTGCTTGCAATCAAAGATCAAGGAAGACCTCTAGCTCTACTGGTCTTATGTCTCAAAAAGAACTTAGAAGCAGAGTTTTTGAGCAACTCGGTTAGTTGCAAACTAGATGTATGTGGATCAAGGCTCCAAGTAGTACGAATCAAGAGGTCTTGGAAATGTTCACTATAAAGTTGCTTCTTACTAGCATCTAAACAAAACTTGGGGGAAGTAGAAACATAATGACATGTAGAGAGAGGGATTGACTTTGACAACAAAAGAATAAATAAAAGAAGTGTATGATCTGATTTTGGTTGAGGCTCTAAAATATCAAACGCTGAGATAAATGAATTATTAGTGGCAGAGGACAAAAGATAATCTACAGTGCTAACACCAGTAGAGGAAAAACATGTATTGGAGTGAGAGTTGCGAAAGAAAGAAACACCATTGAGAACTTTCAGATTACAAGTGGCTCCAAAAGTCAATAAATGCTCAGTCAGATCATTTGTACAAGGATCACAAGAGTATCTAGACCACAAACTATCTCTACTTTCTTCAAAAGAGGGAGAAGACAAGAACTATCAAATTGTGTAAATTGAGCAGAACGTATGCGGGCATTGAAGTCTCCAACAAGAAAAACTTCACCTTTGTCTTGATATTTGAGAACATCACCTATGAGCCAATGGAATGGTTGACTTCGATTGCAAGTGCTTGTGGAGTAGATCTGCATGGATAATGGTGCAAAGTAACAAACTGCCAAATAATGGTAACATCCTCCAATCGATCCAAAACGAAGCCAATGATATTATTTCCCAATATCTTGGCTTTCCAAATGTATCATAGGAAGAAGTTCAGATCTGATGAAAGTAGCAATGCCTCCAAAGCCTCTTCTTGCTCGTCGACTTCTATGGTTCCAAGTAGATCCCACCAGAGTAAACCCTTGTATCTCTCCAATATCATTACTTTCATGCTCCCAAGTCTCAACAATGTTGAGTATATCCGCTTTCTTCCAGATTGGATGTGCACTCACATACTTAGTTGTAGATAGGCCTCTTACGTTCCACATCAACACCCTCAACCTCTTGGATTGCTAGGTTGATATTTGTCTCCTCCTCTTAGTGATAATAGCTTGACTATCACGCAGATAAGCTACAAAACCTACATCTTGAGCTTCTTTGACTTTTGCAAGCTACTTTCTCCTAGCTTCAACTTGAAGAGGTGTAAGATCTGGATCTAAGCAAATCCTCCGTCCCTTGAGAATGGCCTTGTTAGCTAAAGCCATATCACGTTGAGCTTGATCCACAAACTTAACAATAATGGCACGAGGTTGTGCGACTTTGTTGCCAATACGATAAGCTTGAGCCAAATCCGGATTATGAACATCAAGTGTTTCAGTCAAGAACTTGGTGACCACAATCTTCACCTCTTCCTTCTCAAATTCAGGTAGATCAGAAATCCTCACATTCTTCATACGAGCAAATTGATTAGCCTTTTCAATCTCTTGCTCTTGACAGAAAAAGATATAAGCAGACTTGGTAGCTTCAGCATAAGACTTCATTTTCACCTCTAGAGTTTCAACCACTTCATGCAAAGCAGAAGTAGTAACAATAGAAGCTTTATAACCAACCTTGTCTTGGATGTCCTCAAAAGGGTTTAGGGTTTTAGGGATCCAGAGATTTGGAGCATGATTTTCTCAAAACTTTTGTGAGAAATCTTCAACTCCCGGATTTTCATTCTTTGCAGCAGCCAAGGCAACATTTTGTACCTTGAATTCTTGGCGAAGCACTTTCAATTCCTCCAAAACCGTTTGCACAAGATTGAGAAGTTTGTTTTTAGAATTCATCATGAACCTAACTTTGCAAGATATACAAACTCAAAGTTTCAAAATGAAAACTTCTTGACAGCAGCTCCGTTGAGGCTAAAAATTTGCAATTATGTGCGCCCAGCCGTTGTGAACAAGCTCACCAAATCTCAGCTCCTATTAACACTCCAGCAAGAAGATATGGCCCCCTCAAGATTCATGCTCCAACCCCTAAACTCAAAGTTTCGAAATGATAACTTCTTGACAGCAGCTCTGTTGAGTCTCAAAATTTGACTTAACGAAGGCAATCCTTTTTCCTTTCCCCTGTTTACATTCTAATTTATTTCTTCAGCTTGCCATTTCCATCGGTTATTTTGACTTTTTGTCCTGTCAGTTATTGGATTGTCTTTTTTCCATATCACTCTTTGCACACTTTCATCCTTGGAACTAGGATTTTGCCTCTCCTTAGTAAGAATATTAGACTTTTTGTCCTGTCAGTTATTGGATTGTCTTTTTTCCATATCACTCTTTGCACACTTTCATCCTTGGAACTAGGATTTTGCCTCTCCTTAGTAAGAAAATTAGGCGGATTAGGGAAATGTGTTATTTGCGTAACCCGCCTGTCCAGTAGACACCCGCAATTCACTTGCAGCTAATGTACCTTCGTTGGTCAGCATTTCGGAAAGTACAAACTGTAGACTAACAGTATTCGAAGAGTACTATTTAGAGTTTTCGGAATATTTATCCGCCGGAAAAATGCTGTTGTCTACTTCATCAAGTGGCTCGTTTCATTTTTCGGATGTTTCTAAGAAATAATTTGTAATTATCATGTTTTTTCATCGTTCCGTGACATGAAATGTATTGGATTAATGATCTGTGAACAGTTTTTAACACGCAAGTTGTTGTCAATTTTGTGTAAACGAAGTGTTCAGAATTGTTTAGAAGTGATATGTGTGAAGTTTTTTATTAAGATTGTGTGAGAAATTGAAATAATCGTCTAAGGGTAAAATCTGACTACTGTTCATGTAGCTTCAATATTGTGTACAGTAGTAACTTGCCAAGAAAATACAACAAAATGATTGCAATTTGATAAAATTTGCACATTTAGAATTAAAATTGCCAACAGAGCGTATAAAATCAATAATTTTCCGATACTAGAATAAACCTAATTGGTATCCGTCAAATATTTGTATCCTCTTCCTGACTATGCTGAGAGATACTATTCACTGACATCAGCCATTGTTAGCTTTCACAGTGTTTTCTTAACAAATATGTTGGTACAGTTTACTACTTCTCGCGACATGATTTCGAAACTGGACAAAAAGGCAATCATTTCGATCTTAATACTACAAAATTTCTAAAAAAAAAAACTCTAAGAATACAATTTCGATCGTTTATTTTGATACTACCTGAATACCAATCTCGTTATCATTCATCTACGACTGCCGGATATAAGCTCTACAAGTGGCTTGAACGGCGATCCTAGATTATAAGCTTTCGAGTCATTCCACAGCATAGAACCTGCAAAAATGAGGTCGCTTCGTTAGCCTTAACGACTCTCTCTACTGATAACCTCGAACTTTAATTTTTTCGAAAGAGGGTGAGTATCTTCAATGTACAATTTTTAAGAGAAAATCTGCCATGGATCGATGACATTACCAGCTAGTTTATCAAGCAATTGAGACACAGTTCTCTCACTGACCGGTGATCAATAAATGATTCAAACCGAATATGCATTAGGATGCAACTACTTATATCAATGATCTACTTTCCACTCAAATCAAGGCTTGACTGTAAACCATATTTTCATTATCGTATAGTGCACATAGAGGAAAGGAAGAAGTGAAAGAATATCTTACTTAGCCAAAGTGCAAGAATTGCGCTCACTCCATAGAAGGTAACATCATTGATGACTTGACACCTGAGAATTGGTAAATTTAAACACACGATCAACATCATGGAAGACGAAAGTTATAGAGTTGTCAAAGTGGCCAGAAACTCTTTTCAGTATTGGACACCACTACATCTACTAGCTGTTAACCCATCTTTTCCAGAAGGACTAGAGATAGGATAATGAGATGATGCCAACACAATCCAAAGAGTGAAGAAAGAGTTTTATTCTTACATGTACATACTGAGCAGAATTCCCCATCCTTGCAGCATGGTTCCCCAGCTTGATCCGGTGAACCTGTACATGAAAATTGATATCTATTAGTCACATTATCTTCAAAATCATCCTGCAGGAAAAGAGAGAAAGAAAGACACTGTTGTTCAGTATAATGTCATCAGTGAAAAGGAAACTGATTTACTTACCACATGAGATCGCGTGTAAAAAGAGCGCGAGGCAGCAGTAACGAATTCCCCACCATAGCCAGTAGAACAGTAAAAACTGACAGACCTCTGATGTTGGCAGGGTTGATATAATTTGTCCACTGTCATTGGAAATTGTACAATTATCAGTCTCACAAAATATGGTCATAATTGTCTTCTTACATGCATGTAAACAACATTACACAGTAAAGAAAAAGGTAACGTGGCCATAATATGCTCCCCAGTAGTGCCTACTCGTTTGACGACAAACTTGGGAGCGTGAACACTTACCCACTGCGCAACTGGTGCCCACATGAATAACAGGGTTGCAGTCCAGGCAGCCACGGCTCCTAATACGTTGCGAATTTTGGCTGGAAGTTTGTCCAAACGATCCTGCAACAGCATGATACCGTCAGAGACAGGAATGTGTTCTAAAAGTCCGGAAAGCTAACAATTTCAATCTGCGAATCCAGCAAACGGACGTCAATCACGTAACCAACTACCACTTAACAAGTAGATGTCACCAAACTGGAAGGAAAGATCTCCACACATAGTTATTTTCATAAAGTCAAACTATAATGTTAGAATTCTTACCAGGGCAATCATGGTGACTGCCAAGATGCCGAACATTGTACCAGGTAACACACTGTGTGGGAGATAAGGTTCAAATGTAGACCACATAACCTGCAAAATATGATTGGACATCTCTTAGTCATAATCGATGATAACTTTACAACATACAAATGGACTGCAAACTAAATGCATCAAATTATCATAATCCACATCATGACGGCCGTCACCTGTGGCAAAACGGTTACTCCCCCGATGCTCACAACTTCTCCCCATAGTCTCCATACGGACGGACTCAATTTGTTGACATAATTTAGGAAGTTGAGAATGAGTCCGACGACGACGGCCGTTCCTGTCACAGCAAAGGCCACGGCAGGCATCGCTCCTGCTATCGCCAGCTGCAAGAGCACTATTAAAGTTGACACAACACCGACAGCTTGCACCACCATCGCACCTCTTTCCCGCTTGCTTGCAAAGTAAGAAAGAAGAGATAGATTTCCCAGAAGACCTGTCAACTGACCCTGCACCAAGACAGAAATTGAAGGCAAGGAACTTCAGGAATCTCGCAGGATACTTATCTCATAGTACATATCAATTGCAAGTCTGCAACAAGGGTGTGATAATCGATCGTCCCTAGGGTGGTATCAAAAAGGTTCAGCAAAACCTGGAGTCACCCAATGAGAAAAATGCACAGGGTAGAATCCAAGCAAGTATGGACAACTCCTATATGAAGTTCAGATACATTTGCAGGTTAGCAAACAGGGCTCATAGATGCCTTGATGCAGCAAGCCTGCGCAGACCCATGTCAGAAGGAGAACTGAAGGCGTCTATTATAAATATGTCAGAGGCCAGCACCACGTAGATAGAGGGAACTGGATACCGGACACGATGTTCTTCTTCACAGGAAAGGATCGGATGAGTGATCAGCGAAATTCCATCCACCCAACTGACCCATGCATGGTACATGCTTCTCGATTAACAACGCGGTGAAAAACTGCAAATGCAGTAGATGCATTGCCGAATCCTATACTTAAAAGAAGTAAAACTATGAAGCTAAGCATCACAAGACACATTGTGATAACTTGGCGGGTAACTCTATGACGCCAAAGGGAGCTACAAGTATGCCGAAGACCAAAGTACACAGGGACGATTCTCTGTTAGAGACATCTGGCTTTGCCCTAGTTTTCAGACGAAGTTGCATGACACACTTGAGCTTCTAGAGAGGAAGAATCCTTACCATCCACGGGACGGCAAAAAGCGCGGCATAATTTCCAGCGACTAAATTTTGTGTGTTCAAGAGAATTTGAGGAAGCTGAAGGAGCAAGAAGGCTGCTGTAGCTGAATCAGCCAGGCGAGCTGTTGTTGAGTCCCATTTCACAAACGCAGATGATCCAGATGAAGGTTCAACTGTGAGATCTTTCTGAGAATCTCCGAAGGCTTTTTCGTCACCACTGGGACCAAATGTTCCGTACTCAGATTGCTGCGCTCGCTGCAAAAACATCCACCCAAGAGTTATGTCTTAGTCACAAAATCAAGGCATTTTCTACCGAGCATGTCCCAACGAACGTTCGACTTGAAAAGTCACCATATCCCGCACATTGGTGCTGACACTATATGACAACACACACAGTGCATCCACATTGCCGAGCTAAACCTTGCGCGTGAATTCCGAGACCCGTATCACATTTACACGGAGGAGCTGGACAGAATGCACATGCAATCCAACAACGCAAATTTTCGCTCGCTACTTTAGATTTTTCGCCTTCACGCAAGAGGAAGTAGGTGGCTTCAGAACCACATGCATAATGCAAGAAAACAGAAATCGAGCACTGGCAGGAGGAGTTCGTACCTCCAAATCCCCAGCACCATGATCGTCACCAGTTGTATCTTCCATGAGCGCACGAGGCACTGCCATCGTCGCCATTTTGAGAGCTCGCCTCCGGATTAAACCTTCGTATGCCCCGGGTAATGGGAGCTCGTTCACAAAGTACCCACCGAACTCTCCTTCGCGTCCAGACGCGCTTCCAAGACAAACAACGCCGCGGTGAGAATTCAACTCAGCAGTCCGAGCAATCTTGCGCCCGAGACGACATCCATCTGCACCGAAGCGAATGCCACCCCCAAGATTCCGGCGGTTCGAATTCTTGCGAACTAGAAGAGCACTGTCCACTGGCGGAATGCGTCGGGACTCGAACGCAGTGGCGCTCCGGCAGTCGGGGGGCCCGAGGAGCAAATTCCTGGACAATTCTTGCGGATTCGCGAGGCACAGAGCTGATCTCGGCGCCGGGCGAGAGATGGCAGCGTGAGCCATGATTGCGCAATTCCCCGCCTACAAATATCGAAGCAAGGAGGGCTTTGGAGCGCTGACCGAAGCGCTGGACACCTGGAGATATTCAATTTCGCTCTTGTCCGAAATTCGCTCGACCTTCGGCCCCCGACCTCTCGATCGTCTTCTGCTCGAGTGCGCGCTCAGTCGCTCCCTCCCCAACGCTCGGTCGCTATGGCGGAACGCCCTGTAGGCAGAGGCCGTGCGACGCCGCCGTTGCTGCTGCTGGTGCTCCAGCCACTTCACTTATGTCCACGTCGGACTCGCCCGCACACACTTTTCACCACCTCATTGCCTCCTGCTTACGGCCGAACTCCACCGTACACGTGGCTCCCGACACGTGGGCCGCGGCTGCCGCTGCTCCCCTCCCTCCCCCTCGCTTCTAGTCAGCGGTCGCCGGATCCGCGACGCTTTTCGCATCTTCGCATCCCTCTCCTAAGGACGGCCTCTATTTGCGCTGTGAGGCCTGTGCGCCGAGGATTTTCCGTCCCTGCTTGCCGCTGCCTGCCTGGCTGCGCACGCCCGCACACCTTCCCTCGATGCCCATTCAAGGGCGCCCGAGCGAGCAGAGTAAAGTGGCAGCTCGCCTTCCGCCACGTGAAATCGCGCCTCGCTTCGGATGGTGTTGCTGCTTCCGATTCCACCCACTATATATGCCCTCCCACAAGTGTCCTCTGCCCCGGCTCTAATTTTAGCCCCCTGGATTTCTATTTCAATTGGACGTCCGTGACCGCCCGGATCGCTGTCGCTTGCATCTTCCATGCTATGGCACATCGGCATGTAAAAGGTTGTGTTCTTATACCTCCGAAACGCCTTGCACTTGCACTTGCACCGTGAATGATCGATTGATTTCATCATGGCTTCTTGTGTCGATTTTTTCTTCTTCAACATTGTGACTTGACATGTGATGATCTAGTTAGTACCTTCATCGTGCGAGGAGTCGGCAGAACATTCTTGTCTTACAATGCAGAATACAACGATTGCGATGTAAGGGTTCGATCGAGTTCCCATGTCCACCTGAAAAAGCGAAAAGTAATAAATTGTTTGTGGATGTCGGAAAGATGTCGTTGTTCAACTTTGTCGAGAACATTGAGAACTTCAAACCGTGTCGTCTAGAGTTTGATGGACTAGCGACAAACAACTTGTCTCGCTCGCTAGCATGTCGCATTAAAACTGATGCTTGGCAGGCTGGTTGCTGTCTGGCCTTGCAATTAATTCACCATGAAGCGCTAAACGCGAGTGTGCAAATTTGTGTGTAAGACAAGTTAGACATGACAGTAAACATCGAACATAAAAGACTACCAAACTAGTGGTCAAATGATTTCTTATGCGTGTTTGCAAACTGATGATTCATGGCTTTCGATGTGTTTGTCAACTCCCATTGAGAATTTGGGAGCAATGGCCCGAATATGTGCTGCAATTCCAAACGAGTAACAAAACTGCTCAAAGCAACATTATCCACTTGAATGGTGGATGCATCTGAGAAATTTTGGAGGAACATCATCAATGAAATTGCTTCAGTGTTGTATTTCGGAGTATCAGGTTCCACAAAGCAGCTATGGCGTTGCAGTTTTGACGAAACAGTTCAAGTCATACACTTGCTTGAAGCAACAACGACCCTCCATCATCGTCCATGGTAAGGTTGTCGAGAGCTTTAGAACTATGAAAGCAACTTTATTCTATGAGAAACAAATACACTTTGAGCTTGTTGAAAGAGTACCAATGCAAATCGGTGTGAGAGTGAACTCGAGTCAATCCATAAGAGTTGTTCGACTTCTCCCATTACCTTGTAGTGCAAATTACACAACTTACATGCTATACTCATATATATATATATATATAACAAGAGTTTACACATACACAAATAAATATAAGCAATTGAAATGCTTTGTGCAAACCCCATTGGCTTCAAGCACAAACTTCACATCAAGTCGAGCTCAGTCCACTCCATATCTTGGAAACTTCAATTTGAAACTACCAGGATGCAATGATTGACCTACTGAAAGCTATTACTCACGTAAAAGTTTCAATTCAAAAAACTGACAAATTTTTATAGTCAGCACGAATATACTTTTCAAATATGAATGAATACTAAGATAGACTTTATCTAGGGTTAACTCAACTAAAGTTAATTCCAATTTGATAAAATAATAAATATTACATATGTACATGATAACCTCATAAGTGATACTTACACTAAGATCCTCATCTTTCACCAACTCTCACTTCCAAATTCACGTGCCTCGCTTTCTCAATATTAGAAGACAGCGTCTCTAGGCTTTGTCTTCTCATTTTTGCATAATTCTCAAGCTTTAGGCCGTTTCACTCAAACATATACTTTTTACTCACAAACTTTTTACTTTTTACTTACGAGCATACTCGTAAGAGTAAAAAGCGTTGCTTTGGTTGCTACTTCTTGTTAAAGAAGGTTTGTGACAGGGAGAAAAAAGTGGTAGAATTTGCATAATGAATACGCGCAAATTTTGTACACTTTGTACACGAGAAAAGAGAGCAAGTTTTTCTTCCCGTTCATTTGTCGTACATAGCCCATTTTGCTCTATGTTAAAAGTTAACTCGTGTTTAAAGTTGCACCTAGTTGGGTGAAATTGCTTTTGTTTGGAATCAGCATCCAGGTCAGAAAACAGATCTCAATATTAGATATATGACCCTACTGGAATTTGGCAAGACTTCTTTCAGGAGATCTTGTCGTCACAATTCAGATGAGAATAATATGATTAGTTTTAGCTAGAAATCGAGAAGAAAGGTTGAGGTAGGCTTAGTCAATGACAACTATACTCTATTATGCCAATGGTAATTTTTTTCACTTTGAATGGATGGATTCTAGAATGTGATTGATCATAATCATATATTTCTTCATTAAAAAAATCTTTAGTTTTTAGTTGATATCAAAAAAAAATTTAATAAGAAAATAAACTATGTCAAATTGAAAATATAGGTTTGATAAAGACTTCATGTGTGATTATCTTATGTGCATATTGATCACACATACTTTCTTATATAAACATGATATAAGAAAATATATAATGTTTAATGACATGTTATACATATATTATCATCAATGAAAATTGATTGATGATTTATGTCAAATCAGGGACTCTTAAAAATGATCATTTAGAAAGTTTTGTCAAAAGAGAAAAAAATGATAGCGAAGAGAAAATGAGAAGAAAACACCCCTGCAAACCATGAAGCTGGAGCGCTCAATAACACAATAAACAATAAGCGGATCCACGTACATGGCAGATATGTTTGTCGAGACTTCGGCAAGAGATAATCCACGAAAGCATTGAGATTATTGAGAGCATGCAGCTTCAGTAGATGATGCTGCTATTTTAAATCTGATCAATTAGGAGGCTAATATAATAAAATATAATGATAATTATTTATATGAGGTAGATACAATATTATTTCTAAATAATCACATGACTTTAGAATTCAAAATGAGATTCACAACTTGTGACATTGAAAATTAGATAGATGAACTAAATGAATAAGCAATTTTATGATAATTCATATATTATATAGCTTCAATCATATTATATTCAATTTTTTGTGTATGATGAAGTTATTCACTTTATAATTCTAGTATTCTAATCTGATAATATGCTTATTAAAACTAAACATACATCTCCTGTTGATAAGCTGAAATTTTTGCGTTTTAGAGTTCGGTTAAATATCTAGTTACTTTAAAAAAAACTGAAGTATTAAGATTCAAAGTAAGTTAATTGATAGAAAGATATATTTGATTCACAAGAAATTATGCGAGAAAGATATTAATAAGGGTTCATATGAAGAAACGAGGTTGTGAGAACTTTTTCAACTCCTCATTTGAACCTTTTTTTTTTAGTTTTTAGAACAAAACATATTGGGTTTGAAAACAAATTGATATCTAAGATTATTTACAATAAGTGATTGAAATTTTTCATATTTTTAACTATGTGGACTATGCATGAGTTTTTTGTTTCCATGTAAAAGATTAGCAAATGCATGTTAAACTAAAAAACTTACATCTTAGAAGTTGTAAAAGAGATGTGTAGGATGTTTTTATCATCAAGTTGTTAGTAAATTGTGTGTTTTCAAATCATTGATTGTATATGAAAATGTTAAATTTGAATAATATTTAGATGAGAAAAGATGTAAAGTTTTTTTTATGTATTTCTATTGAAAGATAAATGCACAAATTAGATATTAATTATGCAAAAGCATGTTTCTTAATCTAAGCTGAACAAGTAATAACAAAAAAAGACAAAGAAGGAGTATATCTCACTAAACAATTTTGTTGATCATATCAACACATAAAATTGTGAATGTGTCCTACTAGCTAAAATGTATCAGATCTTATTGTGAATGAGTTGAAAAATAGTAAAACTATATACATGCATGTTAAGTCTTAGTTTTTTTCTACGATATTTTTTATTAAATACTTATTTTATTCAAAATCGACAGTACATCCAATCATCTTATGACTTTATTGAAACAATTCAATTATATTTTTCTAAGGTAGCCGCTAGTCACCACTCACTTTTAGCTATTCACCACTCACCCTCAATTTTAAAGAACCCCAAAGCACTTTTCTTGCGCTCCGATTGGGTTTAGGGTCTCCGCTTGCTACACTTGGCTGGGATCTAGTGGCCAGTCCTGATTTCAGGCCGCGATGGAGACAAGGGGCCGTGTCCCGTGTACCTGACCCGGAGATCGGAGTTTGAACTGTAGAGGAGGTAGAGTGCCGGCCCCTGGCTCGAAAGCGACCATTTGCCGGTCTCAGAGTGAGAGTTCGAGCAGCATTGTTCTGCAAGGGAAAGCTGAGCAAGGCCAACGGAAGCAGCGATGGCTTCGTCCGCGCGTGTGCGAGCGCTGCTTTGGGTCGTTCTCATGCTTTCTGTTATTTAAAATTGAGGGTGAGTGGTGAATAGCGAAAAGTGAATGGTGACTAGCGGCTCACTTTTCTAAAATAATTTGTCGTAATGCAGGTGTTGCATATGATTGGACTTAGATTGAACCAGTTGTTCGTTAACTTTTATATAATATTCAATTCTTGCATAATTTATCTACTTTTTCTAGTGTACTCAATTCTACTTTACAGATAGAAATTCTACATCAACAGTATTTCCAGAATTTTTGTATTATAATTATATCGGGTATAGAATCCATGCACCAAGCTTGGATCAAAGTGAAGTTAGAAGTTATTAATATTTTGAGCAATAATAGTTAGTTTGACTATAGTTAGTTTGATTATAATTAGTTTGACTAGAGTGGCTATCGCTGCATAACAAAAGTTGGCACAAGCTCTATATTGAATAAAGCTTGCATTCAAAATACATCATGAAGGATGGAGAATTTGAGACAGTCATTCGTAAATTCTTCCCCTAAAGAGTTTGGATAATTTTCTGTGTTTAGATCATCCAGATTGTTCAGAGTATAATCAAGCTTTATATACTCTTCTAAAACCCCATCCAAAAAGTTGTTGTGATATAACAACCCTCTTACGGTTTATCGAAAAAAATTACATTCCACCATTTCCAAACTGACATGCTGGTAGTGAATGATCGACTCTAGACTTGCTTTCATGAACTTCATTTTTTGTCTCATCATTCTTCTCCTCTCTCCACCGTATATGTAATTATATAATTCATCGAGTAGTCCACGTTAACACTGTATTTAAATGGGTTCAAAGAATGTAAATTTTTTAGAACTCTTCCACAACGTTGCCGCCTCGTCAGAGACATCACTGCCTCCACAAGCCTTGTCAAGCATCTCCACATGCAAAATCTTCCTACCGGCGATGTTAAGTCAAACATTGTCACACGGGTCACCATGCTCAAGACCTTGAATATAGAGAATTTTTGTCGAAACCCCGTAGAAAGAACTGAAGTTGCCTACATTGCACGAAATGCATCTTTTGCTCATTCCTGTAGATGGTTCAATACTTAATGTGGAACAATAACCTTGACATGATAAATCATCACACGTGGTGGAGTTGACTTGACTTGATTCTGCTAGGAGCTTTTGACATGTCGGAAAACTACTCTAACATCATGGTATTTAAGCGTATATGCTAATTTTGCTTCAAAATTCAGTCAAACTTCACCAATGACAATGCTATCCATCTGGCCACCAAATGATCGACATCTTCAAATCATAGTCTCGAGCTTGTGAACATTTTCCGAGTCTCATGTAATAGGTAACTTTTTTCTTTATTTCAAAAAGGTCATCACTTCCCCGAATTTGTCGAAATATGCAAGAAGTTCTCTATTCGCGTATTATTCTCCAACTAGCAAGGAGATGAAGTCTCTCATGGCTTGACAAGTGTACTCACTGTATTCATAAAGACGTAGATGGAAAGAGTTCCTTGATGGGATCCATCCCGAACGCAAAACACTTGACGACATCCTAAAAGTTTTATTTTATCGGATGTAAATTCCGACGGCCCACCGTCACCGATGTTGCTCTACGAGTTTTTGTATAGCGCGTGTTCTTGTAACCTGTGTTTTCGATTTAGAACATGTAGCTTTCAACAGTTTATTATTGATGTAACTTAATAATCAAGTTGCATGATCAAGTCATTTCAGAAAATAATTTTGAATCATGCCCAAATCAACTGTGTCAAGAAGGGCAAATCACCATTCCGAGCTCCTTCTACGACCAACTGAAATGTATCCTTGAACTCTCACTACGAGAACTCGCAGGTGACAGATAGGTGCAGCCCCTGGGTGCAGGTCCCGTCGGGTAAAATGAATCGTTTAGGGTTTGGAGTCTCGTTAAGTGTTTTAGATTCCAGATGTGTCCCATCAAGTAATTCCCAGTAAGTAGATGCTCTTCTCGTGAGAGTGGCTTTCAGTAAACACTGGAGATTACAATAATTAACTGCATAGTTTGAGCGGGTCGTGTAACCGAGGCAGATTACGATTTCATTCCCCATGGAGTGTTTGTTAAAATATGCTTACAGTAGCATCAATCACATGAAATAGAAACTAAAAAGTACTTGTGTTTCTTTTTGTAACGCTAAAACACGGAATCTGGTTATCAGTTTCAATACTACGTAATTTGAGATTATCAGTGCGACGATATACCAGCTTACAGTCCCAGATTTCCAATATTATTGATATCGAAGATTCTTACTTAAAATACAAAAGAGTTGGCTTTAATTTCGAGCTTCAAACCTTCACATCAATGAAAAGTTCTGTGATAGGTCAGATGAGTGATTTTGGGTACGCTACTTTGAAAAATGGATGATACGGAATTTTTCTCCGGGACCTCTACATAAACCATCCTGTTCCTCACTCTGCCTTCGTCATCACGCTTCAAATTTCCTACACAAATCCATCAGTTCAAGCACATCAAAGCTGGAAACCTGGCCCAATGGCTGCGAAGATTTCATCCAATCTCCGAACAGCATAAAGGAGAAAGCAAATCAAGTGGTAGAGTTACGTCGAACTTGAAAGAAAAAGCTTTCAAATCTCGAGGGGATGAGCAGCTTTGGACTTTCCCCAGCCATTACAGAGCTTTGTAAACCTGTGTCCTAATTTCAACGCAAAAATTCTAATCTACCAGTGCTTCAAAAAATTACAGCTTGGATAGTGAGGTCCAGCTTATATACACAAATCATCTACTCCCCTCGCAAGCCTGCCAAGTCCTCCCAATTATCTCACACAATACACTTCAGCGTATGGCTACATGTCGCTTGACAACAAGAGGATATCTTTCTCGCTTGGGCACAGTCACCGTCAGCACTCCATTTTCGACCTTTGCTTCGACGTCTTCTATCTTCGAATTCACGGGCAGCTGAAACCGCCTCAGAAATCGACCCTGGGAGCGTTCCAGTCTGTGCAGTGTTTCCGGCCTGGCTCCAAAGTCGTTCGTCCGCTGTCCACTGATCTGAAGAATACTGTCCCCTTCCAATTCCACTCTCACGTCTTCCTTTTTTAGCCCTGTGACAATTGATGTAGCCAAACAATGAACTGGTAAGAGCACAATCACTGATGAAGCTCACCAGAATATTACGATGACGATCCAGAAAAACCAGGGCTGGCACCATCAGGTTTTTTCAATCAGGTTTGAAAAGGTTTTTCCAAAAAACCCGTAATTATTTATTGGCATGAAATCGGGTTTTAAATTTTAAATTGGGTTTTAAAGGACTCCGCTGCTGTCTTTAATTTAATAGCAAGCGATATACGTTACAAGTGTGGTTCTGAGTGTAAAAATTCTTGAAATGGAAGCTATCAAAGTCGTAGAAGTAATCAATCTACCAAATGACGAAAATCAACTTGCAGCCTAGAAGCGAGGAATAATTTTTTATTTCTAATTCCTAGAAGCATGAGATATTTGTTACTACATTTGATTAGGTACTTAATAGTCAGGTTCTTAAGGTTTTTTAATCAACACGAAATGATTTTCGATAAAATCAGGTTTTTCCCACCCCTGAGAAAAACACATCTGCCACTTTCCGAGTGGTGAATCGTTTCAGCTCCTCGGTGGCTCTGTTCGGGCAATGGAGGCTTCATAGCTTCTCACAGGGACCTATACGAGACTGCTCGACGCTTACTGAATTCAGTAGTTGATCATCATTCAGTCTTGCTGTGAACACCATCCTCACAACACAAAGACTGTGGTGGACAACCACGAAACAAACCATCCAAATTGCAGAAATTCGGGTGAAAATCGAGTACTCTGAGACCCGAACGCAGGACACCGCTGCGATCTGAAAACTGAAAATCGCAGCCCTAAGACGGATGAAAGAACAACCAGTCGGGCCTCGAGCCTCGGTAGAAAAAAAGAGTGAGACGATCCGCACTCGGAAACATCGACGGGAAGAAGAAAAAGGACTACGATTGAGCCATAGACGAGGCAGACTGCGGAGACGACGAAGAAATGGCGAGTGAGTGAGACGGGAGCCATGAAGGGAGAGGACTAACCGGGCATGTCGGCTCTGAAGACATGGGCGTCGCCGGTCTCGACCCAGTCGACCTGCGTGGCGGCAACAGCACGGCCGTCTTGGTGGATGGATTGAAGGGCGGGGGAGGAATCGAGCAGCTGACTCCAGAGCTTGGCTACGATGTTGACATCCCAGAGGCCGCTGTTGCGGCCGATGTAAGGGTACAAGGCCTTGAGGCCCAGCGACTCGCCGACGGCGGTCAGGCCGGAGAAGGAAGAGCGAAGCGAGAGGAACTCGAAGGGCCCGTCCGTCGTCGACACGATGCCGATGATGACCACGAGAAAAATCACCGACGCGATGAAGGGCAGGCACAGCCAGAGCACGATGAGCAGCGCCAGCAGAATCGGTGCGGGCCGAGGATTCGCCTCCAGCAGCTCCTCGGCTGGTCTCTGCCGCTCGTACACCTCTTCCTTCGGGTACACCTCGACGTCAAAATCCTCCGATACATCCGCCATTCCCCATTCCTCCTCCGCTCCTCCTCCTCCTCCTCCTCCATAATGCTGCTGCTGCTGCTGCTGCCAGGTGACCCTCCTCGGCCCCGGCCCTCCCCGTCCTCCTCCTACATTGATCAACCTCGTCTGCGCGTGCCCCGCTGCCCCTCCTCCTCCTCCTCCTCCTACGCCTCTATCGGTCAACTCCCTTACACCTCTCATAAGCCGCAATCTCCTCTCGACCCCGATCGATCCTCTGTCGCCCAAATCCCTCGTCTAAATCCTCCTCCTCCTCGTAGCTCAGCTTCTGCGCTCGTCTCGTCTCCGTCGCTCGTCCTCTGCATTCGCTGCGGGTTAATAAGACCGTCGAGGTCCGAGGTCCACGGTGAAATCTGCATCCTGCATCTCGGCGCGGTCGGTCCTGATGTCAGACACCCCCCGACACATCGTCGTCGAACTGCTCTTCCCGGCCCCCGGGCCCGCCGGAAGGGGAAGGGGGAAGGGGACGGAGCAGCCGCCCGCGGTTCTTCTCTCTTCGGGGCCTCCCGAGAAACGTTCTCACGTCCCCGCCCTCGTGTCGACTTTGCGAGAAGAGACGTCGGGCTTTGGGACCGGCGGTGCGGTGATTGCCGGAATGCGGACGCCGCGTGGCCGGGAAACGACGACGACGGCGGCGTCCGAGGTCGGCGGGACGAAGCGTGCCGCGGCCGGCTTCGCGTTCCGGGGCGAGTCGGTCTTCCACCTGCCCCGTCCGCCTTTCCGGGATGTTGCCGTGCGCCCGGCTGGACGACACGGAGGAGGAGGAGGCGGTCGAGGATCCGATCTGATGGCGGGCGCCTCCCTTTCCTCGATCCGACGTGTAAAGTGTTTTCCTCCTGTGGCAGAGTCAGCAGCATCCGTGTCGTGTGACGTGGCAAGCGCGTTCATTGCTTCCCTGCCCATTCGGTCTTCTTCGAAGCTCGGAAAGATTATCGCGTTTGGGTTTTACCTCCTCTCCTCGCATCTCAGTTATACGTTAAACTTTTACATGTTAGCTGTCATGTCTTTCCAGAGTAGAATTATGTGTACAACACAGACGAGGTATAATAACAGATCTGCATTTTAATCTCTCTTCTACAACTAATAACCTTTATATATTGTCTTGTTTTATGAAGAGTGATCTGTATATTGATATTTGATTTTCGTTTCATTTTTTCTCCAATTTAAGATAAGGGATATTGTTTATCTAACATTCAACATGTTTTAATATACGTCAAATTGAATATTTTCTTGACTATTAAATATTTGAAGAATTATCTTGTGAAGATTATAAAGAACCACATCTTGAAAAGAAATGTGATACATCAGTTTATAAATATAAGTCTTACTACGCACATTTGATATCCCACATATGCGCAGAGGCTTTATTTTGCACAATGATGAAAATTAGTCTCTAAAAACCCGAAATTAAAAAAAAACACAGAAGATAATACTTTAGAGCTAATCTATCACCACAAAGATACAGTCTTTTTCTTGTAGAGCTTAGATTGGATTGTTTTATTAATTCAATGAATTTTCATTGATTGGAGGGCCTCACTCATTAATTTAAGCAAAATGCACAACTTGTATTGAATTCAAAGCATTGCCTTAGGGATTCAAAAATGAAATGAATAAAAGCATTCAAGAACTAAATGTATGATCTGGTTTAACAATATTGTGATATGCATTTAAAACAATTGCACCACAATAAGATCTAATCTGCATCAATAAATAGTAAAAGACTTTTCGAGTTTGAGTGAACATAAATTTTAATTAATTCATCACTTTAATGAATGAAATATAGTTTTATGGACTTTGGATTAAGAACTATTCGGATAGTGATTTTTCTAAATCATTCCATTCTTTTCGATATCATAAATTGACAGATTTGAAAACTTGAATGAAACTCAATTCAAATCAACTAATTGTATTTTCATTTCAAAAAATTCAAGTCTTAAAGAGCATGATTCAACACATTTTAAGATGATTTTAGACTTCTTTTTCCATTGATTACTTATTCATCTTCAAAGATAAATAAAACTCCAATCTTTATATATTTTTCTTTTATGTGATGTAATTTATGACTTATATTATAACTTAGATAAACAGTAACATTAGCTGTGAAAAAAAATTAAAATCCTTTTATAATATTTATCAGTTCATAAGTGGTGCAACTTTGAGATGTTTGTATCAATTTCAATGTATAAATGATTCCTTGTATAAAATATAAAGGTTTCAAAAAATTCATAATTTTTTTTTATATTTATATTTATAAAAAATAATGTAAAATACTATATGTGTACGTTCAAAAATTCTTCATGCATATCATGCAAATTTTCATATATTTTCAACTCTGGATGCTTCATTTTTGAAATTTATATCAACATAAATACACATATTATTTATATGTAAGAATAAAATTTTTTTAATACATCTGTATGTATCTATGTATGATTATTTCAAATTTTTAATTCTTATTGTATTTGGAATTTTTGATATTGTTAACAAAACATGTGTTTTAATTTTTTTTGAATGAATCTCATGTTTGAAAATATTTCCTGTGTATGTACGAATGCGAAGATTCTAATTTTTGATTTTTTTAAGTATACATCAATTATATTAATTTAATTATTTTAAATAAAAAAATTATAAAATATTAGGTTAAAATTCTGAAAAAAATATGAATTATATCAACCAAACATATAATACAAGATTTTCTTTTTGATTCAATTTTTTTCAAATTTCGAATGTCAATGTGAATATATGCATACTTTAATCATATATTATATAAATTTATTTTCAGGTTTTTATATTTAAAACTTTTGTAAAGATTATTTCTAAAATTGCAATGATCAATATGTATATATATGATTAATTATTAAAAATAAATTAAAAATATTTGGCATTAATTTGGCAACATCCTCTATAAAATTAAATTTTTATATAAATTTTATGTCATCAATGTTGGAAATAAGCTCATGTATCATTAACTCTACTTATGCTAACTTCAATTAGCTACATTTGATAGATCTTCACATTACAAACCTCTGGTAACTTATTTTTTGATATTCTGAGCGCATCATTGCAGTGATAAATAATTAATCCATTGTGTTCATTCCATAAATATTGTAGATAAAATTTAAAATGCTTTTTTCAAAATATAATAAAAAGTAGAATGAATGAAAACAATTTCAATGTCAAAATATTGGATAATTGATTTTGAAAATTTGCTTATACATATTCTTTCCATCAAATTTCTCTCATACATTTTTTTGGATAAAATCAGACGATGTTTTTAAGATTGAAGAATTTTTAAATATTTTTATTGATGAATTTTCTGTCTAAAAATTCAAAAAATGTTCAGGATTTAAGGAATTATTTTTATAATTTTCCTATAATAAATATATCCAACAGGGAAAAAATTTTAATTTTTAATAAAATTTCAAATAAAAAAAGTACAATAAATATGCAACATAGTGAAAGAATTTATTCAATTTTTTTTATCAATACATTTTCTTTTAATAGTAATTTGATATATGGTTATAATTTTACTATTTTGATGATATTTTAGAAAAATATTTTTTATTATAAAAAAATTTTATAGAGAAAATGAATAATTTTATAAATTTGAAAATTAAAACGTTAAATATTTTTTTAGCTGATTCAAATCTTATTGGAGTTGCTTTAAGTCAAATATTTAAATTTCATAATTTTTTGATTCAATGCAATGAAAAATTTGAAATTTTAACTTTATAAATTAATAAAAGTATGATAATAAATTATTTTATGTCATACAGATAATATGTAAAACTCTTTTGAAATCTCTACTGTGGCAATTTGAGAATTAAGTTAAATATAAAAATAAGTGTGATTATACAACAACCACATAATTTTTCTAAAAAGATTTTTTTTAAAGTATAATCCTTAATACATTATTTGATTCTAGCTCCTCATATCATATAAGTTTTTGAATGTTATATATTTGAATCTTTAAAAGTACTTACAAGATTTTCTTGGTACAATCTTAAACAACTATAAGAGAAATGCTTACCATGACATTGTCTTATACATAGCTTACTGCATCATGATTATTTTTCTTTATCATCTAAATTACAACCATAAATTAGATCTATCAACAAATCATATTTAGATTCAAATGTAAGCATTAGAATTATTTTTTTACTACTATTTTTGAAGTTATAAGCTCACAAAGATGAATTCAATATGTCTGATTATTTTAATCTGATGCATTTATTTAGACTAACAACCTTTTTTCAAAAATATATAAGAGTTATTAAAGTTATCAACTGCAATGCAACATATTACTTTATTTTGACATCTTAATGAATACGAGGTTATCATCAGAATCAGCTTCTTACAACTGATATTGTGATTGATATTTATCGGTTTATACTTCTTATCATATTCAAACTTCATATTGCTCTTAGTAAGTATGTCACGCACATAGTTTATATTTTTTTATGTTAAATATATTTTTTATGTTAGCCAATTTATAAATGATGTATGATAAATTTCATCATTCTCTTTCATCCATATGTTTATCTTGAGCATATGACTCATCAGCATTTTGCATTTTTTCTTTCAAATCATCAAAAATTACTAACTCGAGATCAATCTATAATTAATAAAAGAGATGCCATATATGACTTGTCTTGATCATGTGAGCGTTTTTTTCAGATATAATTTGTGTTTTCATTTTATTCTTCATATCTAGAAGCTTTTTCATATAGAAATCTTTATTTTAAATATATTATTGCAAATAAACAATAATTACAAAAATTATAATCTAAATCTATTCTCTCCATTCTTGATAAATGGAAATAATAGTTATTGACGCTAAAATACTTGTTTGTATTTTCACTCTAGCAAGCTCCTAGATCTTTTCATTCTGGCTCCACCATGCATTAGGTATTTTTGAGTCCAACTATTCAATTTTGTCATTATGAAAAATTAAAAATTTAGTAGATTCAGTTAATTAAAAATCTTGATCAACGTATGTTTATATTTGTATGAATGTGAAACTATTCTAGAAGAAAAAAGTATTTACATAACTTGGTGCTGAACAGAGTCCAACATTCAAATCTGTACCCAAACCACACCATCAGGAGCTACCCATGCCCACCCATTGCATTATCTGTGCCCACCCATGCTATTCACTTTACCACCCATTGAATTACCTGTGCCCACCCATGCTATTCACATTACGCCAATTGTGTTATGTGTATTACCCGGTTACAGCAATTCTTGGTTCGATCTGACAAACACTGCCCATAGCATTACTTGTGCCCACCCATGGAAAATTAATGTTACCCAAAACCCATGGGCATGGGTGGGTTTGGGCATGGGCACCCGATGTTTGGGCTCTGGTGCTGAGTCAAAATGCAGGCAATGCAACTCTAACACTAAGAACATGGAGATGTTTGTCAAAGCTAGTGAATAAAGAAAGAAAAAAAGAAAGAATGTTAGCATAAAATTGCTGTCAGCTAGGATTATCAAAAATTAAAATGTTGCCATAGAACCTCCCGAAATGATAGCTAAGGTGGGGAAGAGATTTCGAAGAAAGAAAGAATGTTAGCTTATAATTGCTGTCAGATAGAACTATCTAAAATTAAAATGTGGCCGTAGAAGGTCCGGAAATGGTGGCGGAGGTGGGGACTGGACTCGATGGGCGTCGGCAGGCGAAGAAGAGCGCTTCGGCGCCAGACGCACCATCTGCTCACGATCTTCGTGCTCGCCCTAAGAAGCGCAAGCAGCAGGTGGCCTCGAGCAGCCTCGTGGACGATCGATTGACACTTGGTCGCAAGAGAGCTGCGATTCCGCACAAGCAGCAGCAGCAGCAGCAGCAGCAGCTCAGAACTGCACATCAGCTGAGCACCACAATTAATATTGTGCCAGAAGCGGTCGACGCAGAATTGCCACGCGCAGGCAGAGAGAGAGAGAGAGAGAGAGGCGTGGCCAGATTGCGATAGATAGAACTCGGTGGAGAATACTGTACAGGAATTAGGGTGTGTCCGTTCGGGGGATTGCAATTTCTTCGCACGCGGGCCGGCGGAGTTGGCAGGTTGCTTCCGTTGCCGCCGATGGCTTTGGCATCCGGTGCAGAATTCGTTTCGTGAGAGAGGCAGGCGAAGTTGTTTCAGAGCTGCGATCGGTGAGTTCGTGCCCTGCCCTGCCCTGCCCTGGAGTGGACTGGACCGCTCATTCGCGAGTTTACATGGTAGACTCAACAGATTCGTCGGGGGTCAGCGGACTGGTGGACGGATTGAGATAGTGTAATTATGTTTAGGGTTTAGGAGAATTGCAGATAACGAGAATGCGTGTACAGATTTGATCACTTTCGAGCAGAGAGGTTTGAGAAATTCAGCAGGGCTGTTGCCTTCCAGAGGGTTGATTAGGGCTGATTGACAGTAGGGAATGAGCGTAGTGCTCTTCACGGAGCGCAATTATGTTCTGGCGGCGTTCAAGAACCGGGGAGAATGAAATTCACGTAGACTCTGGAGTGGATTAGTTCACGTATCGTGGTTGGATAGTCTTTACAATTGGAATCGCGTCCGGTGGCTAACGAACGGATCTGGTCTCTTTCACTTGTGCGGCAGAAAAGGCATCCAATCATCGCGATGGTGGCGGTTGGAGATGAACCAGTTACATCAACCGCATCAGGCTCAACAGAACTTTCAGCTTCATCTGTTGTTTCGAATGATGGCACGAGCGGTAACCTTTCCAATTCCTCAAACACCAGAAGTGGATCTGCAATGGCAACAGTAGACGTGGAGTCAACTTCTCTGCCCACGATGAACGTTCCACAGGGAGCAACGAGCTCAGGATTCACGAGTACCCCGGAGGATTCAGAAGAGGATGGGATTCTGGATCTCACGAGCTCGCAGTTGCACAATTTGAAGGAGGTGGACTTGCCACCCACTTTGGTAGAGCTTGACTTGACTGCCAATCGACTAACTGAACTCGATGAAAGGATAGGTCAAATGTCCATGCTGAAGAAGTTGAGCTTGAGGCAAAACTTGTTCGAGGACTCAGCGGTGGAAGCTTTGACCAGGTGGCCGCCAGTTTTCGGTCTGGAGGAGCTGGTACTAAGAGACAACAGGCTGACAAGAATACCGGTGGTCGATGCATTCACGAACCTGATTGTGCTCGACGTGTCTTACAACAAGATCAGTTCGATGATGGGATTATCGAAGGCCAGTCCTTTAGTGAGGGAAGTGTATCTGTCCAGCAACGCAATACAGAAAATCGAAGAGTTAGATCACTTGCAAAATCTACAGATTTTGGAACTTGGTTCGAACAAAGTACGAAAAATGGATGGCATTGAGAAGCTGACCCAGTTGAAAGAGCTTTGGCTAGGTAGGAACCGCTTGACCACTGTAAATATGTGCGGACTCACAAGTTTGACTAGAATTAGCATTCAGAGCAACCATCTCACTTCTATGCGCGGATTCGAAGCCTGTGTCTTGTTGGAAGAATTGTACTTGAGCCATAACGCCATCACAGAGATGGAAGGACTTTCTACCTTGAACAAGCTGCGAATCTTGGATGTCTCATCCAACAAGCTTGACGCTATCAAGGACATCAAGAATTTGAGTAGACTGGAAGACTTATGGCTAAACGACAACAATATTCCTTCTCTGGACGGTATAGAAGCAGCCTTGGAAGGTGTGAAAAACTCACTGACAGTTATTTACTTGGAACGCAATCCTTGTGCCAGGAACAACCCCGACTACGTGCGAAAGCTGAGGAAAATGCTTCCAAAACTGGTGCAGATAGATTCGCAGTTCTTTGATTAGATATTGTGCAGTAGTCAGCCCTTGTTAGATCTTATCCCTGGATCTGAGAGGTCTTAACCTCGTGTATCATTTGCTTTCCCCCTGTTTTCTTCATGAAGGTTTGCTTATCTTCTCTCTTTAGTTCGAGATAACAAATTTTGACCGTCTAACAGTAACACCGGACCAGAAGGGCGTGTTCTGAGGTCTAATCGTACAGTTTTTTTCAGTACTTGTACACAACGGGAATGATGGAGCCCTCCATTGCCACCTCTCGTAGCAATTGATAGAATGAGTAAAGTAGAATTTTTTTTCAGAGAATTGTGTTCAAACCACGAGGCTGAATTGAGAATTCAGTTTTGTTGAGAAGATGGAGTCTGTGTTTGGCGGCTGAAATGTGTGAGAGATCCATCAAAAGTAAGTTTTGAGAGGGTAATGGGGAGTTGGGCTTAATAGCTACAGCTTGTTCTACACCACTGTCCCAAGATGCCGAATGTCGAACGAGTATTCAGTACACTCTGTATTCAGTTCTCTCTGATAAGACATGTACTTTCCTGGCCAGATTTGAGCTTTCTTAGGTCCACCAAAAAATCTCACACGCCCATTGCCATTTACTCTTTGCGTCAGTGTCCGAAAGATACTTTCAGAAATTTCTCTGTTTCAAGCTAGACTTCTGTTCCACCATCTGCTAAAGTACAGAGTTTGCATCATTGGCGTCTAGGGTAAAAAAGATAGAGTAGAATTTTGATCTAGTATCTCACAGCGGCGGAAGCGCGTTTTACCTAGGAACTTATGACAATAGTCATAAGGCTTCGACGACAGGACGAAGTAGTCTTATCAGTGTGCACTGCCATTAACAGTGTCACAGCTGCAGAGCTCACGAAGAGAAGTTACGATTGATTCTTATTTAAATGAGGCGCCCGTGGCCTGTAGAGGTAAAGGACGTGGTATGTACCTGGGAATCAAGAACAGAAAGAAACCAACAGAGCAGGGAACGTAATCTGAATGTAGACCTGGAGTTGTCAAGACATGACTTTAGAGCGACAGGATGCTATTACTGCGTACAATGAATCCCCTTCTACCTGGCCCAAGGACTCGCAGTTGCCCTCTCAACCTTTTAGGTCCAAACCGAAGTCAAGAGGTTGAATACCTTGACATCGAAACGGCCAGTTTATTATTCTAGGTGTTGCTTTTTGTGAGGACTTCGTATATTGAGGGCATGGTCTAGAATAGCAGAGTCTCTGTAGCTAGAGGAATTCACTCATGTTGACAGAGACCTCCCAGGTTGAGGAGAAGCTCACGTCGAAGGAATCATTTCTATGAATGGTACAGGTGTTATCCGTAGCATGCTCTGTATAGTTTCAGGTCACACCTAAAACCAAGGTGTTGAATTGGCTGATACACGTGTCCAAGCAAAGGCCAATTTAAATCCAAAAGTGATGATTCTTTTGTCCGAGAAGTAGACCAAGAACAGGATTGACTCCAGCAGGTAAAGATTTTTGCTATTCTGGCCTCATCATGTCTACTTTTGCAAGCATAGGTGAAAGGATACAGCGTCAAATTCATATTCGAGAGAATCATTTCCAGATTCGGCTTCAAGCTGGCTGCTATGTCCATAAGATTAATCTGTGCAAATCTTTAACCTGTTATCTGGTAGAGCATTTTGAGAACGACGAATGAAGAATTTGTGGCACTTGCACTTGATCACTTGGGGCTACCACGTACATTAGCACTCAAGGCAATGAGCTTGAGATCCACTGCATGTATACATCGAGGATGAGGAGGAGTCGTTGCATCGCTGTCAACAACTCGGCTTTCCGTGATCTCCCTTTCATTATCACATTAGCATGTCGCCGCAGGTTCAGCTGAAATTTTCTTACCGGTCAGAGTACTACTGCGGGCCCAGCCTCCAACACAGCATCGAGTTGATGAATGCATGTGGCGAAGCTAGGCAAGAACGAATATCGGGTCATGTCTTCAGGAGGAGAAGTTCTCACAGCCTAGTGCGGCTGCGGTCACCTTTGCACGCCAGGGGAAGATCAGCAACCAGCCAACACCATATTGCTCACAACGTATCTTCTTGAAAGTTCGTGTCCCCTGCTTACCCCAGGTTGACGATGGTCTCCCACTACTTTGCAGAGCCCAACATTGAGTACCCATACCCATGCCCAAACCCACCCATGCCCATGGGTTTTGGGTGACATCATTTTCCATGGTTGGGCACAAGTAATGCTATGGGCAGAGTTTGTCAGATCCAACCAAGAATTGGTGTAACCGGGTAATACACATAACACAATTGGCGTAATTTGAATAGCATAGGTGGGCACAGGTAATGAATGCTTTGGGTGGGCATGGGTCGCTGCTGATGGTTATGGTCTGGGTACAGATTTGAAGTAAAATGTTGGCCTCTGCTACTTTGCAACAAGTATGTTGTCATCATGGAACTTCCCGAGCTTCATCGTCTCTGATTCGGTTAGTCTTTCATCCTGAATGAGACAGTTGTAAGCATTAGACTGCTGAATTCCATGGAATGCGTGGGTAGTTTGACATAAACCCACGTTTATTTTGTTGACCCAGATGAAGTGCTGGATATGGAATTATAAGGACCAAGCAAAAGAACTGCAGTATCTGGAATCCCACTGATTCTGCCGAGAGCGATGCTGTGCCCTTACTTCTAAATTTAACTGCAAGTCGACAGGTTGTCCCTTGGAAAGAAGACGTCAATTTTCTGTGCTGTGATTCTGCAATTCTGCAGAGGTTTAGTATAAACCCTGCTACAAGGTTGCGGGCACTTTATGTTGACTCCGGAACCTCTTTGCGAAACTTGGTTGAAGTCTCCTCGTCACAGCGAGGCATAAATCCAAGATACACAACCACACAGTCTAAAGGCTGAAATTGACAAGAATTCAAGGTATGTCCCACTTGCAAGCAGACACCAGCCTTGGTATCCAAAAGTTAAATGTTGAGGAAGATTAGAATATGCTACCAGAGTATCGTGCACTCTTTGACCTCCAAGGTTCCTCATGAAGTGACAAGCTATGCTACCAAGGTCACCGTCCGACTCGAGTGGACTCAGAGCTTTTCCATCGTGTCGGCGCTTGACGTGGGTTGGATAACTTCGTTGCAAAAGGTTAAAAAAGTGCTTTTGCTGCCACAGGCGAAAGGATTTCTTTCCCTTCTTATTAGCCAAACTGAATTCCCTGCAGTGAGTGAGTCCCTTTTGGTGCTCATGCTCCTCCGTGATCGCCCTCGTACCTATTTGTCAGGGCACGAGGACTTAGCACGTCAACTTACGTGTTTTACGCATGGCTTTCTTTCTTGTCTATGCAGAGAGCTTGCCGTCCAGGAATTCGAAATCCGATCCAGACTGGACACTCCTCGATTGAAGTAAATTCGTTTGGAACGAGTCAACGAGTCGAGAGAAAGATAGAAAGCGCCCATGGACTTGAGGTAGCCGAGGGAAGAGAAGACCAGCGCGTACAAGGGACGCTACTTCGTGCAAGGGGCAAGGGCCGAAGGCGAGGAGCGAGAGGAGGAAAGCTTCACGTTACACGAAATCAGCATCCGCGGTGCACCGTCTGCGCCTGCACTGATTGATGTGCCTGCCAGTCCACTGAGGTTCAGACATTGTGTGCAGTGTAGTGTACTGTAACCGCGGAGACGATGCACCCTGTCCGGAAGCTCCACATTGATGCCCTGCTCAGAAGACGAGCCCCTTGCAAGAGGCTCGGCATATTCTGATCTGTGCCTCTGCACTGGAATCTTCGGCTCGTCGCAGTGTTTCAGGGGAGGCGATGGCAAAGGCTGGAACGACCCACATTTGAGTCCATGACGCCATGAAGATCCAGGCAAAAGCAACTTTTTCCAGCGCACGCGGACTCCGCAGAATCCTGGGAGACCGGACCTAGGAGGGTCTCGCGGTGCTCGACCTCGCTCGGCAGCTGTTTAATAATTTATTAATCTACTAGGCGCGAACTGTGCATCAAAGTGAGCATGCAACTGACAATCGTTCGAGCCTCGAGAAATTCTTACCCTCCAGCGAGGAAGGCGAACTAATTTTTGCGCAAAAGCTCATTTTTCTCTCTTCTGGAAGCGCTGTCACTGTGCGGATGATGATTGAGACTTGTACTGTGTGGGCAGGCCTTCCAGCTATAGAGCTGGAGAGGTCACGGAATACTCATCCACAGAACGAGCGGCTTGCATAGATCCGAAGCAGAAAGGAAGGAAGTCGAACATGCTGCAGCCCTCGCCCTCGCTCTCTGTCTGTGTCTCATGACACATGAAGAAGGACGCAAGCAGCCGGCGACCCGACAATTCATGAACATAACGACGCAAGTCGATTTGGGAAGATTGCGGTTGTGGCAAGTCACGGAGATCGTGGATCCCATGCCCCAGACGGACGGACAGACAGACAGACTGACTCTCGAACTCGGGCTATAAGGGCAGCCTCGCAGGGCTGTGAGCCGTCTCTCTTTCTCAATGAACTAGACGAACTTCTCCTGTCCGATCTGACCCTCTTCACACTGTTCGGATGGCTGTCAGAGCAGCCATTGTGGGCAGATCAATCCCACCGGTGTGAGGAGAGAGGGGGCAGCAGAATCTGTAGAAGGTGGAAAGTACAGCACCAAAAAGGCGTTGGCCAAGTTCGTAGGCGTGCCAGAGGAGGGAGGCAAGGAGGCAAGGAGGCAGGGGAAGACTTTGGGAGTTGGACCACGGCCGACTCCATCGATCTGGCCGGCATGGCCTTCGGGGTGCACCTGCCTCGGTTTTCTTCCTTCCTTCCTTCCAAGCAATGCACAAGCTCCCGTGAGTGATCTCAGAGATTGTCACTCCAAATCGGCTGTTCAGGAGCGTTTCTCCTCTCGGTTGAACCAACCGAGCTACTGAAAAAAAAATATGGATGGTTCTGCTCCATGCGACCGAGAAGTTTGTCCCTGATGAGCTTGTTGTATTGAGAGCTGCCGGCGCCTAAGCAGGCTGCTGATGATCCTTCTGTAGCAGCAGCAGCAGCAGCAATACGACTGGCTCACACTAAATCGACGTCGAGATGGACAGGTGTGTACATATTCTGCTCCTCTTTTGGCCTCTCTAAGGACGTGTTTAGTAGCTGAAGTCCCGGTCTCCACTGTCTCACCGCTCGAGGTTTCTCTGGACTGTGAACATGAAACTACAAATTGTTGCAGTGTGCATATTGTTCGTTGGGAGAAGGACGTCGAATAACCCTCTGGATAGCGAGACATGTAGAGGACGTTCGTTTCTAGCATCCAGGGACGCAGTTTCTTTGTGACAAGTCGAGATGAGACTTCTATAAGATCGAGAAATTGTCCAAGTCCTACCAAATTTCACTAATCTGATGGAATCCCCATTATCCAGCTCTGTAATTAGTCGTCCCTTGGATTAATCACCTTTGTCATCAAGAAGATGGCCCACTTGATCCTCGAGCTTTCTTGACTTATATCTACTTGACAGCAATTTCATGCATGCGGATGGAATGAACTCCACCATCGATAGTAGCGCAATCTGGCTGCAAATACAAACAGCTCCAGAAAAGGGTTCAGATGTGCAGCTGATGGACTCGTAATTTGCTAGAGCATGTAAGCAGGAGGACTGGTTCATAAGCTATCGGCATTCGCATTGAGAGAATTCCCACTAACTCCCACCATAGACAGGTCTCAACGTGTGATAAACTCTCGTTGCACTCAGTCGAGTAAGTGATGAAGATTGAAGTCAGCTCGATAGAATGTTCCGCAACATGCAGACGAAACTCGAAGTAAGATTCATTCTAGAGAAGCAGAAATTCGAGAAGAGCCCGGAAACGGGAGATGGTGTAGTTTTGAATGTGCTGTATGTGGCAACTGAGCTTCGACAGTCTCTGACAGAAACCACGTGCCGTGAATGTGCAGCGCAAGTGCAGCAGTTTCACCGGGGTCGAAGCGGAGAGGCAAAGTCCATTTCGTCGGCGAAGTGCCCATTCGTCAGGACAGCATCACCACGGGCTCGGATATTGGCACGAGCGGAATTTCGGGCCGGACGTGGGAGGAGACTTCAGACACTGCGGGGGGACAGCATATGCACGTACTCGACGTCGAGACACGAGGATTTCATTGCAGCTCCGAGGAGGAGAATGCTGCCACACCCGGCCCCGATTATCGCCGACGCAGCCCCTACATTGACATGATTTCTGTGTTCGGTGAGGCGTCGGGGAGGAGCCTACCATACCACGAAGACTCGGCTCGTCGGGACCCGTCCAGCGAGGGCGAGTCTTGCCCTGAAGAGCGCCGTAAGAATGGGGCGAGAAAGCAAAAGTCGAGAGAAAATGCACCCGAGCAGCGCATCACCATCTTCGCTTTGCGACTGGCGTTGATCGAGAAGGGAGCGAGCCAGCTCGGCACCTTGTCCTTCCTCTGGGCCACGGTTGTGATTTTAGGAGGATTTGCCACCACTGTCAACGAGACGGACTTCTGGGTGGTGACCTTGATCATCCTGGCCGAGAGCTCTCGAATCTTCAGCCGCAGTCACGAGCTGGAGTGGCAGCACCTGTCGGTGCGATCTCATGAAAGCCTGGGCCGACGCTTTCTACGCGCTGCTTCTGATTCCTATCAGCACAATGTCACATTCGCCCGAGAAGTCAAGAGCAAGATTAAATCTCTTCTACACAGCAAAGCGTCCGGACGAGCGGAAGCTTCAGCAGATCCAGTATCTCCCGGATCGGGATCAGCTGCGGGACCAGCATCTGCACCAGGTCCGACGATTGCACGCCGCCGCACGTCTCGAAAAGCTTCCAAAAAGCCGGCCAAAGTCGCCAGTGCGACCAAGGATCAAACGCGAACCTGGGATGCTCCGTCCGTGCAGCTTCTGCCATATACGCACCACCTGGTGACCTCGAAGCTGGTCAGCCGGCTCTTGTATGCAGTGCAACTTCTGTCAGCGATCATGAGCATAGGTCTGGCCATCTGGCGGCTGAGGAATCAGGACTTCTTTTACAATCCTGGCAATGCTCAGTCGCCTCCTCCCAATATCAAGGTGTCCATGAATGTGTTCTACATTCTGTCCGTGGTTGAAGCCGGCTTGTTCCTGCTGGAGAGAATTTATTGGGAGTACAGGATCAGAGTCACGCAGCTTCTGCAGAAGGTGAATGCAGATGCGGACCTGGGACCCGACAACCTGCTGACGGTGAAGCAATTCTTCTACGACGTGTACTCGCAGTGCCTGAAGGGGAGCGTGTTCGATGGACTGGAGATGGATCTGGTGTCGCACAGCATCACCTGGCTCCAGGCCGAGGATTTCAAGCAGCAGCTGGGTGGAGCTCGACTTCTGAATCGAATCGTTTCGCGGGATGACGGCAAACCTCGCAGCGATCGCTTCGCCAGTGACTGTCTGCGAAGGCTGGGGACGACGCCTGGAATCATCGAGCGGCTGGTGGAGATGCTATCGTGGAACAGCAAGAACGAGGAACCTCTGCTGAGTGAGGTGGCGGTCATCATCTGCCGCCTCGTCGTGTACAACAGGAACTGCTCGCGGATCGTGGCCATACCCGGGTCGATCGAAGGCATCATGTCTCTGCTGGTGCCTAATGAGTGGCCCGCCCCCGACGACAAGAGCTATGTCAAGACGACCACAGCATACATCAACCTTCGCTTGAATGGCTTGAACATTCTCAAATACTTATGCAAGGATCACAAAAACAGCCTGAAAATCGGTGAGGCTCGAGGACTGCTGTCCATCCTGATCCTCTTCATCGAGGTTCGCAGCGAGAAGTCGTTCAGCGAGAACGGCGACAACAAATTTTTCAAGCTTCAGCTCAAGACCTACAAGAAGTCTCTGCAGGTGCTGGCCTTACTTGCGGCGGCCACCAACAGTTCTGGGGCCTTCCTTCGACGTCGAATTGCCGATGTCGTTTCGGGATTGAAGAATCTGAGAGACGTCATCGAGTACGGAGGTTCGCAGCCGCACTTGCAGAGGTCGAGCGTGGATATACTCTTCCACTTAGCCATGGATGTGGACGTTCGGAAAACCATAGGAGCCACGGGAGGTGTGATCCGCAACCTGTACAATCTGTTTGCCAGCTACGACGCCATCCCCAGGGTCCCGTATCCTTCAGGCTTGACCGAAGAGTCTCAGCTCAGCAAGAGAAATGCCGAAGAGCGCCAGCTAGCTTCCGAGATGGCTGGCAAGACCATCTCCAGGATTGTGCTGCAAAACGAGAAAAACTGCTTGAAAGTCATCGACCTGGTGTCTGATCATGGCGAACCATTTCTCAAGTGCATGGTGAGGTTTCTGGCAAAGCCTCTGGAGACGAACAATGCGGCTCCTCGGGAGATGGCAAGCTGCAGTGCTCAGATTCTCCGAAGTCTGCTGCAATACGCGGACGAACAAGTGAAGCAGGAGGTGGCCAAAGACTCCGCGCAGGTGGTGTTGCAACTGATCCAGAGGAGGCTTCACGAGGGCAGATCCGAATTGTACGAATCTTACCTGGGTTTGGCTCCGCGAGTGCTGGAGCCTCTGGACCAGGAAACCTACGCGCACCTGGTCGCAGTTCTCAGCAAGAGCGAGCTTGTACAGCAGCTTCTCAAGAACTTGAAACATACTCCTAGCACCAAACGGTACCCGAGAATCCGAAGATACAGCGTTGAACTGCTCATCACCCTGATCAACAAAGACAACTCGTTCTTGAACGTGCTCAGAAGCATCAACATCAATCTCATCGATGTGCTGAACTCGACCATGGATTCCATTTCGGAAGTGGAGAATTTCTGCTTATTTTCGGGCTTAGTTGGATACACGAGGCACCAAGAGGAGATGGAAACGCTCGTGGCTCGCGCCATACAACACATCCAGACTCTGGACAGGTCCTGGTCGCAGAGATCGGAGAAATCGGAGAAATCTGATCATTAGGACTTGTAGACTTCAAAGGATTTTTCGTCGAAGGATTGGTTCATGACGGTGCCCTGTGTTTGGGCTGTATATTTGTACGTACGAGGTTCGTGAGGGCCGCAAGTGAAATACCCATCACATCATCTGTTGAAAGCAGAAGCTGTGAATCAGTTGTGTCAATGCAGTCGGTGGGTACATGATGCTGTATAGCAGAGACGTGACAGACGCAGAGATCAGCAGTTTCAACCTGAGGAATCGTTTTTTGGCTCCTTGGATCTCTAGTCCGGTGGAATCCTACATCTGTGTGCTCGGCAGCAAGTCAACTCCCCAAGCCCCAGCTTCAAGTCATCGCCTTGAGTCGACATGTCTGACGACTGAACTCCGACGTCTCGTGTGTTCAGCGTCGGAGGAACAAGCCAACATATTTCTAGAGGTAATATATGTTCCATAATCAGGTAGTGCCCATAGATGCTACATGCATGTCCATGATTTAACGACCTCGATGTCCAGCATTTTTTTAATGTGTGTCAAATTCATAGTGAGAGAGAGGCCCCATGTAAGTTCTTAACTCATGGGGGCTCCACGCGTGGGCTGGCAGTCAGGCTAGCTGTAAAGGAATGAATCCATATTCCAATCGGTATATAGTAGTAGGAACTCAGATTTCCCTGTATTCAAGGATATCTCGTAGAAGTTCTTCGTGAACATGGAGCCAAAGGCTCATAGGATCCTAGCTTAGCGAAGAGTTGAGTAGCAAAGGAATTTATGTGCAATGATCAGGTTAGATGAGTACAGTATCAGAACTTGTTGAGGTACGTAAGTATGATGTGCCTTCCCTTTTCACCAATAAGCTTGGAGAAGTCCCCATCCCCTATATTACAGCAGGTATGAAAATCCATTACATGATGAAATCGACGGAAGCCGAAAACTCTCTGAACACAGAGGCCTTGCAATTTCAAGGGGAAGAGACTATCTTCAGTCAGAAGACCAAATAAATGTCTCCCTTGTTACTTCGCAAACTTGTCCTTCACGAACCTTAATTGTAAGGCCTACAACATGATTGGGTAGCGAATAGCACATCCAAGGAAAGGAAAATGGGAAGAGCCTTCGTGGACAAACAAGGCTGCAAACAACGCGTGATGTCCAATCATCTACAATGAGACCATGGGAAGTATCGTGAGCAAAAATCACATTTTTACGTGACCATCCCAACGATACTTCGGACTACAACGATCACCCTCCAGGGAGACTATACTGAATTATCCTGAATCAAAACAGACATAATTATTTAAGGCAACAACTCCCGCCATCTTATAGGTGTATACCGTTGAGGTAAAAAAAAGGTCATGAATCCTTTCATTTCAACCACTTTCAGTATCATAACTTTTAAAAATTAACAAATTTTCTACTTGATTTTGATTGGTGAGCCTTACCATGTATAGATCTAGCAGCATATGGAGATAGGGTTAGTCGTATTTCTATCACTCCACGTACAATTATGGGAATGCGTGATATGTTTGTCGGTGATTGATTTTTTCACCGCAAAAGGAATGAAGATAGAGAGTTTTCTATAATGATGAATCAAAGTTTGATGACAAATCGTTAATAAAGAATCAACATTTATCATTTGCCTCTACATATGGTTTTTTTTAATTTTGAAATATATCAGTTTCATATGCTTGATATTGTTGCCACATTTAGTGTCACGACAATATTACTATTGTATCTTCTGAAGACCAGAACTTTAGCAAAGAAATTATTGGACAACCTTATTAACTATAGGTCAATCCAAGCTAAACACTAACAACAAGGGGACTATTGCACACATCTGAACCCACGTCCAACGTCTGGTGCTTAAAATAAAGAAGTACAAGCTAGCAGTGACTGACATCGGGCAGCCGAGACCCGCACCCGTGGGTATACCCGCTTACCCACGGGTGGAGTGCGGTCACGGGTGCACCTTGTGGCAACGGGTGGGTGGTCACCGGGTGCATATCAGCAGTGGGCGGGTACGGCTACAGGTGATCATTTTCAATTAAGGTGTGGGTGCACAAATAAATCAATGGGTTCGGTTGGGTGCTGGTTGCGTTTGTTTCGGTTTGTGGTGGCGTGGAATTCCTCCTGCCAGTTTCATTCAATCTCGTTCGCAATATGAACTATCAAATGAAGCAATTTTCCGGATACTGAAAAATCTGGGTAGGAACCCAGAATTACAGAACTTGTTGACTCCGTAGCTGCTTGGCCTTTGCCTGTAGCTTGACATCCAGCATGTCTGTCCTCGCTTGCTACATCCATAATGAAGGCTCATGAGGTGAAGAAGGAGCTTCAGAAGTCATTGCTCGAGGCTGAAGTGCCCGACCATGTCGTCGTCAGTTGGCCACAGAAGGAGCAGCCTTCGTCGAATAGCATTTGGGATGAGTTCGGCCCAGTCGTTCGCATCTGTGATAACCAACGCGTGGAGGTGCAGGAGTCGGATGCGATCACGATCATCTTTGTGGGGTGCAAAAAGTGCAGCACGCCATATTCGTGGACTTCGTCTCGTGGTACTCAGTCGTTGCGCAAACATAACTGCCCGCCGAAGTCAGTCGCTGCTAGCTCATCGCACTTGATTGTGCAGTGGGCACGCCCAAACATTCAACCGACCGCCGCCCATAAGCAGATGGTCGTGAAGTCGTGTGCCGCCATGTGCGCCGTTGACATGCGCCCGTTCGCCATCGTCTCAGGCGAAGGCTTTCAGTCCTTATTGCAGTCAGTCTTGGACATTGGCGTCGCTTCCAAGAACCCCATTCGGATTAAGGATCTCCTCAGCGATGAGGTGACAGTCAAGCGGGCGGCGGTCAAGACATATCAAACGATTCGCCAAGTCCTCATCGCCAAACTTCAGGCGCACTTTCAAGACAAGATGGACGCTGGGTGTACTCTCGATATCTGGACTGAACCATTGACCAGCATCGCGTACATGTCTGTGACGATGCACTACATTGACGTCAACTTCAAGCACAATGCCCGCACCCTGCAAGTAGACCAATTCCCAGAAGTGTCACACACAGCCGTGGCCATTCTCAAAACCTTCAAACAGTGCATCATCCCGTTCACGGGGGAGTTCGACAATATGAACGGGCCGGTCAAGGAGCAGATCAGGATCACCACCGACCATGCCTCAAACAACTGTGGAGAAGACGGCTTGCCTTCCGAGTTCCAGTGGAATGGCTGTGCGGACCATTCGATCAGCACCTGCGTGTCGTTTGTCCTCGACAAGCGGACGAGCATCGTCAACGGCAAGAAATCGAAGCCGTACTACCAGTTTTACGCTAACGCTCCCACCGTGTTCGACATGCTCGACAACAGCAGGGCGTTCGTCACGTACGTGAAGCGGGTAGGGCTCAACAAGCAGCTGACGCCGAAGCTCAAGCAGGCTGTGGCGACCCGATGGGTCGGCATCTTGATTATGACAAATAGTATCGATTGCGAGTTCGAGAGTCATCAGGAGACGCTCACCCTCCGCCACCAGGAGCAGAAGATGGACGTTATCGACCAATCGCTCCTACATGAATTGGTGCTGTTCCTTAACCTCTTCCAGATCGCCACGAAGGAGCTCGAGGCGTTCAAGACTCCGACGTTGCATCTGGTCACCCACTGGCGGAAGGTGCTGTTGGAACACTGCGACATTGTGGACGAGGAGCGCGTGGTGAAAGACAAGGACGGCGTCAAGGTGACGCTCCCACCTTATTCCAAAGACTTGGTGAACATCAAAGATCTCATCAAGGATCAGATCCTCGAGAAGTTTATGCTGACAGCCCTGCATGTGGCAGCGACGTACCTCGACCCCCGTCAGAAGCCGATCATTAGCGAGCTGGAAATCGACGACGAGCTTCAACGTGAAGCCATCGCAATCATCAAGTCCACGATGGTCCGAAACAACCCTCCAACCCTGACCATCGACGATAAGCGCCACGTCCTAGCCACCGCTTGCAACCGCCATCCTCGTAAACGGAAGCGCGCTGCCATTCCGGTCGTCTTTCCTCGTCGCTGCATCAACGATTTCTCGAGCAACGACGATGACGATGATCAGGACGATATTGACAGCGTTCCAAACACGGCGACTTTGGAGATCCTAGTCATAGCCGAGCTGCAGGCTTACGAGGCGTTCACACTCTCCAAGTCCGAGAAGAGGATGATGAAAGATTCCGATGAGGGGACCTTTGGAACGGGGATTCTGCTTTGGTGGAAGTCAAAGGCATCGACTTGGCCCATCCTGGCGCGAGCTGCACGATCCATCCTTGCAGTCCCGGCGTCTAGCGCCATGTCAGAGAACAACTTCTCCGACATCGGTAGCACAGTTTCAAAGAAGCGTAACCAGCTGAAACCTTCCACGGTGAACATCATGATGTTCCTCCGTTCGAACATAGACCTGACCAAATAGAAGAAATGCTATGATTCCACAAACGATAGATCACATACCTGGACCGACAAGTAGTGTTTATTAACAGACATCATTAAAATTCTGGCTGTTATTGAGAACTGCCTCGATCTCTTCTTCTTGAATCAAGTCAAAATCCCATGAACTTGAAATCTAATCAAATCGATACACAGAACTTCCAAATTGTTCTCTGATGATACCTTCTCTACATTCATTCTTAAATTTATCGAAGGAGCGTTCTACTGAATTTTAATCAAGGAAAGCGTTAGAAACTTTAGAATGACAAAAGTGAACCAAAGGGAATGGAAATGTTCTGTCCACAAGCATACGACCAATCTTGTCATCTTTCATTCTGTCCGGAGTTCGAGCAATCACCAACCTATCTTTAAAAGTTCAGTGTAGAGTAAAAGTTTTCGGTATCAACTCAGTGATTACCGAAACATCTCATAATGAAAGTAGACTTGCTAAGGTATGTGAATCCCTACCCTTCTGCTAAGATAGCAGTTAACACTGTTGTCCACATTCAATGAGCTAATAGTTTTCCTTCACCGACTGACTTCGGGTGTGGGTAGCGCACACAAGCAAGGGCACAGGTCGGATGCGGGTGCAAATTTCTGAGCCTTTGTGGGCGGCTACGGCTGCGGGTACGTCGGGATGCTCGCGGGTGGGCACGGTCGCAGGCAAACTTTCTCAATCAAATGTCATTCACTGCAAGCTAGTATCAAAGTGAAATAAGTAGGTTCTTAAAGAGAAAGCAAATCAAAAGATTATATATATGAGATTGAATGTACAAGCACAAAGACAGATCGCACTTGCCGAGCGGGAACCTCTATGAATCACGTTGACGAACCTTGGGGCAGAATGGCTATGGAGTCTGAACTCTGCATCTCACACATGATTCTAGAAAAATTGAAACTAAGAGACCTACCAGATGCCCTAAATATCTCATAACTCACAACTGCTCCCCTATCAAATGCATTTGATACAAGTCCCAAAAACTAGACTACAAGAGCAATACAAGATCGCCACACTAATTGTTGTCCAACTAGTGCTACCAGCTTCATATGGACAACCTAAAAATGATCCATGGAGTTAGTAAAACCTGGTAGATATCACTAGGACCTGCCAACATGCTTTGGAGACATGAAATGATACCTTGAATTAGTAAAACCTGGCGGATATCACTAGGACCTGTGTCATGTAGTTGCGAGTCGGCTCACGAAGTTTAGACACTTACTATATTTAGACGTGAAGTTAGGGTTCGGATCACGAGGGGTATACAGTCGGGGACGGCTCGAAGAACGTTAGTTCTTCGAGTCGAGCCTGGAAGCGTCGGGAGCGTAGAGCGACTTTCCCTTTTGCGTCGACCTAGATTCTCCGAGTGTGGAGTGGGTTGGGCTTGACTCATGTTTGTGACGGTGACGGTTTGTTGCCAGTAGGGTAATTGACCGACGGGAATTCCAGTGGGGAATCTCCCGTTTATTTCACTCGAAGAACTCTGTGAACACCGAGTCGTCGGTGGGTTGTGATCAGGTTTTGGCTGGAATGGTTTTCGTGTGTTTTCTTGTTCGTGGTTGAGGGAGAAAATCGCGAACATCGAAGAAATTTTCGTGGTTGAGTTTCAATTTTTTGAATTTGATCAAACAGAGGAGTCAATGTAAGAGAGCTCGAAGAATCAAATCAATTTCTGATGTCGGAGCTTGCGCGGATGGTGTTGGTGACATCACTGTTACGAGCGGGGTTCGAGATTTTGTTCTTGGCATGGTAGTTTCTTTGGAGAAATCAAAGTGGGAGGATTGAGGTGTATCGCGTGGCCGTCAGCTTTGGGTCGAGAGAGTGTTCAGTTCGGAT